GAGAATGCGCTGGATCCACTTGGTCGCGCTCTGTAAGAATACTGTACGACGATGGAAAGAGTGCGCTGAACACATTTCGCCACACTGTACGAATACGGTCTGAAAATTTCGGTCAAGATGGAGCAGACGCGCCAGATCCACTTGGTCGCGCACAGTAAGAAGGCTGTAAGAAAAAGGTTGATTGCATTGGAAGAGGAGGACTATATTCGGAATTATTGGGGGTGATGGGCAAGGACGTGGAGGAAATACCATACCGCGAGAAGTACCTGCTGGCAGTCTTCGAGCGAGAGAAAGATCAAAACAACAACAAAAAAACGAATACAAAACCTGTCTAACGGCAGCGGTGTGATGGGAACATGGGAGGACGAGGAGGAAATACCATACTGCAAGGAGCACCTGCTGGCTGGGTGTCTTCGAGCGAGATAAATTACCAATATAACAAAAAAAGCGGACAAGGGATACAGAGATGGATAGTTATGTTAGGTCAAGGTAACATGAATACAATGCATTGAAACATACCTGGTCTTAAGTTGTGAGCATTAACTATCACTTGCACGCACATATTCGAGGTACCAAAGATGCATTTGCTTTTTTGGAACTTGATGATTTGTTTGAATTGGAGTAGATGAACACAACTCATCCGCTCATGTGCAAATTTTTAAAAACCTGCCCAAAAACCCTGTGGAGCTCCCAAAACAAGAGATGAGACATCAGCCTTCCATCTCCACGTCTCCAGAACTATCTCGTACCCCAGAACATGATCCAGCGTCAACAGTGAGTCCGTCAAACTTGAACACAATGTCCTCCACACCACGCGCACCGCGCGGAACAAAGCATTGCGCTGCAGCAGGCGCCGTGAACTTGATCTTCAACGCACCAAACATACCCTCCTCCTTCTTCATCTGCCCAAACACCGTCTCATCGCCTGCAAAGGACATGAACAAGTGCTCGCGAAACACGTCGTACCCGCACAACTCGCTGTCAAAGTGCTGCGCCCACAGTCCGAGATCCGCAACGTCGATGTCCATCTGCTCGACGTATTTGTCAATGTTTGAGTCCGTCTCATACGTGCGATCCCAGACTTGATTTTCCCACGCGCGCGCGAGATGGCTGGCGTCGATGCGTACGAGCTGGTCGTCGACGAAGCCCGACCCGGCATTGTGTACGTTCGCACAGTGCGCTTTGAGATCCTGTGAGTTCTTGACGTGAATGAGTGAAAGCATCTCGTCGATCGCTATCTTGAGCTCTTGGAGAGCATCTGTGCGACACTGTTCCTCGCGCGATAATCCCAGCTCGGGGTCAGATTGCAAGGCGTCGGCCATGGCGCGCGCAGCGTCGTCAAAGGTGCCGTACATGTCTGCGGTGGCCTGCATTTGCTCTGCTTGCTCTTTCTTGTCGTTGGCCATTAGCGTCACCCATTCTGATTTCTGCGTGGGAGTCTGGAACGGGCCGACATGCTGGCGAGGTTGGAGGTCGGAGATGATGGAAGAGCGGAGAGCGGGTGTTATGTCCTTCTTGGATTGCTGCGCGATTTGGCGTTGGCCGAGGGAGGATAGGATGGCGGCGTGGTGGGAGGGGGAGAGGGTGCTGCGGGTAGGTAGTGCGAACTTGCGGTTCGTGGGGATGGGGAGAGGGACATTGAAGACGTATCCGTACATGTCTGGGGATGCGTACAGCAATTCTTTGGATGGTGTATTCGTACAGGTGTATGTTTTAGAATGTGAATGGTTGCGTATAGAGAGTCGTGGTGGTGATCAGGGATGTGTAGGAAGCGTATTGCGGCGGAATATAAAGCTCGTGGTACATGGTAGTGATACATTGTGTATGTACACGATGCGGGGCGGGTAGATGAGATGCTACCGGTAGAGCTTGATGCGCTTCTTTTTGGGCTCTTCCTCCTCGCGGTCCGTGAGCTCTCTCTTTCTCTTGAGAGAACCGAGACCCTCAATTGGCGACAGTGGCGGCTGGCCGAATTCGGCCAGAAAGGCTCTCAAGCGTTGCAATTGACGACGGGCATTGAAGGTCGCGACGGGAGGCGCTGTAAGCAGGTCAATTTAGCTTCATCTCAAAATATTTTCAAAACTTACGCGGGCCTGGTGGCGGACTTGGTGGCGAGCTTGGTGGCCCTCGTTCCAACTCTTCTTCTCCAGCTTTATTCTTGGTGTGTTCTGGCATTGTTTTACCTGTGCTTTGTGTGGTAATATTAGCTGTGCTGTGCTGTGCTGTGCTGTGCTGTGTGGTGTTGTTGTGATGGAACAAAATTCTTAAATACACCATTTGCAAAACCTCCGTGCTCTAGTCCTCTACTTGATTCGGCCATGATCCTTCACCTGCAATTTTTACTGTCGTGTGACTATGAGTAGATACAGACCTGGTTCTCTTGAAGTGTGTCAATGGAGACATAGTTTATCTTTGTGACGCACTGAGTGGAATCCTGCTACATCGTCGTCTCATTGAAACGGCTTATGAGATATAGGTAAGAGCGACGTAATGACTTATGATACATATAACAAAATTGCCTCCCGCTCAAGGTTCCAGTGCTATGACGTTGTCTGGTATCTTGATATGGTTCTACAATAGTAGCCTTTCACTTTTCCGCCACCATAAATATCGGGCGGGCCCGCAAACATTTCATCCTCTAGAACTTTTGACTACGAGAATTTACTACTCAATGACACTGCGGCTCAACTACTCTGACTGCGTTCACAGCCCCCACTTCCCACACCAACATAGGAGGTCATTTCCACAATGCCCAGGCCTGCAGACGCAGAGCCTGTCGAGGGCGAGCGACAGGCAGCACGTATCTCCCTAAGACACAACATCGGCATTTGCGCAGAAATTCATCGAGACGCCACGCGTGACAGCTCGCTACAAGTTCCTGTCAAGCACGTTGCGCACTATGCCACTGTTTTAGAACGCAATCTCTATGAGTCAGGTATCACATCAAAACAGTACGCCGCTATTATACTTCAATGCAATGAGCTCTTTGAAGAGGCCGAAGAAGATATGCAATTGTGGCATAGCTTTCTCAGCGACAACTTCACAGACATGGGCGCCCTCAGCGTTACGACCGCCGGAGAACCGATACTACCTCTGGCATTTGTCCTGGAAGGCCGCGCCGTCCTGGGCAAAGTCGTCGGCAAGATGAACGCTTCCATGCGCCTACAGGCAAGTATCGACCCAAGAAATGAGCCCTACATTCTACAGCCTGAGGAAGAGGAACGCATGGTAAAGAGGCTAGAGTTTTGGCGGATTCGTTCTTCAGGAAAGTATGACGAGTCTGCACATTACATGACGGCGTTATGCAAGCTCAGTGATCAAATCGAGCGCTGGGAGAGTGATGGTAGCTGGCCCTTTTGGTGTGACCAAGTGGGCCAACGCATGAATCGCCCCCTGATGGGGCAAGACGTTATAAAAGCTGAGGTGGCGCGCAAAAAGGACCTAGAGCGCCAGCGAAAGGCCGGTCTACCAGCTTCTGCACCACCTTTCACTTCTACCCAAGACGCAACTGGGAATACATCCAACGCAGCGGAAACACGGTCATCGCCACCAAGTCATGCAAAATCCGCCTCGGCAGCAGCTGGTCGTCCCATAGATGAGGCTGCACCGCAGGATGACAGTCTACCTGCCAGTAGGAACAACAATCGTCCGATACCACTCGTTCCGGTGGGGTCTTGGACGCCCAAGAAGCTCATCCAACAAACGGCTACCAATACCCCTTCTGTCAAGAGGTCCAATCCATTTTCACAGCTGCTCAGCTCTGTAGATAACACATCGCCGCGTCACAGCAATGTCAGCACCCAAGGAGCTAAGCCTGCTTCATTCAGTAGTGCCGCACAAGTTGACTTGTCACGCCAGAAGCATACCGAACCTTCGACAGATACGCCATCAGCTCTCAACATGCCAAAGCCTGACCAGGTCCATCACTCTGACATACTTACCAAGAGCACTAACACGCCCAAGGGCGCTGAAGCAAACCTCAAAGGCTTTGAGGTACCTGCTGACGCTGCAAATACAACTGCGAATGCAGCTGCAGCACCAGTTTCGACTTTGTTCTCACAATCTGTTATTGTCTCTCAGCAGAGTGGCGCAGCACTTCCTCCGTTTGGTAGCTTCACGCCCATTTTTGGTGGCATATCTCTTAATGGCAGCAAAGCAAAGCTTGCTCCACCTTCACCCATCTGGGCGAACGCTGCTAAAGAAGTACCTGGCTCTTCCTTCTTGAAGTCTAGTAGTTCTACAGGCCCGAGCATCTTCGACAGGTTGTCGAACAGGAAACCTAGTGAGCAAAAAGTGTTCAATTTTGGACTATCAATTGTCCCATCGCAGAAACAACTCCCAAATGTCTCGCAAGGTCTCCCTGTCCCTGTGCCTCCAGGAGCACCCAACACGTCAAAACCCAAAACTTCCGACGAAGCATCCGCGTCTCCGATTGAGCCCGTCAGTGATTCACAGCCGTCTGTTAATGGCGTCGAAAAGACGGTCGATGTTGATGTATCGACCAGCATGGTTGTGCCTTTACCAGATCAAGCAACCACTCATGATCAAACTCCTAAGATTCCATTGCTGGTTGGTCAAAACCTCCACCCATCAGAAGAGAGCTCGCTTGATGCATCACCTGAGAAAGTGGTTGCTGGGTCCGCAGAGGCTACCTCATCGAGCACACAAATGGATTCAAATTCGCCTGCATGCAAGCCTATTCTTCTCGAGGAAGAGCGTAATAATCTTTCGATGACTTCCAATACTACAGAATTTGTTGTCGAGCAAGAACATGTACTCGAGCAATCTCCTATCGCGCCACCTCTGGTGCATTCATCAGCTCCGAAAGCAGATGTCTCAAACCCCGTTGCCAAGATTGTTGCAGCAGATGTCAAAACGATAGAAGTCAAGAGGAAGCTGCGGGACCCAAGCATTGATGGCATCTTCAAGACCTTGGAACAAATGAGAGGCTCCTTGAAGAGCAGTGATGTTCTGAAAGAACAAGCAAAAAAACGGGAGGACCTTCACGCATCCACGACAGGGACTCTAGAAGGAAGGATCTGCGAGTTGATGGACCTCGTCAAGCAAACGACTAGCTCACAGGAACAGATCCAGGCTGACTTCCAACACATGAAGGAAGAGTGCCGTAAGGCAAAAGACATTGTTGCAAATCTGAAGCAGCGCATCACCGAGGCAGCGGAAGAGCGACGGAAAGAGCAACAAGCTGCGGCAGGTCAGCAAGCAAAGTTGATTGCTAGAATAGCAACTCTCGAAGCTCGTTTGCCTACAGTGGTCGTTCCAGAAAATGTTGGTGCCACAGCACAGGTCCCACAGAAACCAACGCAGATCATGCCCGCGAAGGAACCTGTCACCAAAGTGACTGAACAAAAGGCAGCCAGCGCAATCGCCGTATCAAGGATTGCTGCAAAGCGAAACGAAGACTATGAGCAAGCTAAAATTGAGCTCCCCATCGACAGCCTTCGTCACCCTACGGCACAGCCGGCTGATATCCCTTCCATCTCCGCAGTCCCTGCCGCACCATCGAAAGACATGACTGAGACCGCTGACAAGGGACTCCTGGGGGCGCTGACAAAGAGAGTTGATCAAATCTTTGAACATGCAGATGCGGCTCTCAAGGATGCTGACAAGACTCTCGAGGATGCTGACAAGATGCGCGACCTGCTCATGTTCCCCGCAAAGAAATTCTCTGCATTGTCGGAGAACATGGTGCCGGCTTTCAAGATGTTCGAAAAGAAGATCCACGTCTTCATCATGGACAAAACTCAGCATGCCGATCGCGACACCGTAGCCAACCTACATACCACCCTGCGCTACATCAAACACGTGCACGAGTCGCAGGCCACCCTGCTTGACATGGAACAGAATCTTCGAGATCTGAAGGCGGAAAAGGACTCGTATGTTACGAGCTGGGGTACCAAATTGAAGGACAACTACGACATCGCTAGAGCCTATGCGCAGCGTCTCTATGTTGAGCTGAACGACCTCCCTCCGAATGACGATATGTACAATATCCTTCGAGGTCACTGGTTTGCTGAGGTGTCGCGTCTGCGTCTCATGGTCGAGGATACCGGAAGCAAGTGGGGGTTCTCGCGTGTTGGTGTAAGTTTGACGCCCAATCTTTTGCAGGAATTATGTTAACGACAGCTAGGCGAACGGGGCCCTTGAGCAAGATAGAAAGTTGTTGAGATCTGGAAGAGACGAAATGTACCGCGTTTGAGATTTTAAGTTGTTGGTTTACAAAGAGCATAGGTGTATCTCCCACTTAGGGATGATCACGGGAGGGAAAGGACGTTTGTTTTTGGTTCGGTGTTTTAATAGTATCTCGATAGCGAGAATTGAAATGAAACTGAGTACATCAATATCGTGCAGGCTTGAAATTCCAGGTGCCTGGATAAATTCTGATGCTACGAGTACAGAAATTTTCGAATGTGTGATGCATCATTGTACAGCAACTACATAGTGTAGAGCAGCCTGTGCTGCGGTGCTGGCAAGTACTGCCAAACGACATCTCATGTGGAGTAACAGTAGCCGAGACATCTAACGTCGGTAGTCACAACTTGCTCTAACTTACTTCCATAGTCGATTTCGCCAAACAGAGTGAGCAGGTAGCTATACCCAGGTCTTCAATTTGTCGTACCGCATCTTTTCCTGGAAACTACATAAGTACCACTGACTGAATGCGCTGTAGTATGTTTGACCTTCTTACATTGTAGCTAATATGGCGTCCCCAAATAAGCAGAACATGCAATACGAGAGCCAGCTGTGAACTTGTGACCTCAGGAGAAGACGTGCCAAAGTAACCATACTTTGCTCGGATCAAAAATTGGCCCATTACAGCCAATTTTTTCTTAACTTCCTTATCACTGCACACACATCTGCACGTTTACCTCAAGATGCCTGCTCTCTCGCCTCCACCGTTTTTGTTATCTTTTGCAGAGAATAAAAAAGCCGTGATGTCAAAGCTGAGAGGTGCGCGTTCATGACGTTGTTCTCGGCTGTGGCACGTCAGCCTTTCACTGTCGGCCAGATTAAGTTAGACCCTGCCCGTGCGTCCCGACAATCATGGCCCCTCCTCCACAATCAATCGGCGTCCATGAATTCTAACTACAAGAAAGGCGTGACCTCAACTTGGACGCATCTAGATCTCTTTTCGACAGCTCATTGCACGCAGCTTTTCTGAAGGCATCCCCATCCCACTCACTTACAATCCACTCTCTCGATCTTCCGCGCGCATCAATTGGCAGCGTGCAGCCTCACTTCCCGTATGTATTGCATGTCTGGAACTTCCCAGTATAGAAGCCTGCTTCGCTTCAATCGCACGATAAATTATATTCTATTCCCGGAAACTGCCTGAGCATTCTCAAGCCACCCTATCTGTTTTCCTTCTGTGAATTGACTGATCATAAAGCCGTAGCTCACCGTACCTACAGATCCATTCTTTGTGCCCCGCAACCCGCCCACACCACAGAAAATGCCACCAAAAGTGTCTGGTGCCGATCGCTTGTCGGCAAAGTCTCAATACATGCGCGCCTTGAGAGACTGCAACGATAGGGTCGACGTCAAAACCCATCCCGAGTTGCAAATCTCGCTGGCCAGGCTGAACGCGATTAAGGACAAGTTGGAAGCTAACACACACTCTTCTCATCAGAATGGAGGCAGCAATAGATACAACGCGGCCGTGAATAGAGACATCCAATCCATGGAGAACATTGGTCGTTCACTTCCAGAGGATGTCGGTCTGTGGAACTTGTTGCTTGAGTCCAACACTGTCTCCGCAAAGACAGCCATGCCTAACGCCGAACATCGACCTGTCCTGGCACCATCACAGCCTATGTTGGTTGAGCATACTGCTCCCGCAACGAAGGCCACACCCAACATCGAACATCGACCTCTCTTCCCGCAAATGCAGCCGCCCCTGTTCAGCACAGGCGCTCCTACTACTGCCAACACTGGCTCTCCAGAACGCAAGTTCGCAGCAGCGCGACCGCGTGCGCACGCGGTCGGCTCGAGCGCTTTCGCACCGAACATCGTCAACACGGGCGGAGTCTTCGCGACTGCTTTTCGCCCTCAACAGTCGATCTTCACCTTCGGAGCTTCGAAGCTCGAGCAAGAGGGCAGCAATGATGGAGATGGAGACCGAGAGAAAAACCCTGAGCCGCCCAAGAGGCTAGGTGCAATTGCTGGAAAGACATTAGGCAGTGACATCGCCGACGAGCACAACATCGCCAACCAGCCGGCGCTTTTTGATGAAGATGCAATGGCCATGGAACTCTCGCTCACCCCGCCACCGGCAGTGAAAGCTCCGCCGAAGGTCGCATTTGGAGCAGGCGTGCCCGCACCTGTGCAGCAGCCATCGCCTCGTGCAAATGGACAGGGTTCCAATGATGCAATGGACGTAGATTCAGGAGAGCCAGCTCCCGTTCTGGGCACTGGTGTTGGTAATGCGACAGGTGGGACCTCTCTTGCACCCTCGCAGGTTGTCCCAGAGACTCGCACTCAAACAGTGATTCTACCAAAGCCTGGTACTATCTCGGTCATGGGAGGGATGCGCAAAAACGCTGCACCCAAAGCACCCGTGATCATGCCGCAGTATTCAATGGCTGGTCCAGACTTTCAGTTTGGAAGCACTCCAAATGCTCCAGCTCAGCCGAATGTTCCTCAGACTGAGACTCCTGCGAACGTCGCTCCTTTGTCAAATGCCACGCCTGCGTTATTGGGTGAGACGGGTGTCTCAAACCAGGTGGATGTTCCTAAGTCTACACTGCCAGCAGCACCACCTATGGCTACAACTGCGCCTCCGCAAAAGCTTCCTGCAGTCGCTGAGAACCTCCAGGATACCCGATCGGAAGACACAACAGGCGCTAGGAACGGCGGTCAATCGACAGGCCCACCCGACGTCTCGCAAGCGAGCTCCGAGACAGCAACACCTGCGCCAGCATCTGGTAACGATTCGCAACTCTCACAGATGGCTGCCATGCTTCAGACCCTTCAAACGCAGCTCTTGAGCTTGCAGATAGCACAGAAGTCAACTGAGCACAGGCATGCCAGCGATGTGAAGGTGCTCACCGAGCAAAACACCGCACATGCGTCCAGGATTACGGCGCTCGAAGGCCAAATGCAAGCTCAGCAAGCGAAAGCTTCAGCAGATATTGTTAACCTCTCCGAAAGGTGCAACAGCCTTGAGAAGAGCCAAGCAGCTCATGTCGAGACTGCGAAGAGGCTCGATGAACTTGAAAGGGCTGTTGCATCTCGAGAGGAAGCCGCAAAAGAACAGCAGATGAAGCTGCAGGTGGAGAAAATGGAGACTGCTGCTCGAGACGCTGCTAGGGAGCATGCACCGCTTGGCACTGCCATTGCAGCTGAGAAGAAGGCTTTTGCCCCAGAAGCCGATGCATCGAAGACGTCGACGCAAATTGCGATCGAAAAGCCTGTCGTGGAGGTCGAGATTGTTCAGAGCACCACCGAGGCTCCAAAGAAAGACGCTGTCAAGAAGACTGAATCAGTCTCGGAGGTCAAGCAAGATACTCTCCCTACTGAGGCCGATATCTACCGAAAGAAGATCAACACGGAGATCATCCGAAAGCCATTTGACAGCAACGGTAACTCCGCCTCTCTCCTCGACCTTCGCCCTCGACGTGCGATAGAGCCATCTCCCATGTTCGGTCCGTCATCGCAAGCTGTTGCCGAGATCCAATCTGAGCCCGTCGCTGAGATCCAGTCTGAGCCTGTCTACGAGGCGGCGAAAGAGCCTGTCCGCAAGCACGATTCCTCCAAGGGTTCCTACGGTCTTGACTACAGCTCCGATGAGGACGAGACGTCCTTCGAGAGTGAAGACGCCCTCGTCTATCGTGAGGAACTCGCCGCCCTAAACGCTCTGTTGGATAGCAAGGACCACGTGGGAAGTGTGAATCTTTGTCTCGCGTATCTCAAGTCCATCAAGGCGGTGGGGGTTAGCTTGCCTAAGGGCAGCAAGGAGAGGAAAGACATGTATCGGTTTTCAAGGGATGAGGATGTTAGGTTGCGGACCAAGGTGAATGGTGTTGCGAGGGCTGATTGGTTGTCTGTCAACGTAAGTGTTTGAACTTTGACTTGGAGGACCAAAGCTAACCATGTACAGGACAAGTGGGTGATTGAGATGCTCTGCAAGCAGCGTTGAAAGTGTACCATGAGTACTTCCTAATCTTTGTTAAAAAGCGAGGCGTTGCGCCTTTCGTAGCATTGTTTTGTGTGTTCGTTCGTTTGGGGAGAAGGACGTGAGCTGTGTCGTTTAGGCCAGCCACAGGAAGAGGGTAGGGGGGTGCGTGTTTTGTAGCAATCGAACACTATCTTCAATCACTTTGCGCATATGTTGCGTTTTTACATGCCAATGATAGGATCTAAGGTCTCCGTGATGCGTTTCGAAACGAATACCGGCACCTCCGAGAAAGGGGGTTTACGCTCTTCTTGAGTGTCCGGTAGGGGACATCGGTCCAAATCAATCACAATGTACACGTAGCCCGCAAGATCATAGCATAGAATATCAATTACGATTAAGAATAAAAGTTCTCCAAGTTCGAGGAACATGACGTTGTTGGCCTGAGACATCCTAGAGGTGGTCGTTGAAGCTTGGCGCTGCACGGGCCAGGGTTCGCGGTCCCGTCTGTTTGTGCTCCACCCGCAGACCATAACATTCAACTTCCAAATCCCACCACCGCTGCCACCCCACCACGACACCCAGCATCCCTTTCCGCGTTGGCGCAGCTTCCAATTAACTCGAAATCGACTCAGACGCGACATGTTCAGCTAATCCACTTCGCCTTTCATCCCGTCTCGATCGCGACTGCCTTATCGCGACGCGCCCTCGGACACGTCAAATTATCACCACCACACAAACACAATGGCCGGCCGCAGCAAAGCGCCTGCCATCGGCTCAGCCGGATGGATTCTCGAAGAGCGCCACCAGGCGAATGCTTTGGTCGCGCAGGAACTCGAAGATTTCGGCTTCTCTGTGCGCAATGAGCTGGAATGGCTCAACGCGCACATGTCCGAAGTTCTCGCCAATGGCCAGTATGTCGTGCCTGCCTCTTCAGTGCGCTCTCTATGCTAACCTCGGACTAGATACAATCTGGAGGTCTTTAAGACGCCCGGCAAGCTACGCGGCAAAACGCCTCGCACCGCACGCAAGAAGGCCGCTGAGCCCCGTCAGGTAAGAGACGCGACGCGTGCACGCCAAAGTGTACTGTGCTAACACCAACCAGCCTCTCGCCAACCTCATTGCAGCGAATGGCCAAAACAAGCCCAGCCCCGCCGAACTGAGCCTGAAGAACAACCTCACAAAAGCCACCCCGAAGACGCGTTTCCAGATCGCCCACGATGAGACCACAGCCAAAGTATTATCTCCTGCCGCAAAGACGCCTGTTGCGCGCCAGCTCTTCTCCAAGGCCGTGTCCACTGGCAAGGAAAACGTCAATCGCAGCTTCCACGCCGATGTATTCGACGAGGACCGCACCCAGCCTTCCGCCGCTCCGTGGAGCCCCATGCATTCCACGCAAAACACGGTCATGACTTCGCAAGGCGACGATGTTTTCTCACCGCCCCAGACTCAGTCCACACAACCAACACAGCCTACTCAGTCCTTCCAGCACTCAATACAAGACAAGGATGAAGATGAGCGACGCGACACGGGCGATTCTTTTGTGTCTGCCAAGGAGGCATTTGGAAGCAAGAACGCTTCGAGAGAGAATCTGCGGACCAACGACGATGATGCGATGGACGTGGATGAGGACAAGGCCGACACATCGCGATCAGATGCGGGAACAGTCATCCGCCATGAGATTGACGACGCTGAAGATGAAGATGAAGATGAGGACATGCACGACATTCCCGACTTCCCCAGCCCTCCACGCGTCACATCCGAACAGTACAGCATTTCTGCAGAGACCCACGAAGTTCTCGACACCGCGCACCACCGCGCCCACGCTCCAGAGCCCAAGACGCTGTTCGCTCCCGAGGCCTCTACCACGCCCGCCGGCCCACCACCAACATTTACAGAAGATGCGATGCACGATGACACCGTTGTGCATCACGATGTCGACGATCAGATGGACATGGACGATGATGTGCGCTCACCATCCGACAACTCGAGCCCCGTGAAGCCGCTTGTTAGGAAGAGCAGTCTCACTTTTGCATCGCTCCCTGCACGCGAACCTCTGCTCCCGAAGAAGAGCATGGGCAACCGCGTATCCCGAACCAGTCACGTCGACCCCAGCAAGGGCCGCAACAGCCAGATGGGCAGATACACCGGAGGCAAGAGTCTGGGAGGCAGCCAGCTCGCACATCCGGATATGCATCATGACGATGAGATGGATATGGGTGAGCCGCGCCCAGCACTCCAGCGCGAAGAGTCGGAGACTACCAAGATCCACAACAAGACATCGACCCAACGCCTATTTGAGCGCATCAACATGCTCAAGCAGCAAAACGAGGCACCCAAGCGTGTCAGCCAAAACGTTGCTTCATCGCAGTCCTCGCAGCCTCAGAGCTTTGCTTCAGCACAGTCAAAGGAAGATGTTGGTCCCGTGCAGGCAGCTCAGCCCGCATATCCCAGCCTTCCTCCACCTGCACCAGTTGAGGATGAGGACGATGACGATGATTGGATCTCGCCCGTTCGAACAGCACCCGTGCCTGCACCTGCTAGACCTGCTCTTAGCAAAAGCCACACTGCGCATGCGCCACCTTCGCCCGCAAAAACCCTTCCATCCAAGCTCATTTCCGTCTCCAACCCGGATCTATCGGCCGGTCTCGAGTCCACTACCCCCGTTGGCTCACCGGCTGGTAAGAGGTACATGGATGCCCCACTCAGCGCCTCGAAGGCCAAGTTCTACTCGGCTCTTCGTGCTGCAAAGGAGAAGATCATCGGATCAAGTGCGACCAGCGCTCAAGTCAAGCTTGATGCCCTTGCCGAAAGCCCAATGCGACCCAAGCTTCAAGCGCACGATTCTTCTGACGACGTATTCGCTAGCCCCAAGCGAACCGAGAAGCCAGGCCTTTTCTCCAACCTCCGCTCGCCTTCAAAGGAATCGAACAAGGCTACCAAGGCTAGCAGAATTGCGGGCGTGCCCGGCAGCCCTCTCAAGGATGATGGCCGCCGCACCCGCAGCTCTACAGAGCGACAAAAGCAGAAGGACAAGGAGACAGAAGCCAAGGACGCTAAGCAGAAGCAGCGTGCTGAGGACAAGCTCAAGGAGATGCGCGAGAAGGAACAGACCAAAGCTACTCTCCACCATCAGAAGAGCAAGGGCGCACTCAAGACGCCCTCTGCAATGTCTTCACAGTCGAGCTTGAGGCAGCCTGCACCAGTCGCGGCAGCAACCAAGACTCCCACTTCATCATATCAGCAGCAGCAGCCTTTCTCTCGTCCTGGCACCACGCGCACTAACACCGCTTCATCGCGTGAGGATGCCGATTCTGCTGATGAGATGCCTCCACCCCCACCACCCAAGAGCCTTCTTCCTTCTGCAAAGCCCAGCAAAGCCGCTCTCCGCGAGCCCAGGAAACTCGCAAAGCCGACCAGCAAGGATGCCTTGCCCAAGGCAAAGGCACCACAAAAGATTATGGTCAACCTCAACAGCAGCAGGTATGGCCAGGCTCCTCCTCCGGCTGCTCGCCCCGCACCGACTGCATCCAAGCCTCTCACTGCTGGGCCGTCCATAGCATCCAAGTCCGGCGCTCCAGCACCGAAGCCAGCTGCGGCTAGTCGACCAGCTTCGGCATTGTCTGGCAAGGGTGGACCTGCTTCTAGACAGGCTCCTGTTGCAAAGCCAGCTGCTCCTAGAGTCGCTCGTCCTCAGCCACAAGCTGTGGAGAAGCCCAAGGCCACTGCACCACCCCGATCGGACCTTGGTGCTGCTCGCCCAGTCTCTCGCATGCAGACCGTCCAGGATGCCAACCGCATCAACGTCCCGCCTGTCAACCCCGCTAAACCTCCTAAGCGTCCATACCAGGCTGAGGGTGGCGACGAAACACTACATCGTCCTGCTAAGAGACCCTCGCAGCAGGCCAAGATGAACCCTATTACACCGGGACATGCTCATGCGCAATTTGCCAAGGGCAAGATTCCCTTTGCTGAGCCCGCACACGCGCCTCAGCCTGCTCCACCTACGATCCAGTACCCCAACGGCGACGATATCAAGCTCCCTGAGATCATGACCGATTCCGAGGACGAGGACTCTGATAACGAGTTCGAGCAGCCCAGCTGGGTCAACACCCCCAACCTTCGTGAGATGCTCGCCAGCCAGCAGCTCATGGATCCCGAGCAGATCTTCGGCCCCATCGCACCTCTTAATATGGAGGCCGTCTTCCCCAACAAGGAGCGCCACAAGCGTTTCCGCGAGCGCACCAGCAGTGCTTTCTGGGCCAACGACCAAGTTACCGAGGAAGAGAAGCGCAAGGAACGTGAGGCCAGAGAGCGTCTTGTCCGTGATGGCGCTTGGACGTATAACCCATCGCCTATGGCACCACGCCCAGGACCTTCTGGACCTTCGCGCTAGACGTACTTCGCACTTTTACGGCTTGTATAAATGAAGTCTCTGATCCTCTTTGGGATTCAGATACTTGCGCAATATTGCTTTTACGAAAATGGCGTTATGGGTTTAATGTGGCATGATTGCCGACACTTTTTGTTCTTCACCTTCTGGCGTTTATGTGGATTACTAGAGCCATCGGGCTGCTTCAGGGTACAGTTTTGTCTGTTCCTCTTCATGGCATGGCGTTTGGGAGGCATATGCATCGACCCGAGTGGTCGCACGATTGGCGTTTGAGATTGTCTTGGTTGTTTTGGCTTTTTCTTTATCCAGTGTTTGTATAACTCGATACAGACCAATGATCATGGATAAAATTCATTTTGACGTGTTTTACGTGTGATGATTTTGATGTTTGAATGGTCGTATTGGCGGGGTAAATATATGTTGCTGATGTGAAAAAATGGATTAACGTGTGATGCGATCGATCATTACGCAGAGTTCAAGACCTTGACCTTCACTTCGATATTGCTGCCATCTGGTAAGCTAAAGAAGCGCTTTCCAACGACTGACTCGACCATTCGACCTCTGCACGACATGACCAAACCGCCAACCAAACGTGCTTTGAAGAAGTGAGTCGTCCTCTGGACCGGGCCTGAATTTACATTCGAGATCCAGAACGTCGTCCCAATCCTTTACCGGAATTTTTTCACCAATTGGGTACTGAACTTCAACCTTAAATCTTGACACTGACACTCACAATTCCAAAATCATCATTCAATTCCTCAGATCTACACCCTCGCGGCCATCACAAGTGAACATCTTCGCTGTCCTCCTGCACCAAATAATTGCTTTCTTGTCGTCCCGCTGCCATCAAACTTCGCCGAATAAAGCTTGCCTCTCCATCAATGCCCCTAGACGCTCAACTTCCTGCGCCGGCCGCAGCACACCGTTCCAGGTTCTGCAGTACTCTGCTAGTATCAGCCCAAAGTGCCTTATTTGTCGCTTTTATGCACCTCGATTTAACTACTATATATGTATTTCATGTGGACTTTCGTCGCACCGCGCGACCGGGAGTTGAGAGCAGTCGTGTCTGCGCGCCATAACGGTATCGCGTCGCGGCCTTGGAGTAATGCCCACGACGATGTATCTGTGGGATGTAGTCCTGATTGGACGTTACGGTGCTTGCTCTCTCCTCCCATACGCAGCAAGATGACGCGCGCTGGGCTTCGTTGGGTATGCGTAGGCGCGTGTATGGCGGGGAGATCTTTCGCACTGTTGGTGGGAGTGCGATGGGGCTACCGATGCAGATTTGCTGAATGTATGTTGAGGTTTGGGCTGAGGGAGAGGGAGAGGGGTGTGTGTAGAGAGGATGAAGTGCGGCGGAGGAGCTTGGAAAAGGGTGCCGGTGTGCTACTTGGAGGCTGTCCAGGTGCCATATTGGGTGTTGCATGGTAATTCAAAGTGGGGTGGATCGTGGCTGTCATATCTGTCTCGATATGCGTGGCGTGGTTGGAAGTCACACATGCCTATGTCGGCTCAGGGGGTGGTGTAGGTGAAGGGTATGCCACCCACAACCCTCCTGCATATCGCGCACGATATCATTCCTGGTAGTTTCGCGCCCTCGCGCACCGCATCTTTCGTTCACAATGTCCCCCTGTCGCCGCCGGGCTCACGTGCGTCCAGTGATTCACGAGCCTGCACCGTTCTACCCGCTTGGATCACCACCGCCGCCAATTCCCCCGTCACGATGCGACCGTGCAACTCACGGCGCTAGCTGACAGGCAACGGGACTCCGCCCTCGAGGATATATTCAGCACCTGCGTTCAGGGAGAGCAACTCTTCATCGCAACCACCCACTAACCCTCCCTCAACCAACTGCCACTGGCAACCGACTCGGGAGAACTCCAACAACCACTGCGCTCACCGCACTATGCATTCCCCCATTCGCGGCTATGCTCGCTGCGCTGGTCACATGCTCTTCCATCTCATCCTCATGTTCGGCATGCTGGTGCGGTTCCTCCTCTCGGGCAGCATCCAGCTTATCGACATGAGTCTTGCTTGGATTGAGGGTCAAGACACCAAGCACGTGCTACTCTTGGAATGGCACCCTACTCCTGAGTTTACTCTACCTCTTACTCGACATCCGCTCCTCTTCACCAAGGCCTTTGCGGATAGCAAGTGGCTATGGGACTTCAACATCAATAGGAGTCTTCCTCGGATCAAGGGTGAGGAGATCAAGCCAATGCTCTTCTTGGAGTGGCATACTACTCCCGAGCATACTTTGTCCATCGTCACTGTTGAGAACCCATCGATCATCCTACCCCTGACTCGCCATGCGCTTTTCTTTACCCAGGTCTTCACGAACAGCAAGTGGCTGGGGGACTTCCACATCACTCTCTTCCGATCCTTGTTCTTCAGGAAATGCATAGAGATGCAGGTCGCGAGGATGTTGGCGAAGAAGCCGGGGTTCCTGGTACGTCCTGATGTACTTTGTGACAGGCGTGTTGTGATATATCTGGTACTAATGTCATCTGGTAGATCAACTACGGAAAGACATCGATGGTCACTGTGCAGATCCGCGAGACGACTACTGAGCTTTCAGATGGTCACTCCGACTCGGATGAGTACGTCGATTTGGAGTTTGATATCTTGGATCAAGAGACGGATGTTGGTAATGCGGACAGGCAGTTCGTTATTGTCGCGCCTGAGGTCAATGATGAGGAGTCAAGCACGCAGCTCGTCTTCTTTACGCCTCAGGTCGAGCGGGATGAGCCCACCGTCGACGTTACCCCTGAGACCGAGCAGTCCAACACCATCCGCCTGCCAGATCCATCCACGGTCGAACTTGGCTTCGTACTCCTCCGCATCCGCTCCACGACCTGCGAGCTCAACGCCGCTCCCGAGACCCTTGATGTCGAGTCGACCTACGAACTGTTCTACCACAGCACGCTCAACATTTCCGACATTCCGTCTATTCGTGCGCACTACTACGTCTATGGGTACACCGTCGAGCCGGTGGTACCAGCCTCTCCCATTCCCCCAACTCTCGCTGTTCATAACGTGGTCGGTACGGGTCTCGGTCCGCGCGTTACATATCCCAGCAGCGAGGTCAAGGCCAAGAACTACTGGAACAGTCTAGGAGACGCGGATCGCGCATATTACCTGCGTCACGTGCGGCTGTACGATACATGTCACGGGGACTATCTAGCGCAGAAGCAGGAGTGGGAGCGCATACTCACCTACTATCCATGGACGCCGCAGATGCAGACTTTCTTTCCTCTTTGGAAGTATTGCGAGCCGGTATTTGCTCAATTCTCGCCTGCATTTTGTCAAAACTTGGATATCTCGAGGCAGGTGCAGCTGTTTCATCGCGTTAGGGAGTCTGAGAGCGCGCTGAAGATGTGCGAGAAGTGGATTGTTGAGCACATCATGCCGGAGGTTAAGACGATGCTGGATTGGGATGTGCAACACGGCGAGTGGAAGACTGATGTCGAGGATGCAAAGGCTGCTGCTGTCACCCAGGATGAAGAGCTTGGGAAGATATGGATGGCTGCAAAGGCGAAGAAAGATGCCCGTGAGGGAGCTGGATGGCCGGTTGCGCAGACTGCACAGCTCCAGACTATCCTCGACCAGGAGAATGCTGAGGTAGAGATGAAGGAAAACGAGATCAGGCGGTGGTGGAAGCCTGCTACACGCGTTATCAGCATCACTGTCGAGGACGACGATGCTCTGAACAGTCTTACTGTCGCCCACTGGACGCCTCGCTTCAAGGTTCTCGACCCTGAGGTCGCATCTGATCACTGTTTCTCGCAGTTCGTCCCAGGAAAAGACTTCACGCCTGTGTTCCGGAAGCTTTGGCACTTCGAGATGCCGGAGACTGATATGATGACCCGGGAGATGATGGTCCATAATGGCCAAGTCGCTCGCCCCATGCGCACTTCCCCAGAGGACATGCGGCGGATTCGCCAGATGGTCAACGAGCCATACAAGGACGCCATCGACTCGCTCCTAGGTATAACATTCGACCAGTTCTCGTGGCTTTGCGCGACGACCCCCATGGAGGACCTTTCCGGATGCATCTGCGACCGCTCCACCTGCGAGCAGTGCTATCCCACCGCTCCAAACGATACGCCACCGATCCGTCTCGAGGCCTGGGAAATTTCTGAACAGACTGCTGAGCGAGAGCGCGCGTACATGCTGCGCAACGGCTCCACCATGAACGGCACCAAGCGCAACATCGCAAACGTCATCGAACGCATCGCCGAGGAAGCAAAGAAGCGCCCCCAGTATCGCAACCTGAACGAGATGGTGAATATCCAGCTTCGTCGCGATGCTCGCCGTCAACAGCGTGCGAACCGCCCAATCGTCGTCCCCTTCTACAAGCCCTTCGAACCCGCCGGAAAGAGTCTCACTGAAATTGCCTTTAAGGCGTACTGTATCGTTATCCTGAGGGAGCTCGACATGCTGCCAGACGCGCCTCCGCTTCTCCTCAAGGACCTTGGTCTATGTCGATACCCAACCACGCCGCAGACAGACGAGGCCGCATCTCTCGATTCCAAGCTGCGTGGTCTCAAGCCGAAGACCAAAGACGACCCCGAAGGCCTCCCATTCGGACCCCTTGCTATCAAGCGCAAGAGCCACGAGATCTCCGAAGACCCTGAGCTACGCGAGACTGTGCCATTTCACGACCGCGTGATCAAGAAGGTTCATCGGAGGCTTGTTCCAGTCACGATCGCGGGCCCGCAGAAGGGTGTCAAGCGCAGCATCGAAAACGTCCATACGTACGAAGAGGCCCCGAGCAAGATACGTCGGACGAGGCGTCAGCAAGAAGGCGATGACTCGACCTTTTCGTTTGCGTACAAGCGCTTTTGGCCTGACTCAAGCTCAGAGGATGACTTTGATCTATGATGAAGATACGCTGAGGACGCGGAGATATTGAAAGGCGAAACGTACACCGCACCCATTGGCCAGGCGCGACACACAATCTCCATCTCTATCTATTCATCCCAACCGCTTTGACGTACACAGCACCTATTGGTCAGGCACAACAACACACAGCAAAGCTTAACGAATGCTGAAAACCACAAGAAGTATAATTCCCCAAACGGGTAGCTTCTTGTGAAGGAGATTTAAGTCGGACACCGGCACCTCGTAAGAAAAAGGGAGTGGAGGAAATAACAAACCTGCAAACAAGTACAAATCCCCAAACGGGTATCTTGTTTGCGGCGGGGAAGGAGAGAGGGAAGCGTAAGACCGACACCGGCAGTTTGGGGAATGAGAGGAAGGGTGGAAATACGGGTGTGTTGAGATGGAAAGCGGTTTTTGAAAGACATCTGAGCTACGTGACAATGGGAAAGTGTACCTTGGATTTTCTCGCGATCTTCCACGTGTGTTTTGACTTTTGACTTGACTAATGGGTAATGACATCGTGTATTGAATGTCTGACCGTGATGATGTTGACTATGAGTTACCGAACAGTAAGGTACATTTTGTATGGGTCAGCAAGGTGCTATTGATATGGTAACGGTCAGCGGTGACGCGTGGTAGACAATGTGGCCAAATCTCGGAGAAGCACAGTCAGGAGACTGTGTCGGATGACATGCATAAACAAGGAGAACTCCGCGGATGTTCCGGCTGAGAGGGAGTTGCCGAATGTGAAGGACTTGGATGCGCTGGTCGTTAGGACGCGTGGATAGACTAGCGCAGGTGAGATGTAGGATAGTGTCACGTGAGACAAGACATACAACATCCAACACCCAACAATTCCGCGCATCAGGATAGGAAGCGCTCAAAAAGAAACATGGACATAGCACAACCCATATCCAGGTTTGTCTTCAGTACCAAAAATACAGTGTTTTGCTCGTGAAACGCTTGTTTCCATGCTGTTCCCAGGCGGCCTCTCCAGACACTCTGACTCGCCAGCCGACAGTTCCCATCAATGCAAATCAGACCACGGGCACACAGACCAAGTCACGCACGTTTCCTGGCGATCACGTCGTCGATCCGTGGAGTTGGCTTGATGACAGCAGGACTCGAGTTCACGCTGGTACCGGCGGTCGCTGAGGTTCTGGATGACATGCGATGTCATAGACAATATTTGCGCAGCTACGTAAGAGACTGCAGTAGCGTGCGCCGGAGACTTGCGAAGTTGTGATGCGGTCGTGTGGACGGCGTCTTCCTCTGCGGCCGCTTACGGCTAATCCCTGTCGTGATTTGCATCATCGCTCAAGCAACGCAACTGCCACAGTAACGCGAACAGCCTTATCGTGCGGGGGATGTTCACAGCCACGGGGAAAAGATATAACACACTTGATGCGCCGAACCATGCGCGCATCTGCACAATCTTACATCCCCTCCAGCTCCCAAGATCATCTCAATACCGCGCATCACAACAAAGATCGGCACAGCTCAAAGGTAGGCTCCGTCCCTATCCGGAACCGTCGGCGCGTCGGATTGGCTCTTTGGCGGCAAAGTCGTCAGGGTCTCTGACGTAACCGGTCGAGTCGAGGAGTTCCTTCCACAGCCGATGACGCTGCATACTTTGACTGAAGCCACAGCTCCCGCTAACGCAATATATGGCCAGCCGCACCCGCAGCAAAGCAGATCATTCTTCAATCTCCTCACAGACTTTCTCCGCATACCCACACTGCAGGACCCTTGATCGCATTGTTGCATCTAAAATATACACATAAACAGCAAATATGGTTTCGCGAGCTCTTATTACCGGTCTGAGGGCCTGGCAGGTACGCGATTCTTCACTGTTAAGCTGAAGAGCTTCGTTAACATGAAGACAGCTTATTTGCGCCATCCTCGTCGTGGCCTTCATGGCCAACAACATTGATCGCGCAGACAACGGAACCCACAGCATCGTCAACTACTCGCTCTTCGTGGGTCTGTGGTGGCTCCTGTCTCTGATCTACTTCATCCCCACATCCTTTATCGACAAGTTCAGCATCCCCATTGTCGATGTCGCCATGGACGCGCTGAGCGTGCTCTTCTCGTTCTGCGCCGCCGTTGCGCTGGCCGCATATCTCGGCGCGCACAGCTGTTCGAACAGGGTATGCGAAACTATATCCACCTCTTCGAAATTATCCATGACTAATACCACCCCAGGCCTACACCACCTCAAATGGCGTCTGCAACTCCTCGGCTAACACCGAGCAAAACTGCCGCCAGGCGCAAGCCACCTGCGCCTTCCTCTGGTTCGGCTTCGCCGCCTTTGTCGCAACCCTCGCCATCAACGTCATGAACGGCAGCGGCAGCGGCGTCAACATGCGCGGCGGCATCCGCCGTGGCGGACCCTCCATGAGCCAGGTCTAGGACGCCTGTAATGTGTACTCGGATTCGAGCTGGAATACACGGACCGACGCCAGCGATGCTGTGTGATCGGATCATTGTCCGCCCGTTATGATCTCGGGTATGTCTGTAGGATACGATTTATGGGTTGCTTGATGCACTCATGTTGGGACGATGGGAGGAACGGAAAAGGATTGGGTATACCATCGATGAAGGAGTTTGCGCGCGTGCGTTATCGTTCTAAGCGACATGCAATAATACCTTGTTAGCTAATAATATACCATGAACATTTCAAAACTTTGTTCGTTGACACTTTGCATGGCTCAAATCAAACAGTGTTCGCAAACATAACAATATCTACGAATATCGAGCCGCGAATTCATCAAAATTACTAACATCCAGCACACTTCTCTCCGCGGGTAATTCAGCACGAGTCTCAGTCTTGATCACCTCGTCGCCACGCGCGGCTGTCGATGCCCTTGCGCCTCCTGGTTGTCTGCGCCGGATCCTCCAGAGACATAGTGCTAAGCACAACACGACCGCGATTGAACCTAGTACAACGCCAGCAACAAGACCAGCAATGCGTCGCATCTCTAAGCCCTCGTGGTCGAATCTGCTGCCAGGATCGTCCTCTGGCGCCAGGGTGTATTGTACGCGGAGTGAAGTACACACCGCCGTGCCCAAAGAAGTCGATTTTGCCGTCGATGCCCCCAAGCTCAAAGTGCCGCCGCTCGCCGCCGTCTTCGTCTCCGCCTCCACGAGACAAAACATCGGACTCCACCAGTCCTGCCCCTCACCCGCCGGCTCCAAGGCCTGCAGCGCAAACGGCTGCTTGACATCCGATCCGAAGTCAGACGAGACGGTCCATGCGAACCAGCGGTTTTCTACGACATCTTAGATTGTTAGCTTATCAACTCTTTTCTTTCTACTTTGGAATGGTGGTGGGCTTACCTCCGATGTACTGCGCTCCTGTGTATCCGCGCTTGTGTAGGAGCAATCGGACTTCGGCGCGGTCTGAGTGCCATGTTATGTTGACGGTGGAGCCGAGATGGGCGCGGGCGGATGGCGGAGGCGTGAGGAACCAGCTTGTTTCTGTGTCGGTGGAGGAGGGGGTGAAGAAGGGGCCGCGGGCGCTGACGTGTCGTGCGAGGAGCAGATAAAGGAGCGCCGGGAGGAGCATGGTTTGGTGTGCGGAGAGGGAGGGAAGGAGTGTTGATGTTTGTCTTCAGGAGAAGAGGTGGGAGTGATGTCTCAGTATGAGCCAGCTTGGCGAACCAGGTCGCAGATGCAAGAGCTTTGGTCGTTTTATTTGCTGCCCCCGTGGTGAAGGAAGGTCCGGCGAAGAAGGAAGAGTTGGATGAACGCGCGAGTGTGTGTTGCTGTGGGCTTGCGCGTGGAGATGGAAGGATGAAGAATTTCAGCCGTATTTCACTAGATGAGAAGGGGGTATTGTCTCATTATGAGCCATCACTGCTCAGCATCCGTTCGCCCAAGACGCACGAGCGATGATTCATTGCCTCCTTTCGGTAATCAAGGACAACGTCGGCTGGCGTGTGTTGCGAGATCGAAGAGGTGGATTAGCACTCTAGTAAAGATGCACTGTTGAATACTCGCGGAGAGTCAGAGGGTGTATGTTCTGCGCCTCAACCTCAATCGCCGAGAAGAGATTTGTTGTCCCGACATGAGCTGTCGTTGCTCATTTCTCTGTCGCTCTGCGGATAACGAATCGAAGTGCAACGCGAGAAAGAAGAGGTAACCGCACGCTCGAAGCTAATCACGTACGCTTAAAGATCGAGTGTTGCGTATTTTGGAATAAAGTGTGGATGTGCTGCGCTCCCGACTCGTTTGATTAGACAGAAGTGTTCCGGTATAAGCGGTCACTGCTCGATTCCTACTCTTTTGGCGATTATGAACTGGAGTTGGCGAGACTCCATCCATTTCCTCGCCCTCGCCAAATAATCAGATTATCAAGTGTATCCCGTGGAGGAAGAGGTGCATCGACGGGAAAATGAGCATCTGTTGCTGTATGGCTGCGCATGAAGGAAGATCAAAAGATGAGGTGTTTAAACCGTTCATCGGAACTTAAGCACTTCTGACTCGCTTCGTAGATATGAATATTCTTCCGTTCTCGTGCCTTTGTGACAATATGAGGGCAGCTGGGGTATAATTCGAGACGAAACATGCGGTATGTCGATGTGTAGCTGCGCTTGAAGGTAGAATGAGAAATGAAGTGTGTCTCATTTCTTCAGTCATTTCCTCCTCCCCGTGACCAACTCATCCAGATCCTCCACACGCGGCACCCTCCCTTCTGCGGATAGTTCTGACGGCATTTCCGACGTGTGTTTGCTCTCCTGCGTTTGCCCCGGCACCGCTTGATATGAATGCGATTCTGCGACAGGTGGTTGTTCACTTGGCACAGAAGTTGCAGGCGAGAGCTTGGCAGCTTTTTGTTTCTGGTGTCTCCGACGGAGTAAGAAAAGCACCACTCCGAACATTGCGGCGCCGCTGAGGGTGAGTGATACGGCCAATGCGATATCACGTTTGGCAGTGGAGCTAAGACCACCTTTTGGGACGGGAGCAATATTGGCGGATGAGGAATCGCCGTCGGATGCGCGTGTGCTTGTAGACTCCGGTGCTGTATGTGAAGGAGTGGAAGTCGGAGATGATGATGAAACCGAGACGGATTGTTCCAAGACTGCCGCTGTATCATTCGTAATCTTGAACACTGGACTCCAAAATGACTCCGGATGGGTGTAATTATAATAGATGTCATCCTCGTATCTTCTTGCATCGAGGCAGATGAAGACGTACTCTTGGGGAAGCGTCGGGTCCTCAGACGAGATGTTGAGAGGCGCCCAAGACACTGCACGTGGGTAAACTAGTCATTTCAGTCAAATCTCCCTGTTATGGATATCTTTGCGTGTGACAACTTACTGTAAACCCAATTACCTGTCGTCATATCGACCCCTTTCTGGCCGCGCTGAAACATCATTATCACGGCCACATCGAAATCGGCTGTCACCGATATGTTGATTATCGAACGGTCGAGGAAAACGAGGTCGGACGCTCGCGGCAATATGAAGGATCCGTTTTTGGAATCGGTAGGTGTTGTAGAGAATATACCCGTCTCCTGTAAGATACCTGCCGAAACTTGCATTTCAGGCCCAGTAAGGACACTGCAAAGCAACAGCGTGTGTAATACTCGCCACATCTTTGCTTCCCTATCCTATGGTTGAGGACAATTTTAAAATTCAGAAATGAGACAATGACTGCTGCGCCGGGTCCCAGCGTGTTTTTGGTTGTTCTGCTGCGCCGCAACTGTACATATGCCCCTTGGTAAATGACCATTTCATGCAGCCAATCCACGCGAGGTCGGCGATATAGATGCGTTGTAGCACCGACTTTGGCGCCACTACTGGATGCGAGGTTGGTGAATCGTGAGTGTCTTTGGTAGTGTGGGGATTTCTATGCGGGCTTTGTCACACACAATGGGTACTTTGCACTGCCATTTTGAAGTCTCGCAGATCCCGAGTCGGACTGACTCAATCTATCCATCACATGTGCTAATCTGAAGACGTGAGTGTTCATATTTATTGAACACGTAAAACCCCATTTCTAGATTTGTTTCCTGAGTGTATTCTTTTGACAAAAATAAGGCATGAAGATGACCGGAAATCTTGGAGGCAACAGTGATGCCAAACGCTAGCTCCACAGTACCACCTATACCAATGCTGTTACCTTCCAATGATTGCACTTCAAAAGAGTCATTTCAATGATGGCGATGGTGCAAGTGGGACAACATGCAAGTCGTGGTCGGGGCGTTGTCCCTTTTCGCCTGTGCTGCGCCGCACCCGACAACTTGGTAAAGTTCACCTTGGCCAATCATCACGGTATACGTGCGTTTCACGCCTCGGAGCGCCCCGATGCATACTGATCACATTTAAGAATCGCCGACCCAGTGTTACCGCTGAGATTTTGGCGGTGAGCTTGCTGTTTTTGTTGTGGGTTCTGGATTGGACGGGTGAGTACTTCATCCATGCCTCGAATGGGGAAGTCACGTGGGCAATGCAACCGGGTTGAATCGAAAATATGCATGCAATGATCGGAACTGCCTTTTGATCATTCTTAATCACGCCTAGGTATCTTACCTCTAAGTCACGAATTCACCAACTCGGCAAGAAGCAGAACACTCAACGAACATTTTGCATGCAGTTTTGTTTTCTTTTTTACTTAGACTACCCATGGCGCTCGATGACAAGCTCGTCCAAGTCTCGAACATCTGGCAACTCCCTCGGTTCAGCCGGCAACTCAGCATACGTCCTTGTGCCTTCCATCTCTGCTGGCTTTACCTCCATCTCAACCGGATTTCCTGGTGATCCATGTGGTACGGGCTGGTACGTGCACAACTCTGGCAGATCAGCGTCCGGATCGTGTGAGCCTGCAGGACTGAGTTTAAGATTTTTCGCCTTGTGTTTCCTCCTCTTGTACAAAAAGTAAAGCAGATACACCACAATGGCAACGGATCCGGCGGTGAATGTAGCTGCAAGACCGATAGTGAGACCTATACTCAGTCCTCCAGTCGGAGTCGATAGGGAGTTGCTTCCGCTTACGAACCGGGGGCCTGTTTCCTGGATGTTCGATGCTATGCGTGTGGACGCTGGTGTCGCTGTCAATGTCGGTAAAGAGTTTAACTCATCCCTATCCCGCAGTATAGAGAACGTTGGCGACCAGAATTCTTTTGAACTGTCGCCGCCCTCAACGACGGCTCGAAAGACGAATTCGGATGAAATGCCAGGACCTGTCTCTATACTAAAGGGTTTCCAAAGCGTCTCGCCCTCGGACGGATTGTCGACTGCAGGGGTGAATATTCCAGTTGTTATAAGTGGTCGTTCTCATGTGCTTACTACGTTCTATAGGCAAGCCTGCTAGAATGTCCCGTTGGTAGAGGACGAGGTATATCGCGTCCAGAGAGGTTCTCCAACTTATTGTCATAGTTTCGTTCGCTACAAAAGCATGGTGCGTTTCATTGGGCGACGTGAAGGCGCCAAATGAGGAATTGGTTGCAACATCCGAGAAGATGGGAGTGACGGTCATCTGACCACATACCGCCGGTATGAAAATGAGCGTAAGGAACAAGATAGCTCGCCACATTGCTGCAGTATGGGTCGGTAGGGGCCGTTCAAAAATAACAAAGAGGCAAGGCAAGACAACATGCAGGTCGCGGGGCGATGCCCTTTTGCCTAACTGCTGTGCCTCTTCTAGCTTCGATGTCAAAATGAAGGTCGTATTGACGCGACCAATCGATGTGAAGTCACCGACGTGACACCGGGAAATACTGTTTCAGGGAGCGGAACATTGCATGCATTGCACAAAATGACTTGGCGCTGTCGTTGTTTGGATGATATGAAGGTTGTGGAGATGGAGGCGCTAATCCGGTATGTATGCTCATCGAAGTACAAAATTCTGACGACGATAGACATGATGTTTTCCATCATGCCATCTGTGATTTTTTTTCTCTTCACCACAGGTCGCTCGTAAATGCTGCTCATCCGTTCCGTGGTGCTCACCCCGTCCGTCACTGGTCTCACTCTATCAACCGCCTGACTTTGTTCTCTCTTTCGCCTCTGATGCAGCTATGCCAGACAAATGCACATGACGCAGATTGAGAGTGCAATAGCCAGCGCTCAGTATAGAGTATATATTGCGCTTCTGTTACGAGACGGTCTTCCCGTGGGGTGAACTGCAACGAAAACCGACCATGGTGCAATGTACCAAAAATTTGCTTTTTGAATAGTTTACAGCTACGCGCAGCGTTCCTGAGCTTCGAATGCGGCTGCAGGCTCATCCTCATAGCTAACAGTCTGAGTGCAAGTATGCGTAGCCGCCCGCCTTCTCCACCCCTGCAATGTTGACAAGTCAGTGCGAACCACGCCGCAATATAACAGCTGTAAGCGCCTAACCTAAATTTCGGCCCACCCAGAGGGTAACAAAGGGGTATCCATAAGTCATGAGCCTGTATTCTTGCTCGTGAGCGAAACTTGATGGTGTACAAGCTTCAACCATGATCTCCAAGACGCGAAATGAAAAACGGCCACATTGGGAAAAGCCTATGCGATCATCATTTACCGTACGACGATATGGCCATTTGAAGATAATCACCGCACTTGTATTGATCTTTGTTCTTTTCTATGAGCGCTTCGTTCCCACGGCGAAGTTCGATATCCATTATCAACTGGATTTGCATCCTTTGGAGTGCCCGACAGCTCCGATCACAGACGAAATTCTTGTCGTCCTTCGCACAGGCGCAACAGAAGCTCTCGAAAAGCTACCAGTGCATTTCGACACGACACTGAAATGCGTTCCGAACTATGTCATCTACTCCGACTACGAGGGAGCAATCCAAGGCCACAAAATCCACGATGTGCTAGACGAAGTCAGCTCCGACCTCAAACGCTCAGCACCCGAATTCAAGTTATACTCTGACCTGAAAATCGGAGGCCGAAGCAGTCTTCTTCCCACAGAACATTCTGGTAGTGGACCCTCCGGATCACTAGAGAACCCCTCATGGAAGCTCGACAAGTTCAAATTCCTGCCAATGGTAGATAGGGCTTTTCGCCATGGACCGGACGCAAAGTGGTTCGTGTTCGTAGAAGCTGACACCTACCTGATGTGGACGAACCTCGTAGCGTACCTGGGTAAACTCGATGCCAGCAAGGAGCTGTACATTGGGAAGCACATGTTCATTGGCGACGTACTGTTCGCGCACGGCGGGTCCGGATTTGCGCTGTCCGCCGCAGCGATGCGCAAGGTTACGGAGCATTGGAGAGATAATATCGACGAGTATGATCAATACACGACTGAGAATTGGGCAGGCGATATGGTTCTGGGCAAGGTGCTTAGAGACGTTGGCGTGCAGTTATTCTGGGCTTTTCCGCACTTCCAAGGGGATCCGGTCTCAGCGCTCGATCATAATGTGTTGAAGGTCGAGAGGAGACCTTGGTGCTATGCTCCCATCACTTACCATCACATGCGCGATGCAGATGTGCGACAGCTGTGGGATTTTGAACAAGCATGGCAACGGAAGAGGAAGGGCGCGTTGTCCCATCGAGTCGTTTTCAAGGAATTTATCCTGCCGAGACTTGCTACGAGACACGACAATTGGGACAATCTATCTGTCAATCTCGAGCCAGGCAATACGACATCCTTGGATGACTGTCGTGCTTTGTGTCAGACCAAGGCCACTTGCTTGCAGTACAAGTACGCTACCAACTCATGTTTTACATCAGATGAGGTTCGGTTCGGTGAGGAAGCATGGAAATCATGTCTGGAGTATTCGGTCGCAGCCAGCAAATGCGTTCGCTGGCAGGATGGGACACAAGAAACAGATGAAGTTCAATCAGGTTGGATGTTAGATCGTCTACCACAATACGTTGACAAGATGGACAGCTTGTGTGACGGAGCGGAAGATGTGAAATGGGTTGTATGAGACTACACAAGAGACAGAGAAGAAGGAGCGCAAGCTGCTGGGGTTTAGAAAAGCTAATGAGACATGGAATGTCCAGCCCGTATCTGTATTGCAAAGACAAGAGTCTGTGTCTAGGCGACTTTTAAGAGCGGATCATCAGGCAACCATCACTGCCAGGCAGGAGGATGCCTTGATGGATTGATCTCCGACGGCCCAAGGACTATTAACCAAGGCACATACCTTCAAGTACCAATAAGGAGGCTTCAAGAAGGTGTGCGGGTGTCGGTATGAGGCTGCGCAGAGCTTATCGTTTTAACGAGTGGCTCAAGCTACTAGAGTTGGTGTCAACGCTCGAGTCGCTGTGTCTCTTAGTGCTCTTGCCTCTGAGTCTTCCCTTGTTGACCCTTGAGCGAAACCTTTGCGTGTTACCGCACCTACCAAGGATATACTCGACGCGCCACTGGAAGCGCTCGATAGCGATCTGGGCGAGAAGGAAGGTAGTCCAATAGTCGGATCAATTCATCCTTTATACCCCTTCGTTGCGCGTGACCCTGTGAATGCCTGATTGTGCTCTGTATTGTACATCTTTTCGTTATGTGATCCTGGTGATAAAAAATGTGTGTGTGGTGGGAAGCGGGGGCCGGCGGGGCAAAACTTTTACGGCGAGAGGTCGCAGAGATGTCCTAATGCTGGAGAATCTTCTGTAAATGTCTATATAAGGAATCAGGAGTCTGTTGCCACCGTGATGGTGTCCATAGATTCGGTGCAGGGATCGCAAGTTTTCCCATCTTGCTCGCGGCAGCGTGGCAAGGCGGATGAGATCTTCGCGGGGCTGTGACAACAGATCTGATGAGACCCTCCGCGCACGCTCACGGGGGACAGGAGCTGTGTGAGATGAGATTATCAAGTCCACAAGCTAGTCCTGTCATTGTATGGTATTGCGTAAGAGGACGGAGTGATCTTGTGGGTTGGGCGGTTGCGGTAATGTAGGATCTAAGACTCAGAGGGTGGGTCTGGCGGTATTTTCGACTCGGGAGACGATGGTGGGGGTGATTTGGAGCCGAGAAACGTGTGTGGCGACTGCGGAGGAGCTCAGACAGATGAACAAACAGGTGAGCAAGAAGAGGGGGTCGACCAGGCTCACCCAGGGGACATAAGCGGGCCTTGCTGGTAGCATAGGAGTCCCTTGTGCGCCTGTGAATGAGAATGTAGTAGCAGCAGAGCTAAGGTGAGAGCGATGCATCACCTGCACTATCCCTCCTAGCAACCAAAGCACCTGCCAAGGCACCATGACATTTCCTGAATTTGCCGCCATGTCGACTCTAAGTGAGGTAAAGGCGGGTGATGTTGAGCCTTGCATTACCCCTGAGATATGCATAGAGCATCGAGGGTCGTACTGTGATGTTGTTTTGTTGCTCTTGTAAAGGTGTGGCGCCGGGATGTTGCCTCAGAGCCTGGCCAACATCCTCAGCCTCCATCGCCGCCATTACAACCACCCCAACCCCGGCGTCAACAGCACGTCCGCCTCGCGATCCACATCCTACGCAGCATCGGCTTTGAATTCTTTGCTGTTTATGTGATCTTCCTTTGAAAGCTCGGGGCCATCAAGCGCCCTGGTGGTGTGGGACGAACTTCTTCAGCCTCCAAGTTCTCCGCCAACTCCGCGCGGTCCTACACCATAACCGCACGCGTACTCTTTGTGGCACCAAAACCGCGTCTCCTGACTTAGACTATTGTAGCCCTGACATTGTATAGTCCTCGAGGATGAAAGCATGAGACCATACCCCCATCCTTCAAGGCCCGCGGCATCTCTGGCCTCAACACCACGTCGAAAGCGCGCGTTCTTCGCCCGACAACGGATAATCATACAAACCGCGAATTGACCTCTTGCGGAGTGTAGAGCACGCGCGTAGAACAACAGAGACGCCATGCTGATCTTCAAAGAAATCTCGATATCCACCAACCCCGCATCGGCACCCACCCTGGGGTCTACATACGCTCGACCATCGTTGATTCACAACTAAGGTTCGCGTACGTTGCCTGTCCAACTCTTTCATATACTCGAGCGCGACACAACAGAGTCCGACCTACTCTAGCGACAGCGGCCTCGACCTCAATACATCAGCATTGAGCACACCACTACCCCGACTGCTCTGTCCACATAGACAACGAACATGGCACGGACGCACAGAAAGACCATGAAAAGACAGATCGCCCATCAATCGTCGATGCTCGCCCCTTCGTCGCCGCGTATCCGATGCAGCCATCCCCGAACGCGCCGCAACAGTCCCTTGCAGCAAGCTACAGGACCACGGAAGATCGACATACATATTACGCGCATGATCTTTCGGGAAAGAGAAGTGACGGGACTGGACAAAAAGAAACAGGCACGGGTAGGAAGACTGTCTCGAATCATCCTTCGAGAACCTCTACGGCTCGGCATGTGGGCCATTCGGGACAAGTCAGCCTGTAGCCGTGGACAAGCCTATTGGTAGCAGACATAACTCCAACTTCGTACCTACAAGGCCCACTCTCAACACTTGGAACTGCTTCTTGTGGTGGACCAGGATCGCGCGATGCGTCTGAAAAACCGCAAGGATATGGGCGGCGAGGGCTCAACACCTCTCGGAAAAGTCATCTATGGGCGATGTTACGGCCCCGGCGCGCCATCAACCGAAGTACGTACTTCGAAGCCTAAAGTCAGTCGATTGCAGGTCGGCACCAGCCACCGGAACGGCATGTCGCTAGCTTGAAGTACCCGAAAAGCTTGGCTACTGATATTGCTGTTAATGCAGCTGCAGGAAAATGCGGGGTTGGCGAGCATTCCGGGCAGACTATGACCTGCCAACATGCACGACGGGGCCGGGAATAGTTCCTAGCAACATGTCGTGCTCGTGTGCTGAGCAGCAGCACGAGACGTGCTGTAGCACCCTGGTAGCTACCTGAGGCAAACACCTCGCGAACTATCAGTAGCTTTGCGTAGCATCGTGGATAGTTAGCGTTAGGGGGCGATGCAATGGCAGACTCAACACGATGTTCGAGGTTGAAGACGCGCAGGGGTGCGGCTTCAATTCCTTCATTCTGGGCATAATCATTGCAGCGTCGAATGAATACAAATGTTGGGGTCCTGGGATGTCGTGTCGAACAAGGGGTGCGTGACAGTCAGCGCATCCAGGGTCGATGGCTTGGCCTTTAGTCAAGATGTCGGCCTGCTGAAGTATTGTCTAGCGGGGTCGTTTCTGATGGGCTTGGAGCGAAGCAGGATGGCGTGCAGGAAGCATGGCCAGCGCCCTGAAAGAGATGGTGTCCACCCAGCGGGCCCGACCGAGTCCAGACGGAAGAGAGAAAAGAGGGGTTCTTTCAGAAGAACCCTGTATCAACTAGTTCACGGAGCCATGCAGCGCCGATCGTCAGCTGGACAGGGAGTCGACGATGAAGTCCGATGAGAACTGATGGGGGAGAAAAGTGTTGAAGGGTGTTACGAGCAGTTTGCCAGAGAGCGATGATTCGATGTTCATCCGTGCTGTCCCGTGGTCTCGCTACCCCCCAACTGCGCAGCAATTTGGAACTTATTCGCCTGAAGCATGCACGGCTAGCCACACTTGGCCTGGCCGTCTCCGCATTTTCCTGCGCATCGTTCGTCGACAGCCCCTGATCCTTGGCCAGCCGTGCGAGCCTGCAGAAGCCTCAAAGGCGTTGGGTGTCTCCAGCGTTTCTGACTTTCGTCTGTTCTTCTGATCCTCTGTAATGCGTGTCTTGCCTCGACGCCATCTCTTCATCCAGTCGACAAGCAAACATCGGTTGCTCCCGGATCGCCTTCAGCCGGTCGCGCCATTGTCGCTGCAAGTTCCTCTCCTGATCTGACAACACGGCGCAGCAGGTGTCTTGCCACGAAGTTCTCCTCCAACGTTTCGGAAAGCTGCCAAGGCGAAACCCTACCAGCTGTCGATCTGGCCGCTGTGGACGACCTTCCCATTAATATCAACCTCCTCTGTCGCTCGGGATACAGGGCGGCGATGTGTTCGTTCTAGTGCTCGTGTGCGCATCCATCCGAACACTGGTCTCGATCGACGGTCGGTCTTGACATTAGAGCGTGGCGCTTCCCCACATTCTGATGCCCTAGAGCCTCCCTGCTGATTGCCGGCCCGTGTAACTTCCATGCGACGACCGATGCCATAGTGTATCATCTTTCTTTCCAAGATTCTTTGCGAGAAAGACTAGGGATTATAGACCGGATCAAGAGGTTGGCGCGTTGTTTGCGTTTGAGGTACGCGCCCTTCGAGGCGGCTGGAGGAGGACATCGTGAGATCGTGGTGCTGAGGCTGACTGTATCACCAGTCGCTTTTCGCATCGGTTTTACGAATAGACGGTACGAGTACCACTGTGGGATAGACCTGCCTGGTATGTTGTAGTCTTCTTTACCCCTCCGAGCCTCGATGCCGCGGGCGCCGGTGTCGGGTTGCTGCCAGCCTCTCTGCTCGCATCGCGTAAGCGACGACGGGCTGCCACCATGTAGTAGGGCTCTTTGCTGATTCCATCTATAGGATATACGGTTCTTTGTCTGAATAGAAGGTGTTCGTGTTCGATACCCGCGTGCCGCCGCTTGAATTCGTTTAGAAGTTTCTGTCATTAAGGTAAGCCAAGCTGTTCTTCTTCTCTCTGCCCATGGCATAACCCTTTCTTCTTGCACCTTTGGACTTCATACTCCTCCTGCATCTGCTCTCACAGCACGCCGGTGTGTCGGGTCGGTGGGGGTCGAGGATTGAGGGGTTGCTGAGCCTGTAGCGTGGGATTTCTGGCTCATTGCCGCCAAAAGAGAGCTGCGATGACTGCACAGCGCACAAGAAGACTCCGCTCGTAAAGAAGAGCATGGCGACGTTCACATTGGGGCCAAAATCATCGTTGTTGATTGGTGGTGCTGTGCAGGCGAATGGGGTTTGTGCGAGGGGACGATGTGCATGGAGGAGTATCATCCACACCAAAGGAGCCTACACCAACGCATCTCGTCAGCTCTTTTTCAGGGCATCAAATCAGCGGGATGGCTACCCGATCGTTCTCGTTCGCATCGACTCATTCATGCCCAAGCTAATCACGTTTGTTCGCAGCACTAATTTCTAAAGCCACTCCTGGACGGACGTTCCTGCCGTCGACCTTCAACAACGAACCAGCATCAAGGCGACACTCGAGCCACCTGGTCACCTGTTTGCGCGCCTAGCGTCCCCCGCAGTCTTGCTCAACCGTCTTCTCTCCCCTCTTCTTCCTTCTCTCTCCTCCACCCATCCACACCACTCTTTCCCCCAGTCCTTTGCCTTCCATCAAGCTCAGCTCGATCGGATCTTCATCTGGCTCTATCTGTGGGCCTTGTCAAAGCTCTTCCAAGTCTCCTGGACGTTTCCTCGCATCAGGAAGGCAAGGCAATTGCTCCAGCATCTGGCAGGCACCTGCCTCCGCTGAGAATTACCCATCTCCTCCCTTACACCCTATCACCCACCCCAGCTACACTTCCTTGAGCACCTCCTTAGGAGCTGCATCTCCTGCTTCCACTCCTCTGTCGAGGGCAGCTGGACACCAGTTTCAGCACCGTGCCGTCAAAGCAGCAACCGCAGGTGAGTAACACGTACTGCAACACTCACACGCGTCCTCTCCACACTCTTCTCAACTCCACCTGTTTGGGAGTTGCTACACTTCCCCCACACACTCTATTGCGAGCGCGGTGCCATCCTTGTCCCCATACCATGGTCGAGCTCGACGAGGCTCGCTTTACCCGCAGCACTCAACGCAACGAAGTACGCATGCTGACCACGCCAGGCTGAACAGCAAATTGTCCACAGTGCACTGCTAGAACACCAGCTTCAAATCTGGCCGCTAGTACTGCTACACCAAAGAATCCGTCATCTTAGCTGTACCCGACCTGCAGCATCATCCATCATACCACCTGTAAGTTTCGACCCTTCTCTCTCACCCTTCTTGCCCTGCCACCATATTCGGCGTACCTCACCGCCTAGGCATCAGGGGCGGCTCATATGTCCGCGATGCCCTGCCTTTACCCTACTTTCTCTTACCTTGCCTATCCCGCGGTCACCGCCACTTTACACTAGAGTCGCTCTAACATATAAGCTGTTTACCTTCATAGGTAACGTCTGTTCCTCATTCACACACTCTTCCGACAATCAACATTTTGCAGCATTGTGTGCCACACTCTAAGACATTGTTAGTGTGCAAGACGTATATCTACCCTGTGAAGAGACAGTGTGTATAGACGACACTGTATTCTGTGCATCCCTAACCTTAAGAATCACGGTATGTTTGTATGTCGGCCGTGAAACTTATTCGTGCTAATTGAGAACAAGTACACAAGACCGAATTCAGCAACATGAGTTCCACTGCGTACAAGGGCAACTTGACTGTCGGAGGTCCATCTCTCGACAAGTCAAAGTTGCAGCTGCGCCGTCCGACGCCCGACAGCGATGTCTTGGCATCAAGCGACGAGGACCGCGACCACGTGCGTCCCCCCATTCGCCAAGCCCCTGGAAGTTACTCTGGTGGTCGACGTCTTTCGTCAAGCTGGCTGCATGACATCCAGCCAAACCGTAAGAACTCTCTCCCCGCGACTTCGTTTGCAGACCCACAACCTGCAACGCCAACGCTCGATCTCGGACAGCAGCCTCGTCCTAGCACGTCTTCGTTCGCGTGGAATACGAACAGCTTCTCAGGCGGTCAATCGGGCAGTCGGCTGCGTGAGGTTGTCCCTTCCCCCACTTCGGCTTTTGGTCCCGAGCGACCTCTACCGTCACCCACCACCATCGAGATCGACAGTGGTATCGCTTTCCTGCTGAACCAGCAACAACACCTGCCTCTCCGCAAGGCTGTCCGGTCGCAGTCTTATAGTATAGGACAAGGTGACATCGAGAACAGCCCGGTAGGCAAATTCAGCGCCCATCTGCGCACCAACGTCCGCCACCGCCCGTCCAAGCCAAGCCTCCTTGGTGAGTCCGGTCTGGGTCTCTCGCAGCTACGCGAAGACGACACCGACGAGGTCGAGTCTCTGAACGGCACCGAGCACGGTGTACGCCTTCCTGCGGGCTACTGGGAGCGTGAACAAAACCAAGCACTGTTGAAGCAAGCAGCTGTCGAGAACGCCCGCGCTCGCAACCGTGCGACATCCACCGGTTCGCCCGTGTCACAGCACCGCCGCAAGACCACTGCTGGTCTGCGCAACACCTCTTACGGCACTGCAGACTACGCAATCGAAGAGATGGATGACCCCGAGGCCAACGTGAACCATCCCAATCATGGGCTCACCCGCCGTTTCAGCGAACACGTCTCGATCTTGGGTCGCGAACATGAAGTAGAGATTGTCGACAGCCCCAAGAAGCAACAGTGGGCCACTGACAATATTCCGATGCTTGGCGCCGATGCCCTCGGTCGTCGACACTCTATCGCGCACTACGGCGGTAGTGGCTACACTTCTAACCTTCCCATTCCGACCTTGAGCAACACCCAAGAGGAAGACGAAGAGGTAGTCTCACCTCGCCAGGAGTCCAAGTCTCCCGAATATCCCGACACGTTTGATCACACCGCCTACTTCGCTGGCTACGGTCCTGCTTCGCGCGCCATCAATGCTTCAGCCATTTCGGCCGCTCACCCCGACCCGGTGGTTCCGAACCCAGCCATGTCTGCAGGAGGACCCAATCCTTACGCCGTCCCACATGCATTTGGTCGCCCTGGCCGTCGCCTGTTCGTTGTCACGTTCAAGTGCTCGCGCGCAGACATCTACTACCTGTTCGACAACACTGGTCTTGAGATTCGCTGCGGTGATCTCGTTATTGTTGAAGGTGATCGTGGATGCGACTTGGGCCAAGTTACCCATGCCGATATCAGCCTGGAGGAGGCTCGGAGGCACAAGGCTCATGCCAACGAAGAGCACTTCCGCTGGCTGGTCATGTTCTCTCAGTACTCTCTGGCTGGAAACTCGAACGACTCTGGCATGCTAGGCTCCCTCGCCCGTGCCAACGGCTTCCCGAACGCGATGTCCGGCTCCAACGTCACTGGCATGACCAACCAGCCCGAGCAGGAGACCAAGCCTAAGATGATCAAGCGCCTTGCTCAGCAGCATGAGATCATGGGCCTGCGCGACAAAGAGGGCCAGGAAGCCAAGGCTAAGCGATGTGGTGCTCAGAAGGCTGCTGACCACAAGCTCAACATGGAAATCTTGGATGCCGAGTACCAAGCGTAAGTTGTCACTTTTCTCATGGTGCTCCCATACTGACAGTGCCTAGTGACTATCACAAGCTGACGTACTACTACTATGCGGAGTCTTATGTCAACTTCAACGAATTGGTTACGGACCTCTTCAAGCAGTACAAAGTGCGCATTTGGATGTCGGCAATCAACCCGGCCTCTGTCATCAACCCCGCAGGAAACATGCAGGTGCAGCCTCCCTCGGCTGTTGGACCTGGGGCCATCATGCGCTCGCATGCCGGCAACTCTTCCTTCGCTGTGGGTCCAGGTTTCGGTAACAACAATCATCGTGCCCATCACCAGTATGGTAAGTCTCGCTGATCCTTCCCTACACTATCCGCAGCTAATCGAGATCAGGTCGAAATGCCCAGCAGGCTCCACAGGGCGGCTACGATGATGGCTACAATGCCTTCTCCTACCAGCTCCCGAGCTACAATCCCCAGGCCAACACCTACGTGAACCCTTACCAGAACCAGCGTTTCAACCAGCAGGTCTATGGCAACTACCCTATGCAGGCAGGCGCCTATCCCAATGCCACTGCGAGCGGCAGCCCCATGAACTATGGAGGTTACTACCCGCCTACAACATATGGTGCTTCGCCTGCCTATGGTGCTGCGACTAGTGGACCTGCTTACCGCGGCGGCTACACCTCTACAACTGGTGCAGGCGGCGGCCAAGCCTCCACCGCTGCAACCGCTGGCCCTGCTTACAACCAGTATGCTTCGTCCTACTACAAGACCCCAAGCACTTCTGTGGCCATGGGTGGCACGACCGGTAGTCCTGGTAATGGCTATACGGCCACATCAGGCACCACCCACAACACTGGCTATGATCCTCTCATGGCCGCCATGCAGAACATGTCCTTCGGCGGCAAGTAATACATGGGCAACCCACTCAGAACATTTGTTTCCTTCATATCTGCAGCGGAAAGAGTCGGTAGAACCAATGTGGTCGACCTCATGATCTCATGAGCTCGGACATTCCACTACCATGCTCTGCCAAATGATCCTCAATTTCTCTCTTCTTTTTTATACTACTTCGGCGACGGATCCTTCACGGCACATCTCAATCATGGGATATTTGCAGCAAGGATATTGCTGCTGCTTAACAGGTCACGATCCATCTTCATGGCTCATGCTTTACAGCTCATGGCTCAGTCAGTACTGTGAGCTGTGGTGGTCTATGGCTCTTTCATGGCGGCACTTTGCTTCGGTTTCATTTCCACTTTGCTCGATTCTTTTACACCTGCCCACTTCCCAATGCCCACTTCCCAGTTTACTTCGACTACCCCCTTGTTCATGCTTTTTATCCGACGACGGACGGCTTTTCCACATTTTACGTGCATCATGGGTCTTATGGTGCGGATGGAACAAAATTTTCTTACTTCATGGGATGCTCTTCAGATATATGCCTCTGGCGAAATGACAAAGCTTTACAGCATCTCAGTGCTACATTTGCGTGAATGTGTGCAAGAGTGCACTGATGCACTGACTTTCAAATCACCATGTGACATTTTCGGGCCTTGCGAACTATCTGCTCACTATCCGGGTTGTGCTGCTCGCATTGTGATGGTCAGCTCAACAACTATCGTGCCTTCCCAGTTTGTACCTCACCTCACCGCACCACCACAACACTGACCCACAAATTTTCGACGCATCCCATCCCATTTGCACCGCAGCATCGCCAACAGCTCACAGAATGGCAAGGCGACGTGTTCAGTCGCCGAAGCAGTCTGGCAGACCAAATCGGCGTGAACCAGCTGAAGAGGCAGAGGCCAATTCTGACGAAGAAGCTGCTAACACGGAAAGCCAGTAAGTCTACCAACACCAAATTGCCCAGTGAAGCACTACTGATACGGAGCCAGGAAGATTCTCGCACTGGCATCACTCCTCAAGAAGCCCAAGACCGACGACAAAGACCTGCAGCAGTTCCGCGCGAAGGTTGCCGCCGATCGTGAGCGGTTGAAGGCGCATCTCGACCAGCGAGTACACCAGGCGTGAGTCAAAATCTGAAAGTCTTGCTCGGTCAATGCGCGCTATCTGGCTGACGGTCGTGGCTTGCAGTGAGGAATCGGAGACACGCCGTCGCGACGAGATCACGTCTACCATTCTGAATGCTCTCACAACCCTGAATCGAGACTTGAAAGGCGAGGCACCTACCTTCGCTGGCACCAAAATCACGGAGAATGCGGTCTACATGCCGGTGATCGACGTTCTCTCATCCTCCGAAGCTCTCCTTGAGGAATACGAGCGGCTCGACAAGATGATCATGGACATGCGGGACGAGCAAGAGGAGCCAGTCCCAGAGGCGTGGCACCAAGACATACAGGATGCGGAGAAGAAGTTGCAGATGGGAGCTCGGGTTGCACTGAGGAATGTCAAGAAGGTGCTGGGTGCTGATGTTGAGAATGATGAAGGGGCTACAGCTGAAGATGGAGATGCGGCGATGCAGGATAATGAAGGCGAGCTGGAGCTGAACTACGAGCTGGAGAAGAGTCTACGCTATGCAGAGAGGGGTGTCAGGAGGATGGTCAAAGGACTCCCGGGCGTTGATGCTTAGTGCTTTACAAGCCGTGGCTCATGAGGCTGGATATCGCTGGGTGTGTTATGAGAGACTCCACACCTAACGCAAATCACACTGCCACAATTACTTAGGGACCAGAAAGCCCAGGACAATTATCGGTGTATCTAGAATGGAAATCACGGACAGTTCCTTCGAAAGCATTGTCGGCCAACCGTATTCGCTTCGGCTGTCCGCATCCCTGTTGTGTGGTGGGGCTAGCGCCAAGCGCTTTAGCTTGCAACTTTCCACACACTCCAATTTTGCGTTCGTGATTTCGCACTCGACAACCGCCAACGTCGACAATCACTAACCAACAGTCAAGGTATGTCCGCCGCGAAACTCTCGAAAAACTTGAAACAAGACGACTAACAATATTACAGATGGGTGCCCTCAAGTGTAAGCGCTTCAAAATCACCGCCCTCGATCCCAGCTAAACCGCCGTTAGATGTCGAGGAACTTCAGAAGAAGAAGCAGTCGGACATGATGCGCTTCTTGATGCGCGTTCGCGTACGTACAAACAATTGAGCTCGGACTGGAACTCTGCTAACATTGCGACAGTGCTGGGAGGTATGAGTTAAATCCTTCGAGACGTCTCCGAGTCTCAATTGATGTACTCGTTGAACATTGCTGAGAGTGCATCGATAGCTTCGCCAACTGAAGGTCATCCACCGCGCCAGCCGTCCTTCCCGTCCCGACAAGGCTCGCCGCCTCGGATACAAGGCCAAGCAGGGCTACGTTATCTACCGCATCCGTGTCCGCCGCGGTGGTCGCAAGAGGCCCGCGCCCAAGTACGTCCAACCATGAGTGCGAGGAAGAAGAACATGCTAACATAAAATCTAGGGGTGCCACCTACGGTATGCGCAGCGCTTGAGAATGGCTGCATCTTCGAGACTAACAAGTGAACAGGCAAGCCCACCAACCAGGGTATCAACCAGCTCAAGTACCAGCGTTCGCTCAAGTCCACCGCTGAGGAGCGTGTCGGACGCCGCTGCGCCAACTTGCGCGTCCTCAACTCCTACTGGATCAACCAGGACTCCACCTACAAGTACTACGAAGTCATCCTCGTCGACCCCCAGCACAAGGCCATCCGCCGCGATCCCCGTATCAACTGGATCGTCAAGCCCGTCCACAAGCACCGCGAGAGCCGTGGTCTCACCGCCACCGGCAAGAAGAGCCGTGGTCTTGGCCGTGGACACAAGTACAACAACACCACTGCTGGCAGGAGGAAGACCTGGAAGAGGCACAACACCCTCTCCCTCTGGCGCTACCGCTAGATGCGCTGAGGGCGTGGTGTGCGTGGTGGAGCGTCTGGTCGAAGTCTTTAAGCGAATGGGCTGGCGTGAATGGAAAAGGCTATCCTGGGTTATGTAGCCGTCTAGCATAACGGGCACCGGGCTATACAAAATCAATCTTCATGGTTCATGATATTCATGACTTGCACTTCATATTACGAATTGAATGTCTACATGCTGACTCTGTTGCTGCGTTCATCTTGTGCTATATGGGTGATGAAGCTGTGAGAGCTTTTTAGAGTGGTAGATGCCATATTGTTTGCCACCACAATAGTTCACTACAACCAGCATTGGGGAAAGGCTCTGAAGGCCAGGGCTTACGATTGTTGACATTGGCTGTCTTGGTATATTACTTGGGCAGGAGGATGCTGGGGTGTTCACCGGTGCCCGGACGCACGCCGACGTCAGTTTGTTTTCCAAGCTTGGGTGGCTGCCATGCCAATACAAGACAACGACAAACTCGCGGCCTGACTTCCACTCCATTTCTCAGTATATCTTCGACTGTTGGTGGATATTTTGACATATCGCTCGACACTCTGGCTAGGGTACCGTTGCTGGTAAGGGCTAAACAAGCGCCCGTGGTTGCCCCACGCGAAACATCTCAGCCCAACTAACAACACATGCGCAGCACCTCGAAAACAAGCGAAAACACCACCAATAGAGTTTCGAGGCAGACTCGATCCCTACATACTGCACCAGTGACGCCATGCGGCTGACGATCTGACGTCTTGAGGATATTCGCAGCCTGAACGCCAGCTCCACTAGTACGAATACATGATGTTTCCGCGTTGTGCGCGCGCAAAGCCAAACATCATCTGAGCAGTACTGCCGCACGACGAGGCAAGGCAGTGAAAGGTCACACCTGGCCCACATCTGCCTACTAGCCTCTGTACCAGATCGCATGACGCTCTTCCCTCGTTACAACCACTTTCTGCACATCAACCACCGCAGCCATGGTCAAAGCCGACCCCACGCGGAACTACTACGCGGACCTCAAGGTGTCTGCGAACGCCACCGAGAACGAGATCCGGAAAGCATACCGCGGCCTCGCGCTCCAGTACCACCCCGATCGCAACCCAGGACGTGAGACTGAGGTGGTAGTCAAGTTCCAGGAAATCCAGACGGCGCACGAGATTCTCTGCGATCAGGCACAGCGAGCAAAGTACGATGCTGAGCGAAGAAAGTACCGCAACCTCAACATACCCACGCATACTCCAAACACCCCTCGAACGAGGCCGCCACCACCACCTCGAAATGCATACACTACCTCCACCCCAAGCGGGTCGTATTACCGCGCTCCTCCCCCCAAGCCATCGCCACAGGCGCAACGGCCCGGTCCACCACCGCAATATGCTTCGTACGCCAGCGGTGCCGACCGCTTCACGAGCAAGAACTTCCGTACGCCACCAACTGCACAGCGGCCAGAAACCCGACAACAGAAGGATGCAGAGGCACGGGCTAATGTCTTCACCGCATGGCAGAAGATGAAGCAGCCACGAGCCGAAGAAGCTCGCGCACATAATGCGAGCGCTCAAGCAAACCAGAACAGTCAAAATGCCCAGGGCCAGCAGCACAACCCGAATGGCACACCGTTTGGCCGAAGTGCGAGCACGAGGGTCCCATCGTCAAGAAAAGGCTTTGACCCAGGTACCCCAGGAGGAGACGAAGGACAGGCACGGTCAGCTTATAGGAACTACGCGCGACCTGCCCCTACTCCGCCCAGCTCGACAACTCCACCTCACCCGCACCCATACCCTCCGATGGGAGACACCCAGACCAACGAAGTGCCATACAACGAGGGTACTCGCACACGGACGCCGTATTATTCTAGCGCAGCAGGAGAGCGGACTTCCATGTTTGAGGGTCTTGGCCGGTCTGCGAGTGTTCGAAACTCGCCCACAGGATCAAACCGAGCAAACCCTGGTGCAGATGCTGGCTCATTCTCAGATTCAGGTCGCCGGCAACAGCGGAACTCGTACGCCGGTACTCCAAACAAGCCGTTCCCTCACATGTATGCCGACTCGAGCGACGAGGATTCCGAGGCAGAGGTCTTCGGAGGCACCAACAAGCACAGAGATCAGCCTCCGCCAAAGAATACACAGCCTCCACCACCTCCTCCAACATGGGCTCAGGGTGCATTTACAACCCCTCAGAAGCAGCAGGCCAATGGCATGACAGGAAACATGCCAAACAGCTTCAAGAGCAGAAGTGAGGAGAGCATCAATATGAAGTTTTCGCCTTCGGACTGGCATGGCAAGTTCGAAGGCAGTGCTGATTATTTTGCGCCTAACGTGCCCAAAGGTTCCACTGCCAAAGGACGCACGTCTCCGACACGAGGCAGACCGCCCCAGCGGAATGCTACGGGAGCACCGCCAGTGTCGCCATTCTCGCAACCACAGGCGGCATATCAGTCTTACCCCATACCTCCTCCTCCCCCGGGGCCTCCACCGAATGTCAACTTCCCGCCTCCGCCCGATGGTGGAGTTCCTGCGGCGACATTCAAGGCAGAAGAATGGTCAAGCTACTTCAAGGAGCCGAGCTGGGTCTACTCAGAGCAGAAGGAGACTTCGCCGCGTCGTGCCTCGGAAGCCACCAAGCGACCGAAAGCAAACCGAAAGGCGTCTATCGCGCAGGACAAGCGATCAAAAGCGACAGAAAAGCCCGACCCGTCGCGGCCGAAGAAGTACCAGGCAACTGCCGATGACGCTGAAAAAGGCGACGCGGACGCAATGGACATCGACTCGGCTACGCCACCTGTACCGAACGCTGGAGGCGCGAATTCAAATCCACAAGCCGCGACTGCGCCTCCTCCAGGTCCCAGCACAAATGGTACAGGCCCTCAGCTAAATGGCACGGCTGCCGCATCGAGGCCTCCTGCAGCAGGCCTGAACGGCGTGACCACAGCTCTCGTCGATGATGACACCTTCGCGGCAACTTCAACTGCGGGCAGCATGGGTCTCAATGGCCTATCTGATACCCTTCCCTTCCCATCAGAATCCTCCAAGTCCCATCCCACTAAGCCTTCCACCGTGCAGAAGCTCAAGTTTCCCAACATGCCGCTCGCCCCAGTGCTACCCACATCTTACGACCAAGTCTTCGTCGACCTCTACTTCAACCGCTTCGAAACATACTGCAAAGACTACATGAAGGCAACCGCCGCCATGACTGCGCACTTCGTTGCCCGCGACGCTGAACTCGCCGGTAGTCTGGATGATAGATTCGCACACCATCGCGGCGAAATGACCAACAAGCTGGGCTTCCAGGGCTACATGAACAGGATGAAGGAAGACGAACAGGTCCTCGAGACGTGGATGGTCTATCAACAGAGCCACATCAAAGCCATGGCTACGTGTGAGGAGGTGAGGAATCGTACCATGAAGATGTATCAGGACAGAGCGAATGGGATTGGTGCTTAGGAAGCCCCAAGAGAAAGAGGCAAAAGAGGGAAGGGCAGTGTGTACATTCACGATCCGTGCGATTTGAGATGGAATGGGGGTTTGGACCATTTTGACAGATGGAGCTAAAGGAAAGTGTTCTTGATTAGCGAAGGCGTTGTTCACTGGCGTAAAAGTTGACAGATGGATACCCGTAATCGTCGCGTTTTCGGTCGTTGGATACATTCAATGTAATACTACGATTCAAATCAACATGAAAACGTGTCGAACAGATCACAGACTGGGTGCGCGTTGTGCAGGCTGGCTAATAATGGAGATGTGGTCCGTATTCTCACGTCATACGACGCCGCTGCTTACCTGTCATCGTGTCTCACAAAAGCTTGCAAGCGAACAAGGGCACCCGCAGCTCGTGCAGTCTTGTGCTCTGGGTGTGGTTACACATGCACTCCACGAATCGTAGACAACGTTCCGCTGTCAAGGTTATCATCTCCTCTCCGGGAAAAGCAAAATAACATGGCGTGAAGTGAAGTTTAGCTGACGCCATCGCATCGGCATTAGCGCGCAGCCCTGGCGTTCTGGAACTTGGCCCTGGGAACGAAGTTTCGCAGTAAGGAAGGTGATGCAGGACACAATGGGACAGAGTGCACGATCAAAGTGGAAGCGGTTTCAACAAGGCTTCGCCCAGCATGTCAAACATGGATCTGCGACGAGGGATACATGCCATACATCCAACGAGATCGTGATAAAGGGCGCTTTTCTATTCTTAGGCTAGCCCGGCGATGAACAGATTCCAGCCCGGATAGTGGCTGGCTGCATCAATAGCTCAGAGCGCATGCTTGATGAGGGCTGGAAATATGCTCCGGGTCCAAGTTGGTACATAGTAATTATGTGTCCCTTCATTTCACTCAACCCGCCGCCTCTCCAGGTTCCACCCCATCAGTCCCTGTGGAGCTGACGCGCGTAATTACACCGAACGTTGTGCCCAGCTCCAAGTGGAAGGTCTACATCTGTCTCACGGCACAGCCGGGACCGCCATCGGGCTTTGTAAATTCCGTTGGGAGGGAAAGGAATTCATGGTTAGGTAAACAACGGCGCTGAGCTGCTTGCGGAGCTTTGAAGCTCAACACCCGATACGAACCGGACTCGACTTTACGGCCGGCATGGCGGGCGACGCGATGCAGGCTATGACTATGTCGCCGATTCATTCGACGAAGGAGCTTGGAGGCGCAGCGGTGCAGTGGGCGTGTACGAGGAGAGGGAGGGTGTTGTTGTTGACGGTCGTGTTCTTCACGATAGTACTCGGGCTTGGGGGGGTACATAATCGCGAGGTGAGTAACTCCACCTGAAGCTCGATCACATGGAAGGGACGTTGGCTGTGCAGCGCAAGTACTAACGAGACACCGGACGTATAGGCTATATCATCACGATACCACGCGTTACAATGGCGACCCTACATCCCCCATATCCCCGCGATCCTACAGGCGCCCTTCAAAGCACCCTCGAATACGACGCTCCGACTCGAAAACGGGGACCTCAGCGTCGTACCTCCGCAGCTCAAAAAGACGACGCCCAACTTCCACCTCGTCATGCCTGCGGAGAAAGATAAGGATGCATTCTGCAGGACGACGCTGTCTAGCATGCTCCTTAACTATCCGCCGCCTACGGTAGTCGATCTGAATCGCGAATTCAAGGACAATGACCAGAGGGAAAGAGAGACATTGCTTGGTATAAAACACTACATTGAGAATAGCAAATATGTGCAAGATGAGGATGTCGTCCTGATAGTGGACGGTGAGAACTCGTGGTTCCAGCTCCCGAGCGACGCCATCATCAAGCAGTACGCGCGCGTTCTGGAAGATGCGAATGCGCGGCTGCTGAAGCAATACGGCGTGGACAAGAATGGTTTCCAGAGATACAACCAATCGATCGTATTTGGCGCGGAGAAGATGTGTGAGGGTGAGGACATGGCGTGTCGGTATGCGCCAAAGTCGACACTGCCAGCGAATCTGTATGGCAAGACGGAGAGCTTCGATGCTGAGGATCGGCCGGCGAGATATCTGAATTCGAAGATGGTCATGGGCCCGGCTAAGGATTTGAAGGTCCTGTATCACGCGGCGTTGCGCAATCTGGATATACATAGTACTCGCGAGCAGACTGTACAGTCGGTGCTCGCGACCATGTTTGGAGAACAGCAGTTAAGACGGGATGCGGTGGTCAAGGAAGAGACGAAACTGCCTGTGGTCGCCGGTATCAAAGATATACTAGAAGGCACAAAAGGCTCAGAGTTGAAGGTCGACCTAGCAACTGCACCGCAGTACGAGTTCTCCATGGGCCTCGACTACGCGCACACCCTCTTCCAACCTCTTGCGTATGCTCATGAAGACGAGCTTGTCGCCCTTGTCCACAGGAACGACACAGACATATCAGATCACTTGCACTCCACCTCATGGACGAAATCTCTCGATCTCCCCCGAGCCCTGAACGAGTCAAATCCTCCCTTCTGGCGTCCCGACCTGAATTCCAAGAACAACCCCTCCCCAAACGAGAGACCCGCGCACATCGACAACCTGGACTTGAAACCCGATCTCGACAACCTCCCAACCCGAACAACACCCTGGACCAACCTCCGCCTAGTACAAAACACGTACACCGGCAGCGTACCCGCAATCCTGCTCGCGGCAGCGAATCCCGCCGCAGCCAACGTAACCTGGAAAGACATGTGGTACTACCCCTACAAGCGCGCCTTGTTGCGCAACTACTTCCGCACTCCGCAATCCCCGCTCGGCTACCACAACAGCCTGGTTGGCGGCGACCGCTCATGGGACATGCGCGGCGGCCGGGGCGGCGTATGGACAGCCACCGACGAAACGTGGCTTGCGTGGGGCGAGGCGGATGGTGTGTGCGGCTCGGTGAATCAGATTAAAGAGGTGTTTAACGATGGGAAGGGCGTGTGGTTGCATGAGGGGGAGGCAGGGGCGGAGGACAGGCGGTTAGAGGAGGAGAGGAGGGTTAGTGGGGAAATTGATAAGAATGGGTTTAAGACTGATAAGGGGGGGAAGATGGAGGCGGTGGAGAAGGATGAGGAGGAGGAGAAGAAGAAGAAGGCGGAAGAGGAAGCTCAGAAAAAGCAGGAAGAAGAAGCGAAGAAGAAAGCTGAGGAGGAAGAGAGGGAGAGACAGAGGGTGCAGAATGAAAAGGAGCAGAAGGAGAGGGAAGAAAAACAGAAGCAAGAGCAACAGTCCTCAGCCTTGGCAGCTCATGAAGACGAAAGGGAGCGTCAAAGAGCGAAGGCGGAACAGGATATGAAGGATATGGAAGCTCTGGATCGGGCAGTTATAGAAGGAATCGAATAGATCAAGAAGGAGTGGGGTTTTGCGCCATGTACATATTTAGTTTTTTTCGAGACGAGATTATACCCGTGGTTAGGGGGCGTTTTGGGTGTCTAGACTTGTACATCCGACCTGGTAGAGCTAGGCGGATGCAATTCATACTTTTCAATCAGTCGGGTGTGTTTACATGGTGTCGTGTTTGTCTGGCTGTGTTGAGGGGAGGTGCATGCCCATCGTTGGAAATTTCTTTCTCAAATTTTATTCGGCGTCCTGGGTTCTTGGAATAGTCGTTGTTTTGCCGTACGTTCTGCTTTGTTCCATCTCCTACCTTCCCATCTACTCTCAGTCAATGGCGATATCAGGCTTCATCTCCTCGCTTGCGTGGATCGACTGCTACCCTCTTGAGTCTGCTTCGTTAGCTTCAATGCGGGCCAGCTCGGACTTAGATGTATTATGGCTGTGTGGAGTGAGGTGCGTGGCAGTCGCCATGGCAGAGACATATACGGGCTGAAGTCACATCAACGGAGCAGACATCTACTACCTATACAGCCCGCTCTCAACGCTACACGACGTCTATAATCCGAACTACGCATCCATGTACACGCAGCGCGCCTCACATACAGAGCAAAATATTCACAGCCCAACATCAACCAGCTCGCCATTCGCAGTCGCCGAACATTCCCTTTTTTCATTTCCCCCACGCCCGCTGCGCGACCGCCCCTGGAATTCAAAATCATTTTCCGGGGTGAAGCGCGTTTGTGTGTTTGTTGTGGCTAACGCCCTCCCGCTCCTTCCTCCCACACTCCGTCACTTCACCTCCACACCCTCAACATACCACACCCCACCACGACAACATGAAACAGGAGGATCACAATGAACCTCGCCTGAATGGCGTAGATGCGCTAATAGAACTCGAGGTACGTTCTTCTTCGCTTGTACTTTTTCCGATGCTAATCCGAGGTAGGCGGCGACGAAGAATGTTGCAGCGGCGCTCCAAAAGAGCGTCACCGAGTATAACGAGTTGATGGAGAAGTATACCGCGTTACAGGAGATGGTGAAGAATGGCGCGACGAATGTGCAGGCGAACAGTGAGCCTGGAAGTCATCAGCGTTACGTCGTGGTCATGATTGACGCATATGAGAACGAGGTAAGCTCCACGATACAAGCTTGGATTCAGATACTGACAATGATAGTTGACGGACTTGTTCCTTCGCTACGCGGAAATGAGCATCGCGACTCAAAAATACACCCTCGAAGATGCTCTGAAAGACTGGTTCAAGACGTATCATCCTGAGTTGGCACATCTTCACAGGATTGTACAGATATACGCCGATTATGGATTCCTTTTTGCTGGTTCTGCTCAGTCGGGACATGGCGAGGATGGGGTAAAGCAGCGACCATTGGCACAACTCCTTTCGACTTCGGGTGCATACTTCAACTTCATCAACGTTACATCGGAGAAGGATGTTATCCGGAAGATGCAAGGTGAGTTGCAGTAACACATACGTGCGAATGCTAGCTAATAAACACAGGACTGACCATTCGCCATATCGCAGAACCGGACTGCATTGGCTTCTGGTTCAGCACGGACTGCTGCTCACACTTAAGCGCACCTGAAGAATACTCGGGAAAGATGAAAAACGTATCGGCAGAATTTGCCACAATTCTCAGTGATCTGGTGGAGGGGAAGTTGCCCTCCTTGAATCCGGCGTATTCACGCGGCGAGGTCACCCAAGTTCGGGAAGTTACCAGCATCCAGGATGTCGTGTCTGACAACAAATCAGCACAGAGGGTGAGTCTGCGCTATATGAACGTGCATACGGGAAATGAGTGTACTAACGACTGTGTAGAAGGACTCCTACGGTTACTTTGAGAACAACCGATACGTTGCGCGCACGCCACCGAAGTCCGACATGGAGTCATTCAAGATTCCTCAAAACATGAGCTCACCCTCTAAGCCATCTGCCATGATGCCTCCCAAGCCACGAGCCGGCTTAGTTCCCCTCAATACCGCTGGCCATCGTCTCGACCACCCCGTCCGTCCCCCTACAAGCGCCGAGCAGACCGCCTTGAAGAATAGAACCAAGAAGGGAAAACTTTGTAGCCCATTCTACTTGACAGGAACCTGTCCTGTAAAGTCTTGCCGCTTCGACCATACTCCAATCTCCCAAAACATTCTGGTTGCTCTGAAATACAAATTGATCAAGTGGCCATGTCGGTTCGGATGTGCATGCAGGAGGAAAGACTGCTTCAACGGACATCTCTGTTCCACAAAAGGATGCAATGGACCAGGTGGATTTTGCAAGTTTGGCAAAGACTCACATGGTGTGGATATGATTGTTGCGCAGTGGGTGGAACCTGTGTGTGAATGGGGCAAGCCTGCCGAAGGATACCGCAGCAAGAACAGCGAAGACCAGAGTTCAAAGTCGTCGATGGAGATTTGGCCTACCATGGGTAACTTGATCGACATTTGAGGATCTGGGTAGGGCAGGGACGGAATCAAGAGAATGGGAGAAGAACGGTTGGTACACTTCAATCGAATGAAGTAGAATTGGGGACGTTAAGATAATATGACATCCTCAAGGATACAAATTAAAAAATTAACAAGATAAGGAAAAATTTGTACACCCATGTCCTACTTCCCCGTGCTCCCAGAATCTCCGAATCAGACATAGTTTAAATGTGGCAGTATTTCACGTCACAAAAAGCAGGGTGCGGATAAGTTCCAAGGGACATTCCAACGATCCAGTCTCAATTAAACCAACCACACTAATCTAAACAAAGCCCATAGTATACACAGTTGTCGAATCGAACCAATTCCACTTTTCGCATTAATCTCCTAAAACTCCCATCTATGCTTCCTCCGCGAAAACGCTCAAGTCACCCTCGTACAAGGGACTCGCGCCATACACCCTCGCCAGTCGTACCCTATCGTCCCAGAGGATTTGCGCCTCTGGATACCTCGACGTGGCCCAAAGAAGCGCTTCCTATCTGCTGCTTGCCATTACGTTGCGGTAGTAAGTGGCGGACATGGCGCAGGAGTGTTTGAGGCGGAGGTCCTCAGTGAGGGGAAGGCGGAGGATGGAGGCTTGGTTTGATCGCTGGAGAATGAGTTAGTAATGGCGTGATAGCAGGGTGTAAATTAAACTTACAGATGTTTTAGCAACCTGGCCAGCGACGGTTCCGGCAATCTCCATCAATGCTACGCGTTCCTCCAGACCGCATGATTCGAGTCTGTCTCGTGCGGCGACCTCCAAGGCCTTCTGCAGCTTCACAAGAAGCTCCTGAATGCGGGCGTTGAGCTCCTCGTCGACACGGTATGTTGAGCGTTGACCAGTGAGGTCGAGCAACTCGATGTAGTCGAAGTAGATCTGCCCACCTTGCGTCCAACCCTGTACAGGTTCCTTACGACGCGTGCGTAATGATGAAGCTGTGGACATTGGGCTGTTTGTCGGGGTAGGAAGGAAGCCGCCCATAAGCTCACGAAGTGGGTCGTAGTCGCGGGAGATGATGGCGTCGGGTCCAACCTTGCGACATAAGACTTCGTGGGCCTCCTCTAACTGATCAGCCTTGATGAGATGGGTAGCTTGGCGGAGGGCATCGCCCTCAGTCTTTGCTTGTAGCGCAGCGGCGGCATGCAGCCACGTTGGTGGCACATGAAGGTCATGCGTCAGATACACGTATGTGGAGTCGGAGTCCTCGAGGCTGTAGGTGCTGGAGAACTGGTTGACGAGCGACTTGATGTAGTGCTCGCGCATAGCAATAGAAGACAAATGACTGTAAACCCATGCTGCGGTGGTCCAGTGCTCTCGGGTGTGCAGCGAGGCCGCATATGTGAGGGCAATCTTATCACCAAGCTCGACAAGTGGATGCTCTGATTGCGCATCCTTATCAAATTGCGATGCGGTCGATGATAAGAATGATGACCGATGTGCGTCTTCATCTTGACCACGAACAGTGGGCATGCCGACCTTGCGCTCATCCGCCTCGCTGTCATCGTCTAGTCGTGACTTGAAGAGTTGGAACATCTGGAACGACAGGCGAGCGTTGAGAGGATGGCCGGAGACGTTCTCGGGTGCGAGGACATCTTCGATATTGGCGTCCAGTTCTAGCTTGGTGGATGCGTAAAGCTTCAAAATACCCCAGAGAAGGTCTTCGCGGTCCTCCGCTTCGGGGTCGTTCCAGCCCATGTTCTCATTCGCCTCAGTGAACCAAGGCACAGGCTTGACCTGCTCTAGGCCATCCCTAATGGCGTCTGCGAACTGAGCTACGGCCATCTCGATAGGTTCATCGTGCATGATGCCGTACCAGAGGCGAAGACCGAATGCACGTCGCCAGTCGAGCCCAAAACGGCTTGAGATGCCAAAGGTCGATGCTTTTGTTCTCTCGACCAGACACGTTCTTTGCCTTCGGACTGCGCACAATTGCCGGATAACAACTCATACAACGCACGGTGTGGATCTTCCATCTCTGAGAGAATGTCCAATCGGCGCCACTCATCGATCTGCGAGACAAGGTTCTGGCGCATGGAAGCATCACCACCGATCTGGGCCACCATGGTCGCTAGCCGCAGATCAAGTCCTATAAGCAAAGAGTGACAGGCGTCCGCAACATTGTTGCAGCTGAGGTTAGCAATAGCCTTTTCTTCCGCAGATGATGCCTGCTGGACATGGGTCTGAGCATCGTCCCAGACCAGGGACTTCCAAAATTCCGAGAGCTGCTCTTTCTTGTACAGATGGACGTGCTCTGCATCGACACCATCAGGGATGTTGTCGGCATCGTCGAAAAGCAGAGACAGTAGCTGCCACGCATGCTGCTCGTGGGCGCCAGCTGGTGTGTCGATAGCAACGGCCTTCGCCATGTCAGAGAACTCAACCGGAGCAGGGTCGGTCAGCAGCTTGGCCGCGGGAATGCCATTTGCTAGTGAGATCTTAGTGTGCTCTTTTTGAACAGCTAGGGTCTCGGGTACAGCCTTTTGATGGTCAGCCAACAGGACAAGAGTTAGACAATGCTACACTTACATCACGAAAAGATGGCATCTCAGTGAACCGGATATCTTTTGTAGCACCGACCAGCGCCTCTTGAACAGAAGCAAAGACACCGCCCTCAAGGGTTGACTGGCCTTTACTTCCATAGACGAGGATGCCATTTTCGCTGAAATGGGGCTTGCTGCAGCTGTGGAACTTTTTGTCGGAGTCGCTCAATTGGTTCAAGTCGTCTGCAGTCTTGGGTCGCTTCGAATAAGGTAACTAGAGACAAGAGTTTCAGCAATCTTGTCCCACATCAATTTGTGTCTACATACATGGGTGGACTCAAAGTCCAGAGCGTCAATCTATGTTGAAGAACCATGAAGGAAACCCCGCCAAAGATTGCGCCCAAACCCAGAAAATCGCTAAACAGGAAGGGGAAGTCAAACCTCGATGCCGTGACCCACACGCTTGGGAAACTTCTGCGTCTCCGTCTCGCCGAAGAGAGATTCCATCAGGTCCATTGCCGTGGTGAGGTTGCGTCCATTGGTCGATTGCGCCATCTTCGCGACTGCGCCGTTGTGGTCCCGCAACGCGTTACCCTGGCTCTCACGCAAAGCATGTCGATCCTGCTTCTTGGGACTGATGGTACGTTGCAGTTGATTCGCCCAGTCGTCGTCAAAGACCTGCTGGTGGTTCTTCGACGGTGTGCCTTGGCCTGGTCGAAGTACCTGACTAGCCTTGAGGATAGATTTAGGTTTCAGAGAGCCTTTGAAAATGTCAAGGTCCTTGGCGAGCGATTGCTCCGTGGTTTGAAACGGTGAGGATGCAGAATCCGCCATATCCTGATCCCGAGCCGCTTCTGATTCGCCTTCAGAATATTCGTGGTCATGCTGACCATCAAGCGAACCCACGGAGCGCTGCCCTAAAAAAGACTGGCCTTGCGCGTCGTCCATCTGCTCGTCTTCTTCGTAAGCAACCTCATCACCAAAGCCTCCAGGAACAGAAGCGCGTGCGACATGCATACTCTTCTTGTTCTTGAAGTCGAAGGTGTCATCGGGACTAGATTGCGTAGGGCTGGCAAATGAGTCCTCCTGAGGAGTGCTTGTCATTTGGCTTGAGCGAAGTTGGGATTGAGCGGGTGTGTCAGGAACAGGGCTCAACTCGCTGGAGCCTTCATCATCCTCGTCCTCCTCTTCGTCGTCGCTGTAGTCATCGTAGTCCAAGCCATATGATGAGAAATGAGGGACGATGAACGTCCACTCACCAGTGTTCTGGTTGTACTTGACGAACGTAGTACCGTCGACACGCTTCAAACGCTCGAGGTGCTTGACGTCCTTCTTGCCGGCCCTGTTGCGAGGCCAGGATTGACCAAGACAGATCTCGGAAGGCTGGTTGAGGGCGCTGCCAAGAGGAGGCTTGGGCAGAGCCGTGCATGTCTCGCCGTAAACAGTAGCATTTCGCGTGGCGAGGCTGACAATGTCGCCATAGAGCTTGTCGAGGTCGACTTCGGACAGGTCAACCGGCTTACCCAAGTTGAAAGTAATCTGGCCAATGTTGTGACGACCAACAACAAAGTTGGGCACGCTCTTGAGCTCCTGCTTACTCATGCTCTTCAGTTGGTCCAAAGATGGGTTAGACCAGTAAGAACCACCCGGCACCTCCTTTCCAGGCTGAATGTTGACCGAGGAGGATGACTTGGGTGTTAGCACTGAGTTCTCCTGGACGCGAGCCAATTGACTACCGTTGACTTGTTCCATCTGAGGGCGACGGTTCTCGTTCTCAGCGTTGCCGTTCACAGCCTTTGGTGAAGCAACCTCATCGTCCTGTCGTACGACAAGGGCAGTCTCGGCGTTGGTGCCTCCGTTAACGCCATCTGTCTCTCCAGCTGCAAAGCTCACGCGTTTCTGGGGTGGCTCGTCAAAGAGAGGAATGCGTGTGTTGAGCGATCGGTTCACGTTGAGCTTCTTAAGACTGCCATTACCGTAGCCTCGACCACTGACCGAGAAGGCTCCAGGCGAAAGAATACTGCTAGTATCTGGCGTGAAGCTGTTACGGAGGTTGCTAGTGGAAAGGCTCTTTCCAAGCGAGCGAGAGAGGCTTCCACTCGAGAACATGCTGCCACCGAGGCTAGGGCTGTTTTGACTTGCACTGTTGGGCGTGCCATACGTTGAGTACGAAAAGCCGTATCCAGCACGCTTGTTCTGCGGCGTGAGCAGGCGAGTCGAGTTCGCAGGGTTGAGCTTATGCTGAGGCAGAATGGCACTCTTCTTGTTCTTTTGGCTGCTGGAAAGAGGAGTCGCGAGAGGACCAGGGCTCTGGGTAGGTGTAGCAAGTCCAGCGAACAGAGCGTCATTGCCATAGGGGTTGGTGGCCATGGAAGTGTTCAGCAAAGAGCTACCGGACGCACCGAACAAGCTGTTGTTGTTGGGCTGCTGGTTCTGTTGCTGGTTGTTCTGGCTAGAGAACAAGGATCCACCGAGGCTAGATTGGTTGTTGTTCTGAGACATACCAAAGAGCGAGCCGCCGGTGTTGTTGTTCTGGGTGGAACCTCCAAAGAGACCGCCGGGCTTCTGCTGGTTGTTCTGTCCACCGAACAAGCCGCCTCCAGTGTTCTGCTGGTTGTTCTGAGCACCCAGACCGCCACCGAATAGACCACCAGAAGAAGCACCTGTGTTGCCAGTACTGCCGCCAAACAGGCCACCTCCAGCTGGCGCAGCGGGCTTGTTTCCGAAGAGACCACCACCGGCATTGTTGTTGGCAGCTGCGCCGCCAAATAGGCCGCCGGACTGCTGTGTAGTGTTGTTTTGCTGGCCAAAGAGACCTCCGCCAGTGTTCGTCGTGCTTGCACCTCCGCCGAAGAGTCCACCTGCCGGCTTCTGCTGGTTTTGCTGGTTGTTTTGTCCGAAACCGCCGAACAGGCCACCCGTAGCAGGCTGTGCTTGTGCCTGAGTCTGGTTGTTCTGTCCAAAGCCTCCACCAGTGTTTCCAAAGAGACCGCCACCGGTATTGGTTGCTGTATTGTTCGCACCAAAGGCAGGAGCTGCGGCCGATGCATTGTTCTGACCAAAAAGTCCTCCACCAGTGTTAGACTGACCAAAAGCACCGCCAGTGTTGGTCGCGGCGGCACCACCACCAAAAGGTGTCGAAGCAGTCGTCGAGCTGCCGAAAAGGCCACCGGCAGGCTTTGCTTGATTGTTGTTGTTACCAAAGAGGCCTCCACCGGTGTTTGTAGACGCACCGAAGCCACCTCCGCTGCCAAATCCACCAGTCGTTCCAGTGTTGGTTGCCCCGCCGCCGAAGAGGCCACCAGTGGTGCCCGCTGCTGGAGCAGTTGTAGAAGATCCAAACAAGCCACCAGTCGCTGGCTTGTTCTGACCAAAGAGACCGCCGCTGGTTGTGTTGTTGTTTGCGCCGCCGAAGGCTCCACCAGTGCTCTGGCCAAACGCGGATGTGGTGTTCGTGTTACCACCACCGCCAAAGAGGCCTCCACCCGTGTTCGTGTTTGTGTTGGAGCCAAAGGCTGACGTGGTGTTGGCCGTGTTGTTGCTGCCAAAGCCTCCGAATCCAGTGCTCTGACCAAATGCACCTGCCTGACCGTTTTGGTTGCCGTATCGTCGACCCTGGTTGTAGTCGGCTACACGGAGTTCTTCCAGAGAAAAGTTCTGGTATGGTTGCTGGAAAGTAATCGTTTGGTATGACTGGGTTGCGGTTGTAGATGTACCGTCCTTTTCGCTGAATGCGGCAAAGGGAACACTCGCGGTACCGTTGTTAACCGGGGCGGCGTTGTTCGCGCCGAATCCACCACCAGTAGAGGCACCAAAGGCATTGGTCGTGGTGTTGGTGGTGTTGGTAGCTCCAAATCCTCCGCCAGTGTTGCCACCACCGAAAAGACCTCCGCCTCCTGTTGCTGTAGAACCAAATCCACCACCGGTCTTGTTCTGACCGCCGAACAGGCTGCCTCCAGTGTTGTTGTTGGCACCGAAAGCTGGCGTGCTTGTGGCCGTGTTGTTGTTTGCACCAAAGCCACCGAACGCATTTCCTGTAGAGGCACCGCCGAAAATACCACCACCGGTCGTTGAGCTGCCGAAGGGTTTCGAACCGAAGGCTGTGTTGCCTGTGTTGGTACCGAAGCCACCTAGTATGATATGTTAGCGTCCTGAGTGTGCAAGAAATTAAAAAAAAGGTGGTGCGCGTAATCCTGCTTTTCCGTGATCCACAAGTTCGGCGATGCGCCAGGCAAGAAGAGCGCGGCTTCTTCGACGACGCTGATGTTTGCTAGAGCTCCACGCAACGACGCAAAACAAGTCGCAAGGTTCGACGTACCAGACGTACCACCACCTCCAAATGGCGAGCCAGTACTGCCAGTGTTACCTCCGAACATGGTGCTACCCGTGTTGTTATTGGAGCCGAATATGCTGCCACCATTGTTCGCGTTGGAGCCGAAGCCTATCGTCGCGGCGAATTAGACACGGTTTGTCGAACCGGCGGCGCACGTTGAAGCAGAAGCAGGGCGCAAGTCGCGAGTCGCGGGAGGCGCGTAGGAACAAAGCAGAAATCAGAACATGAGGCTGCACTTACCACCTGTGGTGTTGTTGTTGGCATTGTTGTTCGCGCCGAAACCGCCAAAGCCGCTGCTCTGCTGCTGGTTGTTGTTGTTGGAGCCGAAGCCCCCGAAGCCGAAAGACATGGTGCTGTCTATGCGGCCGATGCGCGCGTGAGAATATTCAGTTGACTAGCAGCGCGCGGAAGAATGTCGCGTTGATCGCGGGTGTTGATGGAGCCGTCGCGACAAAGCGAGGTAGGGGAGGCGGGCGTTGTTAAGAGCTCGCAGGAAAACGCGCCAAGCAATTGAGCAGCAATTGGCGGGGCGCTTGTGGGGGCGACAGTGAGGAAAGCTAAAGAAGGGAAGAGCTCAGGAAGCGAGCAGATTAAGTAGTGAAATGGCCGTCATGAAAGGAAAGAGCGACGGGAAGGTATACGGGCTGAAAAGCGCTGTGAGGAGAGACGTGAAGTGGACAGAGCGCTGCTGCTCCAAGCTCGCCACGCTAGGGAACACCCACTCGAAGGCGCCACGTGACTAGTCAAGCTGCACTCTTAGGCGCACACAATATGACGCACAAATCCCGGGCAAGGCTGCTCAGCCAATAGTCTGGGCTGTATGCACCGCTATGAGGGCCAAGGATGTCTGGAAAGTCCTAAGACAGCATTTCTTATCTGCTCAAGTCACGAACTGCAGCACAAGTGTCCGGCCGCATTCCAAAACAAAGCCCAATGCTGGCAAAGGCCATCTTCCGTCAGCGAATCACAGGACGTGAATTCTAGACGTTGACATGCATGTGGGTGCCTGGCTGCCTTCACGTCCTCACGTCGCTACCTACCGCTACCTACACCGGTGTACGGCAGCCTGAGGACTGCACTGCCTCGATATCGCCATGACGCATCGAGTCTGAAACATATTGCGCTTTGTGGACCAGTCTAGCCAAAGATAGTCGGTGTCTCGCGCTCTCTGACTGTCTCGACTTCTCATCTTCTGAGGACATATTTCGGGGTAATTCCTTGACGCATGACCAAACTAAGAACCTCTACCAGGTCATCAGGCAGAGCTTCATGTAATGGACTTTAATTTCAGCTGGCACAAGAGCGAAGCATTCATGAAGGGCACATAATGATGGGGCTTTGAAGCCGCCGCATGTGGTACAAAACCGACGCTACCTAGATAACATGCTCACATGATACTGCACAGATTTCCGCCCTGGGAGAACGGAAGTTACAACCCTGATTCCTGTTCTCAATCAATATGGAGGGGCAGTATGTATGCAAATGCGCAGGTGACCTCGATATGGGCATCTGGAGCCTTACCCAATCAATCTAGCTCAGCCCTGGAGTGGATCATTCTCCAAAGCGCGCTAAACATTCACGCGTACCGCGACGAAAACAAGCATAACTGAACGACACCGTGAAACAAAGAATAGCAACACAACGAAAGCGTCGCATTGTCGCAACTCACACTGCATACTGGCCAATCCTTCAAGACAGACACCCGTGGAATTACACCATCCAGAACTACGCCTTCACCTTCGCTGAACCACGACCACCACCCCGCTACCGCGCGCAACACCCTCACATCTCCACCCAGAAAATGACGACTCCCTCAACACAACCCCCCCACGCCCCCCGCTACGGCCTCGGCCGTACAAACCCTCCTCCAAACCCATCATCCACCTTCGCCCCAAACCCGCCCAAGAACGCGCAACGCCTCGAATCCGAGCGTCTCGAAGCCGAGCGCCTCGCGCGCGACTCCCTCTCTGAGCTCTCCGAAGAACAACGCGAAGAAATCAGCGAAGCCTTCAATCTCTTCGACCTCGACAAGGACGGGTACATCGACTACCACGAGCTGAAAGTGGCTATGAAAGCGTTGGGCTTCGACCTGCCCAAGAACGAAATCCTGGGACTGTTGAACACACACGGCACGCAGACGACTACGACGAAGAGAGGCGCGCAGGCACAGCCCCAGCCTCCCAGGCGGTTGCTGAGTTTTCAGGCGTTTCAGAATCTCATGGCGCAGAGGATCTTGAGCCGTGATCCGAGGGAGGAAATTGATCGCGCGTTTGAGTTGTTTGATGAGGGGGGCAAGGGCAGGATTACGTTGCAGGATTTGACAAGGGTGGCGAGGGAGTTGGGAGAGGGGTTGAGTCATGATGAGTTGGTGGCGATGATTGAGGAGTTTGATATGGATGGGGATAATGCGATTAGTCGCGAGGAATTTATGGGGATTTGCTTGGGTTGAAGTTGAGAGGAGCGAGGAAGATGCGAAGGCGTATTGGCGAACCAGGCGTTTGTTTTACGGTCGTGCCATGTGCGACGGAAAATTGGTCGACTTATTCAGCTTGAGATACCAGGAGAGTACAACACAATGCTTATTTTCAAAACTTCTTGACTTCGAACTTAATTGCACTGAAAGACTATATACAGCTCAGCACTAGAACTTGACTTGCCTAAAAGCTTTCGACGGACAAACGGAAAATGCATGCATAGTACAAATCAACCACATCTCATCTACTGTCCGGGACTGATAAGCTGTCCCTTCTTCTGAGCATCGTGTGCCCAACCGCCAGCAAGCGCCGGGCCACCGTTCTTCTCCGCGTAGCCCTGTATCCTCGCCTCCAGCTCTGGCCTGAAATGCCTGATCAATCCCTGCAGGGGCCATGCGAAGGCCTCACCCAAAGCACAAATGGTGTGACCCTCGACCTGCTTGGTCAACTCTTGCAACATGTCGATCTCGCGCTCTCTCGCCTGGCCCTTGTTGAAGCGGTCCATGATTTGATGTGTCCACTTGGATCCCTCACGGCAAGGTGTGCACTGACCGCAAGACTCGTGGTGGTAGAACTTTGCGAGACGGGTGATGGCGCGTACGACGTCAGTCGACTTGTCCATGACAATAACGGCTGCGGTTCCGAAACCAGACTGTGAGTCCTTGAGGGCGTCGAAGTCCATAAGCTGGTCGTCGCAAACGTGCTTGGGGAGAATGGGTGTCGATGAACCTCCTGGGATAACGGCTTTGAGGTTGTCCCAGCCGCCAATCACACCGCCACAGTGCTTGTCGATGAGTTCGCGAAGGGGAATAGACATCTCCTCCTCAACTGTGCAAGGGTGATTGACGTGTCCGGAGATGGCGAAAAGCTTGGTTCCCTGGTTGCGCTCACGACCGAAGCCGGCGAACCAGCTACCACCACGACGGCAGATGGTGGGTGCGACGGCAATAGTCTCGACGTTGGCGACAGTCGATGGGCATCCGAAAAGACCAACGGCAGCGGGGAACGGGGGCTTCAAGCGGGGCTTTCCTGGCTTGCCCTCGAGCGATTCGATGAGCGAGGTCTCCTCACCGCAGACATAGGCGCCCATTCCTCGGTGGACGTAGACGTCGAAGTCGTAGCCGGATCCGCAGGCGTTCTTGCCGATGAAGCCGGCCTTGTAAGCCTCCTGGATAGCGCGCTCAAGGACAGCAGCCTCGTGATAGAACTCTCCTCGGATGTAGATGTATGCAGCCGTGGCATTCATGGCACGTCCAGAAACAAGACAGCCCTCGATGAGCTTGTGGGGGTCCTTGCGCATGATTTCTCGGTCCTTGCATGTTCCGGGCTCGCCCTCATCGGCGTTGACGACCAAATAGCGGGGCTTGGTGTCCTTGTCCCAGTCTTTGAAGTTCATGAATGACTGCCGACTATTAGCATTGCCGTCGTACCTTGTGTGCTTCTTGTTCTGCGTACCCATTTCAGACCAGAGGGGAAGCCAGCACCACCTCGGCCTCGCAGACCAGACGCCTTGATCTCAGAGATAATCTGTCCCAGTCAGCCCAGCTGTACACCCCTTGTGTCATCCGACATACCCAGTCGTGGCCCTTGAGCAGAATCTCCTTTGTCTTGTGCCAGTCACCATACTTCATGGCACTCTTGAGATCCGCGCCATGGTGTCCGTACAAGTTCTGGAAGATCCTGTCCTGGTCCTTCAGGCCTCCATACACCCTCTTCGGCGGTGCATCGTTGACCGTAGCCAAATTCCTCTTCTGTGTCCTTGAGGGTGTAGTGGCGGCCACGGAAAGGCGGGCGGCGGCTCGTGGAGCGCTGGCCTTGAGCGCGGAGCTCGCGGGTGCGTGTCGTGCGAGCATCTTGTATACTGTTTGTACGTTGGCGGGCGCAATTGATGCTCGTGCTGCCGGCGCGCGGACGTTGTCGTTGATAGAGTGGCGGTCGTGATGTTCGCGATGCGAGGTGCACTCGCTGAGAATCGATGACCCGAGCTTTTTGGCCACGACATGATTGGCTAGAGCCGATCGTTGACATCAACGCTGGCGAACGGGCCGAAACTGAACATCGTCACCCGCGACGCCATGGAGCATTATCCGACGAAAAGTTTATTCTCAAATCGGGAGTTATCGAGTCTTGATACTTGTCTAGTACTTTCCGGTCATAGTGGTTGAGCGCGCCCATGTCTGCCTGCCTGCCACTGTTTCTTGTTCCGACTGTGCAGACAATGGCATTCATGCAAAAGTTGTCTTCATTGCCTGCTGAAGTTCACGCGTGTACAGCGAAGCTATATTACTTTGAAGGCTTCATCAATTCAGGTCTCCAAGATAGCAAGTAAAGGTAAGGCACCCCTCGGCCATGATGGCCGTGACTACCTACACGATAACCCATGCTAAGTCCTTCCTTCTCTCCTCCCATCTCAAACCTGCTAAGCCGCCTCAAACTGTTCTTCTTTCATGTGAAGAAATCGGATCTACTATACACTCTTTTTATCTCATACTATTCCCATTTTCCGCTCACTGATCTCCTTCATCTTAACTATCCACGGACAAAAACCTGCTCCTCAATTTAGTCCATTCCAACACACCCGACTCTTCAAAGTACAGCTCCACAGACAATATGCCAATCAAAGCTGGTGACATCGTAGCCTCGACTCCAGGTCACCTACCAACCATGATTTCCGACGGCAAGCGTCTGCGCATCCTGTGGCAGGAAAGCCACGGCAACGGCGACTCGAGCGGTCATCTCATCTCACGCTGCAGGAGCACAGTCAGAGGTCACCCAACCTGGAAGCTCTTCTGTGGCTTCGTCCCGAACCCCATCGTACGCGACCAGAATGAACCGCCGTATTTCGTCTACCTCGATGACCGAGCGTGCTACGCCATCTGGATCTCACAGCAATACAACAAGCATGAGCTCCGGAAAATGTGGCCCTTTGACTTCGACCATCTTGGCAAGATCAAGGTGGCGAGACCGAATAGGGGACGGCCGGCATACTTGGATGATTCGTGTACGGAGTATGCGACGGGAACGATGAGGGATAAGAAGAAGATATATGTCTTCAGTGGCTGCCCGGACTCTAACTTCAGGGCTGCACGCCCGGGCATGATCGAGACTGACGATGTCGACAATCTTCCGGCACCAAACGGTCTACCACTCGTCACTGAGACCGCCGAGACTACCTCGGCATCCGCTCTCACTCATCCTGGATTCAAACTCGGCACCAACCGCACTCTCTTCGAACCTGTTGCCCCTAGACGCTACATCGCAGGACCCGCCAATGGCGACCTCATACCTCTGGGTATGGTGCATAAGGCTCTCCAGGGTTCGCCGTACTTTGAGAACCCAACTGCGATTCACAGGGCGAAGCTGAGACCGAGGGCGGGAGATTTGACTGCTGCGATGGGCGTTGTGAGGAAGCGTAAGGCGATGAACGTGGAGGAGAAGGACGTCAGGGTGACGGAGAAGAAGAGGAGAGCTGGGCATGAGGCTGCAGCTGTTGAGAGTACGATGAAGGGAAAGAAGGTGAAGGTGGAAGTCGAAGCGGATGACTGACTAGCTTACACTATACTCGGGCCTGGTTTGATCTAAAACAGGAGGATATGGTGTATTGAAGGTCCTCAGGATATGCTATGACGATCAGGTTTTGGTTTTTTGGGTGCATTATGTGGATCATAGGTATACGAGATGCGGAGACGTCTCACTCATCATAAAAGTCATGTCAATATGTTTATGTCAGCAGGTAGCTTGAAGTTGTATTGGCAATATCAAGACTTCTACCGCTTCCATGCTGTCTTTCAACGTTCCATGATGGTAATCATTGTCACCATGAAATCGCAAAGATGTTTCTCCCGCTCACTTGAACCGGACCTCCTGCAAGACGCGGAAACACACATGCGGTGCCGATCCAGTATTGTTACGAGAGCTCCACTACACATCAATGATGCCTTTTAATCTTTTGAATTCCAGTACATGGCGAATGTTGATGTAGAAGAAGATGTGAGGAATGATCTGTTTTATATTGTCCTGCTCTGGTTTATACAAAGATCATGCCGGCAGAAATCTGCATGTATGAAGTATGACATCGATGGCTAGGGGCTTTTTTTTTGACACTTCAGTTTTACGGACACGCTCCGGCCGCTCATTTCAACCCAGGTATCATTTATTTGGAAATGTTATACGCAGAATCAATTATTCTCGTTGCGGATTATTTCGAAACAGTGCAGATGGTCATAAGATTTAATTTGAGACGTTGAGAGATGTAGTCGGGAGAATAGTGGCAGCTTCATAGTGCCCAGATGCATGTGGTCTACGAGATGGAGCTAGCGCACAAACATCATAGCTAACAGATCTCACGTTCGAGAACTTGCTACAAACGCGGTATGACACGCCAAGAGCTTGCCCTTTCACATCGTGGCAGCCCACCTGCATATCCATTGCTCTTTCTCTCACCGTGGAACTAGCCTCGGCGCTTCCTCCACTTCTGGGTAACCCCACCCCTCCGTCCGACTCCATGATCCCTTAAACTTACTACCAACATGGCGCCCAACACCCAAATCCGGATCATCAGGCTATACGCGCCATCCGTTGACAAAACTGTCGAACAATTCATTCTCAAGCCGTCTCAATCCTACAGCACGATCCTTAAGACGATCAGCAAAGTCCTCGGCATTGACAAATCCTGGCCATACAATCTCAAGCGCGAACCTGTCGATGATTTCAGGGACGTAGAAGCGGGGCGAACGCTCCTTATTGCGACATGTTACTTCGAGCGCCCACTCGCTGAGTCAGTCAGGGACGTCCTGGTTGTGCAGCCCGGCGCCGCGGAAAAAGCTTGGATGACGCTCGAGACGGAGAAAAAGAGAGAGTACATTGCGAAGCTGGAAAAAGACAAGGTGTACCTTACCCTATCCCGGACCGAGATTGAGGATCGACTTGCCAGCGGCTTTTCGCCGTCCTTCGAAGCTTGTTTGGAGGTCATCGAAGAGGAGACTTGGCACCTGCCGCTCGATGCAGTCCTGGGGTTTCAGGGCATGTTCATGCCGTATGGGGAGATTTGGGAGGAGAATCTGCTACCGGCACTGGCGATTTTGAGCGAGGCGACGTTGGGACAGGGCATGGTGGTCAGTGCGCTACTCATCGATGAGGTGAAGAGAAATGGAGGACATGTAGTTGAGGCGGCGCATGTGGTGAAGGTAGGAAAGCGGCTCTTCCGGAAGGCCGCATGATAGCTCGCTCCCTAGACGTGGACATGAAGAGCGGGTAGATTATCCCTTGCCTTTTTCTGGTCCTCTTTTCCATGTCACCAGTCGAATCTCAAAGGGCAATGCCTGCCGCGATCGTTACTTGAAATGCTGTGTTTATATCTAGAGTTACGTTTCTGACTAGATTACGCAGCTCTAATCTAAGCATTGTATGAAGAAAGATATGATCAAACATGGGTGCTCCAGAAGAAGAATGGTGTTGGTTTGCGCTTGAGCGTAAGCAATCGTGGAAGAACGCGATCGAGGTAGCAATTCTCCAACAATATTTGCGATCTTGGACAATCTCGTGTACCGAAAGCGCTTGATTCTCGAGCAAACGATCTGTCGCTCTTGTTTTGTGCCAGAGCTCTCGAAATAGTCGTGAAAGACTCCGTAGCTGTCAGGACACAGGTCTGCACCCACTGCGCCAGCCATGCTAAAAAGGTAACAATGATCAATCTCAATGATTGATTATGCTGTGCAGAATAACATATATCGTCAGCCACGCTCTGACAGTAGCCGAGCTCCCGTCACAAATCTGAATCTTTGCCTCGTCATAACACCCTCGTTTCCACGTGACCTTTCCGCCTACACCCTTGGCAGAAAGTAGCGTGGGCTTCTCTTATGTATATTTCACGGCTAGTTCTGGTTCGTACCACAAGCAAGGCACTGTCGTCCAAATACACGGTCTCTACCGTCTGACTCTTTCACGATGCCTCAGTTAGACACTCCGATCCGGCATCTCCGCTCAGCTGCAAAACGCGGCGGCGGTGAATATCTCAATCGGTTTTTCACTGTAGCGATCCATCCTCCACCAGACTATAAGCTACTTTTACTTGACAACGGCAAAGGCGCAAATTTCCGGCCGATGATACATCAGAATGACCCAATTATCCACATGATGAAAATCGTCATCCGGCAACTGAATAGAGAGGATATTCACTTCGCTGCCGCCCACATCCGTGTACATGCCACTACAGATGCACGACCCTTCTGGCCCATCATCGATCCGATGTGCCCAGTTTACGACGCAAAGTTGTATACCTTCCTCATGGACGACTTTCCTTGCAGAGAGGAGTTTCCTATCAGCGCCTGGATCTGCGTATATACCCTCATCGGAAACTTGCACAAGGACGCGCTCTACATTAAGATTGGCGAAAAGTCGTTGGAGTTCCGCCAGTAGCTCCTTTCAAAGCGACATCCCGAGGGTGTGGTTGGTAAGGCAGGCTATGTAGCACAATACAAGTGGTACAAGCTCAACGGCAAGAAGTTCAGACTTATGGATCTTCCCGTCGAGCTCCGTCTTAGATATTCGAGCGCACTCTTGGTCCTTACTTGTACCCCGTGCGCAAAGTCGACAATGTTTGCCAGACACCCTCTGTGGACTGGGGCTTGGGACTTCCGAAGCCGAATGAGTTTCATCGTCACAAGATGCCATTTGCATCGGATGAGCACACAATTGTTGGGTACACGGCGTACAAACCGAACCTAGCGATTCTACAAGTCAGCAAGCAGGACAAAGATGAGGCGCTACAAGCAGGCTGGCAAGACACGCGTAAGTACTTGTTTGATCCTTATCACCTCACCTCGATTCTGGGTATTCGCAAAATCCCTTACTCGAACTGGCTCCGTAAGGTGATTCTTGACTTCACAATGGAAGGCTGGTTTCAGTTCTTCGGTGTTCAGCAGTCCCCAGACCCAGATATAGACACAACGCAGTCTCGAGGTTATTTGCTGGCGACTATGCCAGATCTTGTTGATCTTCAGATCTGGTTTTGTAGCCCGGACGACGGATGGAACGCCAGCCCTTGGGGTAGTCGCTTTATTACCGGTCCTCACGTCTGCAGCTAGCGCACCATGGTGGACTGGATCGAGACCTTTGCCTGGCCTTTTGTTGAGGACATACGCAAAGTGACACTTGAGGGTGTCATCAAGAAGGACCCGAAGGTGAAGTGAGATGACCTCCTGGTATTCTCGAAGACGACAAAGGCGAACGTTTTCGATCATAGCAAAGAGCAGCTGCAAATCTTCGCTACGCCCTTCGCTATGCTGTAAGTTGACAAGCCCGCCAGCATGCTTTTAAAACCATGCTAACCTTCCAAAGCCCTCCTCCTTGTTCATGTCGCAAGCCTTGTCAGGCTACGCGTAAGTCACGGGTCATCCGCAATGCCCCGAGTAGAAATGGGTATGACAAGGAGGAAGCATTTCACTTTGAAGATGATTGAACCGGTCGATGCAACATGGTGGATTGGACAAGCTGGCCTAAACGACATTAGTGATGCGGCTCACCAGTAGATCAAGTTATATCATGGCAGTTGCCTTCTAGTCTATTTCATGGAATTAAGGGAAAGGACATGAGCTAGATGAAAAATGACGTTCTGTATGTATCAATACAACCGTGACTCTTTTTCATTACTCCAGCATGTCTATACTTTACATCGTACCTAGGTAGTTTTCGATGCCAACATTCCAAGTGATAGGGGTAGCACCGAATTGATAGTCTTGGAAATCACTAATGTTAAAGAAAGAGAAAAGCAACTACACCACTTTGATCCATTCTGACAAGTGGATGACTCTTTATGATGCTAATTTTCTATACAAGCACTGGTAGCTACATGTTCATTCACGCATTAAGAACTAGAAGCCTGGGAGAATTATGTCGCTTCTTCTGTTGGGCGCTCAAGACGCAAACCAGATCAAGCGACGGCACTCCGCGTATGCCGTCTCATTTTCACACAATCGCACTTAGTCTAGTTTTGACAGATCTAAAACAATCAACAAAGTTTGGTAGTGAATTGTTTAAGAACTGGGAGGACAACCCGCAGTATCGTTCTCATATAGGCTGTTGGAACCTTTTCACAGTTCGGTGAAAAGGTTCACGGGCCTTCCGCCCTGCTATCAATGTCACACTAGTAACTAGGTGACCGTGGAGACTACACTTTTGATGGCCCCATTCGGGACTGACTCATGCCTATATATTCCCTCTGGAACCTGGAACCTCACTGATTATCACAACACAAAAGTTAACTCAACCTCGAGTAGCCTCAACTCCCTTGCTGCACATTTTGCAAGCCCTATACAACTCTTCTAACGACCGGCCTCTAAAACGATGCCTTATCTAGAGACTCGTATCCGACATCTCCGCCAAGATGCAAGGCATAAAGGGGGAGAGTACCTGAACCGCTACATGACTGTCGCGCTCCAACCACCACCTGATGATAAACTAAAGACTCGAGGCAAATACAAATTCCAGCCACCACCGTCGCAGTTCGACCCAGTCATCCGCCAAATCATCCGGATTATTCGAGAGCTGGGCCATCAGGACATTGGATTCGCGTCTGCCAATATCCGTGTTCACAATTCGAACGAGACGGCCCCGTTCTGGCCGATAAACCCTTACTACCCGTACTACGATGCCAAGCTGTACACTTTTCTGATGGATGATATCCCGTATAGGGAGGAGTTTCCCATCACTGCTCAAGTCTGTGTGCACACCCTCACTGGCAGATTGCATAAAGACGCGGTATATATCAAGATCGGTAAAGACTGGCTAGAGATGAGGAAATGGCTGATATCAAAGCGCCACGCCCAGGAAGATCTCGTAGGCAAAATCGGCTTCGGTGCACAGCGGAAGTGGTGGAAGCTAAACGGCAAGCGATTCCGACTCTTGGACTTGCCTTCAGAAATTCGCAATATGGTATATGGGTACGCACTTGGGAAGGAAGTACACCCAATGCCCCTCTACGAACCGGACAATGGAGAGATCGTATCCATGGTGCTCGGCGCTGGGTACTCTCGCAAGCTGATATCCTCAGATGTGTATCCCGAAGACTCCGTACCTGAGGTGCGAGAAGATGTTTCTCCCAACCTGGCATTGCTGCAGACTTGCTGGCAGATATACGAAGAGGCACTGCCGGCTGCTTGGAACAGCTCACTGAAGTGTTTCAACAACGAGCAGATCTTCCTTACGATTGTTGATTTGAGTGTTGATTCAATGACACAGTTCAATTGTCTCGGCAAGATCCAATTGAACTTCAAGCTCAAGTCATGGTTCCGCTTCTTCGGCGTTACAGTCAACCCCAGGATCTCTATTGATGAAAGCTCATCATCGGGTCTATATATCTCGAAAACCGGTCTTCCTAATCTTCGACACTTAGAGATGCGCTTCCGCAGCCCGCATGACGGCAGTGACGGTAATCCTTGGTCCAGAGGTTGGGAAGATAATGGCGCTCTAGACTGCTGTCAAGTCAACGCCGTAGACATGGTCTGCACTTTTGCTTTCCCCTTTGTCGCATGGATCCCCACAGTCAAGCTTGTAGGTTACGTCAAGACTGCATCAAAGAAAAAGTGGGAAAATATCTTCGACAGCGAGCGTAGAAGGTTGAGCCACGGTCATAACCAGGAAGCTGCTATGCAGGCTCTTTTGCAGGCTCCAGCCGACTTACTGTAAGTATCCTGATTCTTTCCTAATAGCTTACCAGTACTGACTGCACTACGATAGGCCACCGCCTTGCTCTTGCTCACAGTCCTGTGCAACGAATAGACGAAATCGATGGCACGAAGAAGTGAGATACATAATTTTCGGCGCCGCGTGCTCAGTTCTGGCTTTCGACGACTCGGACGACTTCAAGTATGACGAGCTGGAGGACCATGTGCCTTCGAAATTTGCCTTGTGGCAAGGTGAGTACACTTTCTCCCAATTGCGATTACAATGCACTAACAAGTCTTAGCCGCTTACGAAGCTCGATGGCGCAGTGAACAGTCGCGGCTGCAACAAGAGAAAGAGGGCGAGGAGAACTGAAGATGATACCCTTGATCTCGAGGTCAATATTGTTTGACCGCGATACCTTGTGTAGACACGATCCGTCTCATATAACGCAGCTTATCCCAGACAATGCCAGTCGGTATTGCTCTAAATACATGCAATTAATAGACATACCCAAATCGGTACCATCTTTTCAAAACTCGATGTACTCCTAATGAATCGTCGTGAAAACCCCCGACACCTCAACAACCACAATGACCAAACCACACTCACACGACCAAGAAACCATTTTGCAAAGCCTCAATACTCCACCGTCCCTTGCGCCACAAACACACGCCCCTAAATCCCCAAATTCCGTACCATTACCAGCGGTTATCTCCATCCAGACCCTCGACTTCCAACCCATTGGCGGATAAACGCCCCATCCCAAGCGCCCACCACGACCCACCCGCTCCATATCTGTACAACATAAATGCCATGCACCCCTTTACCCTGCCTTTGACATGCATCCCCAGATGACACGTCCCGATCCCAGCACGCCACGCGCTGCTGAGTAACATTGAAAGGAACGCGGTACTGGGACTGCAACTCCCTTGCATGAGGCCTGCGCGGATAAGGGAAAACGGGGAAGATGGAGGACAGCATCAAGAGTGGAAAAAGTCTGCAACGATCATGGAAAAGCGATCAATAAGGTGTAAAAAGTGTTTGAATGGTGTGTATTCATACAAGCCCCAACACTTTGCCATTGTGGCCCAAAAGAAATTGACCACTTCGGCATTTCCCATTTCGCCGCCCTACCCAATCCCAGAATAATTAATTCAACCCAAAAGATACCCCATCCTAAATTCCCTGAGGTGTCGTCACCTCAATCCCATCCCGCCCTATCCCACTGTGAATAAAAGAGAACCTTAAATGTCCGATACCTAGGTATAAATCATACTGAAAAAAGCAAAACCGAGACTTGCGATCTGACAAAGGAAACAAACCGAAGATTAATTCGTGCGCACGTGAAACTTTTGTTACAAAGTGATTATAAGACTGATATCGATGCGCCAGAGGTGTTGTACAACATGGTGCGAGTAGAAGAAAGGAAAGCGGTAGTTATCCTGGGTATCAGACCGCCGAGAAGAGATGCGGAGGTAGGAGATGCGTAGATGACATGTTTCGTAGACAAAAGGAGAAGTCGAGGTGTGTGAGAGGCGGACGTTAATATGTGCCGCCGAGCGAGTTCCAAGCGGCCAGGACGTCGTCGCTGACGCTGCTTCTTTTGCTCTTGACGGTGCTAGTAACGCTCATGCTGCTTGCGCTGCTCTGGCGGGTGATTTGTCGGTGAGGATGAGACTTTTGCTCGGCGCCGGTAATATAACTTGAGGTTTGCGAGTAACACGATGCTTGCGAGTGGCTTGAGTTGATGCTGCTTTGTCGGTTCCTTGAGTTACCGCTCGTCAGCAACGTGAGGCCGCTTGAGCGCTTTGAGCTTTTCGATTGGAGTCTTGGGAATGTAGGTTCGATGATGCTTGTTGCTCGAGATGAGCCTTCCGAGACGGGAGCGAGGTCAGTAAGCCCGTGGGTTGGCGGTACCGGGAAGGAAACATCGGCGCCACTAGAAGCTGTTCTGCGACGACGATGTGCCGACCCTTCGTGGGATGAGCTTCGAGACTTTGCGCGGTCCTGTAGAACGTCGAGGCCCAGATGAACTCTCATCAATGTCGTTGCTCGTGTCGCTGTTAGCAACCTTGACATTGAGTTCCTCCTCGTAAGCACGAAGTCCAGGGGTTATGGGCGAAGGAAGAGGCGAAGCATGTTCGGTTGTGGCCGGCGAGATTATGCTTGCAGTAAGAATCGGCGAATACTGCGGGAATGGGTCTAATGGCGAGAATACAGCTGGAGTGAGCAAATGATGAGACAGAGTCTCCCGACTTGCGGGCGACCTAAGTTGTTCTGACCAGGCATCGCTTGCCACTGAACTGTCGCGCAACTGACTTTGACCGATGCTAGCATCGTAATGAGCTTTTAGAGGTCTGCCTCGAGGTGGAGCCTGCAGTGGCGACGGTGCTGGTACCGATGATTTCCTCGTAGCCTTGTGCTCTACCACACGGACGGGACTGGCCTCGGCTAGGAATCCCGATGTGCGAGGATGTCCTCGCGAGTCTCCAGCTGGGGACAACTGTCGCCTGTCCGTTTCTTGTACACCTTGGTTTGCTGGTGGAACAGGCGTCAATCCCATTGCTGCGCGCTTCTTACGCATCAGCTCCAACAAGGCTTCCTCTTCAGCTGTCACCGCCATGAACTTATGTGTAGTATCCGATCCGGCCCTGGGCTCGCTTGTCGACGTACGTGTGCTGCGGACACTGCGGGCCGGAGGCGAACGGGACATGTTCACAGCTGTCCACGGGCGATAGTCGTCATCTTCGTGAATGACAGACGGCTGCCTCGTGTGGCTGGATCGTTTGCTTCCGCTATAACTGCTTGTCCTTGGGTATTGCAGTGGCGTGAACGGTGGCTCAGGTGTGTACATAACTTCGATCGTGGCTGCACTAGTTGATGATCGCATGCTCCACGGGGCGGAAGGCCTTCGCTGTGATCGTACTTCGTAAGCTTGAGCTTGCCCAATAACAATTTCTCCTGAATCATCGTTCATGTCTAGGCTCTTGCGGACTGGTACCGTGCGTTGCGTAGCGCGAGCGTTGTCGCCCTCATCTTCCGATGATGAGAAAGATAGGACACTGGAGTCTTGGAGGTTGGGCTTCGACAGGGCAGACTCTTTTGTCTTCGTGGACTGTAAGGAATACTGGCTTGGTGAAGTGAGGCGCGTGACATCAACCAAATCTTCATGCGAAAAAGTGTCACGGCTGCCTGCTGGTGCCAGGTAGTGTGAACGTGATGCTTGCTGCGTCGAACCTCTTGAGACGACTTGATCGAGGGATGCCTTATAGGGATGCACAGCATGGTCATATGGACGACCAGCTCCCACAGCATGACTTTGCTCAGTGCCTTCTGTTGCTTCATCGCTATCCTCGTCGAGCGCATCAAACCAATGTTGTACGCCCTTGGGAGGTCTGCGTACGTTAATCTTAGCGTTGTCATATTCATCGCGCTTATGCATTCGCACAGGCGAGGTAGGAGTTTCTGGAGCTGACTGCTGTTTCCTCTGCAACTTCTTCGGTTTGACTTGACTCTGCGGGTTTGGCGTTGGATCTCTGGTCATAGGTCTTGGAAACTGATACTCGGAGGTTATTGACAGGGCTGCCGGTGAGTTGACCATCTTCGCGGGGGAGAGCAGCGCTCGAGAGTGGTTTGACCCCTCGCCGCCTCTCGGCTTTGGAAAGAGCTTTGAGAGATCCAAACGTGCAGGTTTGCTTTTGCGCATGTCCTTTCTTCTCGCCTCTTCTTGAATGACTGGTGACACGGGACTAACAATGTAGCCATTGCTGTTGTAATCTGGGACGACGACTTGAGGCTTTCCTCTCCTCAATGCCATGTCGCGCACGGCGGAATCGGATGTCTGCTGCGAGATGGATAACGGCGAGCTCTTTGCATCGTAGTGCGAGCGCATAGTCGAGTTTGAGGTCTGCGGGTGCAGTCGACGGCTAGCGACACTGTAATCAGATCCGCGCCTGCCTTCCCCACTGTATGCGTGCCCCATCACGTTCGATGATGGGCGTCTGGAGATGTCGGGTCTCGTAAGGTGCGTGTCGTATTCTGCAGCGGATCGTTTATCGTCGTGGCGCGACCCATAGCTTGCCTCGGATACTGTAATGGACATGTATCCGGGGCTCGCCGGGACCGATTGCTTCGACTTCGAGCGGAACATTGGTTCGGAAGTTCCCAGCACTCGGTGTGCCTTACTGGACGAGTCGTCAAGGCGTGAAGGCCATTCGGGCGCAGAGGGTATCGAGGGCGTCGAGCTGGCGGCGTCGTCTCTGGTAGGCTTCTTTTGTTTGCGCCCCGGCATAGGAAAGGAGAACTTCCCATGGTTCCGGACCATGATCAATGAAGAAAGACGGGCGTGGTTAGAGACAATTGGTGGCTTGCTGCCGGTTGGCGTCCGCGACTCGGTCTAGAATCAAAAGCAACGTACGGGTTGCGCGATACCGGTAGGCTTTCAAGCTTTCTCTTTTGCCCGCATTGAGCCGTGAGTGCGTCGAGAGAGCGCTATCCGTGCTGCCGCAGTGCTGGTGCTGGCGGTACATGTGCGAGCGAGGTTTCGGGAAGAGAGCTGTCGTAGACGATGTGTTGAGATCACTCGTGCTGGAGAGGAACCACAAAGTCCAGGTGCTCCAGGTTCGGCTGAGGGCCCGGTCTCCAAGCTATTAGTATTGCTCGCGCCGGCTTCCCGTTCCTGCAGCGAGGTTCGGCAAGGCGCTAAGGACGAAGTGCATGCAGCAAGCTGCGCAACTTGTACACTGTAATAATGAATGCCAGGTCTGCGAAAAGGAGTGGAGCCCTGGAGACATAGCGACGACGTCGTATGATAGCCAGCAAGTGTAGTCCCCAGGTTCCTGCTCGCCTTCCGCTCATGTGCTTTCATCCGACTCGTCAATCGCCGTGGTTATCGCCAACCTGGGCCATATGAAAGCTCGGTTCAGGCCAAGATCTGCGAGCCGGCGTCGATGTATGGCCCCCCCTGAAATCATCCAAGCGTGTCATGCTTGTCTGCCGGACCACCCACCTAAGGCAAATGCAGCCGCAAACATCAGGCTGGGAGGATGGCGCAGGAATAGGGACATGCAAGAGTTCGCTTAGGTGACTTTGTGGATCTCTGTGAGACGACTTCATCACGTCCGTCCGTTGCTGCACTGGAAACTGCAGTGCATGACTGTGTTCCCATCCTAATTTCTCCCGACACCAACACAGAAGCGACGTCACACAGGCAGCACGCCGTCACCGCCGTTCCGTTGGGAGCACGCTTCGTGTTCATAAACACAGCAACTGAGTCCAAGCCACAGCGCAGAGCAGCAAACCAGTCCGCGTGATCTTTGTGTTTCAGGTGTGCGGCATAGCAAAGCATGTATGGCGCGATCAGCATCGTCAGTGCCTAGGTCTTGGACTGGGCGCTGTAAATCGTTACTGTGGGACCCCTTACCGCCCGCTGATTCTCAAGATCGTGGAGTTGATCTTGGTGCGTGCTCCTATCGACTGCAATCTTGGACAACCGTATGCTTTTGCATAATTTCACAGCGTTGCCGTCTCCCTACGACGCTTGTGTAGCTGTCTAGTCTCCTTGCGAGCATTGTGGACATTGTCAAATGCTTTTCTTAGAAGCCTCATCAAACTTACACTTCAGCACCTGCAGCGATCTTCTGTCACACGACATGAAAGCAGACATGACGCAGTACCGTAGTGCTTTGCTCTGCGTCTACGTGTTCGAACGCAGTGGCATGCAGAAGGAGAGAAACTTCCATTTTCAATAAATTGTATTTGCGTGATGGTTAACCTTAATTTTTGAGCTCAGCATCACTACACGAGACAGTCAGAGAACGTATGCCGTCATCAACTATTGTTGAACATGGTGGTGTATTGGTGCCATGTCTTCACGCAATCTTCAAAGGCCACGAAATGTCTTAGCGCTTGGCCTTCGGCGTAGCAAAGTCACCACCTAGAATAGCGTGAGACACCACGCTTCCATTGTAAGTCTTCTTCTGAGGACCGTCAGTGTGGTTGCAGTCTTCGTGAGGTCGCTTGCGAGTCTTCGGAACAGGCGTGCCTGGAGTGGGTATGTCCGCGAACATAGGGTCCAAGCCTTCGAGCTAGATGGTGAAGCATTCGTTAGTGATACTCGAATCATATCGAACGAGTGAGCATACATGAGCTGTGATTCCAAGCGTTGGGTCGAAATAGATTTCGTTGATTGTCGTCTTTGCTTTCACAGTGGCCTCTAGACGAATTGCTGTGTTGTTGCGCCCTACATTCTCAATAACGCCATTATCTTTGAGGTGCTTGATTATTTTAGCAGTAACATGTTCCGTGCAACCTGTCAACGTCAGTCCTGTTCGAAGTGGAGCTAGCGGAAGAAACCTACCTATGGCTTTGCCTAGCTGTGCCTTACCATCATAGCCATGCTGAGAAAGCAGATGCACAACGCGGCGACGAATGGCTCGATCTCTCATGGATCTCAGATTTTGGGGCGATTCGCCTCCGAGGAGACAGGAATAGCAGATGTGCGTGTGAGGGATCCGGTGGTCGTCTCCTCCATGATACCCGCAGCAATGCACGTGTTGATATGTACGGCAGTACTCGCAGCAAATCTACACGCGTTAGTGGTTTTAAGTTTTTGGCGCAAATGAATACCTACTAGGTCGTCTTCCGTTGTAGCACATCCACATGCACATTGAATGTGCAGCATCGATGCACTTGAAGAAGCATGCTTTACCACTTTCTGGTGATCATTGTGATGCGGTCTGTCGATGTGGTCGATATCTAGTTGATCCCTCTTCGATTGGCGAAAGACCAGAGGCTCCACGACGGGCTCAACGACGTCACTTGCACGTGGCTGAGTCTCTTGAAGATACGTGGTTCTCAATGTAGGGGGAAGCTATGAACTGGTAAGCATGATGCGGTTCGAAACAACGACAAACTGACCATGCTAGTGACCTTCTTCTTCATCTCCATGTCGGATGACGAGGGTATGGCGAGCGTCTTGACACTGTCGTCTGGAAAAGAAGTCCCCGGGACGAAAGTCTTGCTTGAACTTTTCTGGATGGGAAACTGCTGACTTTGAGGCTTCTCATTACGGACCGGAACGCTTCGTTTGGGCACCTGCTTGTCCGTATCTGGTGGCTGAACATTAGTTGGCAACGCTGCTGCTACCCGTTGAGCAGATGAAGTTCCTGAGGACGAGAGCGCTGCTGTCTTCGCGTGTGCGGCTTCCGAGGCTTCTGTAGAAGGCCTATGCTTAGTGTATGGCATCCCCATGGGTACAGCATCAAGTTCATCCTCAGTTTTCGGAGCTAAGTAGGTCAGTCCGAGCTCGACATGGTGATGTCCAGCGTGCATTCGGGTTACTGCCGTTGTCCGGCATTCCCACTCCTCTGAATCCGCAAAACGAGTGGCGCCAGCCTCGTAATTGCTGAATCCTGGAGGACAGTACTCTGGAGGTTTAGTCTCGTTGAAGTCGAGCTCAACAAACATTTTGACAAGAGGCGGAAGTTCTGGTAGACATGCGGTACAGACGTGTGCTAGATCTGAAATGAAGCGGCCCAAGTTCCGCTTCGCCTGGTTGATCGATATGCTCTTGCCATGTATGTTCTCTTGCAGGCTCATATCAGAGACAAACGGGCCGTTGCCGGAGTCGGTCTTGCTGTACTGGAAGCTTAAAGCCCACTCCTCTACTCGCTCGCTCGGATCTGCCGAATGCTCTACAATGGCGAACCGTAATGTCTTCAGGTAACCTCGCTTAATTGCATCTGCGACTCCCACCTCCTACTTGCTTGTTAGCGTGCATCCACAACTCAAAACCGAGAACGACGTACCAACAGGTCTAATAAGCGATCGGCCCGTTCTGTCACACCCCTCTTAAGAGTCTCGTACTGCAACTTCTTCAGCTGCGTTTGAGAGGCATCTGAATCGGCGAGACTCTGTTTGTCCGAAGGTTTTGCGAACTCGACATATGCCGCCTCGTAGTTGTCGTCTTCAAACATGTGACGCAGCTTAGCTAGAGAACTCGCACAAGCTTGGGTAAGTGTTTGTACAATCATAGTGCTAGTTGACACCGTGACAGTTTGCGCAGTAGCAGTCGTTTCGGGTCCTTGGGTCTGCAGCACTTGTAGCATCGTTGTAGTAGATCCTGCTGCCGCAGCGGTCTGAACGGTGGCGGCCTGTGCCGAAGTATCTCGCACAGTGGCATCCTTCACTGGTGCAGCCTCAGTAGAAGCCTGTGATAGCCTGGTTCGGCGTTTCGAATCCCTGGCTGCCTGCTTCGGCAGCTTCGACTTGGGTGGCATGCTGAATGTGCAGTTGTAATTCGTGACTTGCAAGCGCGCCAATTGTTGTAGGAGAAGGGACTGTCCTCCTGGAAAGTGAGGTAGAAACGAGTGTGTTTGAGAAGACGAAATTCTTTTCGTAGCTGGACGCGCCTTCCTTCAGTGTTTGTGGTCAGACCATCGTGACGTCGGCTTCAGATCGGAAGGCAGGTGCGAGCCAACCACATCGCGACCTCAACATGTGAAGCAGACGCGCGGTAACAAGAATGAGTAGTGAAGCGTTCAAGCATTGTGCCGATAGACGAGGCTGAGATCCGCGCGAGGTCTGCAGTGCGGCAGTTATGGCAAAAGGTGGTGATGGTGCAGGTACCCCGGGTCCGTCGTGGCTCAGGTCAGATGAGTGGAAATTACCGCTGCAAATCTCACCTACAATGCATATCGAAGTGCTTTACTTATTGGAGCTGTACACTACATGATGTTGAGAAGAAGGCTGTTGAAGTGTGTGCGAGTGTGAAAGCTACAGAAGCGCACTGCCCAAATGACAGTCAGATGGAAGATGAAAGTCACCTACCTTCGTCGAAGTACACGACTCTCTGACTCCTTGCTCTATGAAACTTCATCCTGCTGTAATTTGTGTCCAATGTGAGTACGGTGAGTCGCTTGCACAGCCTGTCGTGTCAAACAGCATCTGCAATGCACAATGGTTATTTGAGAACAATGCCACTATGTCACATAGCAACTGATGCATCTTTCGCAAGCTCGCAAGATGAACATGTGTTGTACAAGGCTGAAAAGCCTACCATACTTCTCATCCTCGATCGGACTGCCTGGCTACAGATATGCACAAAATTTGAGGGGAAAACCCAGACCTGTCCTCAATCACGAGGGCTCCATACAGACTACTGCATGGGTAAAAGTCTTGTTGAGTGGCGGTATCTGGTGCTTGGGAGAACAACATCTGCGGTCAGCGAACAGCTGACAAGTCCTGCATGCCGCGTTCTCGACTACCGTCCGTGAAGCGCAACTCAGAGAACACGCCGACTAGAATCTTTATAAGCCACGCTAAGACAAAGAAGATGGTGGCGGCGGCAATGTTGTCGGCCGGCTCGCGAAGAATCCTCACGGCGTCGCAGGATCGAATCGAGTTGACGTGCGGATCAATGCTGGATGTGGTGCCGAGTGACGGCTGGCTGCCGTGCAATACTTTGTAAGGTAACCCGAGCGATGCAACTCAAGCTCGAGCTTGAACAGAGGAGATGCTTGACTGCATTTTCAGCATGCGCATAATAGACGCATCTGAACATGGTGCCTGCTCCATAATGTTTATAATAAAGACAGGCAATAAATATAACGTGCCAATGTGTACAGTATGTCGCGCAATATGAAATGAGAAGGTTGGGAGGGAACATGGGGCGAGGCAGCAAGGGCTTCGGTCGCGCTTACCTTTCGCCTATGCTTGGCCCTCAATCCACTCTTGTCCCCGCTGCCAGCACTCAGCACCTCCAACACCACTCCCGCGATATTACGGCCGCCCTCTCTGTTCCTTCCTTTATTCGCGAGCCCCGGCGCCCTCGAGTTGTGCAACGGCCTGGTCCCTGTGTTTCACCGCTCTGGCAGACATCTCCACGGATCTCCTTTCCTCCACCGTCGTCAGCGGCGATAGACCGAGGGACGTACACGACGATACCAGCCACGCTCACGACCCCGGAGAGTCCTTGCACATCACGGTCACGGGATCATAACCATGCACACGGCCTAGACGCGATCGTTTGACCCTGCGTGCCGCCGCTTCACCGAGCACACCTCCCTCTCGAGGTCCCGACCCCATCACGACATTCACGCCCGGCAACCGGTCCGCTCTGCTGCTTGGACACGACAGACAGCCTACATAGCGCATAGGTATCTCCAAGCCGCAAGAGTTTGTAGAGGACTCGGCCCCTTCATCTACCTCGTCAGTCGCCTCACGATATGGCCTCGGCTGCCTCAGGCCCCAGCCCTGACGGGCGTTCGACATCGGTGCATAATGACGCGGTCGATCCGTATACGACCATGGGCCAGTTCTCTTTTGCGCCCGCTACCAAAACGACAGTCGTCACCACGACATATACAACCACAACCACTTTCCCGCCCTTGTGCGTGAACGCCCCGGGAAGCCTTGGCGGACGCGATCCCAAGGAATACCCACTCGCCCACGTACAAGCACCTGAGTCGATACGGAAGATCTACTTTGAGGCGGGAGGAGAGCTCGCGTGCTTCGAAGAGGCTGACGCTGCGTCAAACAAAGTGCAGGAGGTAAGCTTTCGCCAAATCCAGGGATATGCGTGCCAGCCACGTTGGGATGACTGACCTGTGAACTACTGTAACTGACTATCTACTCCGCAGCACAACAAACTCCAGAACTCCCTCCGATCTGCCAACGGCACACTGAAGAAGGTGGAATCATTCAAAGGACCCCCCGTGTTCGCAACACCGAATCGCGCTATCCGCCCAGCCTTCGCCCACAACCCGCATCTGCGTGCAGTTTCAGGACGTCGAAAGCGGGAATCTTCCGAGGATTCCCCACCTGTGCCATCAATAAAGGAAGCAGCTGAACTGGCTAGCCTACATCGACGGAGCAAGAAGCCGCGCATAGCAGTCCACGAGGATAAGAGTGAAGATACGATGCGTGACTACACACCAGAGGACCTAGACGAGCCAGTCCCAGCGACGCCTGACACCGATCTTGGACTCGCAGGCAAAGCCGCGGCATCAAAAGCTAGAGTAGGGCCTTCTTTGAGAATTGGCCACAGGTCCACTTCCCAGCAAGCCAGTCAGGCACAATTACCACCACGGTGGCAACTCCAGGAGTCGGCTGCAGGCCCTTCGACTGTCAGGTCTGGCTCATCTGCACCCCGTGGGCAGTCGCCGGATCCATCTTTCCCCACGAGCATGCTTCATGGTCCTGGGGTCGCTGCTACACCACCTATCGCTGAGTCTGACAGGGAGCCAGCTGTGTCCTTCGCTGACGATGAATCATTCTCGTCAGCCCGACTTACACCTCTTGATATTGGTTCCGCACAAGACGCCAGTCTTCCGAGCCCTAGTTTGTCTCCCATTACTGCCGCCGCCAATGCTCAACAAAGCACGAGTGGAGCCTCGTTCTTGGGTGCAGATGGTGACTTTGATCCCAACGATGTTTCAGGGCTGGACCTCTCACAAAGCGAACTGGCGGACTTCCCGCTCTTCCCTTCTGGATCACATCACCTCGAACTACCAGATGTGGGCGAGGTGGCCAGCCCCAACCCACAGCTCTTGACGCCGACTGTCATGGGCATCCCTAGCATGCTGAATTCGTTCGACGCCCTACCTGAGCAAATGAAGTCGTATGTCATGTATCAGCTGCTTAGGCGCTGCCCAAAGCCCACCCTGCACTTCGTCGCCGACGTCGTCAACCCAGCCCTGAAGCGCGACTTCATTGCTTCACTACCTGCGGAGCTGGGTCTTGAGATCATCGCATACCTGGATGTCAAGAGCATGTGCAGTGCGGCCCAGGTATCCACATACTGGCGCAGACTTGTCGATACACACGAGGGTGCTTGGAGAGATCTCTTCGAGAAGGATGGCTACAAGCTGCCGTATGGCGAGCTCGAGCGTGCTGTTCAGGAAGGCTGGGGCTGGCAATATCCCCATTTGCCAGACAGCTACGAGCGTGATCTGCGAGCTACCTCTATTGGTTCAAGGTCAGATAGCGAAGCACACGTTGGCTTCTCTGCTGTCAGTCATTCAGGGAGTGCTCATGACCACGAAGGGGCAATAACGCGATCTTCCTCGACCCGACAAAAGAGGAAAGCAAGCAGCAAGCATGGTATCTCCAAGAAGCTACGCAAGAAGGGATTATCCTCTGCCAAGACACAAGTTGCTCTCTATTCGCAGCCTGGAGACAAACAAAACGGGCCCAACGCCTACGCCCAGCGAGCTCGAGCCGCCGTCCCGGATCCAAGGGTTGGCTTGCCCAGCTTGCGCAACATGCATCTCTTCAAATCTTTATACCAGCGACACCACCTCATTCGAAAGAGCTGGATGGAAGAGGATACGAAGCCAAAACATATCGCATTCCGTGCGCACCAGCGACACGTCGTCACTTGCTTACAGTTTGACACGGACAAGATTTTGACTGGAAGCGACGACACTAATATCAACGTCTACGACACCAAGACCGGAGCTATACGTCAACGTCTCGAGGGCCACGAGGGCGGTGTCTGGGCCTTGCAGTATGAGGGCAATACCTTGGTGTCGGGCTCAACGGATCGCTCAGTGCGAGTCTGGGATATTGAGAAGGGCAAGTGCACACAGGTTTTCCAAGGTCACACATCTACCGTTCGATGTCTTGTCATTCTCAAGCCAACACAGATCGGAGAGACGATAGATGGTCAGCCAATTCTGATGCCCAAGGAAGAGCTAATCATCACTGGTTCTCGAGATTCAACCCTCCGTGTATGGAAAATGCCCAAGCCCGGTGATCGCAGCGTTATGCAAACGGTAGCTTCCTCGAACGATAGCGACAACCCCTACTTCGTGCGAGCCCTCACAGGTCATCACCACTCCGTCCGCGCCATTGCCGCCCACGGTGACACTCTTGTCAGCGGCAGCTACGACTGCACGGTCCGAGTATGGAAGATCTCAACCGGGGAGGTCCTACATCGCCTTCAAGGTCACTCGCAGAAGGTCTACAGCGTTGTTCTGGACCATGCCCGTAATCGTTGCATCAGTGGGTCTATGGACAACATGGTCAAGGTGTGGTCCTTGGAGACAGGCGCCTGCCTATTCACACTTGAAGGTCACACTTCTCTCGTTGGCCTGTTGGATCTAAGCCATGGGCGGCTAGTCTCTGCCGCTGCAGACTCCACACTACGCATCTGGGACCCAGAGAATGGCCAATGCAAGAGTAGACTTTGTGCCCACACTGGCGCCATTACTTGCTTCCAGCACGACGGCCAGAAGGTCATCTCGGGCTCCGACCGTACACTGAAGATGTGGAATGTTAACACAGGCGAGTTCGTCAAAGACCTATTGACGGATCTCAGCGGAGTGTGGCAAGTCAAGTTCAACGAGCGCCGATGCGTCGCTGCTGTACAGCGAAACAGCATGACGTATATCGAGGTAAGCTATAGTACCATCTCAAATATGAGTCCGACTAACGACACCAGGTTCTTGATTTTGGCGCTTCCCGTGACGGCGTTCCGTTAGAGCAACGAGGTCGCCGCATCGTGGTCAACCACCGTGGCCACGAAATAGAGGATGTTACAGACGTAGAACCGACCGACGCAGACCAGGCGTGAGCTCTGCTTGTTTGACCACCTTCCTTCTTGCACATACTGCGAACATGTTCAAAAGCTATACCCCTTAGTCGGCTCTTTTCGGGCACGATGTCATGACGAGTTTATTGTTTCCTGAGATGGCATGATAGGTGTTCTTTGTATCAGCCCAGTTTGCGGGCTTGTAATTTCCGGATATCCACTTCTGCGAACAGGCGTTTATGTTAGGATAGGGTGCATAGCTTCGGCGTTTTCCAGCATCGACTATGCGGACACTCAGGCATAGAGACCCCGGGGGTTCGTGCCATGCATTACGAATAGAGAGAATACATACACATCATTCTGATGCCCTTTCTTTGCTCCTCGTGCTCGTAATGTGGCTGACACGAAGGCGAGGAGTGGCGGCAGCTCGGGGGTGCCCCGCCGGCCCCGCAGACGCGATCGCAGCTCTGGCTCGCAAACATCAAGCTATCACACTTCGCAGCGACAGTCTACTCTCCGTCCTTGCATTCGTTGGACATGTGCACCAAACTCGACTAACCCTAATGCCGGAGTATTTCTTTCATCTCACGTTTGAGCTGTATCCCTCTCGCTCGTCTTCGAACACAGCGTACACCCCGCCGCCGCAGACAGACATCTTTACCTCTGAGCTCCCGGCACATCGAAAGGCTTCCTGGGGGTCAATCTTACCGGCTCCACAGGTCGACGATAGCTCCCATAAGCTGGTGTCATCGAGCAGGGACGCTGCTCAGCTGCCTGCTCCCCGCGAACGGCTGCCACTGACCCGCCGGTTCAGTCACCTCACGCGACCGTCCATATCCGACCACCACGATAGCCCCGTACCTGTAGTCAAGCCGCCGAAAAGGCCCGGACATAGGCGGACACAAAGCTTCGCCCACAGAGATTGGCGGTTCGACGCCATATCCATTCTCAGCATCGATATGAGCGCGAGCAATGGCGACGAGCTCACTCGGGTCCACTCAAAGTCGCTCAAACACGCCGCGCAAGCACAGAACTCGGGTGGTCTGGCGACAAAGGGCAAATTTATTCCCTCTGATTTAAGGGATACAGAGGTCGGCTGGGGTGTGGTGCACCTCTACCGCGATGGGCAAGAGACGCCGGGCCTGTACGAGGACGTTGAGGGGGCTACCACGGACTTCAACGAGGAGGACTGCACTACACTTTGCATCTTGAGGCGGTGCCATCCTACATGACGCCATCCGACTTCTTGGGCTTTGTGGGAGAGCGAACGCGGGAAGACGTGTCGCACTTCCGCCTCATCAAGACGAGCAGGGCAAACAAATACATGGTGCTCATGAAGTTCCGGAGTGCGAGACAGGCGAGGGAGTGGAGGAAGGAGTGGAATGGCAAGGCATTCAATAGCATGGAGGTGAGACATAGGTTCTCTATTAGACATTTGCTTTCGCTAACAACGACAGCCCGAGTACTGCCATGTCGTCTTCGTCAAATCCATCAACTTCCAGAACGGCGACTCGAACCGCGATCCTACTTCGTACCCCGACTTGACCAACGATCCCGTTTGCCCCCAGCTCCCTCCTAAGCAGTCGACTGCTCCAATACCACCAGCGACTGGTGTCTCCTCACCTGTCGACGGACCCTCCATGGCGTCTTCCCTCACAGCAAAGCCACATGCACCTCCCACACCCGCTCTCGTCGAGCTCCCCACGTGTCCCGTTTGCCTCGAACGCATGGACGAGACTACAGGTCTGCTCACCATTCTCTGCCAACACGTCTTCCACTGCGCCTGTCTGGAGAAGTGGCGCGGCTCTGGCTGCCCCGTATGTCGCTACACCCAGAACGATGCCTTTCACCTCCAACCGCGGCGCCGACGGCGAAGCCCCCGACAACGAATGCAGCGTATGCGGCTCAACAGAAAACCTCTGGATCTGCCTCATCTGCGGCAACATAGGCTGCGGCCGCTACGATTCGGCCCACGCCTTTGCACACTACGAAGCCACCTCGCACACCTACGCCATGGACGTCGTCACCCAGCACGTCTGGGACTATGCCGGCGACGGCTACGTGCACCGCCTGATCCAGAACAAAACCGACGGCAAGCTTGTCGACATGCCCGCCTCCACGCACGCAGGCGGCATGACGGGCTACGCTAATGATACGGTCCCCCGCGAGAAGCTGGATAACATGGGCATGGAGTATGCGTACCTGCTTACCTCGCAGCTCGAATCCCAGCGCGCGTACTTTGAAGAACAACTCGAGCGCGCCGTGGACAAAGCCGCCAAAGCCGCGTCTTCCGCTGACGAAGCGTCGCGCTCCGTCGCTTCTCTGTCCCAAAAATTCGACCACTTGAGGACCCAGCATGACGATGCGACACGCACCATTTCCACCCTCGAAAAGGAACTTGACCGCCACAAGCAAAAATCCACCGCGTCCAGCGATCTCGCCAGGAAATTAATGAAGCAGTACAAAGAAGAACAGACCATCAACGAGAGTCTGATGGCGCGAATCAAGCACTTGGAAAAGAAGGCCGAGGATGCGGAGATCAAGGTCAAGCAGATTCAGGCGCAAAAGGAGGATCTGGAGGAGCAGAATCGCGATTTGAGTTTCTTTATTAGCGGGCAGGAGAAGTTGCGGGAGATGCAGGCGGGAGAGGGGTTGGAGGAGGGTGAGGTTGAGGGCGGGACGGTGGAGGTTGCCGAGGTGAAAAAGGGGCGGAGGAAGGGGAAGAAGAAGGCTTGACTTTTTCTGGCATGGGAACGGGCGTTATGGGATGGGCGTGGATTATTTGAGATACCCCCTTTAGACGCGATATTTTGGCCCTGGCGTGGGCATCAGCCGAATCACACATTCTTCACCACCACCAAGTCCACTTTCAGTCTTTTCTAACAATGCAAATAAATCGTATTCGTTATTCCAACTCCCCTATCCATCCAAATCCCAACCTCATTAAACGCCCTTCTCGTAAAAGCAAAACCGAAAACAATATAGATATATATATACACATGTGGTCATGTCTGGAGAAAAAGCGGTCGTCAAAGTCGTGTCATGCCAAGTCGTGCGTGGCCCCAGTCATTCTGGATAGCAGTGTGTAAAAGGAGAGACGGAGACTAAGAGTGAACGCCCTAAGGAAAAGAAGATTTCGTCGAAGAAATGCTGGAACAATCTGGAGTCGGTGTCGTGTATGCAAAGGTCGTATCCAGAAAGTTGTTTTTTTCTCGAAAGGGGGCAATGATCCAAGTAACCATTCGGGTGAAGATGGAAGTATGTCCAAAACCGACATACAGCTCGCTCAAATCCAATCATCATCATCCTTCTTCACACCTACACCAACACCAATCTCCTTATCAAACCCGAGCCCCAGATCAAACTTCGGGGCCTGAATCTGCGGCGCCAACTCGGCCTTCTTCTTCGGACTTTGCTTGACAGGCGAGCTGACCGCGCTCTTCCCATCGCCCGCACCCATGCGCACAGTCTTGACGTCCCAGTCATCTTCGAGCGCGGCGCCAATCCACACCTTGACGCTGTCATGCACGGCACCATAGTACTTTGGATTGCAAGCGCGCAAGTGACCCATCAATTTTTCAAAGCCCGAAACTTTGAATTCCTGGCGTAGGGTATTGCGTGCTTCGCGGGTGGGGAGGGAGGCGATGAGGCCGTTGAGGAGATCGATGTGGGTGGCGAGGTAGTTGGTGGCATCCCATTCTACGCCGCCGACGTATGGAGCTGCTGGGACGATGGCGCGTTGACCGGGGAAATGGGTTTTGGCGTAGGATTTGGCAGAGTCCTTGGGAGCAGGAGGGACGGGGACCACGTTGAGGTGGTGGATGAAGATCCAGAAGACTTCTTTGGTGACGTTGCTCATCTCCTTGCACCATACCTGGTACGGACGAGGTTGGTACATTTGCAGGATGAAGGGCACCGTGGAGGACTCCTTCTCCTTGACGGGATCTTTGAGATAGTTCAGCAACTGAGTGGCGCGTGTTTCGAGTTCTTCCTCCGGGGCCATGGAGATATGGGCAAAGATGATCTCGATGATGAGCTCACGCGTAGTAAACTCGCTCGGGCCCTTGTGTTCCTCGTCAAACAGCATAGCAAGGAGTGCTGGGTACAATGTAGGCGAGATCTCGTTGAGCTGCTTCAGCGCAGTTGCGGTTGTGCACAGACCCTTTAGGCATCGAAGAAGCTCATGAAGAAGAGTGTCCTCGTGATCCTCGCGCCACTCAATCTCCATGATGCGGTGGAGGAGAGCGACCAGCTCAGTCATGCCACCCTCTAGGATGAAGTTGTCGACCCAATCGACTGTCTCGTTTCGGAGCAGCAATCGGAGCTTGTGCAGCTTGCCGACCTCAACGTTGCCTGGCTTCGGCGTCTTCTTGAGGTACTTGATGAACTCATCTGCCTTTACAGACTTCACTCCATTCGATACGGACCGATCCGAAGAAGTTGACGCCAGTGACCTCGTGGAAGGCGACTTGGGTATGTTTACCGCCTTGGAGGATGTCTTCCTCTCGTTGGCGTCCGGCTTCTGTTTCTTGGTGGGAGAATCACTCCGGCTGAATGTGAAGGTCCTGCTTCGCGGGCGCTCGCGCTTAGATGAGCCCGGCTTGTCCGTTGGTGAGGTGACGTTCTCTTCTTCCATTGCTTCGTCTCGTGACTTGTTGCTCCTCGTGTGACCAGGCTTCTGTGTGGGCCTACCATCGCTTTCACCAATGGATGAGTGGGCAGACGCGGTCCTTGATGCTGATGGGGTGTCAAGTTTGTGCATGCGAACAAAGTCAGCCTTAACCTCGAGCTTCAGTGTCCGCATCTGAGCGCGTTGGTGTGTGGGAATGTTTCGTGATTCCTAATCTAGTCAGTGATGTTCGGCTGCATAGTCCAATTACACATACCAAAACTTCTTCAAACTCGGCATCCACCGTCTGCGGGTCAAGCTTGGTGGGCGAACTCGGAGCTTCCATCTGCCTGGACTTGCCATTGAAGGCAGCAACAGCAGCCATGACCCTGTTAGGCTTCTTTGCCGCTGGAGCGGGCTGAGGCGCGGGCCTTGCCTTCTCGTCCTTCCTGCTGGTATCGGTGCTGGAGCGGCCCATTGGTGGTCTCACGGCCGAATGCTTGGACGGAGAAGGGTCCCTGCTCCTACCCTCGTTGCCCTTGGTATCCGACAATGGCACTCGATCACCGCTCTTCTTGCGGGTGAAGGTCTCGAGCAGGCCGGTGGAGGTGCTCTTAGGAACGACCATCGACTTGGGTCGCTCTTTCGCGGCGGGTTTCTGTTGTAGCGACGGCTGCCCATAATCGAAGAAGTTGCGCTGCTTGGTCGGAGAGTACTGCTGGGGTGTATACAGCGCAATCTCGTCTTCGACACTCCTTCGGTGGTCGTTCAACGGCACTCGGCTTGTGGTGGTGACTTCCTGCAGTGGGGTCGAGCTGAACTCGGCCCAGATGGGAGGACGCGGGGGTTCGGAGGCGTTCGCAGAGTTGGGTGGTGTCGTGTTCTCCTTGTCTCTGGGCTGCTTCGCGGGCGACTGGGACCGCTCCTTCGACCTGCCCTTGCCGAACATGGCAGCCAGGTTGGTCGACGACTTGGTCTTCTTTGGCTTCTCTCCCATAACCTCCTCCTCACGCGGCCGCCTCACATCCATCGACTTCTTGTCCTTTGGCTTCTCTTCCTTCTTCGCCAGTGACCGTAGCGAGACGGAGCTGAGCGTCTTCTTGTGCAGGCTCTTCGGGCGGCTCTGCTTGGCGTCTTGAGACTTTTGCGGGGACGGCGGATTGAGAGGAATGTTCTCGGTGCGCGTGCCAGCCCGGAGTTGGCTGTGCGGGTGGTCTGGAGGTAGCAATGGCGCCTGGAAGTTGGAGACAGGCGTGTACGGGGCGTTGAAAGCTTGGTTCTTCTTCAGCTCCATGCCGTCCGAGATGGTACGCTTGTGTGTCTTGTTCACAAAAGCCTTGAGCACCGTCGACGGCTTGCTGCGCCGGTTGCCTGCTTCGGGTGTCGCCATTGCGCAGGCTTACGGGCACTTGCAAGAGCTGGCGAGGACGTGGTAGGAATTACGCGGCAGTAGAATCGAAAATCAGACCGGCAAGGAAAGTCATGAAGGAGCCTGAGCTATAGCAGAGCAATCGCGGGCATATCAAAGAGAGTGACGATGGTCGTTGCAGCCCGCGGGTGGGCATAAACAGACTGGGGTATCTCCACAGCAACCGATGACGCTAGAACATCCATGCATGCCCGCACACCTCAACGCCACGACCACGCTCATCTCGTCTCGCATTGCCTTTTTATGGAATTTAGAATTTGATTGAGTTGGTGTTCAATGCACTGCAAAAAAGTATGAAAAGGTCGAGATGCTTTTCTTGGGTCGTCGTGAAGAGCTAATGCCGGCATCCGCGACAGCTGCATGGTCGCTACCCTTGCATCGTAGTGTACCATAGTTGCGCAGAGTATCAAAGAACGCAATCAAGCCAAGTCATTCTCCGTCTTGCTAAGTTGATCATGCCCAAATTCAAATGTTGCATTGTTGTAGTATAGAAGCGAAACTATCAATACTATAGCCATCAAATCTCAAGTCGTTCGTATACCAAAGAAAGACAGTCCCTTCTACATCTTCAATTCCCCTCACGGATAGAATCCCACCTCAGAACAACCTCGCACTCCTCCCCATCATCTCTCCAAACCCAGCCAACGACCCCACAATCTCTGCTCCAGAGCTCCCACACCCCTCAGTACTAACACAAATCCCCGCCGTCGTCCCAGTGCATGCGCAAAACTCCTTGACGCAAACAAAGCCCACATTGCAACTAGCTGTCTCAGAGCAGCGTATAGGCTGCGGCTTCCCCGGATCGTCCTCTACACACTTGAACTTGGCCGAGTCGAAGCAGACGCCGCTGCCCTCCGACTCTTTGGCACATGCGCAGGACGAAGTGCCGTTGTTGCTGTTACAGAGACGCAGAAACTCGCAGTTGGAGTCGCAGGCTGTGGATGTGCAGACGCCGTTCGTGCAGGCTTTGCCGGCGCTGCATTTGTTGCCGCATAAGCCGCAGTGGTCGTTGGAGGTGCGGACATCCTGGCAGCTGCCGTTGCAGAGGGCTACACCGTTACCTGTACAGACGGGTGTAGGTGTGGGGAGGCCTGAGCTTGGGGTCGAAGAGGTCAGGGTGACGAGTGTGGATGATTGACTAACGGTGGAGCTGGAATTGGAAATGGTAGACGAGCTGGAGACGACACTACTGGATGATGAGGTAGAGCCCGTGGAAGACAATGAACCAGTCGTGCTGGATGGTGATGACAGTGCCGAGCTAGCGGACGAGGAGGAAGGCGAAGAATATGAGCCAATTGTGCTAGCCGTCGAGGTGACATTCGCACTACTCGTAGATGAGAAGGACGCAGTGCCGCTGCTGGACAACGAAGAAGTTCCGGCACTGCTGAGAGTGCTATTTACAGAAGCCGAACTTACAGTGCTGCTGAACGACGAGGACGGTCCTGTGCTGGTAGACGAAGAGGTCGTTCCATTAATTGTGCTAGAGGAGCTGATCGTCGCTGGACCAGCCGAGCTTGCACTATCTGTAGAGCTGGCGCTGCTGCTGGCCGAAGTGATCGTCGCCAAGCTGCTAACTGAAGAGCTGCCCGATGATGTCTCAGACGGCAAGCTGCTAGTCGATGAAATGCTGCTGAAAGTTCCATTGGAGGATGTAGAGCTGGATGGAATGATGACCGAGCTGGATGGGGAGGGGCATGCTGGACCGGTAGTAAGTGTGTTGGTGAACGTTGCTGTGATGTACGATGTGCTTGTCTGTAACCTCTTAGCTTACGGATTCAAGATGTGTTCGGATTTGACGTACCGTGCTGAGCAATGTGATCGTCGCAGAAGTGATGCCGAACTCCGACTTGCAGGAGCAAGCACTCCTGTAGTTTCCTGTGTCGCATGCGCCGGTAGCAGAGGTAGGAACAGCGCCGAAGATTGTCGTTGTGATGGACGTCGTGGGAGGGACCACTGTCAAAGCATTGATGCCTTCTGCTTCATATATCAAACCAGTAGTTGTGGAAGATGAAGTTGGGATAGGTGTGGAACTAGTAAGACCCGATGGTGTGATGCAGGACACGGTCGTTGTGGTCAAAGTGACTTCTGCAAAGGTACTTGTAACACTGTTGTTTATCAGCCCTGCGTACAGACAAATTGAGGTACTCTAAACCTACAGAGGATATATGAGCTCGGTCGTTGTCAAGTGCCTTTCGCAGGAGACGACTCCAAGCACTGGTACCAAATTGGGATCATTGCCCCATACTGCTCTGTAACAGTCGTTATGCTGACAACTATCCCGCTGCCTAACGGGGAGATTTGCTGCGAGAGCGAGAGAAAAGGTGCCTAAAGCAATGAGAGTGAAGAGCATCTTGAAATGAGCGATTGTGGTTGAGGAAGCTGATAGCTGCAGCCATGCTCGCCTTCACCAGTGGGTTATATACTCTATATGCCACCCAGCTGAAGCCGTGAGACCAGTATATTTGATGTGTCTCCATTCTTGGCTGCTGCAATTCCTCCTTCCCAGATCATGACGCCGTAACGGCGATGGCGTATCTGCATTACTTGGTGTTTGCACCGCTTGGACCGAAAAGTGTTTAGTGTATTGTCTAGGATACAGACTTCAGCTCTATCCACGGCAAACTTCGGAGAGCAAGGCGATCGTCGCCTTCTATCGACGGAACACCTGCCTAGAGTAGAGTAGGTAGCGTAGACAGAAAGACATATGCCCGTCTACAGCGCCTTGGTACAATCACTGCATCACCATACAGGACTAGATGCAGCATCTTGCATCGCTACTTCGGCATGATGGCGACGAAGACAAGCCCGAGCCTTTGTGCCGGTTCCGCGAACTTGCACAGCATGCTGAAGTACAATTGCTAATGTATGTAACGCAGGAACCAGCCTGCACCGTGGGGACCACTGTCAGAGTGATTCGTCTATGCAGGTACACGGTAGCTATGAAGCTGTAAACGCCTGGGCTGAGACAACTGGTGATCTTAATACCCTCAATTTGAGAGACATGCGTCGACTCCTGACTGTGGCTCACATGTGATTCTGATCATCGGGAATAAACCAATGATGATTCGTCAACTCATGTAAGCCTTCTCCATGAACTAAATCGAAACAGGTTCGTTGTCTGATGTCTTGGTTATTGAAGATCAAGAATGATGGGACATACGAAACTGAATTTCAGTCTGTAAAACCCGAAACAATAACCAAATCATAAGCGTTGCTTCTGCAAGCCATGCTCAAACGGTTATCACAAAGCAGTTTGGTTGCCAAATTGAATTGCCTCATGAAAAGCTAGCGAAGGGGCCTATATGGACATGGGCATGCTAGCGGTTTCGCATCGATCGATGTTCCCGACATGCTTCCTCCCCGATGGAGAAGGTACTCAACTAGGTGTAGTTGCGAAATAGTGTGAGCTGAGCATCAGTGCAATAGAGCAGTACTGTCGAAGTACCTTGACAAGTTGAACCATCGTTTGCACGGACATTGCAATGAGTGAGACACGTGAATGTCTAAATGAAATCAATGTTGCGAACAATGTCGAGCGAAGAGTTTGGAAGCATAAGAACTTCCGAGTCCGTTGAATGTTCCATGATATGCGTCCATTCTTCAGACTTCCCTCTTTGAGTGCCGTGCGCTGATGAATGGCCTTAATTCAGGCTGGCGGCAGGAAGTTGGCAAACAGCATGCCTTGTGCTATAGCATACGATATCATACCGCGGACAATCCATCGACTTTGTCGTTGGGGCTTAGAACAACCAGATGTTGCAGAATCATCAACGAGCCATGTAGCCACCATCAGGTACCATGTCGGGTAACCGGATGCCAACCGGTTGACAATCTGTACATGGAAGCTGACGATAGCAGCCACAGCGAGCACAAACTGTGGGAGCGCTAATTCAGGAACGTAGTGCGCAGTGGCTGAGGTCTCTATTGGATCGCTAGTCGCACCATGTTGGGGTACAGGACGCCCATGCAACAGTGGCTTGAGGGGGCTGCAGAGTACCGTTCCGCTAGATACGAGCAGCAACCAAAGCATCGGCGCTGCTATTACGAAGAGGGGTACATTCGGCAGAGTCCAGTAACGGAACAAGCCGACATTCCTTGCTAACGTTAGACCGATATCCCGAGACACGATGGATGACTTACCAGTAATGGCTTTGTACCCATGAATAGATACTCGGGATTGTCTTCTTGCACCAAGGCGGACTACCAACACTGCGGTCGCCAGTGCAGTACTCAGTATATGCGAGGTATTGTGGCCAGATGAATCCCAGGGCAACGACGCTACCTGCCACACATGTGACGACGATTCTCCGCATGTCATGTAAGGTCAGTCGCATTGAGAAGACTCGGGGTAAGTATCTAGCCACGTCATACAGGAGTATCAAGCCACTCAGCAAGCCATTGCCTCGCATTAATGTAGCGAAGCCAAAGAAGATGCCCGAGCCCAGCTTGTAAGCATCTTCACGGAGACTGGGCTGCTGGGTTTGAGCTCGGATTCTTGATCGCGTGTAGAGAAGCATGCCAGTGATATTGAGCAGCGAAAACGGAGCTTCCGCATAGGGTGATGAGAGAAATAACGAAGCCGGGTTCATCACATGTAAGACTGCTCCAATAAAGGCAACCCGATGCTTTCGCCGCGGATCCACCGTGATGGTCAGAAGTTGGTACAGTGCAAGGACCGAGAGCAGATGGCACACATTCGAGACGACGATTCCAGTCATCAGATACTGTCGTAACGCAGGTTTGGATCCGCCATTGAGGTCCATTTGGATGTCAACGGTGCCTGCATGTCAGGAGATGAAGCACTTACACTGTCCTACATAGTCTAGGAGCCATGAGTACGCCCAGCTGAACGCCCACTCCTGCTCGTGATATTTACCCCGCTCCGCAGCCTTGATGAAGTATAGCGAATCCCAACGAAACAAGTTGAGTGCGAGTCGATCGGACCAAGACGCGACGGAGAAGTTCACGTGCCTCTTGACACTGGGTTCGACGAGTATGAGCGCTGATGTGTCATATCCAGGACCGGGACAAAAGGTCGTCAAGACATGCAGCAAGGTCTTCCACAGCAAGAAGATGACGACTAGCTGCGTCGAAGGACTTTTTCTCTCAGTATTTGGCGTTGCCATGCTGAGGAGTGGCTGTCGTGATAATTTTCTTGATTGGCCAGTCGCGCCTGCCCGAGCTAGCGTCTAGAAATCGGATAATCGTAACGCCGTTATCTAAAGCAGCTAGCGCCTGCGTCCCGCACCTCGCCTAAATCCACTGATATCCACGAACTTTGCGACTCTCGATTTTCTTCGTCAAGTTCAACTTCGTCGACCGCCGCCAACAACACACGGTAAGCGCATACCCACACTCTGATTGCTCTCGAGCACATCAATCGCATGCAATCCATCATGATGGACCATGTCGAATACACAGATGGCTTGAGCGTAGAATGGCAGAAATGCCTTCTCGCTCTTACGAGATTCAGAACCTAATTAGTGGATGAGCATTCGCTAATGGTTTCTGTTCTCTATGACAGCCTCGACAATAAGCAAAGATGCCTCCTAAAGGAAAGAAAGCGGCGCCTGCCCCCTTCCCCCAGGGCAAGGCTGGTGGTAGCAAGAAGGCCCCCAAGGTGCGTATCCCTCCAACCCGTCTTCACTCTGTCGCAAAACTCTAACGAGGCCAGAACCCTCTCATCGAGAAGCGCCCCAAGAACTTCGGTATCGGCCAGGACATCCAGCCCCAGCGCAATGTCGGCCGCATGGTCCGATGGCCCGCATACGTCCGTCTTCAGCGCCAGAAGAAGATCCTCAACATGCGCTTGAAGGTCCCACCGGCGATTGCCCAGTTCCAGCACGTTGCCGACCGCAACCGTACGTCGCATCGAAAAATCCTGCGCGAAGAAAAAAACGCTAACAATATCACAGTGGCCACCCAGGCTTTCAAGCTCCTGAACAAGTACCGCCCCGAGACCAAGCCCGAGAAGAAGGAGCGCCTCACCAAGGAGGCCACCGCCATCTCCGAGGGCAAGAAGAAGGAGGACGTCAGCAAGAAGCCCTACACCACCAAGTTCGGTCTGAACCACGTTGTCGGCCTGATTGAGAACAAGAAGGCTTCCCTCGTCCTGATCGCCAACGACGTCGACCCCATCGAGCTCGTCGTCTACCTCCCCGCCCTCTGCCGCAAGATGGGTGTCCCCTACGTCATCGTCAAGGGCAAGGCCCGTCTTGGAACGGTTGTCCACCAGAAGACCGCCGCCGTTCTCGCCCTCACCGAGGTCCGCGCCGAGGACAAGACCGACCTGTCCAAGCTCGTCTCCGCTGTCAACGACGGCTACCTCGAGTCACACCACAAGGACGCCTCGCGTCACTGGGGAGGTGGCATCATGGGTGCCAAGGCCAACGCTCGCATGGAGAAGCGAAGGAAGGCTATCGAGAGCGCTATCAAGATCTAAGCGGGTCTTGGCAGTGTTTGAATGGTTCATAATGAAGTTCATGGCGTGTCTCTTATCTCTGCATCTAGGCGGTTACATACCACGGAGTTTAGGAGGGTTAAAAGCAGTCGGATAAGACTGCATTGACTGGAATCAATCACGATAACGCACGCCATTGAGCATCGTTGTTTCTTGAATGTGATGTGCGCCTTGCGGCTTCAGTCTAAATCATGTAGCGGCTAACTACACTGACATGTATCCTCGTTTCGTCCCATGCCTGGCACCTCATGCTGCGACTCGTGCTAAAAGTTCTCAATCTTCGTGCCAATCCCCCTCTCATCCGCCAGCCTCACCAAGTCCATGCCCACAACCACGTCCATCAGCCCCAGCCCCACACTCTTGTATATCACATTCCCCCTCTGCAACCACTCCATCAGACTCTTGTGCGCCTTGTCCTCTCCCTCGCCCTCCCCTTTATTCCCTCTCATCTTCTTCTTCATGACCTCGCACTCACCCAACTCCACCCCACCCTCATCCAGTCCCTCCTCACTCTTCCTTGCATGACACTCCACCCTCCTCCTCTCCGCATCCCTCTTCAACATAACCAGCTCCCCAATCTCTACCACCTCATTCGGCCCGAGGCCCGCCTGAATAACCTCTCCCGCCTCCTTCAGACACGCCTCCACACTATCCACCACCACGGCCCCGCCCTGCGCCGCATGTTTGTGAAAGTGTCGATGCCCGTGTTCCGGCGCGACGTTCTGCTTCAGGATGTCCGGGTGGATCTCGACCATGTGCGGCTTGTAACTGCCGATCGCAGCGAGGTAGCGGCCTTTTTTCCGTCCCTCTGGGTTTGTCAGGAAAGCCGCTGGGAAGAGGGGTGTTGTAGACGGCGTAGTGAAGAAAATCACACTACTGGCGCGAATCGTGCTCTTCAGCAGACGGTCATACTCGCCATGACTAGGCGTCAGAATCTGGATTTTCGGATGCGGGAGCCCGACCTCATTGCCCGCGCGGTACTGCGGGACATGTTGGGTATCTGGCGTCCACTCCGTGTGTTCCTCATGTGGCGCATACAGTCTCGAGAGTAATTGGTGGACGCGCTCGAAGTCGCGGTTAATGATGTTGAGGTGGTGGATGTCGTCGCCGCGCAAGAGGAGCGCAAGGCGGATGTGCCAGTAGGCTTGTTTGCCGGCACCGAAGACGACGAGGTCGTGCACGTTTTGCCGCTTCTTAAAGAGCATTGTGCTGGCGAGGGCGGTGCGGAAAGCGGTGATTTCCTCTGCGTTGAGGAGCGCGCGGGGCGCGCCCGACTTGTCGAAGAGTGTGAGGCTGCCTTTTGGTGTTGTGGATTGAGCGCTTGATTGTGATTGAGGTGTGTCGTTTAAGGTTGTAGAGGATGTGGAGGAGTTTTTGGAGATTGAGAGAGAGGACAGGGAGGATGTGACGGATGCGCTATCCGAGGACTTGGGCTTATTATCATCTGTACCCGCAAGTGTGACAATCTTGACACCCATGCCATCATTACTACTGGAGTCAGTATTTTAACCGCCAGGGTGGTTTCGGAGACTTACCTGCTCGCAGGCATGAAGAGCGTTGTCTGGCCATCACCACGCTTCAGGGATGTACGCAGTGGTTGGTATGATGAGGAGCACCCATTGCCGGTATCTTCTTCTGTAGCCGTCGAGTAGTAATGCAACGCGTCTGCGAGCGATTGCTGAAGGTCGAGGATATCTTGCTTTGTGAGCTGCAGCAGCAGACTGCGGACATCGTCGTCTGAAAGCACCGTTAACGGCATGGTGAGTTATATGCTTGTTCGAATTCTGTAGAAAGTTTTTTTATTGTTCCCTACAAAGAAAGTCGAGGTTATAATATAGGTGCACAGACAGGTACGGGTTGTTGACAAAGGGTCCGAAGCTTCGAAGCTTCCCTGGTGGGGGAGGGGCAGCTGCGGCTTTAAGTAGTTCTGATAAGTAAGTCCGACAACCTCACTTTCGCTTTGAGTAAGCACACACTTGATGACTTATTCATTCTCAACGCCACTGATGCAGAATGCCTCTCATACTTTAGCATACATTCGTTCACCATGATCATTTCATAATACGTTTTGCCGGCATATAGTACATCCATTCGACCGTACGTTTTCCCTTCATCGATGCTGCTCTTAGGCGAAGTAGCTCTTCCACAGCACACCTTCCAGATCCTCCAGCTGTTCTTGCTTGAAAGCCTGCGATGTTTGTCAGCATGAAATAAAGTCCAACATTATAATGCAACTCACCTTAACGTCAACATGCCAAGTGTCCTGCCTCGTCTTCTTGAAGTCTGCCAGCACGGTCTTGACACTCTTTCCTACAACTCCGGGATCGGCTGCGGCCTTGCGGGCCAATGTGGCCAGAACATCCGGTAACCATGCTGGAGGCGGGCTCTGGTACGGGAAGGCTTGGACCAATGAGCCGAGGCCAAGAACAGCAGCATGGCGTGTCAACACAAGCTTGCTCTGTTCCAGCGTCGGTGTACCTGGGATACGTTTCTTCGACAGCGGATTCTTCGTGAGCTGAGTGGTGAAACGTTCCTTGAGGGTTGACACCTGCTTGTCCCGTAACGCTACAGGCGAGCAACGGATCATGCCGGACAGTGTCGTCGCAGCACCCATGCGGACTTCGAGCTGACTGTCTGACAACATGGCTGAGACACAATCAAACATCTTCTGCTGCTGCTCTTCACCCATGAGGAACAGTCGGCGGAAGTAGAGGACCTGAATGTTGATCAAGGTCCTGAGACGCTGATGCCAGCTGGTCGCATTACGTCCAATGCGAACCAATGCGGCGATGAAGTCAGCATCCTCGCCTTCGCGAAGCGGGATGTTAGGCAAGTGGCGGAAGACGTGGTAAGCGAGGGACTGGAGCTCGGGGTCCTCCTTGATATCCATCATGTGGAGAAGCTGCTCCATGAAGACATTGGGGAAGAACTTGGCCAGCGATGTGCACTCATAGGATGACAAAGTGGAGTCCAACCAAAGCAAGACCGTCTTGCCGCCTGATGTATATGAAGAAGGCGTCTGTTGTCCAGCTGGGCGCTGATGACGCCAGGCTTCTAGGCGGGCGAACACATCGGTGATTGTCTGCTCAAACTCGGGAGTTGGCTCGTAGGGACGAACACCGATGGACGATGCCTCCTTCTGGGCCCTGATGAGCGTGCCAATATCCTTGTAAGATTCGTGATAACGTGTGCGGTAAATGCTTGCAATGGTCTGACCCATGGCTTCACGGACGCCCTTGTACGGATGATCAAGATGCTGCAAGAAATTCTCGAGAATGGGCTTTTCGAGCTGGAAGTGCCAACCTGCGTCGGATATACACTGCGTCAACAGATGTATCTTCGAGCTCTCCTTGAATGCCGCGTTCGAGTCCATGTCAAGGCGGAAGCTTGCTAGCCAGTCCACAAGAGGCCAGCCGCGCCTCGGGTCCCTAGATTGCAGAACGACGTGCAAGAAGGTTGTCCAATAGCCAGAATTCTCAGGCGTCAGGCCGTCTTTGAAGATCCCACGCACGATAGGGAAAGCGTACTCCCAAATCTCCTTTCGCAAGTCTGCATCCATGTCGGGCGCACAAGACAAAAAGGCAGCCATGATCTCAGCAGTAGCACGATGTTGATGCTTGTCGCTTCCGTCGCCGTAGACAGATTGGGTCAGGTCCTTGAGGTCTTGGAAAGTCGCCTCTGTTAGACCTGCAAAGACGAGGTCGAAAGTATTTGTGAGCAGCATGGCCCCTGACATGCGGAAGCGGTCGGCAGTGTTGTCGCGCGGTTCTTGCTTCATGAAAGCGAAGAGGTTAGAGAACCATGATCGTGTGAGATGCTTGGCAATCGTCTTTCGCACTTCGGTCTCGACTTCGTCGAATTCCAGTTGGCCGGCATTAGGCAAGAACGCTGTCATGTTCTTGTTCCACACAAGCCAACCCGGATGATCGGAGTCGATGTAATACTTAGCCTCTGGTTGAGCAAAGGCGGCTAAGTACTCCGCAGTCCAGTTAGGATCCTCGCGCCTCGTTGGCACTTCGATCTTATCAGGCAGCTCTTCCACACCAAGCAGATACTTCTCGTAAGTGTGTCCCGTAATTGCACGTGTAGTCACCACGGAAAACAGACCGGTCAGAGTTCCGGAGAAGTAACTTCGTAGACTTGGGTGTTGATCGACAGAGCCCTTAACGATGAGATCAATCATCTCCTTTGAAGCGATGGTATCATAGCGCATGCCGAGAGTGAAAATGATGGCAGCTGTGCGCTGAACCTTTTTCCAATGCGCGGTAGCGGCAATTTTGACGAGCTCCTGAGACAACTCTGCCTTTTTGCCTTCAATCCGAGTACGCTTCTGCTTGATGTATTCTCGTCGCTTGACGACTTTTCGCTGCAAAGCCTCATCCTCGTCAGAGCCAATGACATATGCTAATTCTTCGATAGCATCCTTGTCGACGATGACCATACGCTCGCTGGCTTTGCCCATGTCAAGTATCTGAAATGTAGCGTTGGAGGCAAGCTTCTGGATGGAAGGCTTGTCGGCGCTCGTGACTTCGATGAAGCATTTGATCATCTTTGGCGCGAAACGCCAATCACGACTGATAGTCTTGTGCAAGCCTCCAAAGAGAAGTGAGAACATGGCACCCTTGATGCGAGGATAATCATTTTCCTCGATGGCTTTGATCAGAGCTTCCAATAAAGTCGGGACTACGAGTGGTCGAGAACCAAGAATGCACTTAACGGCGGAGTCGACCGCTGTTTGAGCCGTGCGTCGAATCTCGGTATATACCGAGATGCTTGACTCTGCAATATCAAGAAGCAATCGTGCATCGAGGTCCGTCTTCGGTCGGGGAGTGGCATTGTGGCGTAAGCGTTGCAGGTGGTATACGTTCGCGCGTCTAACGAGCAGAGGTCGCGGGTATTGTTTGCGCAAGCCACCAAACTTGAACGGCCTCTCGTCCTGCTGGAGAAGCTTGGCTATACGATCAAGGATGTGTGCAGAGCGCTCGATTCCAACATCGATGAACCAAGAGCGGTATGCGTTGTATAGCGCGTTGAAGCACGGTACATCGTCGGGCTGATTCTGCATGAGGAATTGATGTACCGTGTGAAGAGTCTCACCGATCTTGCGGCGAAGATCGTGGATCAATTGGTACTGAGCACCACCCCGCTTGAGGGGGTAGTTAGCCTCGTATTGGAATGTGGGCTTCACTTCCTCGTCGTCTGCTTCACCCAGTCCAGCATCGTCATCGATACCTTCAGTGTCCATGGCATCAGCGTCTGAATCGCTGTCATCAGCTGTGGTACCTCCTTCGATCTGGTCATGGCGCACATCGAAAAGTACTGATACACCAGAGATGATCAACCTCAGCAGCGTCAGATTTCTCGACACTTCATCCGACCAGTCTTTGCCAGTGCCCTCACGCTTGATAGGCGATTCTGTGGAAGTGAGCGCAGCAATTGTGTCCATTGCGGTCGTAGCATGTGACTCAAAGAGCTCGATCGCGAACTCAATCTCCGCAGGGTTTGGAGCGTGCCACTTGATGTTCACCTTCTCCACGTGGATCTGCCTACCCCATGATGCAGTGGTGAGCCCTCGTTCAAGCTCGTCCTTTTCGTAAATTGAGTAATCAACGGTATAGGTGCAAGTGAGGTCAAGCAGTAAGTGGTGCATGAAGTTGGAGACATGTACAGTAGGAGTACCTCGGCAGTGCTGCTGCATGTACTCTGCAATTTCAATGAGTTCATCCTTCCACGCAAGGACGGCATCGCCAACATGCACTACACACATGCCTAAAATGCTAAGGTTCCAAACAAGAGCGCGGTCGCGTGGAAGTACTTCTGCACCAGTCGTGCGAGTTGATCCTGCGCCATTGTCTTCCACCTCGGTACGGATGCTAGCGAAGATGCCCGGTAACAGGCGCTTCAACGCTTTTTCGGGGTTGACCTTTACAAGACTGTTGCAAATGAATGCGATGGCATCTTTTGCTTGGTGAATGACATGGTTCGAGATGAAGTTCGCAACCTTGTCCAAGGCAACGTCGTATAGCTCAGGCGAAAGAGCCGCCAGCAATGGCGTGAAGCAAGCTGGCAAGTGATTAACCACATACTCTTCAGGCGACCCGCTACGGACTCTGGACGCGTCTGGTAAGTTCTCCAGCAGCGTGAACACGCGGCCGAGGAATGTTATGAGAAAGTCGTTGAGACCCGTTGTGGAAGACCGTAGAATCATTGCCTCGTCTTCATCGCTTAGCTCCTGGTCATAGTTGATCTCGGTGTTGCCTTGGGCGCTTTCTAACCGCTCGACTTGTTCTGTGATCCATTGCACGGCCAGCCCTGTATCACCGTCTTGGACTGGGGTCGACGCACCACTTCTGTCAAGTGTCTCGACTGCTGCCTTCTTCGCCTTGGTGAGATCGTGAAATGGCATAAGGTAAGAGACACCTTGCACGAACTGTAACGTATGTACTGTCTTCTCCAAGTCATTCGCGTCGATGCCTGGTAGTGCAAGACCCAATAGTGTTGTGACGTGGCACCGGAAGCCCTTTGTCTTGACCATGACGTTGGACAGCATGTGCAGCGCTCGAATTGATGAAATGGTTTCGATGAACCTCAACAAGGCCTTGCATGGCGGGATAGATCTTCTGTAGTGCACCGGGAAGGGATGAGGTTCGGTTTCCAGGGTAAGCCAAGCTTTGTAACGCGGACAAGGCATACTGCATGGCTTTGTCGCTCTTGGAGAATATGCCCATGAACGTGACCTCTCGAAGGCAGAGCACGAAACGGCGCTTCACTGCATCGTTCAATTTCCGGTCCTCTGGCACTTCCATTTCGCCGCTCCGCTCTCGGTTCCAGCGCAGGACGAAGAAATCCGATAGGTAGTAGATGAACATGGCCAGAGGCCTGGTCCAGCTACCAGAGTTCGAAGGATGGAAGAATGTCTCGATAGCCTGGAAAAGACCCTCCAGCTTGGACATGAACGAGTCAGGGTGTTCTAAGCATGCTGGCGATAGCGACATGCAGATCATGCGAGAGATGTGATGCACCACTGGATGCTTGCGTGGGTCTCGCTCGAGCATCACCGCCAGACCCGCACCAAGATCTACTGTGCTGCTGTAGGGGGATGTCGCTTGGCCTACAGGAATTTCGAGTAGCCTCAACATTGCGGTAAACAGCTGAGAGCACTGCTCGCCCGTGAAGATGCCGTACTGTGAAAAAGGCACGTAAGAGACAGTCAGATTCTCCCTCGCCACTCGCGACAAAGTGTCGATATTCTGCGTGTCAAACAACCTCGATCGACTGACCAAAGACCAGAGATGGAAGATGGTGGGCGCAGCGTACTCCTGCGGCAGTAGTCGAGGAATCTCTTCTGGCGCGGGGTGTGTAGGGAGCAACAGGTTCAGCAAACCGCAGACTACGAAGGCGTTTTCACTGAACGAGGTGCTGAAGAAAGGCATGATCTCCTCGAACATAGCAGGTATCTCCTTAGGATCGAAGTATGCCTGTGCAAAAGTGCACATCTTGGTGATGGTCCGAATATTGCGCTTGATGTTTGGTGGTTGTGAGCCTCCCGACTCCGACGGCAGGACGAACAACTTCAGCTCTCGAAACAACGGCCGCCAGTCGAGGAGCAGGTCCTTCTCGAACCGGAGATAGTGTTTACGCCTGCCAGTTTGTCAGTCTCTGCTCTGTACCGTAGCTCAGCAAATGTACCACTCACTTAGTAAGGACCATGAACATGCTCGCAAAGCGCTCTGCGACGATTGGGTCCAGCCCGGGAGCCAGTGCAAGCTCATAGTAGAGGTAGACCAGCTTGACCCTCGTGTGGCGGGGAAGGTCGAACTTGAGGGACAGCCATCCGCGGATCTCACGCGTCCAGTGCACAGCACCCGGGGCAAAATCGCCTGCAGATACCGCGATGTAGAGATGCTTCAACAGTTCGTTCAAGCTCTCTTCGCGCCCACTCTGCTCCTCCGTTCCATATGGCAGGTATCTGAAATATGGGAATGTTCGCGGGCGTGTCTTGTCGCCGTCGCCATTTATGTCGCCGCCTGGTGAGGTCGCACGAGACGTGTCGGGGCCAGACGCCGAGTCGAGGGCGCCCATGAGCTGTGATATCCGGTCGTTGACAGCCATGGTGCCGGTGAGAGTGGCGTGGGGAGGGAGGGAGGTAAGCCTTATGGGGCGGGAGAGGAATAGTCGGGGCTATCGCTCAACCGCTCATCAAAGGATAGCTAGCAGTGCCCACTTGGAAGCTGCAGAATCCTGTTGTCTATGAAACGGCGTGTTAGTAACGCACTCGGACGACTTGCAGGCTGAGTAGTACGGGGACGGGGGTATCCACGCGACACGCCAGTAGAACGGGTAGCTCGAATATATATGACGTACTAGACAGTTGTCAAGTCAATTGCGCAGTGAGGGGCACTGGCAATGTTTATGGTCGAGAGAGAGGGTCTGAGCTCGGGTGCCGTGGGTGAGTTCATGTAGGTAGCCGCAGCCCACTACTCGGTTGATGACCAGCAGGGAGCTATGGGCGTAGAGAGCGGTGTGCTTACCTGAAGCGGATAGACGGGCGATACGCGAGACTCGCCGCGACAACAACTTCTGGAAGAGGAGCGATCTGAAAGCCTATTTGCAAACTTCAAAGGCACTGGGGCACGCGTTCGACGTGTGTGGTAGCAGAACAGGCGGGTTTTCATGGCAAGGCTGAGGGCATAGTGCGCTATATATTCCTCCAATACCAGATCCAGGCACTCGCAGACGCGCAATACAGAGGCCACAACGCGGTAAGCAACCCAATTCGTGCACATGACTGCCCTGTTAGGGTCATGCATATTTCCAATCCTACCAAGTCTATCTCGTATCCTATCACGACGCGCTTTCATTTCCTATTATCGTCCTCAAAAAGTTGGTACGAGCGGTGCACGACACGCGACACGTTGTTGCCGGAGGCAGGGATTGATCCATTCCCGATTTATCTCAACTTTCACCGCAGATCGAGTTGTTGAAATTTCTAGCTGTGACATACAGTTTCAACGCTGACCCGATTGCAAGTAATCTGCAAAGATGAGCTCGTACTACTCCGTCGACGCCATCCTCACCGACGCTCAGAAGGTGCCCTGTACCTTCGAGCTCACCGTACCTGGGCTCGGCTTCCTCGAAGGCAACATGAGCGGCGACATGAAACAGGGTTCAAAAGTTGAGCTTCCATTATGGTTGGGAGAGATGCTTGCATTATCGTATGTCGAACTACTACAATAATCCACCACGTTACACAAAGCTGATACAGACAATAGCCAAAGCTTAAATACTTCCTCCTTGGTGACGCTCGACCCGCCATCCGCACTGTCACCGCGAGTCCTGAATGCGCTTAAAGCTGATCCTCGGACGGTGGATCTAAGGGCCCTTGCACCCCATTTCTATGATCTGGGTGCACGAATTCTCGAGCTATTTGAAGAAGAGAAGATGATCGAGGTGTTGAGTGATGTTGGTGCAAAACTTGCTGAATCAAGTCCCATGACTGACAAGCACAGACGTTCAAAGCAAGGGCTGCAGTCATTGCCGATCAAGCACACAACCCGCGTGGCGCTTTGGGTGAAGGAGCCGACTTTATGCGCGGGTTAGACGAGAACGAGCGGCAGTGTGAGTATGCTTTTCATCGACACATGGTTCCAGCTGACCTTTGCAGTGTTTCGCGCAGCACATGATAGCGCAAAAGCAGCGAGGACTTGGATGACAGATCTGAAGCGGAAGTGAGCATCGCATCAAGCCATGCCAATGAAGCCGATAGCACTCGAATGCGCCACAATCGCATATTGGCAATGTCAGTTCATGCAGCAATGAGCGCGGGCAATGCGCAGCCAGCAACGATTACTAAGAGATGAAGTTGACAGACGCGTGGAAGCAGATGCACAGGACGCTGAAGCAAGGAGCAAGTATAGACAATGTTTCGACGCCTACCTTGTAATTACAATACGATACCTCATTAAACGCTCCAATCGAAAATAAAAACATGCCATGCTGATCATCTCAGCGAAGCACCAAGATTGCTGTTTTGCAATAACGCGAGAAGTTGGTCTGGCGGATACCCAAGAAAAACAGGGCCGTTGAAAACCATCTGTGGGATGGCCTTAGAGGGTTCCGGTGATCTGGGTTCATGTCTCTGGGGTTGCGGAGGCGGTTGGCTGGCCATGGGTGGTCGTGGACGGGGCGTTGTAGGCTCAGTGAACTGGGGTAATTGAGAAGGTGGCTGTGTAGGTTTATGTTCAGGTGTCTTGCCCATGGCCCGGTGGTCGAATGGACATTTGCCAGTCTTCTGTGGGGTCTCACCAATCGGACGATCTGTCTTGAGAGGTACGGGTGGCGATGCTGTTGGGACAGATCCAACTGACGAAGAGCTGTGTGCGTCGGTGTATTTTGGTGGTATAGTGATACCCCACGGTCGGCTTGGGGATTCTCCCACTCGCACCTCGTTCATGGGGCGGTCGAAGTGAGCGGTTCTTGTTTCGTCGGCACCGTGATCTATTGGCTCCTCCTCGACTGATGGGGTGCCTTCATGTAAGCTAGCCGACACAGTTTTGGCCCACTTCTCTACCTTCGCATCGGCCTTTCCTCCAGCAACCATCTGAGCTTCGGGCTCTTCCTCGATGGCGTCCTCAGGTTCTTCCGGCAGCCAGGCTTGATGCTTCTGCCCTAAACCTTGAATCATATTGGTCAGGTTGCCGTATTTCCGGTCCAGTTGCTCAATGCTTTCTTGGTTACTCTGGAAACGGGTAATGCAAACTTCATGACTTCGCGGTAGTTCGTGTTTGTGCTTCTCAAAGTACTTTGCAACTTCTTCAGGGTCGTGCTGGTCAAGGAAACGTATCGGACAAACGGCGGCAGAGCCAGATGCAGCAACAGAGGGCTCAGCAGAAGCTGAAGGGGGGCCCAGACCACATATTTCAGCTCGTATAGGGTCAGTGAAAGACGGCCGCTTAGACCTCCTGCCTCGAAGACTCGACCGTGATGTCGAGCTGTGAGGGGTGGCTAACAGACTTCCTCTACCACTAGTAGTAGACGCGAAAGGACACCCAAGTTTACTAGGAGTACCTGCGATTGTAAAGTCCTTCTCCATAGGAGACCGGTCGTTGGTATTGATGTGCGGTAGTGCCGTGGCCTGATCTGCCGACGGGCCACTCCAAATCTTCACTTCTGGGTCCCCGGCGTGACTACGAAGGCTTCCGGCAGCGATCTCAGCTTGACGGAGGGCAACCGCTCGACCTTTGCGCTCGACATCATCACATTGTGCTAGTTGTTCAATCAAGTCAAGGCGTATTCTTGGCTGTTCGTCACCAACGTGCTCGAGGTCCTGCAGGAAGGTAAGGTGGTCTTGCGAGAGGGTGTTGGGGGTGAAGCGCTTTAGGAGGTCAAGATACTACTGATTGTCAGCCTCTGTATGGTGAAAAATCTGTATGTAGAGAGTGGAAATGGGTTTGAGGTCAGGCTATGCTGTGGTTGTTTTCTGTCAAAGCCGCAAAGCAGCTGCAGGTCTAGAGCTAAAGATGTTTCATCACAAAAGGAGGGAAGGAGATGGTATTGCTGTTACTCACCTGTTGTTTGGCCCACGATAGCTTGCTCTCAAGCTGCTTCTGCTGATCGAACAGAATCTGGTATTCTCCACTCAGAGCCGCGAAGCCTTCCGCGACCTGCTCAGCGAGCTGCACGACATTCTTCTGCGCCTCATCGGCCATACTGTGGAGGGTATCTATGCGATGGCAAAAGGAGAGCAAGCACACGTGTAGGAGACCAGCTCGGAATGACGCGGTAAACGAGGCTCAGGTCGGTGATGGTTGGAGAGTGGTTCGGCTATCGGCGAGGTTTTACGTGACAAGTGCTGAGTCATGCAACCAGCCACGCAAGCCCAAGCCACGCTTGCAGCGAGGGTCCCTGTGGCACTCTTGGAAGCTCACTGCGCCCTGCGCTACATAAGTTCTTGCCATTGCTCGTGTCCTTTATACGTTATGCTGTCTGTTCCATGATACCCTGCTCCTCTTTTACTTTCTCTTCCCTTGTAGCGCATCGAATCGCGTCATCTCCTTCTCGCTGCTGTAATATCCTCGATACCCTTCCTACACCGAGTACCAAGGTGCCTCAACAAGTTCCACCATGGGATCGCTCCACGACTCTCGCATACATAAATGGTTCGCAACCTCGCCACCAGTCGCATGGACTGTAAGACAGTTACGGGAGCTGCTGATTGGCTCCCTCAAACAGGGACCAATCCCCCAGCATGTGGCATTTGTTATGGACGGAAACAGGCGATTCGCACGGAACCACCACATTGAGACTGTAGAAGGGCACAACCTGGGCTTCGAGTCCCTGGCTAGGGTACGTAATGGCCTGGTTTCAGCTCTCTTCCATACTAACCCCTCCAAGATACTCGAGGTCTGCTACAAGACGGGCGTCAAGGTGGTGACCGTCTATGCCTTTAGCATCGAGAACTTCAAGCGCTCCAAGCACGAGGTTGATGCGCTCATGTCCATGGCCAAGGTCAAGCTCGAGCAAATCGCCGAACATGGAGCCCTTCTTGACCGCTATGGCGCGTCCATCCGGGTGCTCGGCCAGCGCGATCTCATGAGGAAAGACGTTTTGGCGGCTGTTGACACGGCAGTCGCCATGACTGCGCATAACAAGAAGTACGATACCGTTACACTGCGATGAGCTCTCCACTAACATCTCACAGGGCTGTGCTCAATGTCTGCTTTCCGTATACCTCTCGCGACGAGATCACCACGGCGGTCATGAAAACGGTCGAAACCTACAGCACCCCCATCCACAACCTCCCTACACCCTCGAAGCGCACCTTCTCCGAATCACACATCACACAACACATTCGTAAGCAGATGCTTGGAGATGACGTGGAAGCCGGTGCTGAACAGCCCGGGTCGCGGTCTATGTCCCCCTCATCCAAGGACGCAAGCAATCTAACCGAAGACGAGCTGTCGTCTTCGACTTCAACGGCCATTAACCCTTCAGAAAAGGACGATTCAAACGATGAGGCTGCATTCCTGGATCCCGAGTCCATCTGCGCTCAGACATTGACGGACAACATGATGACTGCGGATTCGCCGCCTCTCGACTTGCTCATTCGTACTTCTGGCGTAGAGCGGTTGAGCGATTTCATGCTCTGGCAGTGTCACGAGAATACGTCCATCGTCTTTCTGAAGTGCCTGTGGCCCGAATTTGATCTCTGGCAGTTCCTTCCTGTCCTGGTGGAATGGCAATGGCAGCAAAAGAAGCTACAAGAGGAGCAACAACGAATTCGCGGGCGACCGAAGTCAGACTAAAGAGTGCGAATGAATTCGAATGGAATTGCGCCCGGCGAATCAGTAAGAGCAGTTGCAGATAACGAGTTGTGTACGCGCGTTGGACGATACCCCGAAATGAAGCATAGCCAGTGATAGCAGCCACAATGCAGAACATCTCAGATCCAGACCGCACCAGAACCCTCATCACCGCGCTTATATGCACACGTGCACACAAGGACTAATGACATGCGCAGGGTCTTTTATCTCTTGACCGCTTCCGGATGCCAGATCGTTGTCGGAGCGCGAGCCACGCTAACCATTAGGCGGACAGGGTCACTTCAAACGTCATCCGACCACGCTGAGTAACTTGCCGACCCTCCAATCTGCAGAGGCATGCCGCCCTCATATGTCACACATTCCGCATGCCGTAGCTTGCTTCACCTGCTGCCCGATCACATCACGATTTCCATTTGCAGTTCATCACTAGAGGCGCTACAAAGCACTTGCATTGCTTAGTGGGGTTGTAATAATAAAGCTGGAACGAGCCCACATCTTTATTAGCAGCCGGCAGTACCTATCTCTTGATGCCAGGTCTCCGATATGCTTCCTCCACGAGAAATCAATGAATGGCGCGCCAATGTTCCAGTCATGACCAAGGATAGTCCGAGTCTTTTGTCTCTGCCGGTGGAGCTTCGAGAACTAATCTACGGTTCCCTCTTTAGTAGCTACACTATCCGACATGGCTTCAAGCACGTCAACTTTCCAGACTTTGAGAAAAGAGAAACAACGAACCGTACCGCACTTCTCCTTACATGTCGCCAAATATTTGCAGAAGCGTGGCGACACTTGCCTTTAAACTGCACATTGCACTTCCGGGGCACAGAAAACCTCCTTGAGACTCTTTTATCCGTTGACCAAAGCATCATCACTCGCATCCGGCATGTACGCGTACGAGCATTTCCGTTTCCGCTGTACACGTCTGGTCGATCCGACTACTACCCAACGTACTATGCGGCCAATGCACTGACGCTACTCCCTGGGCTATGTCTGGATACTTTAGTTGTCGATGATTGTTGGCACGGGTTCGGAATGGGCGACGGCTGGCGCGACGTAACAACATACTTCGACATCGAAACCCTCCTCAAAAGCGACGCCTGGAGAGAATTCACATACATCACTCCCTGCACCGACTTCATCGCATCAGGCTACGACCACCGCCGCAAGCGCGTCGCGCAACCAGAAACCTGGGACGCCCTGCTCAAAGACCGAGACGGCGCAGATTCTGGCGCAGAAGTACGCATGATGATTGTCCCATACAAACAGGAAAAAGCTACCGGCGACCTCACGACCGAAGACGGCCGCCTCATGCAGCCCTGGCACGCAGCCCCCGGCCACGAAGTCATCGAGAACCCCCGCCTCGCCGCCCCCGACCAAGACCTCAAGGGCGAAGTCCGCATCACCGCGCGCAGGGGAAAGCGCGCCATCCCTGTACAAACCGGCATGAGCGAGAAGGAATCGTGGAAAGCGCTCAAGGGCAGGAAAGGCGGTTTTGCGCCTGAAGGTATGTTGCAGTATGTCATCTCCAGGGCAAAGTTTAGCTAACAAGCACGCCAGATTGGATGCCCTACCACAACGACATGGCCGACGCCGTCGGCTGGATCTACGGCGGCTGGGGACGCCGCGCGCACCTGGCGGATCAGGCCCTGTCCAGTTGACTACATCCTTACGTCACGCAACCGATTTTCGCGGGCTGGTTGGAACAGCCGTGAGTGCCTATGCTTGGTACTATGTGTATTCGGAATCTCGGATGATACGGGTGATCATTTTACCCCAGATTCGCGGGCGGTGCCGCGAAGGGATGGCTGTTTGTGGTGCGGCATTAGCCGGAATGGGTAGGCGTTGTATGCAGTGGGATCTGCAGGCGTGCAGGTTGGGGTTTCGGGTTCAGTATGTTTGGTTTCTTGGTTGTCTTGGGACTTCTTACCTACTAATGTACGTATTGTCTGTTCGTGTGTATTCTTGCAAGGTAGTGCGCAGCAATGTGTTCATCACTTCTTCGAAGCACCCCCGAGGCTCCTCGTCTCCATCATGCTTCTCCACAACCACGCCTACTCTTATATCTCATTAGCTCTAACGGTCATCATCATCTTCCTTATTCTTCTCGCCAGTAACACTCATACCACCGCCTCATTCTTCCATCGCCATGGACAAGCACAAACCTTCCAGCTTCCAACCATCCTCGCCCTCACCCCCACCAACTCCCCATCCTACATCGCCCTCCTCCTCGCCAATCTACCCGCCCACGTCTACGCCCTCCCTCTCCCCAACGCCAGCCTAATCGACGAGCGCGCCTACCCGCAAGGAAACCACCGGCACCTCTCCCCCACCAACCGATCAGCGTGGCGAGCACACATGGACGCTATGCAATACATCATTGCCAAAAATTTGAATATAACGCTAGTTACATCTGGTGATGTAGCTTCGAGTGAAGATCTACTTCAGCGAGTCCAGCCAGGTGATTGGGACGTCACATTCCTCAGCAACACTACAAAAGGCTTTGCGTATGCAGTGACGCAATCCGGCGCCCGGAAGATCATGTACGAGCACGGGATACGCAATTTCGACCGCGAGTTTAGGGCAGCGCTGGGGGAGTGGTGTAGGGGTGAGACGAGGAATATGGGGGAGAAGCCGAGGTGTGTGGATAAATTGCAAGGGAAGATGGTTGATAGAAAAACTGTAGTTTGAGTATGATGCGGCTTGTTATTTCAAGATGGCGGGTAGGGGAGCGTGAAATTTGTCCCAGGTTACTGTACTGCGTATCTACGTGAACAACTAATGCCCCAATCCTAACCCCAAGCTCGAATTCCACCAAGAAAGCACCCGCAAGGCCCAGTCCTATAGTTGTCTTGACAAATCCTCCATCCCAGATCTGTGCATCGCCGAAGCTCCAATATTAGAGCCAAGCTGGTGCATTACGTGATGCAGCTGATTTCAATCCTGTAGTATGAGCCGGCAGCGCAGTAGCAGTGAAGATAGCAGAGAGTGCGACCGTAGCACTCAGTTGCGGAGCTTCTGATTCATTCCTTGCGTCATACCTCTTAGGCGCATTATAGTATCTCTCGGGAGAATACTCGAAGCCAGGGCCAAGAGACCATATACCTCCGTTTACGACACCTTCGCCGCGCTGTATAGCCGCCACTTGCTCTATCCTGCAGGACGACTGATCGCGGATCCAGCATATCGAGTCTGGAATGGGAGGGATCTCGTTTCTATGTACCATTGAGTCTGGAATTCCCTCACTCCTGAATGTAGAAAGGTCGATGTTTTTGTCGGTGCTGGGATCATCGCCTTGGATTATGCGGCTGAAGACGGTGAAGGCGGTTTCTGGCTGGTAGGATGGGACGGTGTGGCCAGCGTCGAAGATTCAGGAGAATGACAGGTTGCCGTATTGGCAGACATGGCCGCCAATGTATGAGTTGATGACCATTATGTCGGCATACCCTGCAATTGGAAATATGTCGCGGTAGCCAGGCATGAGCTCTGCAAGTTCGAGTGAGGCGTTCTCGCCGCCGTACCAGTTGCATATAATATCACTGTCCATGGGTTAGCTGCTGCCCAGGATGGAGCAGTCTGGATCCCTCTAACTGCTTGACACAGAAGATCCCAAAATTCAACGCAGTATTGATTGCTCACAGAGACCGACTCACGCATCGCCGTGTATCAAGGCCACCCTTATGCCGCGAGCCAGTAGACTTGCAAGCGATTTGAGTTGGGTTCCGTGGACTTCGCCTCCATACGAATCAAAGGCCCTCATGACCGCTTCACTACCCGTTGTGTAGTGGACCTGAGCACTAGTAGACCTCATGATATCGTCTGAATTCAGGTACTCCACATAAGCTGCATTGACACTATATTCCGGCTTGACGCGTATGTTGTAGATACTCCTGTCAAGTTTGACCATCGCGAAATCAACGATTGTATAGCATATCTGATACGCATTGGCACAAAGCTCATTTGTCTTCTCGTCGGTATCAGCACCTTCAGGATCAAAGCTCCGAGTGCTATTACGGCATTGAACAAGCATGTAACGGCAGCCATCATCTATGTAGGAAGTGAGTGCCGACATGACGTTCTGGCATGTCAATCTATCGATTCCAAAAAATATCGTAGGTATTTTCGTGGGTGAACTTGGCGAGGGACACGATGTTGGTGTACATATGTGCTAGTTGTTCGAAACCCCGCCGCGAGAACGGAGGGCGAAACCATGTTGTTGATTGCGGAACGACGAAAAGACTGTGTGGGGAAGAATTTCTCTTGAAAAACGGAAAGAAGCATGTTGCGTAAGCAGGTTAAGGTGAAGAAAGTGCGGTCTTGACGTGCGTGCAGCACAGTTCGTTGAGCTCTGCTGTATCAGGCAGTGCTTGCTTTTACCGATGTTTGAAATTGCTGTTTGAAGCTTCTATCACTTAATCGAGATCTGAGTTGCTCACTGCTGCTGTTTTGGAGCATCGCGACGCTCATGATCCGTTGACACAGCCCTAAACATCATTGGTGAGTATAACGCACCAAAGCCGTTCACATCCCTCCAAACACTTTGTACAGATATTAAGATCATGGCCTGGTTACACTGCTGAATTACAGCACGACCCACTGTTGACGACACCGTGAGCGAGCAAGTCAAAAGCTGTCAAACCTTCTCAACTTAAAAATAACAAGAAGAAAGTGTGAGTAGCTCGGGAGCTCCAGTAATTGATTACTCGTATACTATTTCGGACAATGTTCCAATTAGCTCGGAGCCGTGAATCACAAGTGCACTTGCATTCCGAAGATAACAGACCCGCGGCTCGAATATGCGTGGTCTCATGTTATCTGCGTTATTTTTCATGTAACTCAAAGTCGCGTCGTCTCTTGACGGAGGAAAGGACATGACGTCGCCTCGGCCGAAGTCTTCACAATTTTTTCTCTTCCAATATTAATTAGCATGTGAAGACTCCTGGAAAAGTCGGAAGATACGGACGAGGATGCGGATGATCCGACAAGCCGACGGAGACGAGCGGATCACTGCCATCAAAAAAATAAAAATAGGACGGACCGAAATGTATTCGACTCGGGAGTTGATTCGTCACTTTTTGGCATGTGCGGTGTCGTGATCTGCTCGAGATTGTACATTGTGCAATGTGTTTGCCTGAGGTCATACACTCACTCTTGGTACATCCACCCATCGCCCTCATCCTCGTCGGCTCCGGATAGCCAAGGCGTCATGTACAAACATTTGCACACCACCCCGTCATTTAGAATTGGTAGTACTTCCCGCTCCACGACTTTCATAGCCCACATGATTACCCTCACGCCCAAGTTCTCCATGGGCTCGCTTAGTAAAGCCGGCTTGTCATCCCCCACGCGTGCAAACTTCTCTCCGACACCGTCCAGCATCTCAAGCACGTCTTCGCAGCTACAGAAATCGCCAATGTTCTCGTCGACAAAGGTGTATGTATCTGCGTCTTCGATGCCGTCCTCGAGAGAGGGGAGGGGGTGCTGAGTGTAAAGGGTGCATAACCAGGCGGCGATTGGGCCTTCTTTGTGGGTGAGGGAGTGTGCAACGAGGGTGACGAGGAGGAGTGTCCAGATTAGGGACTCGTCGATCAGATTGTGCTTTTTGATCCCGGTGTTGAAGTATTGAGACTTGCTGATAGGGAGCTCAGCTGTTAGAGCAGCGATTGCTTGATCCGTGGTGAAGAGGACGCCTCGCTTGGGTAGTGTTTGGTCTGTTGGAGCGCGGATACGGTCGATTGCGCTTTGGAGTTCGAGACGGATGGAGTGGACGATCTTGGCTTGGCCGTCGCGGTAGATCTTTGCGTACTTCTGCTTATCGTTTTGCGGCTCTTGTGAGAAAGAAAGTGGTAGTGTTTGAGAGCGCTGTGTCATGGCTTGATGCAGCAACGTTAGGACTTGCAAGGTGATCCTGGCACCTGGTCTCTGAACGTTGATGTCTTGTAGCTCAAGCTCTCGAGACAATAACGTCTGGATGAAGAAGAAATGCACAATATAAGGGGGAATGCCGCGAAAGAAGGGTACGCAGTTGTCATACCGACCAAACGGGTGGTCCTTGGCTCTCAAGAAGTGCTGCTCAGTGTTTGGGTTCTTTTCAAGAAAATCTGTACTCATCCCAAACGGCACGCGCTCAGGCTTGAACAGTCCCATCGCTTCAGCATATTCCTGCAACATAGGGGGAAAGGCGAGCTTGAGGGGGAATTGCTCTATAGGGTTGTGCTCGAGACAGAATCCATACCCAAGTAGCAGCTCATCATTTTGCTTGGGCGCATAATTGTTGAACAGTTCCTGTCCGGCTGTAAATGTGTCACCCTCAAGTAGCTTCAGAGAGAAAGAAGCAAGAGGCTGAAACTCCCACTCTACCTTAGCTGAAACAGAGTGGTTCAGAATGTCGACAATTGGAAATAGAAGTGGCACAGTCTCATGATCCGGCAGTATGTGTGTAGAGATGAAGGCACGTGAGGTGAATATGGTTGCAGCCCACAAAAGGGATTCGCTGAGAATTGTTAGTGACAACCATTGTACACGGGTGCCAGCGCAGCAGATTACGAGCTCTCGTGAACAAGAGTATGATCATGTTTCTCTGCGCCCTGCCAGCAAACATTGCTGACAATCCACAAACCTAGGGCCATAATTACGTTGCATGTGCTTTTGGCCTGGTACAGTCACTGAACAACTTACAAATCAACTTCGTCAGCCAGGGCGACGCCCGCGTCCTTCATAATGCCTAGTGCTTGCTCCCATTGCTGATAGTAAAGAGACTTTCTCTCTTTGGCAGCGGGTGCTAGGCTGGTGCCCGCGAGGAATGCCATGTCCTCGTCATCGAACCAGAGTGGAGTAGTCATGCTCTCCGCACCCGGTAAGCAGGCAATGTAAGCGTGCCATGGCGACTCTTTGCCCTTATTCCGTTGCTCGATCAACAGCAGATAGGTCAATATGTGATCAGGTATTTTGCCTTGGCATGGCTGCAACCGGCTGTCAACGAAGAGCACATGTTTCTGCTCGGGGTCTAGATTCAGACAAGATAGTGTAAGCTTGAGTGGACATGTCACGACGACGGGCGATTGCAGCGGCCTTACAGCTCGCATGTGGAAGCCTCGCGAGTCGTTGAATGCAATCTGCACGGCGTCACTGAGCTGGCCGCCATGTTCCGTAAACCATTGGATAAGCGCGTCGACTTTTGGGTGAGCGGCCGACTCTAGGCTCATGCTATCTTCGACCATGACTGCGTATGACATGTGATGTGAAGCTCTTGTCGGTGCTGACGAGAGACTTGAGGAGTACTTCGTCCGTGAAGAGGCCTCAAACAAGGTTGTACGAGGCACGGCCTGTCGTTGTGCCGAGGCCTCCGTGACGATAGTCTGCTGCCAGTTCAGTTGATCAAGCGACCGGCTTCGGCATGGAAAATTTTGGCGAGGGCGGAAACGGAAGGCTTCGGAACCGAGCAATGATGGCTTCTGGCTTCGATTCAGAACGAACCAGAAGACGGCAGATTGTGATGTCGGGCGGGGAATGCAGGAAATACGCGAGATGCGCCGCAATGGTGCTGCTTTGGGGGCTGTAGCGGTGAATGGATGCAGTGGTTGAGTCGAGGTCGCTCTCGCGTAATGGCGATGGGTGCGATCATTATCGATAACGCGACAACGACATTCAACTCTTGCTGCGGCCAAGCTCACGTCAAGCTGCCGAAAAGCTACCCAAAAGCTTCGATGCTGGGGTTTCGTTTCGCAATTTAGAATGAATGTATCTATATGTTCGGGGGTGAAACAGGGCTAGCGAATTAGAGTCTGTCAGACGGCGTTCAAGCTTCATTGTTGGTCGATACGGGGGTACGAAGGATACGCGTCCGATCATCACAGGGGCTCCTCGTGCGTTTCCCTAACCATGCGCAGGGGTAATGATGGTGGTGATGGCCCGGATGCGCTCGGGAGGACGGTGATCGTGACTCTCTTTTGTTGCTCGTTGCTCGCGGCGCCGTGAGACGCATCGATGCATCTTCCAGCGTGTCAGCCAGTCGGCGGCGTCACCATGGCGGCCAGGGTGGGATAAGCAGCCCAGAAACGCCGCTGTTGTGAACCACGGTATCGGTGGCCGATCAGCTGAAGGGGCCGAGCACCGCCGCCAGCGATGGAAGAGGCTTTGAAAGAAGCGACGGACTAGCCGCAATGCGCATAAAGGTGCACATCGATCCAATCACTTGTATTGTCTGTGCCTCGCCGCTTAGCCCGGTGCGTCATGTCTCGGTTTGAAGTTCACAATGCACTAATAAAACGGGCTCGGAACGGTTGACAGTGCCGGCCTGGCCTAACAGATGTGCCTCGTGCATGCAGAGCGGACAAACACGCAGCCTTGTCCGCTGCATGTCTTGGGATGTAATATGTAGCTGCCGAGGGCCAGAGTTGCGTTTTGCGCCTTTCCCCTCCCATGACTTCTGACGCTCCTCCTATTCTGTTTCTCAGCTTGAGACGGTCTAATTTGCATTCTCGCTGCTTAAGCGCAATTGGTGTGAAACCCCTGCACTAGCTGTGGCTTGTAATGTAATAGTAAGTCAGTCCAGCCCTCGCGTGTAATTGTTTGACAGAGGGGCACACTATCCCCCAAACCCCAGCGCACAGGCCAGCCAACACCATCATCTTAAGATACCATGGCCGCCGCTGCGCTGGAACTCCTGATCTTGCTCGAGCCATGTTTCCTTTATGTACTAACTTCTTTCTCTCTCCGCGTAGACGCGCCACTTAGCTGGAACAATGCTGGACATGCTTCTCACGGCTGATGCTGCCCGCAAACACGCCCATGACTTTTCTTCACCACATGCGCCCTCTTCGCCCGCTGGCAATGGCTCCTTCCTCCTCCAGATGCCTCTTTCCATAATCGGTTCTGTGCTTCGCCGCCAGACTCCATCGCCAGCGCCACTTCTCCCAGAAAATGTCCCTGGACAAGCACCTACAATGATCAACCGACTCCCTGACACTCCTTTGGCCTCTCCCACTTTTTCACGCCCCGTTTCCTCTGGGAGCAATGCTTCCGCCGACCCTCGCCCTGGACACGTGCGTATAGCTTCGGGATGCACCGAGAGCTTAAAGAAGCGGAACCCCCGCCCGAGAACTTCCTACGTCTGCGCTCGCCCCGTGCGTCCGACCGACTCAAAGCTCCACCTGCGCCCCAAGGTCCTACTCCAGCTGCACCAGCTTATTCCTTCGCAACGCCCAAAACCCACCTATGAGCTCATTCCTTTTTCGCTTCTCCCGCCGCGGTCCACTCGCCGCCTCGCTCGCACCTTCAACACCAGTGCCAGGCTGGGTCCTCACGATCTGCTGGTTGTCAAGGCCGAGCCATATGGGAGCGTCGAGGGGACCCAATCTGAACATGACCATTGGAACGAGAGAGAGGTGGTTGGCGTCATCTGCCCTGCCAAAGGCGACAAGAACACCGAGATCTGCATGGACGATGGATCAAGTCGGTGGGACGTCTCGGACTTGCCCAATGGCGGCTTCGAATTCAACACCACGGATGACCATGGCCTGCCGCTCAAGGCGCGGTGGGTCCTCAAGCCTGCACACTCCCGCCGTGTTTCTAGCACATCAGCCTACTCGCAACACTCGCAAACGTTACCACAAGGACAAGAGGACAAAAAGTACACCTTCAGCACCATCAGCGACAACTCGCGTCGGCATCCCATTATCGCTACTCTAACCCGGAGTCGCATAGACGTCATGGACTCGTACACGATACCGCCAACTTCTCTGCCCACGCCTGCTCTTACGCCTGCAAGCGACGTTGAGTCGTTCATTTCGAGCGAACAGGCTCCAATCGTGACGAACGATACCCTGCGACGTTTGATTCTGGTTACTGGGTCCTGGATAGCTTCGCAGAACGCAACCACCACCCAGTCCTCTTCCTTTTGCGCCGAGACCGCCTCTCTATTCAGCGCCTCTCACAGCCGCTCGACCTCTCCTACATCCACCATCGGCCGACCCAGTGGCAAAAGACTGCCTCGGAGCGCGAGCTTTACAGAGCCGTCAGTTGCCCCTAATAGTTCGCCCAAGCAAAAACCCCACTCGCGCCGTGCAAATTCAACGGGCACTGCCAATATGAGCGGCAGCATGAGGCAGCGCTATGGCCTCGCATTTGAAGGCGAGACCCTCTGCGAGACTGAGGAGGAACGCCAAAACAAGCGCAGCGTGGAGCTCCTTCGCATCAGAGAACTAGCACTACCCCCAACCATTGAACTACCATCGGTCGAACCGCCAACCGAGCGATCCCGCAAAACTCAGTCCGCTTTCGAACCCTTGAAGACCGCCGGGCTCTGGGATTCGGGAGTCGCTGAGGAGCGGCCCGGTCGCTTGAAACCCCGCCCCACGAGCCTCTCTGTGATGCTCGACAAGCAGAAAAGGCAGGACCGCAAGCGCGAGCGCAGCAAGGACAAGTCGCTGAGGGTAGAATCGAGCGACTACGGCTCGCTGATAAAACGCCGCGACTGGGCGCGCATCAAATCTAGTTTGCGCGGCTTGTTCAAGAGGGACAAGGCTTGATCACTTGGGGCTCACACAACATTCGACTCAATATTTTTTATAGCGTTTTTTTACACTGTGTATATAGTGCTACATTCACCCTGTCCATATGACAAATTTCAATACCCAAATCTCCGTCTTCAGACTTGCTGTCGTTGCCGTGATGCAAACCACGCCTCCCAATCCCTTGTAGTGTTGGCTTATCAGACGGCTTGACTGGCTGCTTAATCATGGCCCCATTCATCGTTGATCCCGTTATGATGGAAATTTGTCGTCGTCTGCGTCTCAGGACTGACGCACCTGACGAAGCCATACGGCTCCATGGCGCCTGTACACACATCAGCAAAAGCTCCCATCTCTTCATCACCATCTCCATACACATTTACAGCAGGAAGAAGGGAGGGAAAGGGAAGAAGGAAGCACTTACACCCGCCCGGACAAATCTCAAACACGCGGTCGTCGCCCTTGTAGTCGCAGTCGCGAATCACCCAGCGCCGGTTTTCGAACGCGCCTTGTCGGACTGCATGCATTTACTTGTTAGTACTATCGAACTAGAGCGGAAGAATGAAGGAGTAAGGGGGATGGTCAAGATATGGGGAAATACGCACCACATCGCCTAGCACCGATCACGGTGCACATTTCCTTGGGGAGGATGACGGGGGTGTGCTTGGCCAGCGCGGTGCTGGCAGCGAGGAAGGGGAGGAGGGCGGAGAGTTGGAGCTTCATTTTCGTAAATATTGTGTCTTAGTATTGTGAAGTGTGAGTGGATGATGTTTGAATGGAAGGCGGATTTGGAGGGAATTTATACTTCTGAGAAAATAGGCCTGGGAAATAGAGGGGAACTAAAGGAGGATGGAGACGTGGTAGCATATCGGGATTCCCCTCACTATACTGTAGTTTCCGCGTGAGGTTATGTAAATTATGTGAATTAGTAAAATCTATGAATTATATGAATTGTTGATCAGAGGAGAGGGATGGGTTGGGCGCTAGGAGTATAGTATACCAGACACACATACAAGACCCTTTTGTTTTAGGATAATAATATCGAGGGAGGATTACGGAGCCTGTATACCTTCAAACACTCCATGAAGTAGATCTGGGGTGCAATGAAGTCGTGAAGATACACACACGCACTCATCACACACTCATAGCAGATTCATAATAAACTACAGCTTGAGAAGAACAAAGAAAAACACTGCATATCCAAACTTCGCAACTCGTATGTACTATTCACCCATCTGATCTCTACTCCAAACTTCCCATACCCTACCCATCATAAGCAGGCAACTCCCCCGTCCACGCCCACCCACGTGGCCTATACTTCCTACCCTTCCACCCTTCAAAATTCCTAACCCTGAATGAATTAGCCCACATCCCTTCCCGTATATACCCCCTTCCTTCCACCATCATCATCAACGACGTTTCACTTACTGCGGACGATGTTCCCTGTACCACGAACAATCCGACATGTCGTGTTTGCGGCACTTTTCGCCGGCGTGGGATTTCTTGGGATTGATGATGTTGCGCATTGCGTGGGTGGGGGCGAGGATGAAGAGGAGGAGGGCGAGGGTGAGGTGGCAGGGGTTCATTTAGGGAAAAGTAGACGGAGATGTTAAGATTTGTGTGGTGTGGAACTTTGGAAGTAGGTGTAAGACGTAAAGGTTTACTTTGTGTTGTGTGCATACAAATGGGGAGGGGTGATCATTTCTTTTTTTTTATATAGAAGATTGTTGGGTGGGCTTGATTCGTGGATTGGCTTGGGTTCTGCGGTACGCTGTGGTGTTGGCGGGATGGAGGACCGAAGTTTGGAAGCACAGATTGTAAATGCAGTTTTAGTAGAGTTTTCGTTTGTGCGGATGAGATTATGATGGGGAATGAGGAAGAACTTTGTGGCTATGGTCGCAGTGCGTAGTGGAGAACCATGACATAGAAGGTAGGTGAGAAAATTTGTAAGAAGACGAGTACCTAAGATTTTTTTCGTTGTAAAAGCAACGAGAAAACTCGCAAATAGAGATGTCATTTCGGGCATTTCCAAAATTGTTCTTGTTCTTGTTCCTCTTACTGAATTTTGCACTGTCCTCTCGCGCCCATTTCGAGAGATCATGGTAAGCGTGGTTATACTGAAATCGACGAGAATTGAACGTCTACTTGAGATTGTGAGACAGTAGGAGTCGCAGCCCCGAAGCCAGCGGCTCAAAGACGATGTTGTGATTCAGCTGCAGGATGACACGACGTGGTGGTTCGCTGGACGTTCGCCGAGTCGGTGCTCACCGCTAATCCATGCAGTATATATAAAGGTAGAACCTTCCCCAACACATCGCCGACTTCAGACCTCAACGCGTCGTGCCGCGCAATGCCGAGGTCGCCCTCCTCATGACCTCGATCTGTTTTCGGTGGTCATATTAGTTCGCATTCCAACGTCGTGATGCTGACCTGCGAGAGCAGCTCGTGTCGCCAGCACTCGATCTTGATTGGTTGGAATCATCTGGAGGCATCGTAGACACCCCACCACAATCAAGTATTACTCTCCCGAGCCGCACGCCGATGAAGATATATGAGTGAAGTCTGTGTCGCACTTACCACTTACCGGAAGATTTAGGACACACCATAGCGATATCCTGACTCATTGTGACTCGCAATACGCAGAGAGACGCCACGAGCAAGCTCGCCTCGGCTCCTCGACTTCGTCATCGATCCCGCACACCGTTGAATATACCACGCACACTGTATCCGATTGCGCCTCCCCACCACACTCTCGTAAGCAATTGCCTATCTCAGATAATACAGCGCCTGCTCCTAGCGACTATTTGCCACCCCTCCGACACCGTACCTGCGAAGCACTCGACTGAGAGACTCACTTCAGTCCTTGCCACTCTGCTCAATTCGCGCACTCGCACACATAGCGCCACATCTACATCGTCGCCCACCGTCTATCAGCTCATACTCTTCTGAGCCACACGCATCGCCGACCAGTCGCGTCCGGCGCTCCTTCCCCTGGAGTCTTCCACAGCTTCGCAGCCAGCACCTTTAAACACGCTTCGGCCCTTGGAGGTTGAGGCGAGGTGTTACCTGTAGAAGTTTCGGATACTCCATATCACTCTCGGCACATGAGCGGATATCTCTGGAAATACTTCCTCGAAGATGATGTCGACAATTTCCGGCATGTTCTCTCGACCACCACGCATACAGGCCGAGGGGCAACACCGAAGAATCTGGCGGGATGGCAGGGCGGCATACACGCAACAGCGGTGAACGGCAGTCCAGGAAGCTATAACGCGTCACCTGTAATTGGTGGAAAGGGTCGGAAGACAGGGCTGGCTGCGACTGCATCCATCAGTCGCGCCGACATAAACAGTCGCGATGCGACTGGCATGACCATCTTGCATCATGCCGCATCGTCTACAGCTGAAAGTGCCGTAGACTTTGCGCAGGCCCTTCTTGAGCACCCGTGGGCAGATCTGTACATACAGGACGCAGAGAACGGCTGGACTGCGCTTCACAGGGCCTTCTATTTCGGCAACATCGCCATCGCTCGCTTGATTCTGAACCGTGACACGTCAGATATACTGGGCCATGGCTCTGCTGGGTTCAATCAGCATGCGCGGGGCCTAGTGAAGATCAAAGACAAGGAGGGTTATGGTCCCCTGGATTTGTTTGCAATGACCATCAAGGATCGGACGCTGAGACCAGACGAGTCGCCGCTTAACGACATGGACTCCGATGATGAGATGGCGCACGGAGACAGCGGCGATGTCGACGATGAAATGCGCAAGCGGCTGATAACCCCGCCTGTACTGCTCAATGGCGACGAAGTCTACACGTTCGGGAGTAACAAGAACGTCACACTTGGTTTTGGCGACCAGGATGATCGGCAGTTCCCCGAGCGCATCGTCCTCAGACGACCAGATCACCTCCTTCAGAGGTTCTATAGGGAGCATCGGGAGCGACAGAGCCAGTATGGTGTGTCTATGGGCTTGCCACCTCAAGACTCTGGTTTCTTACAGCCAAAGGGCATCGTAGAGCTGCCGATCCATATCCGCAACACTCCACTTGTGATACAGGACGTTCAGATGTCTAAACTGCATACGGCCGTTCTAACCACCGATCCGGTGTCAAACCTCTACATGTGTGGACACGGCCCTGGCGGCCGCCTTGGAACTGGTACCGAGATGACGAGGTATCAATTTACATGCATAGAGGGTGGTGGCCTCAGCCAGAGGAAGGTAGCTGCCGTGTCCCTAGGTCAGAACCATACGTTAGCGGTCACCGATGACGGCGAAATCTACTCATGGGGTAACAATGCTTTTGGTCAGCTTGGATACGCTCTGCCGAAACCTGCTCTGAAAGATGACGATCCTATATCCACGATTCCAAGGCAAATCTTTGGACCCCTGAAGCGTGAGGTTGTCGCCGGCATTGCTGCCTCCCGCATTCACTCCGTGGTGCACACGACTACCTCTCTGTACACATTCGGCAAGAACGAAGGCCAGTTAGGCATAGTAGACTCGGACGCACGCTCGCTCGAGACACAGGTCATTCCGCGCAGGATCGCCGCATCTTTGTTTTCTAGCCCCATTCTATCGGTCTCGGCTATAGACGGTGCCTCGATTTGTCTTCTTGAGAATCGTGAGGTTTGGGTGTTTGCAAATTATGGATACGCCAAGCTCAGCTTCCCTCTAGACGGCTTCACCAGCAACTTTCTGAAAGAAAGCTGGCTGACTACAAAGTATGATACCACGCCAAACAAGATCAAGAAGATCACCTCTGGAGGTGACACCATATGTGCACTATCCACTTCTGGGGAGGTCTTCACTGTGGCCGTAAGTCGACGCGTTGAGGGCTCGCAAGATGTGAGTACATCCACAACCAATCCTAAGCAGATACGTGGAGCTCTTTCCGCACCCTATCGGATATGGTCTTCGCAAAAGAGCCACATGGCAGCAAGAGATGTCGGCGTGGACCAAGACGGCTCCATCATTCTCACCACTGATGTGGGTAGCGTATGGAGACGTACAAAGAGAGCAACCATCAAGAATGCGAATATTACGGGTGCAGCAGAGATCAAGCCTAAAGATTACAAGTTCCAGCGTGTACCTGGGCTGACGAGGGTGGTCGCGGTACGTGCATCAGCATTTGGCGCCTATGCCGCAATACGAAAAGATTGCGATGTCACCAGGAACCAAATCGGTGTGGACGAGCCCAGCCTGTGGGACAACTTGTCGCCGCTGCTCTCGTTTCATGACATGAAGAACTACGAGGAAACTTCTGACGACGATGATCCCGAACCTCGCTTCTGGACTCGCCGCACAGATACTCAAGCTCTTCGCAAGCGTGCACTGAGGTCCAAGGATCTGGAGCAAGAGGTTACGGATATTTTGCAACAGTCCTCCGCAGAACGCACTTACGACATAGCCGTTGGTACCACTACTTCAGATGTTCACATTCCGCTCCACGACTTTATGCTCTCGGGACGATCCCGCGTCTTCCGACAAGCTATGCTTGACTTCCGTGCACAAGAAACGGAGACCGTAATACCAGATCTGTTGACGATTAGGAAGACCGGTAACGAAACTCTTATTCTTTTCCATGGCCTGGACTTCCTGACCATCTTCAATCTTGTTCTCTACGTGTACACGGACTCTCTAGTTGACTTCTGGAATGTTACACGGCACTATCCCACCCTAGCGTACAGGTATCGCACGGTCCGCACGGAACTCCTGAAAGTGGCATCCCGGCTGGAGATGAAGCAGCTCGAACCAGCCGTCCGACAAATGGTCAGCCCGCGCAGGTCGCTTCATATGGATTTGGAAATAGCAATCAAGGAACCGAGCTTCTTCGCAAGTGGTGATGTTATAGTCGATCTTGCTGATGGCGAGATGCTGTTACATTCAGACATCATCTGTCAGCGTTGCCCTTTCTTCGAGGGACTCTTCAGAGGTATGGCTGGAGGGCAATGGCTCGCTGGACGACGCACTGAGGAGTCATCTATCGTCCACATCGATTTGTCGCATGTTGAGACTCATTTGTTTGAACTTGTCGTCCGCCATTTATACACCGATGCCGGAGAAGAGATCTTCGAAGACGTTACGAGTGAAGATCTCAATGATCTACTGGCACTTGACGAGCTGCTCGACCATGTGATGGATGTCATGTCAGTTGCAAACGAGCTTATGCTTGATCGTCTCACACAGGTTTGTCAAAGGCTGATCGGTCGCTATGGTAAGCTGTTTTACGGCAGGAAGTAGAGCAGTAACTAATCAAATATCAGTCAACGCTCGAAATGTCTCTTCTCTGCTCACGGCAGTCGCACCAAGTTCAGTCGCCGAGTTCAAAGACGCTGCTCTAGAGTACGTCTGCTTGAGCTTAGAGGCAGTAATGCAGAACGGGTAAGTACATTTCACCATGTGATTGATGACATCTGACACCCATCTAGGTCTTTGGACGAGCTTGACGAGGATCTTCTCTTGGAACTAAACCAGGTCGCACACGATAATCAGCTCGCATACTTGCCATTTGCCAGAAGTGGCCGTGCTGAGGCTGTGCTCTTTGACCGCTATCCAGAACTCGCTGAGAAGATTGAAAGGTCCAGGCGCGCCAAAGTCGATGCTATCGTACTTTCGAACAAGTATGCTGACACCGATGGGTTGTCATCCTCCTTCAGAGCACAAAGTTTGGAAGAAGTCGCTGCATCTCCTCTGCGGCAACGCACGAATAGGCGAGCATCGAAGGAGATGAAGAGCCCTGCTCTAACTCCGGCACTGAAGGGCAAAAGCTCGGTTCAAGACCTCATGTTTGAAATGTCGGACGGGGAGGATGATGAAGAGCGTCTGCAAGAGAAGATCAAGCCTCCACAGTTTACGAAGCGTTCTACTGAGACAAGCCGAGTTGAGACACCAATTGGATCCCCAGAAGCGTCTTGGGCGGCTTCAACGCAAACCGGGAGTAGAACCTCGCCTGGCGGGTTCGGCAAGGACATGGACATTCCTCTTCAGTCTGTCAGCCCTCTGCCTCCGCCTGTAGTTCAAGCGCCACGCCAGCCCGGACAGCCGTGGGGCACTGCAGCACTATCAGGTGCCAAGCTCGACCTGAAGGATATCATGGCCCAAACCTCCACATCTACCCCATCGAATCTGACTTTGGGTCTGTCTCGCAAGGAGAGTGAGCAGAGAGCGGCAGCCTCCCACGCCAAGTTGTCACAAAAGGAACGTAAGCGGTTACAGCAAGCTCAGCAACTTGGTAGCCCCATTGAGAAACCACAAGCAGCATTTCCCGTCGTGTCTCCATGGCAAGCAGCCTCGCATCGCAAGCCCAGTGTTACTCCTGTTGTCGCTCCAGCACCACAGCCTTCGCCAAAAGCCTCGCCTCAAGCTTCGCGAGCGCCAAGCGCACCTCAGCTTACGATGCGACAAACCATTGCCAATAATGGAGCAGGATCTAAGCAGAAGGGCAAGCGCTCTACATCGCAAGCCAACGCAGAAGTAGCTGGTGCAGCATCGCCGAATCGTCCAGCTGCTAATGAGAGGGGCATGTCTGTCTCAACGGACCCGATACCCACTCCACGATCAGTTCGTCACATACCCCTACCACAACATTCCCCTTCATCTCCCAGCCAGAACCTCAGCATGATGGAGATCCTCTCGTTGCAAGAAGCAGAAAAGATGTCGATCCGCGATGCAGCAGCGAAGCGCAGCTTGCAGGAAATTCAACAAGAACAAGAATTCCAAGCATGGTGGGACGAGGAAAGCAAGCGAGTCATCCAAGAAGAGGAACAGCGCAAGCGAGCTGAGGAACGCGCTGTGCGCAACGCTGCACGTGGACGAAGTAAACCTCGTGGAGGAAGAGGAGGCAAAGGCAAGAAAGATGGGGAAGCGGATGGCGATCGAGGAAAGCAGAGTAGGGATGTGAGCCAAGGACCTGCGTCAGCTTCGAAGACTACGCCTAAACAAGACGGTACAGACCGTGGACGGGGGAGGGGAAGAGGTCACCGAGGCGGAAGAGGTGGCCCAAGAGGTGGACGATTGCAGGGACGACAGCGTGATGGCGCAGCCACTTCTGGTGCTCCTGTCACGACCTTGTAAGCATTAGAGTATCACTTGGCATATATGATAGCATTTGCATTCGCAAGATAGATTCTTGACTGATTGAATAATTACTTCAAATAAGCTTCCAATGTCTTGTTGAACTTCCAATCATGTCAGGACCCAACCAAAAACCACCATGTACTAGATACAGTTTTAGCCTCGATGTTTCGCTTCCTGATGCCGATAGTAGTTATCTGGTCCAAGCAAGATAAGTCGACAATGCCAGCAAACGAGAGGAATACGCTGAGTGTGCATCCATCCTCGACTCTTCAGATGCAAAGACTGTAGACGCCGCTTCCAATTCTGTTTAGAAGTAGTGTCTGACCATAGAATTGTATCCCATATTAGCCCTTGCCTCAAAGCTTCTCGCGGTGCATTGTGTTCGTCAAGGATTTGATCAACTCGGTCAACCAGTGCTGCAAATCCTCGATGACGTGCGTATTCATAGGCGACTTCGCGGGAGACAACTATGTTGTATTAGTGCTACATTCTCTGCATTCAGTATCTTAGAATTGACTTACAACTCTTGCTACGAATCTTGGTTAAGCCAACTGTGCCAGTAAGAGCCTTCAGTGCTTTCTCCGCCTCGGTGTACGCTAGCATTGTGCTGTCTAACGGAACCTGAGCATTGTATTGTAGCAAATCTGCGACTGCTAACAACGATTGACCGGATCGTTGTACTACGAGAATGTCGACCATCCTGTCTGGTACCGGTATTGGCAGAATCAGCCGCAGGTCGCCTTCAGCGCCGTCGTTTGTAATATAGGATTAGTGTATGCGGCAGAACGCGGAGGCGATATGCAAGGTTGCTCTCTCCAGATGTTGTCTCAGACGGCGTCGGCACCGTCTTGTCACTGGCACCAGTGCGCTGGCGCTTCTTCGCGGTTTGCAGTACAGGGGTCTTTCCAGCGTACTCTTCGTCGTCATCCTCAGAGTCCTGTATAACTGGACGTGCTCGCTTAGTGGTCGTCGTCGATGGGCCAGCTACCTGTCTACCGTCATCGCCATCATCGCCATCATCGCCAGTGTCGGCAAACAGGTTGTATGTAACGGCGCACCGTGTGCGAAGCGTGCGGTTTATCGCCTTCCCTTTGCCTTTGTCGGCGTGTACAACGGCGTTGGCTGGCATTTCCAGTCCTGTTTGAGCTGCCGGTGTGGAGACTGGAGGTCCTGAGGTGACTGCCGTCGACAATCCTGTGGAAGCCAAAGCCAACGGCGAGAGCGCAGACCTTGCTGGTCTTGAAGTCACAGAAGTAGACAATGGCGCTGAATCTCTGGGAGCCGAAGGCAAGGGCGAGGGCGCGGGGCCTGCTGGCATCCAAGTCACAGAAGTAGACGATGACGTTGAAGTCGCAAAAGTAGACAACGGCGCTGAAGCTACAGAGGCTGAAGCGGGAGCGGGAGCAGGAAGTGGTGGACAATCTAGTGTGATGCGGCCACTATTGTACAATACTCTGGCTAACTGGAAGGCTGTTTCGCCTTTTGCTGTCTTGCTCATGCGAGGAAACTCGGGTGTTTGGAGTCTTCTCCACGCGAAGAACTCTCCGACAGCATTCCATCGCCTCTTCTTGTCTATACTGTCTAAGCGCTTAACGACTTGACGTCAGACGTTGCTAATGCTCTCGTAGTATTGCTTAACTCCTACAAAGGACTCCATGATGAATTGCTCAGGCGTCAAGACAACTGGCTGTCTTATGTCATATTTAGGTTAGCAAATGTAAGCAGAACAGTAGTAAGTAGCTTGTCTGTATCAGGTGCCATGATCGTCCGCTGCCTATTGCGCTAGGCTGTGTGGAGTGTGAGGGAGCTTGATTGCTATTATTGAGCGAAGCTATCTAATTGCGTAGTGCTACAACCATCTCTTCTCAATCTCGGAGAGCGAGTACTATAAGATCTCGTTCGCTACTAGTGTGTTATTGTCTTATAATATTATAAGCATTAGAGCGTTACTTTGCATATATGATAGTATTTACATTCGCAAGATAGATTCTTATTTAATCAATTAACTACTGCAAGTAAGCTTCTAAAGCCTTATTAAACTTCTGATCATGTTAGAACTGAATTAAAACTGCCTGTACGTAATCATCAGTAAGAGATATGTCTCCTCCATCATCTTCATCAATCTCAAACCCGTCCCACTCCTGCAGTGACGGTAAGTGACTTGGCCATATTCGTGCGGGATGACGGAGTTAGTAGAACCTCAAGTCCGTGCCACGCCGGAATTTCGAAGTAGCCTAGATGGCTCGCAACTGCATGCTCCGCGTCGAAAACGTCTTGCACCGTATTACGAGCGACGTGGCATACGGAGAGTCTGCCTAGGCAGGGCATTGGCAGACGAGTCAGTGATCTGCAATGCCGGCTCATGGGTGAGGATTAGATGAGATATCATAATTTTGTTGTGGATGCATTTGAGCAAGTTCTTGTCAATGCTCAAGCGAGAATAGCGGCAGTTGCTAGACTCCCCGCTAGGACAGGGCTGAGCTATCTTCAGCAGCTGGCTTCTGAGTGGTGTGGGTAAGAATCCCGGGCATGGTTATAGCTGCAAAGCCCACGAGACCCCTCCTGGGTGCATGTCCGCGTATAGAGCAGGCGATCGAGCAGGCCGTGTTTCTTAGGGAATTTATTATTAGAATAGTTATAGACAGCGATGGGCGTACTTCAGTGAAGTACCCCGCGCCAACGACGCTTTTGAGCATGATGTGATACCGTCTTATGGCCGCACGGCCTCTCTCGGCCAGCGTCGCCATTGTAACAATGAATGTTTCCGCTTCAGAAGCTGTATAGTCCGCACAGGTCGGTCCGAAACTACATTGTATCGAACAGTTGACCCCAGCTCGCCTGGCCTGGAGCAGCTTAGTGAAGCCTTTCAAGGCGCACCGGGGAAGCTTACAACGACAATCCGAGAAAAGGGCCGCTTGATTGAGTATAGCCTAATTCGTGGCTGGCTCGATGTGAATGCGGAGAGAAGAGCGAGAAAAGTGTATCTGGTAGAAGATGCCGAGCAGCCGCAACCTTAATGAAGGTTTTTTGCTCGGAAAGTATCTTCAGTGGCGTTGCGGAAGAGGACCATATCCGCTGCGGGTTGGTCTGGCTGGTCCGACGGCGGCGCGCACAACTGTACGCTAAGATATGCACGTCACACCTGCATTTGGGTTTGACCCACTTCACGATTGTGTTTTCGGCTCTACTTATTTGAACGCGAGCCTGGTTCGGCTGCACATAGAGTTTCTGGTAAGCGGCGGAGGCAGCTCCGCTGGGCACGCGGAGCTCCGGAATGTCCCATGCAGAGGTCTGCCAACGTCGGCCATTGTCTTTGGAAACTCAAAATCCATCAGATAGAAATAATGTACAAGGTACATGAGCGGGGGAGGGGGGACATCTCGTGAAACCCAGACCTTGTTGTTTAAAGTATCGCTGTCCGAAGATCGATTGGCTGTGCAGTGAGCTTATAATGTCGTCAATCGTAAGCATCGCATACCGGAACGATAGCTCCAGAGATCCGCTCTAGACGGCAGTCGTAAGCTCGTATAAGCAAGAAACAATGCCAAGGCTCTCTAAGGTTCTTGACATAACATGCGACCTCACGATCCACTCCACTCTTTGCCCGATATGGACAGCGACAACACACGATTCCAAGCCTACAGCACTATCGTTCAGACATCGCAAGAGCCTCTTGTCCGACCCTCCGCTTCCAAGACGTCCGAAAACCGCATTTTCGGTGCTCAGTGTGTCCGGGGTCGGCCCGATGGTCTCGCAAGCATGCTGAGTTCGATTCGAGGGGGCAGCCTCTCATTTCATTTGACAGCTCCGGCACGGGCCGGGCGTGCCATTGATTCGGATCCTCAGGCTCGAAACAAAGTCGCCTTTGTCAAAGCGACCCCGCCAAGATCGTGCGTCGCGGAGCTTGATGGATAGGAGAAATTTGACATTGCTTTTTCGATATACCCAGCCGCTTCCTCCCGCGAACGCGAATCACTGACGCACATTGTCACGAGTCTCGGCACTCCGAGAATAGGTTAATTGGACGTTGATGTGAGTAGGCTGTGTCGCAAGCGCAGAGGATGAAGAGATGACGGTATTGGATACGGTGTGTTTCACAGGCGTTTTGCGGAGAAGAGATCAGCTAGGACGATCACAGGCAAGTCATTTGTTCGCAAGGTTCCATAAGCAATTTGATCGAGCCGCCTTACGACGTCGAGATCTCCGAGATACCACCATATAGCAGGGTACAAATGTGCGCAATACTGTGGGCACGTATACCCCGTTCTTTCCTTGATTAGGAAGCATGATTGTCGAGCAGACCACATGACCAGAATGCGATGCAGTCAAGAGGGGCTCAGCGCTGTGAAAAGGCCCGGCTGGCACTGCAGCCCAATAATGGAGAGTACCACCCACATCTCTGGAATTGTCGACTGGTGTTGTGGTAGGACAACGCAAAGACAAAAAGCGTCGCAGGTTGTCCACGCGATGCATGGGTCTGCTCATCACAGGGAGTCACCCTGTATAGTTTGAGCAAATGCATGCGAGGGGCTATGCACAGCCATCGTGTCTGAATCGCTCAACGGTGCACCATGTTATCAAGGGTTGCTGATGCGCATCCCCGATAGCCTTTGCTATTGCGTTCAGCGGGGAGACGGCAAAGGCGCAGGCCTAGGAAAACGCGGAGCGGCCGATTGCGGGCGAACACTGATGACCGGGAAATGGCGCCGAAGGTTTATGTTTTGGAGGTTGTTGGAGTAAACTTGACCTATCATGTCTATCCGCGGGCAGTTGACTCTCAGGCATGGCCGTATGTAAGAAGAGCTTGCCAGATTCTGACTAGAACTCCACGACGTTCGTCTCATTTCGAGTTTAGTTTTGGCAACGTCACGATGACAGCGATAGCAATCGTGCGTGTTGGATAGGCTCTGGAGTCGCGGACGTGCGTGGGGTGGTGATGAGGCACAGAAAGGAGAATCTCACGGGTCGGTTAACGCCCTGCCATAGCTATCGTGTTCGGGTACGCCGGTGACATCTGAAGCCAATCCCGTTGCATCTTCCCGTAGGCAAGCCAGGAGGAATGTCAGCAGATCGTCGGGATCAGCCCCCGACACAGTAAGACTGGTAGGTTGAGTCTTCAGACAGTGCAGCTCACGTCCACGCGACCGCAGCGGACTTCGAAACACAGTGAGAAGCGGCTTGCCGTGGCGTCTAGTAGTCGCCAAATTGAACCCTGACGTCTTGAGAAATGACGAAGGCGATCACGGGCTAGGTCGAAACCCACGTGGAATCCATGCAGGATTTGCAGGATTGGTGGGTATGCCTTCCGTGGCCGTGCAAGGGTCGCAACATCTCTCCTTGCGCCGACATGTGCGACACTGGCAATGTGGTTCAAGCTTTGATGTCGCCATCTGGCCCCGCCAACAGTCAGCATGATGATCATGCTTCAATATTTCGGGCCGCAGTGAGAATTGACATTGTTGGGAGGACCTCTATACCCTAATGTACCACGGACAGGTTACCTTGTCGTGGAAACAGGATCCCAACCTTGCTACATGACGACCCGGCCTCAGCATATCCACTCTGCGATTGCGTGTCGAGGGCAAGTGCCAATTCGTCGTCGACTGCAGCAAATAAGTATCGACGTGGCTGACCGCCAATGGATAAAAAGCACTGCAGGTCCAAGCAAAAGGCCCATGCTCTTTGATCTTCGCATTTTCCTCATTGGCTAGCAGACCCTCCATTAATGCAACACCGTTACCCGCAATGGTTTGATCCACCAATATCCGTCACGCACCACAATTGGACCTGTTCGAAAGTGCTCATGTGCATAAGTTGGGTCGGCATGTACTCATGTACCTTGGGGCCCCACGCTTCGAGAAGCGTGTGTTTCGCAACCCTGAACAGGGTATAAAACCGGCTGTTATGGGGGCACGTAATGCTTTGTGTCCTGCGCTCCGAAGTCCCGGGACATGAACGTGGGAAGGGAGTTCGGTCTGATCTTGATCCACGTGCTTGCTCGCCGTTCTTCCGCCTGATCAATGTACGTAGTGCGCAGCATCCGAGATCGCATTAATCCTTGGGATAGACGGAAGGCTTGCGACCCGTCCAAAAGTTTTTGCAATCGGTGGTAATCGTGGTGGAAGGTCGTTGGAATATCGGGTCCGAGAATGACTGGTGTTATCTAGCCGACGGGATGCTCTCCGCGTGTTTGAGCGTTGTGCTAATCACGTCAGTGGCAGACTGCGGAGGCACCGCCGATGGTTAGAGCGCAAGTGCGGTGGATGCCGTCGGTCCAGTAATCTCGAGAAAGACGACATAAGCAATCATAGCATGATTGGTACTTGGTCAACGGTCGCGCTGAGCTGCGGCGAGGTGATGGTTGCTTCATGTCTCGTTTTCGCTTTCTAAACGAGCGTCATCGTTCCTTCCGCGTCCGAGAGGTATATCGGATCGGTAAGTCACCACGCTGGCGCCCAGGTCTTGTTAGGGAATGGGAACCAGATTCTGGGTTCGGTCCGTCGCAATTATCGGGTCAATGCCGTGGTGTAGCGGTGAGCGTTAGCCGGAAGCTCGGAAGCGGCAATGAAGGATGAACCAATTTTACATTCGCTGTGGTACATGATATGAAAGAATCCGTGAAGCCTTTTTCCAAATGGGTATTGTGCAGAGTTCCGCCGAGCCGTGTGCGCCTTGCTAAATGAAAACCAACAAAATGACTGCGCCGAAATGGATGATGTCCCTCAGAAATATAATGATGCTTTGCTCCGTGATCCTTTGCAGTCGCCTTGGGTGATGTTAGATGGCTGTAGCGTGGGGCAGTTTGGGAAGACAAACTGCAGTTCTCGTCGAGGCGGTACTCTCTACAATAGTTATTAGCACATTGATCTTGATGCTCGTGGAAACGACCCACATTGCTACCACGTTCGCAGGACATCTTTTGTGTGTCTCTTGATACTTTGTACACCACGCTCGGACGACATAGCGAAGATGGCTGCACTTGTACTGGACCTGTGTATAGTCGCACATCATGCACGACCAAGACCGTCGGTATAGATCCACGTTGTGGATGGGGGAAGCGTGGAATGAAAGCGGAATGATCGGTATGATGAAGATTTAGAATGCTGTCCCAGTCAATCTTGGAGCTGCGCGACGGACCGCCGCCCAAGTTATAAGACTACGGACCAGACGCCGGAGGAGAACGTCAGTGCGGTCAGGTACCCGAGTAATAATGCAGAATGTCAATTGGACCTGGCTCAATGACATGCATCATGGGAGTAGCTATGATCTGGTCCCCCAACGGATCCGGGCCACTGCGAGTGGTCGAGCATGTAGACGCAAGTGGAGCTTGTTTGAAGTCGCTCCGCTTGTGGCTACGGGCGGATGCACCTGGGACATCCCGAAAAAAAGCCCTACAGGGTAGTACCGCTAAGGAGGTTGCGTGTGTAAAGAATCTGACCTCGACCCCGGGCTTAAACTGTGACGGAGCAATAATGCAATCCCGATGTGTGAGTGGTTGATGAATCGTCCGAGTCTGGGCACCACCTCGCCTCGTGTCCCTAGCCTGCGCTAATGCCAAAGTTACGAGCGGTTCCACATAGCGAGAAAAAGCTGATCGACGACCACGGGTCCACGTTGGATGTGCTGCGCAGACGCGGCGTGGGGTTGCGCCGTTGGGAAAACATGCGCGTGGGTGAGGCTGCAGCCACCACCTGCAAGCCTTCAGAGGGCGAACCACCTAGTCCGTATCACGGTGCAGGTCGCAGGATCGGCCTAGGATATACAACCTTCTCTTAATGACATTGCGTCTACTGCTTTCCGCGGGACTAAGGCAATAGCCTGTCGCGCCACTCCTTGCGTGTTCCCCTCTTCTTCTCACACTTGCTATTCGGCGGGTTTCGTACATCCTTCTCACCGATGCCCGTTTCGTGCGGATAAGAACGCGCTTCCCCGAATATTGCGACGACAGCCGCCCGCGAGTAGAATGTTGCGCAATCATAGATGCCGTACCGCTATTTGCTGAGCACGGCTGCCATAGCAGGCTTTTGTTTTGTGACTAACTTTAGCATGGCATGATATGGTGTTGGTCGACGGTTACACTGAAGCCTAGGCTTTATTATCGAGAACTCAATATCACCTCTGGGATGTGAGCGTCCAAGGTTGATGAACCGATTCGGCTCGATATCCTTGTTGCTAGACCATTGGTGAACGCTATATGAGCGAGAATTACTCATTCTTGTGCTTGCGGTTTCGTCCGTTCCATAGTTTCAGTCATACCCGTCATTACCGTGCTTGGAATGAGATGGAATGCTGCCGCTCCATCATTTCGTGACTTAGTCAGTCTGCATTTGTGGATAATCTAATGTGTGGCGGGGGTCTCAAAGTGATCAGAGGTGCAGGTACAGCAGTCCTCTCAAACTTACGACAAGGACTAGACATGCTTCATCACAAATCACACAGTAAGCGCCGAAATCCAGACAGATAGTTTCCCTGCAAGTGGCATGCAAACCATGCTGCGAACAGTTGAAAGGCACATATCCGGCAGGTACATCTACACAACCTATCCTACCACACATGTCAACGGCAGCAACGTGATGTAGTGGATGAGGCGTTCAGTACGACATCTTGCTTAGGTACCTTCCTAGCATGTGCATACTCGTATGTATACTCGAACCAGGCTCTCGGTATATATGCGCGGCACAGGCCGTGTTGCATCTGTATACCAAAGCACGTAAATTAAATGCAAGTGGATGCATGACAACGCAGGCGACCCGAAGGGTGGATACCAAGGATTTGGCTCGGTAGTTCTGGACCTTGCGGAGTGGCGAGACTGTGCAAGCTACGACGTGCAATTTTGGCCTCGGCAGCTCCGAAAAAAATTGTGGTGGATGAGAGTGCCTTCTGGGCGGAATTGCGTGCTTCGCTACTGTTATGGTTTAGCACAGGACCGAATGGAAATTCAGACGTGTGAGGGTCTGGGAGCGAATGGACTGTTTGGGGATCTTGCATCCCAGCTAAAAATGCAAAGTATATCCTGATGGTAGTTGTATATTGCATGTTCCAAATCCATTCACTACACGTTGGACTACATGAGTATGATGCGAGGAGGTTTCAACAGCGACTTGCCTTACCTAATGGGTGTAGATTGTCGGTGTGAACAAAGAGATATTTCGTTTACTCGCTTTCGAATGTTGTTGCCGCTAGACTCGCGAGATAACTCTGCGGACCCAATGACGTATTGATTGTCCTACTAGCACTACGTAATTTCTTCATTTGGAGGAATCCGTAGTCTAGGTTCCTGTCAGATAAGAACTGGGATCTTATCCTAGCAAGGCTACGGACCTTGATAGTCACGTGTTCGTATCATACCACGAAATTACGTCTGGCAACGCTACATGACGCCTGCGAATCGGCCGCACACACATTGGATGAGTTGTGTGATCACTTGAGGCATCTTCTTTGTATCGGGACAGTCTACGGCGCAATAATTCTGAAGCCATAAGACGACCGTAACGGTGGTCGAGTGCTCGACCAGCACGGCTGTCATATTCAGGCTGAAGATGTGACATGGATGCCGACAGACGCTACCAAAGGGCTGGAAATTCCACGTACAGAATGCCAGCGTGGAACTCTTCCAGCCCCGCATATATTTTGTGTGGGCTCTGCCGTGGTAGTATGTAAAGTGACCTGGATGTATGTTAGGTCAGCGACACGGAAAGGTCTAGCACACGAAGTGCCGGACGATTCTGTAAGCTTCATCATGTGTATGTGCCGCGGTTCGTTGAAATTGTTGGGTATTTCCATTCCACCACTATCCAATAATGTGAAGTGCCGCAGTACGGGTATGTTATCGTGACAGGCTCGTGATGCACGTATATCCTGTGAAGGCAACGCGACTGGCCGCTTGTGGGTATATCCGCCACAAATATACACATAAATCATGAAAACTCGCCGTTCTGCTCGTCAGCGTCGAGCCAACCCCTGCACATTTCGACTGCTCTGCCCCACTTCTTGAACATTTTTGCACCTTCCTCTCTGCTAATGTTTGGTTCAAAGATCACTCGATCTTTCTGGTTGATCTCTTTTAGTTCGTCAAACTCTTTCCACACATCAACGGCGAAGCCAGCTGCGATTGCAGCACCAAGGGCAGTTGTCTCGCGCATTGCTGGTCGATCGACGGGAATACCAATAATGTTTGCTTGAGTCTATTCGTCATATGTAAGCCATATGCCTTACAGGGGCCATAGAATGTACAGGGTATAGACTTACCTGCATGCACAGATTTGAGTTCGACATGCCTCCGTCTACCGCAAGCATGTTAAGCTTGTGGCCGCTGTCCTTCTCCATGGCGTCAAGAATAGCCTTCGTCTGGAAGCAAGTCGCCTCAAGGGTCGCTCTAGCAATATGACCCCGCTCAGTAAACTGAGTGATGCCGAAAATGGTGCCCTTGGCGTCATCAATCCAGTACGGGGCGAAAAGCCCGGAGAAGGCAGTGACGAAGACGCATCCACCGTTGTCTTGCACACTTGCTGCGAGATCACTGATCTTGTGTGAGTGAGTTATGAAGCCCATGTTGTTCATCAAGAATTTTACACCACTCCCAGCGACAGCAATACTTCCCTCAAGCGCATACACAGGCTTGCGCTTACCGCCAAAATCGTATGCAACCGTAGCCAGCAAGCCATGATGGGATATCACTGGCTTCTCGCCAACATTATAAAGCAAGAAGCAACCGGTGCCATAAGTGTTTTTCGCGGCGCCAGGCGTGAAGCCTTGTTGGCCAACCAATGCAGAAGACTGATCCCCTAAGCATCCTGCAATCCGAATGCCTTTTAACTCTCCTTTCTGGATGGAACCGAAAGCGTCCGGTGACGACGAGGGAACAATTTTTGGAAGGTTCAGCTTCTTTTGGTCCAGCCCAAAAAATTCTAGAAGTTGATCGTCGTACTGCACCGTGTGCAAATTCATAAACATAGTTCTAGAGGCGTTTGTCGTGTCCGTCACGTGAAGATCTCTTTCCTTTCCTCCATTGAGATTGTACAGGATCCAGGTGTCGATTGTGCCGAATGACAGGCGGCCTTCATCGTATGCCTCTTTAACCGCATCAACGTGTTGAAGCAGCCACATGAGCTTCACCGATGAGGGATATGTCGAAAGCGGGAGCCCGCACATGTCTTGCAGTTTATCCGCACCATCCCTGGCTTTGAGCTCGCGAACCAAGCCCTTGGTTCTCGTATCTGGCCAAGCAATAGCATTGTACAATGGCTCGCCCGTATGAGTGTCCCACACCACAGTGGTTTCACGCTGATTGGTTATGCCAATGGCCTTGATGTCAGAAATTTCATGCTCCATGTCAACAAAGATTGAAGTTGCTCGTTCCATGCACTCTTCAACCGAGGCGATGATTTCCTTCGGGTCGTGCTCGTGCCATCTGCGCATTGTGAGCAGTGCGTTGTATTGTGGTGCGCTGGAGATACTGACCCTGACTGGGGATATTTCTGGGTGAATTCAATCTGATGTTGTGCGACAGGCTCGCCTAACCCGTCGAAGATGATGAAGCGCGTACTTGTGGTTCCTTGATCAATAGACCCGATGAAGAAGTTCTTGAGCTTTTCTTCATCGAGTTGTGATCCATCTTGGGTGTCTGCAACCTGCTCCTTTGGTATCGGTTGCGGATTCGTCTCCTGGGCAGAGAGTTTTTCCATTGCCGTATGCGATTGACGTGCTTGCTGAGGTATAGGGCTAGGGGTATGCGATCGCGATGCGCGTCTCAAGTTTGTCCGCCAGATGTTGGGGCTCTGTTTAGATACAGTGTTCGCGCTGAAGTTGTTCCGAGGTCCGTTCCGAGTATACGCGCTCGCGACACAATGTGCCGAATTTCAAGTGGTTGGGGGAAGACTGAATTTGGGGAAGAAGTTGTGGAGTTTGGTGCGAAAGACCAGGGATGAAATCATTGGAAAATGCGCGGAAAAGTTCGGAGGCAAATCGGCACGCGACGATGGCAGCGCGTGTATCCTTTCCAAGCGGTATGACGTTGGCGGAGGGGTGGTGTTTACTTTTAAAGCGGGGGAGAGGGGAAGCTTCCAAGACTAGAAGAGCAACCGCGAGGGGCGCCCAGCCTAGTCATGTGAAGCCACAAATATTTCAGCCTCCATCGAATTCGTTGAGGCCATCCGTCTTTACTGCGGGGATCGTCGATGCATGGCCAGTGGGATTATTGTCTTGATCTAACACAGGAGCTAGGCAAGTTTTCCGTGCGGCGCGGTCTCTGAGCCTCAGAGTGATATCAGTACAGCGGGTCCGATCAACATGAGCTGCGTGGGATCAACAAAGCTCCACATCGCACAACATATAAAATCACCAAACTTATTGCCTGGTATCCGACCGGAAGGGGGTCGGGACTGGTATGTCTCCTGTTGATTCAACGCCCCATAGGGTTGGTTTTGCTGCATGGCAAGACGTTGTCTCACACTGGGCGAGCGTAAAGTGTACACAACTTCCATGGCCCATGCAAGCCAAAACACGACTCCCTTGTGATCACATTACATACATACAACCGACCGAAGTGGACACGACAACACATCCCTCCGACAGAAGACGGTCCACTTTTCTCGCCGCCGCCGCGTAGTCCCTGCCGATATCAACAGTTTTGAATTTGAGCCGGTGACACTCCTCGCCAAAAGGGCCCATGGACAATGTCTCGTCTAATGGGAATTACAACCTTGTCCAGATATTCTGCATATGCGAATGTCTAGTCCCAGGCAAGCTTGCTTAGCCGCCGGCCAATCAGGGCCGACCAGACCCCGTTAGCCGAGTTGAGTACTGTCAGATTGGGAGAACAAATCCGCATCCCTCCTGGCCCAAAATGTCACCTGCAGCAGACGTGCCGCAGCCCCAAAATGGGTTCTATGTCCTCGTTACAGGCGCAAACAGGTATGGACTCTGTCAGCTCGTTTCTGGTGCACGCGACTAACAGCCGGTCAGCGGCTTGGGACTGGGTATTAGTACACGCCTGATCGACGAATTTCTCCAGACGCGTCCGCAATCCGAGTCCCTCGTCCTCATCATTACGACACGCGACCAACAGAAAGGCGACGCGACAATCGAAAAATTGCAACGTCACCTGCGACAGGTGTGCGAGAAGCATGAACAGACGCTGCCAGGCATCTCCCAGCTGCTGCTGCACCGCGTATATTTTAGGCAGGAGCGACTCGACCTCCTGAGCTTGGTCTCAGTGCAAAAGCTGTCCAAGAGAATACGGGATACTACACCCAAACTTGATGCATTGATCTGCAATGCTGGCATTGGGGGATGGACCGGCATCAATTGGCCTGTGGCCATTTTCTCCATCCTTACAACATGGACGAAGGCATTGACCTACCCTACCTTCAAACTGGCAGCCATTGGCCGGGTGACGAAGCCGCAATCATCCACGACTGAAAAGGGCGAGGAACTCGGCGAAGTCTTCTGTGCCAATGTCTTTGGACATTACCTCTTAGGGCACTACCTCGCACCACTCCTAGCGAGACACTCCAAGAGCGAAGATACCAGAGGCCGTATCATATGGGTGAGCAGTATAGAGGCATACGACTTCACATTCGACATCAACGACATACAGGGCCTCGGGTCCGAGGTGCCGTACGAATCCTCCAAGAGATTGACGGACGTATTGGCAATAAGTTCGACCCTGCCCTCCACGTCGAACCACGTAAACCAATATCTCGAGTACTCAGACTCGTCTGAGAAGACCACGAAGCCCCGCATCTACGTCTCCCACCCTGGCATCTGCGGCACCTCGATCGTCCCCCTACCACTAGTCCTCGAGTATCTTATGTTCGCCGCATTCTATCTCGCCCGCTTCCTCGGCAGTCAGTGGCACCCGGTCACTGTGGAAAAGGGTGCAACCGCCATGGTCTGGCTCGCCCTCGCAAACCAAAGCACACTGGACAGCATGGAGAAGCAGGAAGGAGCAGGCAAGTGGGGCAGTGCCACAAATTTCTGGGGCCAAGAACGAGTGGAGCGCACGGAGGTTGGGGGATGGGGATGGGGTGGCAAAATGGGGGAACACAAGCGAAAGGGACGCAATCCATATGCACGAGACCTTACCAAGGAGAGTGCGGAAGAGTTTAGACAAACAGGCGAGAAGTGTTGGGCAAAAATGGAGGAACTGCGCATCGAATGGGAAGACCGACTTCGGACAGCTGGGGTTGCTGTCGATATGGACTGATTGGGCATCATTCGGCGAAGCGTACGACATTGTAATATACAAATAATGCTTGCTTTCTACCCAGCACCGCCACCCATCGCCCCGTCAGATGACAGAGCTAAACTCGGTAATTGGAAGAGCATATCGCACGTACCAAATCTGTTGAGCAACCCTGAAGCCGCCATCGTATTCGCAAGCCGATCTCAACATCGAGACCACGGGACGACGAAACTCGTTCGACGGCTTTGGAGCGTATGAAGTTTGCTCGCCGCTAGGAATGAACTCCGATGATGCATCGCCGACCAACCACGAACCATTTTCCTCGTTGGGCACGAAGGCTTGCAACCTCAAATCCCACATGACTGCGTGAGTGAGGGTAGCCAGGATTTGTTTTCACTGAGTAACGTTGCAGTGTAGAAAGCCACACTGCAACAGAAAGATTGCGTTCTCTCGTACCAATAATGGATTCACGACCTTAGTACGAAGGAACGATATTGGGCCGCAAGTGCAAAATGTCACTTTAGCAATGTGGCGACGAGTGAGCGACACCGGAAGACCGCTTCCAAGTACGTCAAGTTCCCCTGCTTTCGACAGGACGCTAGGGCCGCGCCGCTCGGGAAACTTGTGGCGGATCAGAACGAGCACAGCTAGTCCAGTGTTCTATTTCCCTCAGATCCAATGCCCCTCCAAAGATGCGAAGACTATGGCAAAGTGAGGGTGCCCCTCGTGGCCGTGCTCGTGCTTGTTCCGCATCGTAATGACGATTTTCGTGATTGTTTGGAACGCTCCTGCAGAAATCACCGAAATTAGGCATGGGTTTCAGTTAAAATTAACCAATGAGAAGCCGAGGCTTTTTGTGCTACCACTGCGCTGGGAAGGCGCGGATGCGTCCCGCTGTCGTCGCTCCCTCGCTAAGAGCGCACGGACTGCAGTCGCGCTCCCAAGTCGCGTGTACCCTGGTAAAGATTCACGCCCAACCACCTGCACATTGCTGACCCCTTATTCCCAATATCTTTGCTATAGCGGTTGCAAGAATTGGTAGGATGCTCCATGACTTTCTCTCCATCTTCGAAGTGAACGCGCAGTGCCTGCGTTGAGTTTGCGCCTGCCCCATTGACCCATTGACGTGTGCCTGTCCCTTTCACCGCCGATTCACTCTCACCGGTCTTCCCCTCCGGCGGAACATCAAAAAAAGACGCAAGAGAGACCATTGACGACACCAAAGGCTTCGCGACACAAGCAATGGAACCAAAGATTGATCCTCTTTCTTCTGACTTTCCGCCAGTCTTCGCACGCGACACCAACATCTAGATTGCCAGGTCTCCCCGGCCTTCAACTGCCGTTGCCGCATTAACTGCGCACTTACTCGCCCATCTCGAAATTCGCAATCACGACCAGAGTTCTGTTTTCGATGACATCAGAAGCGTCTTTGCAACACTTCAACACTCAGACAATCTGCCATTGTGCGAAGCACATTGCGGCACAAGGCTTTGTGGTTGGCAAAACGTTGTCAATAGGCTTTTATGTTCACCAAGAACAAAGAGCACATCTTTGCACCTAAGAAGTCTCCGGTCCTTTATTCATAACTTCACCGACCACAACCTACGCCCCACCGTCCTACACAAAAATCGTCCATAAACATGTCTGCTTCACCTTCGCAGCGCGACTCAGCGCGAGAACACGCACAGCGCCCTTCTACACCTGACCACAAAAGAACCTCAATCGCTCGGACTGGTTCCGTTTCTGTCGCTCCCAGGTCCGAATACCTGCGCAATGCACTCCAAGCTCGACGAGCCCAGGGTACATCCACGCCAACTGCTTTGGATATGCGCGTCCCGCCCTCTACCACGCCGAAACCTCCAGAGCCCAAGCCTGTATCAGTCTCGCCTGACGGCTTTGATGAGTTTGAGCTCACCGACGAGCACACAAGACCCGTCTCTCCGATACGTCGACGAAGACCTAGCGATGTGGGTGTACCGCGATCGAAGACCAGCCGCCAGTTGACCGAAGAGATCGAGAAGCTCAAGGACAACCTCATGACGTCCAACATGCGAGTCGAACTATTGAAGAAGAATAACTCGGAGCTACAACATATCTCGACCCAGCTGACGGAGAGAGTCGAAGAGCTAGAACCTCTCGAGGAGGAGAACCATGAGCTGCAGCATGAGAACAACAACTTGATGCTTAAGACGCAACATTTGGAAGAAGAGATGGAGCGACTCAAGGATGACAACGACGAGCTTCGGAAATCCAACGAGGAGATGCTTGAAATTTACGTGGACTGTTCTTCGCACTTCGAGACCCAAGAAATTGCCTTGCAAGAGGCAGTCGATACCATCTTTGCACTCGAGGAAGAAAAGGCTGTGCTCGCTGGCGAGGTTCACAAATTGAAGGAACGAGTGACTCTCCTTGAAGACGGCTCAACACGAGTCAGCACGTTATATGACGGCAGCCCGCGTGCTCCATCCATAGTGTATAGCATCGACGAGTCGCGACCATCCACAAGCCATTTCGACTCAGACTACTACAGCCAACCGGATTCGCCTCAAGTGAAGAACAGCAAAGAGTCGATCGTCTTAGTTCAACCAGGAACATCTGCGCGCTCGAAGAAGTTCCTGGAGCAAACTAAAGAGCGCAGACGATCGGCGAAGGATATAGTCAATCGCATGTCCACCGCATCCATGTCGGCTCTAAGAATGGCAAGCCTCAAACACGCTGAGGACATTCCGGAGGTACCCGAGCTCCAAGTAGAGACTCCCACAATCGTTGAACATGTTGTGTCTGATAGGCGTTCATCAAGACCTGCCAAACAGCCTCGTGGCAGATTGCGGGAGAGCATTCAAAGTGTTATACAAGATGCGCTAGAAATTTCGCCATCTGTATCCGAGTCAGCTCCAACACCAGTGCAAGAGAGCCTTAGACGCACGTCTCGATCCAGCCAGTCGACTGGATACCGGTCATCGAGCGATTCACGTCCGTCTTCCAGCCACGCCAGGACTCCCACGATAGCCACACGATTCAGACAACGCCGACCTTCTACCGAAGCCTCGCCGCGCGTTCCCTCGCGCAGGAGCAGCAAACAGGCCCACACGAACAGCTCGAACGAGCAGCTCTTTCAACGCGATCAACAACCTCCCCGCCACCGTCGATCCGAGTCGGATGTTGCTTGCTGCAGAGACACCTCGGGCTACCTCAGAAGAGTGGGCATCCATACCCCCTCCTTCTGAGCATGCCCGCAGCTCCACCATCTCCTCAAGCAGTCTAACATCTGATGCAGATTTGCAAGACAAAGACCACTGGTGGCGCAGCATCCAGCCTCTCACACAGCAACAACAGCAGACACATCACCAACCAACGCACTACCAGGCTCCTCCACATCTTCCCCTCCACCGCTCCCGACCCTCCGAGAGCGGTCTCCAGTCGCAGGCTCAGCACTCTCCCACGCTGACCCGCTCGCGCACCGTTCATCCGGACTCACTTGGCCAGTCCGCAAGAATCGATACCGCTGGTCCTTCAAGCGCGGCGCTGAACGCGCTGAGTCGCAGGACTCGCACGCAACCTAGCACACCAGCCGCATCGTCGACGTACATGGAGAAGGACTTCATGTTCAACGGCCACGAGGATGTGGAGACATTCATGCGAAAGGCCAAGGCGAAGCTGAGCGGACGCAAGTAGGGCTCGTCCCTCATGTACTGTTAGTAGTTTTTCCTTGTTTTTTGATTTCTTGTTTGGCGTGGGTGGTACACTTTTGTTTTCGGGATGGCGTTAAAAACCAGAAGGATATACCAAGTAACTCCGCGAGGAGCAGGATGCATGGGTTCCGGAGTGACCCTGGTGGCACCTTTTCATAGGCTTCAGCGTTAAAACCTAGGCTTTGCGGTATTATATGTTTTAATTGTAGTAGAACAGTGAATGTTCAATGTTGTATACAACAAATCACAGCTTTGATCTCGCACACTACTGCTCGCATCACGAAGGGAAGCATAGCCTGCATGTACGATTGAATCTACATACTATCCTACGTTCTCCATTCATGAGTCCACCACATACACTAGCTGGAGCATTCCGCCTCGACGCCAAATTTCCGTCGCATCTCCCGCAACTCCCACCACCACAAACAGCGCGTAGCAACCGCCCCAGGCTCATGCCATGGTAGTCGGGAAACGCTTGGTAGTAGGAAACGCCGTCGCCGTCTTGGCCCACGACGCAAGCGACTGGTGATTCTTAAACTTCTCCGCGAGTACGCCCTCACAGCTCGGTCTACCCTGGGCATCGAGGACGCCTACGTACGTTACACTCTGATCAGCAACAAAAAAAAAAGCACACCCACGAGAAGGCCAGGTCTTCAGACTCACAGTAGTGCTCCTTGTCGCACACCTCGCGCGTGTGCCACTTTCCGCTGTGGCATTCTACAATCTTGGACGGGAGGCCGAGGGAGGGGTGCCAGTCTGTTTGGTGGATGGTGAGTTGGCTTGATGCAGCAAGATGAGGTGGTGTGGTGGGGAGAGGGGGTGTGGCTTACATGCACTGCACCTGGGTTCGGCTTCAGTGTACCAGGTTTCGCGCTGGTCGAGGTCGTCTGTGATGTAGCACAGTTGCTTGTCGTTTGCGAGGGTGGTTGGGGCCAGGGCTGCTAGAGTGGCAAGGAGGACGGGAAGTTGGAGCTTCATTTTTTTGCTTGTAGATTGTTGTTTGAAATGTTGGGATGTTGAGTGTGAGGGTGTGGTGGTTTTTTTTAAAGTGAAGGGGATTTGAGGATGATTTATACTTTGTGAGGAAATGGGGGAGGATATTGTGAGGGGCTTAGTGGAGAAGAGAGACGTGGTAGGATTTTTCGGAGACTATTTCATAGTGAGGGGATTTCCGGGGGGGATTATGTGAATTATGTGAATTTTATGAGAGGGTGGAAGGGACTAGTAATAGTATATCGGACACACAAATAAGACCCTACTATGAGATGATCATGTCGAGAGAGGATTACGGAGGCTGTACACCTTCGAACGCTCTAGAATGTATTCTCTAGGATGTAGAAAGGTTGTGAAGACATAGACGCGCACTCATCACACGATCATAGATGCAGAGATATGTTGATCGTGTATCATGTATCCTGTATATCTTCACGCACCTCATGTGGTATTCTCTAAGACTTGACAGTGTCGTGAAGCTATACAGGGTTCATCGTCGCGTATCCGCTTAGACAAATTCATATCGAGTGCGTATTGTATATCCTGTATATCCTCAATATCCTCAAATACTTCAGGATGTAATCTCCGAACGTGATGAAGGCGTGAAGATATCTGAACCTCATCATCACACGCCCACAGTGCAGAGATGTGCGAGTGCGCAATGTCGTGAACGGAGACCCGGTGCTGTGGGTTCGCCAGGCAGACGTTGAGGCGATGATGCAAGCGAACCAAGAGGATACTAGGTGGCTAGCACTATTCGTAAACACTGGCGTATGGCGCTATCTGTTTTCCTAGTTAGTCTCAAGTGTTCATTGAGGTCTGATTACATCTGAATATTTCCGCGATACTGTCTGGAGGTCATGTGACAGCCTCATCGTCCTGCATGCGCTGTCGTGCAATGTTTGCGGAAGATGACCCTGCTAAGCGCTGCGTTGCTGTACGACGACACTGCATGACGGCAGCGAGCTGGCATGGCGACGACGAGGCTCTGGCTGACCGGCAAGACAATGCACAGACGAGGTGGGCCGTGTGTCACTACCGGTCAGCTCGCTTCACAGTGACTATGAGGCGCCAAATCGAGGCGAAATGGCCGGGTTCAATGGCGCAAGATTCCGCAACACGCAGATGTCGTGATCCAAGAGTGTGCGAGTGAGTGAGTGAGTGAGTGCGTGAGCGGGTGAGTGAGTCGTGGGCGTCGGATAGCTATCGCGTATCGTCTTGTCGAGCCGGTATTGATAGCGGATCGATTATGATTGTCATGCGCGTCGGAGAAGAGTGGAGTAGCTTGCCTATTTGGGCTACCCGCGTATGACTGGTCGGATCGCAGGCTGGCCGCTCTCACGAAGCTGTAGGTACCACAAGAAGACGCGAGATCCCCGGATTTACAAGGAACACGCCCATTTGACGCCCTGCACCTCATCACCGCGGTGCACCTGCAGCTTCCGGCAGCGTTTTGTCGCCAGAGCGTCCCTGTGGTGTTGTTGTGAGCTCTATCTGGTCGAGGCCCTTGTCCTGCTGGCTGGGAGCTTGGACATGTTGCTATCGTCATTCGCATCTTCCTCGTGACTGCACCCTCTCATGCGTCTCAACACTCTTTGACTGCTGCTCGCCATCGTCTGCTGCCGAACCTACCCGCGGACTCGAGTGCATCCCAACTCGACCATCTTGCTGCAGCTTCCCGCCGGCGGCCAGTACGGTGCTATACCTCACTATATCTTATCGTCTGCATTCTGCATCTCCGCCTCGGCCTGAGGCTCTACGCTCTCCACCTTTGGCACCCTGCACCCGCACCCGCACCCGCACACGCACACCACTATGCTTGCTGCTGCTGCCTGAGCTGCGGCGCCCCTTCACCCCGCGCGTGAACAGTCCTGAGGCACTTGAGTCCTACCAGTCACACCCCCGTTTGCACGCGTGATGGCTACCATGAGGACTCGCCTGTTTCCGCCGCAACGATAATCAGACTTCACACGCCCGCCCTTTAGCCTCACCCACCACACACCCGGTGCCCTTTTCGTACCTGCAGGCCATCTGCCACCATGAATCCCTACCAGCGCGCCTCGCCGCGTACAGCCTCACCCGCCAGCAACCTCCAAACGAATCCCACACGAACCAACAACCCGCGGCATAGCGCCGACCGGAACTCCTACTTTGACAATCCTCCCTACAACGACCGTGGCAGCGAAGACGGCGAGGACGACATGGCGTCTCGGGGGGACCACATGGCCGAGACGGACCAGCGGCAGTACCAGAAAATCAACCAGGTCATCCAGGTACGTACCCTGATGGGATGGACCACCCGGTGCCCATACTGACTGCCTGCCCAGAACTTCTTCACCAAATCAGCCCTCAGCATCGTCTCGTCTCGTGTCATCCTGCCGACTAGCTTCAACAAGAATGGCGACATCAGACAGAACAAATGGGTATGAGGCAGTCCTGACATTAGCATAAACTTGTGCAATCATGTATCCAGCTAACACCACCCCAGTTCAACGTCATCCTCGACGACAGCGACGAGCTCCAGCTGCGCCTCACCGAATGGAAGACCATGGACGCCATGGCTGGCCAGCACCCGCCACTGTACATCGAGGTCTACCTCGACATATCCGGACTCGGACACAAGCAGTCGCTGGTAGTACACGATGAGGACGGGAAGAGATGGGATGTGGCCGCAGCTCTAAACGCCGCTCAGCCAACTTCCCGGGCTTCGAGCCGACCTGCGAGGCCTACACAGATAGTGATTGAGCGCTGGAAGATCTACGTCGGAGACATAGATTCAGTGCACCCTTCAGACCTGACCGAACCCCTGCCCAACGTATACAAGAAAGCTGTTGTCCTCTTCCGCGGCCTCTACGCAAACCTGCGTCTGCTTCCAGCATTCAAATACAACAAGAGCATGGCAAAACAACCCGCAAATCACACGTCACTAAAGCTCAATTATCGCATTCTCAACGGCGCATCCGAACGTCCACAGCTCGACACACTGAGCCTGCCCTTGTGTCCCTCTACCGACCCTATCACCGAGACTGCACACATTGGCTCCACCAACTCACCCATTGGCCCGCTTTGTATTTCCGTCGAGTACCGCGACGCCTGCGAGTTCAGCGTTGAAGACTCGGAATCACTTCTGAGCGATCAGTTCATGGGCCTGGACGATACCTACCTCGAACAGAAACCACGCGCAGCAGCCCCGGTACCCGGGTCACTTCCTGTCGACAAGTTGAACACGCAAGAAACACCAGACGTGGGTCAAGCCTATGGCAGCCTGTCAACATTCCACCAAGTGGGACCCCCAACGGGAACGAGCCCAATATCAGCGCTTCGGGCTGCCCGTGACATGCCTTCCTCGTCACCTATCGAGACCCCTCCGCAGAAGTTACCACCCAATCACCGGACTGCACAAGGCTCAAAGTCCTCTCTCCGCTCAAATGATACGTCCTCATTTCAACGGCGGACCTCAGTCTCATTCCAACCATTCAAAGCTGGCTCGCTATCTTCGTCGCCTGCTCCAGGACCCGCGGGCCCAGCTTCACCCAGCAGCTCCCTTGGAAGACCTACCAGTGCCTTTGGCAGGAACATAAACATCGTACCCAACAGCCTGAATCAACCGCGAAACCGCACATCACTAAATGCCCTTCCTCAAGCGGCATTGCGTGCGCCATCGCTGCCTAATGACAATGCTATCGCTTCTTCTGCTTCAAGCTCTCCTAAACCCGCACCAATAACACGCTATAGCAGTAGTTTCGGCCACCGGAGAGGCAAGTTTTCTACAGGTGGCAGTAAGACTGAAGAAGATGCTCTAAGCAGCGGCAAGGGTAGCGCCACTTCCTCCTTGCAGCGAGGCTCTGATACTCTAAACGACGGGGAAGGTGGAAGTTCAGGAGAAATGAGGTCAGAGGATGACAACATATCAGATTTTCTGAAGCTGCTAGAGGCAAAGAAAGATCTGAAGAGCTTCAACCGCAGCGACAGTTCGACACGTGACGCAACAATGCGCAAGACTACGGCTCAGCTTGGCAAGTACCAGCGCATGCGGGACTCGCACGCACAACTCTCCGACTCGGTCTCATCTTCGACTATGCTGCACCGGTCGTCATCATCGTCAAGTCGTCAACTGTCAAGTGTCCCTGCAATGATCCATGGTACATCTATTTCGACTGCATCCTCACCAGGAAAGCCAATCTCACCACACACCCCACACACGCCAGCCATCCCATCTCGACTGAGCGCCAACAGCATCATCGAGTACGACCAACCTCACCGCAGTCGCAACCATCGCAGCCGAAGTCGGAGTGGCCGCACAGCACGTGGGCAGGGACCCGAGAACCTCGAAGAACAGAGCGAGGTCGAGGACGATGCTGCCGGCATTGACATCCCACTCTCGCCTCGTCCCTGGAATTATCAGCGCCGATCAAGTTCAGTCGCCCAGCAAAACCGTAACCTCCCAGAAGACGAACCAGACATGTTCGGTGTGCGTGCTGCGAGCCTGCCTGTCGAAGAGGGCGATCGTGCGAGAGACTTGCATCGAATTACCAGCACGGATCTGACATCTAGTGGGCTCTTCGCCCAGACTGAATCTCTTGCAAGCGCTAGCCGTGACAACCAGGCACCAGATGACGGCGACTCGCGCGATGACTTGCCACGAGCGTCATCTACATCAAATACACCCGCCAAGCGCGGAACATACTCAAGTAACCTTCGAGGTCGAGGTGGATTCTTCTCGCAAGGCTCATCCACGACCGGCTCTACTGGTGGCACGAGTTCTACAGAGCGCCAAAGCCGCTACAATTTCAACAGCCGGGCTGCGAATCTTGACGACGACGAGCCCTTGCTCTTCCAGATGAGCGAAATCGGCGCAGGTGGTTCGCGCCGCAGTCTCGAAGAAGCACGCGGCGGCTCCAGCACTGGTAGTGCGCGTGGCCGAAACTCACCCTGGGGAGGCCGTTAAACCTCCGCAAACTAAAAAATGCATTTGCATAAACTCCCTTCTCGATTTTTTTTTGGGCTGCTACAAAGCGGCGTTTTACGGCATTAACTGGTTGGAGGCATTCTGCATTCTCTCCTTCTGCGGCCAGGTTTTGGCGCTTCGTCATGTTTATCGATATCCAGATTTATATACGCCTCGCATTGTTTATTTCTTCTTCGTTTTCTTTTTTCTACATATCAAATTGCACGCGCAAGTAACGATGGAAACTCGGGCGCATCATGGGATGGGAGAGGTCTTTTGGCTCTGTGGATTTAGTGGGTCATGTATGGAATGAGGTGTTTATAGAGATATTCGGGTTTCGCCACTCTGGTTTGGATGATATGGGTATGGATAGGATAGGGTAGGGACGCGGGCATTCGCGTCGGAGATTTGAATATATATGTAACTTTCATACATTCTGGGTGTGGGATTGTATGTGACGTTTGAAGACTGCCTGCTATGGCACTGCATCTGACGTACAAATACATTCTAAGTATATACTACACAACTCCCCACAATGTTCTACGCCGGCTTCACCCCCTTGTGTATCGCCGCAATCCCATTCGTCAAATCCTCCCAGCCCTTCCCCGGCACCTCAAACCCTGCGTCTTTAATCATATCCCTAAACTCCTCCTGGCTCGGAAATCGTGCAATGCTCTCCACCAGATACTGATAGCTATCGCGATCGCCCGCCACCAGCTGGCCAATCAGCGGAATCGCGCCGAAGCTCCAGCGCTGATACACAGCGTCGAAGAGCGGGTTGTTGACTTTGCTGAACTCGAGACACGCAAAGACGCCGCCTGGTTTCAGGACGCGAAACGCTTCCTTGAGCGCGGCTTCCTTGTGCGTGAAGTTGCGGATGCCGAACGCTACTGTATATAGGTCGATACTTGCATCCGGTATCATGTCCAATTTCTCCGCATTCGCCTCGACGAACCTGAGTCGCGGACTGCGCGCATACGGCGTGTGCAGACTGCGCTTCTTGCCCTCGGCCAACATGTCTGGATTGATGTCCGCGACGGTAACGCGCGTGTGTGCGTCGTGATTCATGGCCGATGCGTGGTCCAGCATGCGGAATGCAATGTCGCCGGTGCCGCCGGCGATGTCGAGGATATTCCAGCCCTTGTCAGAAGCTGCAGAGGATGGGGAGGTGAGGGGGTTCCGGCCGGGATTGAGGTTGCGCACGAAATGGTCTTTCCACAACCGGTGGATGCCGAGGGACATGAAGTCGTTCATCGAGTCGTAGGAGGAGGCGACGGAGGAGAACACTGCGCCGACTGGCGGGGAGATTAGTATCTGGGAGGGAAGCGGGGGAGAGGGAAAAGAGAGGACGTACCTCTTTGTTCCTTCAATGCTTCGGCGACGGTTTCGAAGCCGAAATGCGTGGTTCCTTGCGCATCTCGCGGGGCTTTTGGCGGCGGTGGAGGTGGAGGTGGCGTATGTTGCTGAGCCTGTCTGACAGCGCAGGAAAAGCACCTATACGGCTCTCTCGCCGTCCTCCTCCTACTCCCCGCGAGCAATTGTCTTCCAATACGTGTCCTTGAAGCCTGCATTGTCGTGTCTGTCAAAGGTCTTGAAGTCGTGACGATCGCTTGGCGCGCAACATTTCTCGATGCGCGATGGCACGTGCCATGTCACGCTAGCGAGGCCCCGGGCCCGCTGACGTGCCGTCTGGGGAAGGAAGCAAGCAGGCATTCAATAGGCCGACGCTGGCCGCCGCATCTTGAGCTCGGTACAAGGAGGTTTGTTTGATATACTTCCGCGGTCCGCACTTGGGAGAACAATGTAGCAAAAAGAAAATGTCATTCAGGTACACTTCGCGGATTCTGCGCGCGCAGAGAGTTGTTGGCTTCAGTGGGCAGAGAAGAGTGGTGAATGCGCCTGTTTGGCAGAGATGCCGGGGTGTTGCGTCGACGGCGAATGCTGAGAAGTAAGTACATTGGTGGAGTGGTGGAAGATAGCAATGCTAACAGATCACGCAGAGTCCTGTTTCCAGGAGCATTGAACAGCGAGTTTACGGACAAACTTGACTTTATCCAGCCGTCACAGTTGGATGCCATACCCACGTACCGCGTCATGAACCAATATGGAGAAATAATAGACAAGGAGATTGGCGTGGAGACGGAGGATGAGGAGGCTTTGCAGATATACAAGAACATGGTCAAGTGTTAGTGGATCTGGAAACCGTACACTTGGGCAGACAACTGACGACACGCAGTGAGCGTTATGGACCTCCTCATGTTCGAAGCGCAACGGCAAGGTAGATTGAGTTTCTACATGGTATGATCTCTCAAACGCTCTCTTGAGATCTAGTCTAACGCCTTCACCCAGGTTTCCGCCGGCGAGGAAGGCATATCTATCGGCTCAGCGAGCGCCCTCCACCCCTCCGACGTTGCCTTCTGCCAATACCGCGAAGCCGGCGTATATCTGCAGCGCGGCTTCACGCTCGCCATGTTCATGAACCAGCTCTTCGCCAACGCCAAAGACCATGGTCTCGGCCGCAACATGCCCGTCCACTACGGCTCCAAGGAGCTCAACATCCACACCATCAGCTCCACCCTCGCCACCCAAATCCCCCACGCCGCAGGCGCCGCCTACGCTCTCAAGATGCAAAACCTCCAGAACCCCAACCAGGAGAAGAGAGTGGCAGTGTGCTACTTCGGCGAAGGAGCAGCCTCTGAAGGCGACTTCCACGCGGCGCTCAACATCGCCGCAACCCGCCAAGTCCCCTGCATCTTCATCTGCCGCAACAACGGGTACGCCATCTCCACGCCCACCAGTGACCAATACCGGGGCGACGGCATTGCGTCCCGCGGCGCAGGCTACGGCATCGCCACCCTGCGCGTCGACGGCAACGACATCTTCGCCGTGCGCCGCGCAACCAAACAAGCACGACTCCTCGCCCTCGAGAACGGCGGCCAGCCCGTCCTCGTCGAAATGATGGCCTACCGCGTCGGCCACCACAGCACGTCCGACGACTCCTTCGCATACCGCCAGCGCGTCGAAGTCGAGGACTGGAAGCGCCGCGACAATCCCATCACGCGGCTGCGCAAGTGGCTCGAGGGGCGGGAGCTGTGGGACGACGCGCAGGAAAAAGAATTGAGGAGTACTACGCGCAAGGAGGTGCTGCGCGCGTTTGAAGAGGCGGAGAAGGAGAAGAAGCCAAGTATTCGCAATGCTTTTGAGGGTGTGTGGGAGGAGTTGACCGAGGAGCAGAAGGCGCATGTTAGTGAAATGAGGGATGTGATGAGGCGGTATCCGAAGGAATATGATGTGGAAGGGTTTGAAGGGGGCATGAAGGGGTTGGATGAATTATTAGAAGGAAAAAAGGCATAGATTTTGTGTTAGATGGAAAATTTCAAAATCACGTATGTCAAGTTCATCCTGCTTCACTGAACAAGAACATTGCCGCCGAACATGGCTGTATCGTTTAGCGCTAGCCAAGATCGTAAGGTCTCACATGGCCATCACGGTATGACTATACGCACGGGAGACGTGTTGGTTGCACAACAGTGATTGAACACACATACAACGTTTCATTGCATGTTAACTGCAGCATCTATGTGGCATCGACGAGCCAGTCAGGATCAGCATCTTCGTCTTCTGGATCTTCGAGCGGGAGCGACCCGGTGTCTGATGGAGAGGATTCTGGTGGCATCTCGGCGTCCTCAGTGCCTGGGTCCCTTGGAACTGGGCTCGCTTCCTGTGGAGGCTGGTCGACCATATTCACGTCTGCGTCTGCATCTTCTGGTAGGAACCCCCCGCCTCCATCTACAGCGGCTTCATCCTGGGCGATGTGGGTTTCGGCATTCTCGTCGTCATTGGCAGGCTCAGCGTCAGATTGGTCGCGTGTAGACCCAGCACTTCCTTCCTCATCCTCCTCCTCTTCCAATACAAAGTCGTCTGCGAAACTACTCCTGCGCCGCGGGCGAAGCTGATGAGAGTCCAAGATCGAGCTTTCAAAACTGTGCTCGCGATTCATGCTGATGGGAGCTTTCACAGCGTCGTCGTCATCGTCCCTCTCTGGTATGAACCCTCCCCCTTCATCCTCGTCATCATCAGCCATGAAGCCGCCCCCTCCGTATTCTTGCTGTGGCGGCTCATACGCACGCTCAACTCGCGGGGGTTGCGCAAAGTCAGCTTCGTCCGGAAAGAAACCACCAGCCATTTCTCCCTCGACCATCTGCTCGTCCTCGCGATCAATTTCTTGCTGCACATCCACATCCATCGACGGGCCTTTTTCGCCATCAATCTCCATTGCATTGACCCTTTGGGCAATGCGTAAGCCAAGGAAGAACCTCCGCCAGAGACGCAATGACTCCCGACTGCGTGCAGCGTTCGCGGCTTCTTCTTGTTGGTAGATCATGCCATCAATGACCTCCTGCACTGCTTCAGCGTACTCTGACGCTACCACCACACCTTGCACAATCGCAGTGCCGTGTCGACCTTTGAAGGAGAAACCAGTCACTGCGTCTGCATAGTCGACACCAACGATGCGTGCTGCTTTCGAAGCGATTTTGTGCCGGATGTGTGTTCCGCCTGGTGGGCACATGGATGGGACATAGAGATCCAGATTGCCATATACATTGCGAGGAACACGGCCTTTCACCACAGGTGGTGGGACGTAGAGTCGAGTCTGGAATTTGGCGTATAGTCCAGCACCAATTTCTTCTTGCTGGTCATCGACATCCATGTCAAGATTGACTGACATCTGTCTGCCTCTCTTTGGCTTGGCGTGTTTCAACGGCTGTTCGCCATCCTTGACGTCCTGGCCCATACGGTACCACTTGTCTGCGCTTCGAACAGTGTGTACATTGTTTCGACGATAGATGGACTCCATTTTGGGGTTCATGCCTGTACCCACGTTGATCTTACCGATTGGATCCATGGGGTGTATGACTTCGTTGTGCTTCAGATGCCTTTCAAGCACATATACAGGGTGGTTCTTGAAGTCTTGCACGTTCTTAGGAATGCCCTCAGATGCCTCTTTGCGGGCAAGTGCTGCATCTTCGACCTGGTCCCTATCGAGAGGGACCATCCGTTTGAAGAACTTCATTGCTTTCCGCCACCACTCTGCCCCATTGGGTGTACATTCAATACGAAATTTGCGCGTCTTTGCATTATATGCCTTGGCATAACGTCGTGTAACGTCTTTTGCCGTGTAGTCTTCTTCATAGGCGATGGCGTATGTGAGACTATTTTGCGCATGACTGAGTGGTGGTTCGAGCTTCTCGGGCGAGTTCACCGTGAACGTCGAATGAGTGTCTATAGCAACCCACTTCTGGTGCGCAGTGTTGAACACCTCCACCCAATATACCGGATATGGTGTATGGTACGCCTTCTGTCTTTGCAAAGCTACGCCCGTCTTGTTGAGGACGGCGTGTCGTTCGCCCATGACCCTTTCCATGCGCGAGAGCTTCCTGGGCCGAGATGGTGTGACAGCCCTGGACTTGCTAGACGAGGCAGCTTCTTGCTTATTATATGGATCCAGAACTATGGTATTCTTCTGCGAAGTTGTCTTCTGCGGGGTAGAAGGCTGAGCAGACGAGGCGAATGGCAGTGGCTGCAAGGAACACACGAGTCTGGCTTCGACACCGATGGCACGAAGCAGGGCACAGAAAAGTTGAGTGCCAACATCTTGCGAGCCCTGCAAGGTATGCGCCGTTCTGCGAAAATCGTCCTTGTCCATGGGGTCATCAAGTTCATCGAAATCAGAGAATGGTCGGACATGGGCATCTGCCTCTGCCCATTTTGGCTTGTACATGCCCTGAGCAGTAAGTTTGAAGCGCTTGTTCCACAGAACCTTGAGCTCGTTCATTCCATCAATGAAGCGCTTCGAAGCAGAGTATTGTGTGAGATCGGGATTTGGGACGAGATTCTGCAATGTCTTGGGTGGTACCAGCTTTCGCAGCGCGGACTGCACCCGCAAGTCGTTGCACCATGCATTCCTACGATAAACGTGATAGAGCAAACATAGAACGTGCATCTTATGAATGTCCAGCCGCTTCTTCTTGTCTACAGATGTGATGGCTCGTCTGCGGATTCTTCTCTTGGGAGCAGGTTCTGCATCCTTGTTCGCTCCGAGCGTGATGGAGATGCCAGCGACCTGAGGTATGACTGATTCAGTCTCTTCATGTTCGTCCGCCTCGTCTCCATCTGCGAGGGCGTCTTCCCACTCCTCATCGCTGTCATCTGACTCGTCGGAGTCTATCACGGTTTGTAGTATGCGACCGCTGGAAGGCGCGACATCGGGCGGCATGGACCCTGCGGTGGCAGGCGGATGTGTAAGACTGTACAATGGTGTCTCTGGTTCGAGCGAAGCATCTTTGCGCGATCTTATGGACGGTGCAGGTTCGGTCCCTTTCACAACCGTAGCTTTCACATGCGAAGGCTTTACGACAGGGCTTGAACTTGTTTGAGAACGCGCCGTCTTCCTCTTCTTAACTGGACGTTCATCCTCGTCTGTACTGGTGGCCTTGGCAGCGGCCTCCTCCTCGAGTAGCATCTCCTGGAAAATAGCTGGTACGTCTTCATCTTGCTGTGAGGCCCTGCCTCTACGTGTCGATCGTCTAGGAGTGGCGGTCTCAGCTGCTTTGCGGAGCCTGCCGCGCGCGCGCGCCATGCCTACAACTAGCTACGTTATTGGCGCAAGGCGCGGGGCGTGGAGTAGCAAGACCTGAACACGCAGTTGGCAGTCGCACAGCGCAGGTTGACGCTCATTGCGAGTGATAGAATGAACGCGAAGACCGTAGCGACCAAGAATTCGCAGCGCAGCAAGATATTTGATGAAGTGGATGCTCGAGGCGATGCGGAAACACGTTTGCGCAAGACCGATGACGCACATACCTGATTCGCGCTACCACGTGACGAGCATGCACTCTAATCATTTCAACACTATTCCATCGTGATCGCAGCAACGGCATCACTGATTTCGACTGTGGTGGACAAAATCTGCAGCAACCACCACATTGAATCCTTTCCGCAACTCAACATGTAGCTGTTATACCTGCTTGCTCTTTCCCAGATATTTCCCAGGTGTGTACCATTGATCAACAGGTTCATCGCAATCTATGAGTCGTTAGTTGCTATATTTGTCACTCGATCCGCTCTTGGTTGACATCCACACCGGTCATACGCTTCATTCGATGCGCGGAACATCACACTGCCATGTAAATTGATCATATTGCCTTCTAGTCCGCATGACAGTCGATTCCGATATCATTCGGCTTTTGCCGACATGCTCTTCGCAACTTTCCGATGATAGACAACCACGACGAAAGTGACGACCCGATGTGCAGCTTTAGGCATGCGTTGTAAAGAGTCCAACTATATCCGAGACTGGATATTCTATGCCATAAGTCCTCAACATTTACTGCTTCTACCTTTGTCCCATTGCGATTTCAAAACCCACACACGCGCTACCTAACCACCGCTCTTCAAACATCATGCAACCGTTCAACCTCACAGCAACCGGCTACAACCTAAACTACCTCCCGGAATACATCGCCCTCCGCCATGGCTTCTTCCGCGAACAAGGTCTCGACGTCACCGTCACCATCCCCACCCCCTGGGACGGCGTGCTCGACGCCCTCGCCGACAAAACCGCCGACATGGCTCTAGGCGGCATCTGGGTGCCCTCTATGTACCGCTCGCGCGTAGAAAACTACACCGTCTTCGCGCAAATCGCTAATCGCTGCCCCCTCGCTCTTCTCACGCGCAGCTCTGCCCCGAAATTCCAGCTCACCGATGTCGCCGGCAAGACGGTGCTGATGAAATCCGGCGGCGGAGCGAGCGTGGGTTTGTTCTTCAAGATGCTGCTACGAGAGAATAAGATTGATGAGAGGAGCGTGGACTACATCCAGGATCTGGATGGCAAAATGTTGGGCGATTTGTTCGAGGGCGGCATGGGGGATTACTTCGTTACTGACAATCTTTCTGCGCTGGCGATGGTCGCGTGGAATCCCAATGTTTGCGTTGCCATGGAGATGGTGGCCCAGGGCGATATTCCTTGGAGTGTGTATTATGCGGAAACGGCTAAGATCACACCTGAGTTGCTGGATAAGCAGAAGCGTTTTTGTGTTGCGCTAGAGAAGGGGATTCAGTGGGTGCTACAGCATGATGCGAATGAGTTCCGCGACGAGTTGGCAGAGCTTTTTCCGAATGTACCGGTTGATGTTGCGGTTGGTGTAACGAATGGGTTTCGAAGAGATAAGATGTGGACGAGTACGTCTGTACCAAGGGGCGGCTTTGAGAGGTGGCAGGTTGGGCTTGCAGGTGCAAGGCTGGTGAAGGAGCCGTTGAAGTATGAGGAGATTGTGGACGATTCACTTGCTAGTACGGCGGCAGAGATGGCTGGGCAAGTTGTTGCAGAACCATGATTAGTTTATGTACATGCACTACCGAATTCCAGTCAATCCTTTATGAGTTACGCATGAGTTAAGGATGTCTCGAGCCTTCTTTTCACGCAATGAGGAATGAGGTTTTTTGTTCTCCTTGAGCATAAAGGTACCATCAACCGCAATGACTTGGCTGACATGTTATCTGATTGCGTCGCCTGACATAGCGTTTTTTAACACGTTCAAAGGCCATAGAAGCTGTTATAGATCCGATGGAAATTTTGACTACGCTTTCAATACAGAAACGGGTCGAGATTAGTTCCAAGACCCGTCATGTACTGATCCTGATCCTGAGCCATTTCAAAATATCCCATGCCTCCAGCACCTGGCCATTGAGCCGCCGAATTAAGCATCTCACCAAATGCAAAATTGTCCGTTGACAGCATATTCGACATAACTCTTGCGTTTGGATCGTCCACGAAAGCCGTCGTAGAAGGCTGTAATTGCTGCAGCAATTCTTCTACCTGCCTCTCAAACTCGACTCTAGTCTGCCTCGATTCTTCCGCTTCGTTCGTAATCAGCCACTCGATCGTCGCAGAGGACAGTGCATCAAACACGTCGCGACAGCCCGCCGCGCCATGGAAGGTCTCCGACATTGCGGACAACGTGGAAGCGCAAGATTGTAGCGCTGATATGCTATTTCGGATGTGATTACGATCGCGCATCTCCTTGGACTGCCAGACACTGTATATGATAGTCAAGCCGGCCATGAAAAGGTCGTGGACTGACTTCCATAGCACATCTAATTTACCTTCTCGTTGGAGAGCTTTGATTCCGGTGATTAGATTGCAGGCAGCATTGTGTGATGTTGATAGCGACTCTGCAAGCGAGTGCTGGTTGCTCGAGCTAGGGCGATAGAGCAGAAGGATTGCGTTGTTGTAGATGACGTCCCCAGTAAGCTTGATGCGCAAATATAGACGACGAATGTGCCTTTTCGAGAGGTGGTATAGTGCTATGCCATTCTTGCAGGCGCGGTTGGACGTCATTCATCCACGCCACGACGTTCGGTTTGGGATAAGCAGCCTTCACAGGCCACGTTTGACTCTGTTGAACGTGTTTGATCTCAGATTCAAGTTTTGACAAGCTGAAAAGATGGTTATGAGCTCGTTGATGATGAACATCGAAGTCGTTGGTTTCCGCGCCGAATGAACGGCGAGATACTGTCCACGGGCTCGGTAGTGGAACTCGTGTGGACTCGTCCGTAATACCGAAGGGGCGGCCGAGCGTAATGCTCAAGACACGATCGAAGTGGTAGGCACAGTGCCATAGTCGTCGACGTTCATAAAGCGCGTCCTGGTCAGCTTCAAGTGACTGTCCTTCGCTTTCCCAATGTAAACCCATGTCTACGCACAACCGCATAGCAATGCCTGTCAGATGCCAAAGACTCCCTTGCCATGGACACATGGAAACGAATTGAGCTAGCAGGAGCACCGCGCGAAGAGTTTCAAGATCGCTTTTTGAGTAAGTGATGACCCGTTCAACCCAGCCAACTGCCGACCGGAAGCATCCTTCGCTTTGCATTACTCGGCTTGTGCCACCAGATGGGTTTGGGATATTGCAAAGAGCAATAGCAAATACCATGTAGGCCGTGAACATGTATTGCCCCGTGGCTGAACCGAGAGACTGAACCTCGCCACTTGCTGCATATGCGCTCATGACAGCCTTCTCTACTTGTGTCCTTTGGATGATTGGCATATGCGGTGTGCGATATTGGAAGTAGACTTCAATGAGGTGATCTGCAGCATGGCGAGGTGGAAGTGAGGATTCTTTCGACGATGTTGACGCAGCGACTGGAAGAGAAGCGTTATCCTCGTGTATGGAGTGCGGAGGGTGCGGCAAGGTATCAACACGTATCGATGCCATTACCATCGTCGCAAGAGTAATGCCGCTGCTGGGCCCAAGGAAACGAGGTTGCCTTGAAGGCTCAACTACAACACTTCGCACACTCTTAACAAGATCTTGAAGGTGGCTTTGGTGATGAGGGGATGCCGGGTATCCTTCCGTTGAAGTACTGTCGATCTCTTGAACTGATGTAGAAGGCGAACCAAAGGAAGCAGGGTTGTCATCTATCACTGAGAGCGGCTGACTTTGCTGGCGTAGCGCTTGGTTCTCACGTCTCAATGCCTCGATTTGCTTCTCTAGATTTGACACATAATCGCGAGGTAGCTCAACCACTGTTAACGATTGGATGAAGCAAGTCTATAGCTGGTGTGCTCACCTCGGTCTGTCTCCCCGAGTCGTAGACCAAACAGGAAGCACCTGCCTTCTCGCAATTCGAGCAATTCGGGTGCTTTAGATCACACTGTGATGGTGGAAAACAATCAGCGAGCGACACTGACGCCCATGTTCGTTCAGATTGGAGCAGTGCTGGTGAATACTTTTTGCTTTCTTCGACGACACCTACACACTCGATTAGCGTTCATTCGACTGTCTATTTCTGGACACGCGCCGTCTCACCTCTGACATGCAGTCACTCTGCGTGCGAATCTCGGGCTTGAGCGAGATAGCGACTCCATGTGGGACACGTTCTGTCGGACTTCCAGCAAAAATTACGGGTGTACAATGGTATCCGATTAGATCTTGTGGGAGAATGCCGAAGAAGATGTCTATGGTTCGGCGTAGGCCGATCGCGATAAGGGAATGCGCTAGTAGCCCGTCTTGCTTGCCATTCGCCGTTGAAGTTACATCTACCATGTCTGGTATATTCCGGCACGTTACCCCTCATTTACATCCTCGCTTGCAAGTGAACTCAATCGCGTTCGCACCTCCAGGATTGGGATTCACATGCTAGATCGCATCTGCCCGATTCTCTGCTGGGGTATCTAATCGTTTTTTAATGCTTATCACGCCCTTATCATGAATTGGAAGGCTTATTCGATCAAGGGAGATGTGTCAAATAGCATATATTGAGACCATGATGGGACTTCAATGGATCTTGAACCATACTTGGACAGCGCTTGAAAGCACCCAGAAGTTTTAGCTTATCAATTGCTTTTTTTAGTGTGAGCTTCTATCATGAATTCTGATCCGATCGAGGAGGCGAAGAAACCGACTGTCGTCGATGCTCCAGGCTCTGTCGATTATGGCAACGGCGAGTCCGACCTCATCTACATTGATCCGGCGAGAGAGGCAGCCTGCCGGAAGAAGTTTGACACCTACGTTGTGCCGGTCTCAGTCATCTTCCTTGTACTGTCTACGCTAGATAGAAACAATGTGGGCATTCCTCTCGCGCAAGTGAACTGAAGTAACACTGAACCAATCCAGCTCGGCAATGCTCGTGTGTTCGGTTTCGATGAAGACATAGGCCTCAAGGGCGGGCAATTCGGCAACATCAACACCCTATCAAGTGTCTGCACCATCATATTCGAGGTCCCATGGGTTCTGGCCGTCAAGCGATGGGGTGCGAACAAATCGATAGGCACTGCTTTTGTGCTATGGAGTGCTTGCACTCTTGGGACAGCTTTCATACACACCTACGGCCAAGCCATTGCTGTGCGAATGTTGCTAAATGCCTCCGAAGCTGGTCTGGCCCAAGCCTTCGCGTACCTGTTCACGACAATTTACCCCCGAGAACTAGCTGGAAAACGGATCATGACAACAAATCTTGCCCAATGTATTTCCGGCGCCTTTGGTGGCTTGTTTGCATATGCTGTACAGACTATGGGCCCTCGCAACGGACTCGCAGCTTGGAGGTGGCTCTTCATCATTGAGTTCCTCATTACAATCGCTATCTGTGGTGTTGGCTGGTGCTTCCTTCCAAATGCGCCAGAGACGGCATGGTTCTTGAATGAGGAAGAGAAGGAAACGATGCGCTTGAAGAAACAACGAGACTCGATGCTCAGAGGTAAAGATGAGTTCGAGCGAAGATGGATTAAAATTGCACTCATGGATCCCTTCGTATGGATGCTCGGCATTGCATTCTTCACGTCTTCTGTCGCAATCAACGGGTTTGGCGTTTTCTTGCCCACAATAATTAGTGGTCTCGGGTGAGTTCCGCAAGATTGTCAGAATATCGCGTCCGATGCTGACTGGGCTTAGTTACGCCTCTCTCAAGGTCAATTACATGACCATTCCTGTCTACGTGGTTGGAGCTATCTCCCTTTCTGTCCAGGTCTACTGGTCCGATAGGCTGAAGCGGCGTGGCGTTTTCATTGTAGCTTGCTGCATCCCAGTCGCAGCCGGATATCTAGTTTGCGTCGGAACACCGAACCCTGGTGCAGGCTATGCGGGCATGTTCATACTCGTCCTTGGTCAGTCATAGAATGTTGCGTATGGGTTCCAAACTGACTTGACCAGGGCTGTACCCAATCTCAACATTGGCTGTGACTTGGATAGCCACAAACCTGTCGCCAGACTCTAAACGTGCTTTTGGCATGCCGTTCGCCTATTCGATTGCAAACATATCTAATGTGGTGTCTTCGCAGCTGTATCCTAGTCAACAAGGTCCGCGATATGTACAAGGCAACGCCGTGTCTGCTGGCCTCACTGTTGTTGCGGGCTTCTTATATGGAGCATGCTGGATTCTACTCCGACGTAGAAATGCGATAAAGGCGAAGCTCATTGCAAATGGCGCTACAAGCAACGGAAAGGAGGGAGATCAGAGTCTTGAGACTATGTACATTCTATAGTGCAGAGATTGCTGTATGAGGTTACCACCGATCAACAATAGATTTTTAATTCATAGTAAAAAGCCCCAGAAGATATCAATTGTGTCGTAATAATGAAAGCTGTTGGTTGTGCCAATTCTATAAACCCTTCTTCATCCCTGCTCACCTCTCCCTTAGTCCGGACTTGCGCAAGTCTACCAGCGGAAGGATCATTCAGATGGGAAATGCACCTCTATTATTCAGCTCAAAACGACAAAGCATCATAGTGCAATCAACGCAAGAAGCAGAATATGTTGCAGCAGCCGAATTGTCAAATGAACTCGTATGGGTGTAACGACTCATCAACGAGATCTTACTTGGCCTGAGAATCCAGGACTCAAACGTCAGTCTAAATTGTCAGAACAATGGTGTACGGTCAGTTGGCAATCTTGATGTGTTTGCCCTTGAGATCCTCAACCATGACTCGGAGCACTTGGAGAACGGGGTCTTAGGTTGGCAAGGCAGGAAGGAATCGGTACGCATATGTACTCTGGATTTCTTGCTGCTTGTCTTGGAGCATTGGCTGAAAGAAGAGAGTGAAAGCCCTGGCGACACTTGCAGGCTCGCCGGATTTTGCTCTGCGCATCTGGCCGCGGACAAAAGTCTGCATCCACGGCATCTTGGATATGAGGCTCTTGGTTAATTCAAGCTGGGTAAGGATGGATCAGAGTGGTGGAGGAAATGACTTTCTGAGACCGTGGAAGTCTGGATACCATAACCTAGCGCTATCGCCAAGAAGTGAATGCCTACGGCGTTAGCGCACTACGAGGACAAGGAATGATAAGCCTATCCGTGCACAGATAGCCTTTATACATCGGACAATTTAAGATCCTACTTTAGCAATCGAGTGCGTCACTGTACCAAAGCCAAGACAATCGTTGTAGGGACATATCGCAATCGCGAGAGGGTGGAAGCACTCAGGACATAAGCCGGTATTTGTGGTAGGCAAAAAATTCATTATTGAGCGTTTAGAATGTGCAGAAGAATAAAATCAGATTGCCAAACGCGAAAAACTGGAAAGACTCAGGAAGAGAATACACAAACCGCCAGGAAAGCTAGAAGAAACCCATAATTGACCACCTTGTCATTCGCAGTACTTTTTCTCACAGATCCACAGCAAGAACCCCGGTCATACGTGACGTTATTGGCAGTGGCGGCCACCTGAAAGACAGATCCATTAAAGTTGCCAAAGTTGTAGTAATCGACCAGCAGCCAATTCGGGGGTCTTCCCCACATCTCCTCGCAATGCTGGACGTTCAGACCTAAGCTGCCATTTCCAGATACAGCATTGACTTGGTCCAAGAGGCTGTATGCCGGAATGAGGATACCACTAAGACCTGCAAGGCTGACTTGGATGTTGAGATTGTGGTTTAGCATGTACATGCGGTTGCGAGATAGATCCTCCGCCTGGTTTGGTGGTCGCTGCTCGATACAAGGGAACGAGGGATTGGTGGGCGAGAAGGGCGTTTCCCATTGGTAGTCCCACTCTCGGAGCAGCCAGGGCACTTCTATTTGGGTTGTACCATAGTCCAACATTACTACAACTCTCTTATTCCTGAGTATCATTTCGCCGAGGGTGGGCCAGTCAGTGATGTTCATTGAGGTCGAATGGGGGGTGTAAAGGTATTTCAGCATGCCAGAATTCTGGAAGGGCGCAACATAATCGAAAGTGGGTATACGTTCAGTGTGGCCGTTGTTATTCCCCATAATGATCGCGATCACTTCGTAGGGGTGGGAGTCGAGCCAGTCGCGTACGGTGGTCAGATAAGACTCAAGCGTGCCGACGTCAAGGAGATCACAAGACGTGTGACACAGCCGGATTTCCGATGATGCATTTGGTTTCTGCGTCTCAAAGGACACTACGCGTTGATCAGCTAAAAACCTTAACTTGATTCTCGAGGTCATTTACATCCGCGGATACCATCGTTGAGTTGGGTCAAGACTGGAAGCACCTGATTGCTTGCCGCATTGTGCTCTCTCACGAACGGACTGTTGTGCGCCACGACCATGGAAATATTCGAGAATCTTCGCTGGCAGAACTCGAGATGTCCGTTGCAAGGCGTAGTGTTAGTTGGCCTGGGACGAACTGATGTAGTGGCTGATGCGGAACCATCCGTGCGAGCGGCAGAGATCGACAGCCCTGCTATGGCTGTGAGAGCTTCGGTCGTAGACGAGAGCGCAGCTGAGGATGAAGATTTGAAGGTGAAATTTTGTGCTCCGGGAATTACAGCCGCTGCTACGCTTCCCTGCGGAGTCGGAGTGCTCGTGTAAATTAGGTTACTAGGTAGAAAGGATGAAGAGGCTGCTGAGAAACTCGCTGATATGCATGGCGTGATTGAGATGCAAGCAATTAGGAAAATTTGTATTGGGGGAATCATCGAAGCGGATTTAGAGATGTATAACGAAAGAAAAGCTTGGTATAATCCAAGCAACCAAGAAACTCCGGGACGAGTGATGCGAAGCTTGGATCGTGAAGGATAGACAGAGCTGCATAGTTACGCATATCGTCCGTTTTGGCCTCACGAAAGTAGAAGGTTCAATGACTCAGGTTTGCAGTGACGCGTCGAACCACGGATGAACGCGGAGGGCGCAACGCAGGACCAGTCGTAGACCACAGGTCTACTAGCTGTCCAGAACTAAATTTTGAAACTTAGGACAAACAGATCCAATATGTTTCTACGACACAGGCTAGATACTGAGGAAGAACGCGCACGCAGAATTTGTCAACCTGAAGAATCGGATGCGTCTGTTATTCGGGTTCTGATGGCGGTTGGCGAGCGCACAATATCAACCGGCGAATGCGAACGCCGCCAGTGAAGAGAAAAATTGTCAATGGAAGTTTGCTCCGCGATGTTCTCGGCATGGCAGCTCAAAAAGTAGCATTGTTGTTGGCTTGTGACATGATTCGCTCACTGCCCCCTGCGCGTCATTCTCAGCCTCATCTCGGCTCCAACCACTAGCAATCACTTAGGGTCCGAGTCAGCTGAGTCTATCTCTCTGTACAGTTAGGGAATAACATTAGAATTACTATATTAAGCATTTAAGCATATGCGCGACCGTGGAACTATCGATATCCGCCTATTATTCCTCATGTGCCTTCATTGCATCGTATCATCCAGCCATCTGCGTATCTCTAGACGAAGACCCTTTTGACATCAACTTTGAGACAAGTTGGGTTCTCTGGCTTTCCAGCACCAAGGCCCCAGACGAGGTTGGTGTACTGGTATCCAGCATAGTAGGTCTGACAAGCGTACCACCTGTTGAGGCCGTAAGGACCAGCATATTTGGGCGGGTTCGCAGTCCAGTCGATGTATCCCTGGAGAATTAGCTCATCCTTGTCGGTGAAGGACATGCGCTGCACATCGACGGGAGTGCCCGTCGTCAAAATTGGGGTGGCGGAGTCGGTGGACGAGTCATAATAGAAGTATGCAGAGGAGGGGATGTTTCCGTAGTCGTTGACTGGAAGGAACCATGTCAAGATGCCCTCCGCACCGAGTTCGGTGTGGTTGACGGGTGGCTCGGAAGTGCTGGTCGTGTTGAAGTAGAAGGTGTCGAATGGAGAGGGCTTGGAGGGATCACTGGTTTTGGACAAACAAAGCGACTCCAATGCGGCACCGGTATGGCATGCAGAAACTGCGCTGTTGATGGCACCATCGTCAGAGGTGAGGACTAGCTGAAAACCCTTGGAGGTGATGTTGTATTGTTGGGCGCTGGCAGCAGCCACCAAAGCAGCGACAGAGAATGTGGTCTTCATGTTGAAGGAGTGTTTTCGTGTTGAGAAAATCGATTTAGAAGTGTGAAATAGACTGTAGTGGTAGGCAGTTGATCGATGATGTTGGATAATGTTGTTCTTTAGTAAGGATGGTGCTCAGCTTTATACCTGATGAACTCCTCCCGTCTGCAGGGCTCTGTGCAGCCTCATCCTGCCTTTCCGTGATGTTACCCTGCAACTCGGGGTCAGGCGTACAGGCGCCATGCAGATCTCTCCGCGATGACGTTCGTTTAGCCATCATCCTTGCCACAACCACTGTGAATTTTCGTATTCGCGCGACTTAGTCTATCACGGGCTGCCTATCTGGGAACGGACCGTGTCGAGGCAGAAACACAAAGATCTGCATTTGTGCGTCAGCGAGACAGGGTGCGCGAAGCTCTTTGAAGCCTCGGATACGATCCGTCAAGCTTCGAGGACGGTTCCACCCACTCCCGCTGGTACGCCATTGGCACTGGCCTCTATTTTTACGAGTCGATAGTCTCTAGTCTCGTGTGCGTCAGCATCAAAGTATTGATGCATCGCTAACTCAACCTCTGGAGATGCATGCGCGCTCACGATCACACCACCTCCAAATTGTGCGTAACGTTGTACGTAGCGACAAATTCTATTGCGGCCATGAGATACCGCGACACTCCGGCACATGAACAACGATAGAGGGGAGGTTCGGATATAAGTGATCAGGTGAGGCTGCATCACCTAAGCCTGTTTCGGCCTCGGGAGCCTCGCCTCTTTCACAGTTGTTTTAATAGACGTTCTCTCAAACTACAACTCACATACATCGTTCACAACTACTATCCAAGCTTAGAAGAAGGTCTGAAACCCCTGAAATCTTTGCGCCTTGAAGTACGATATCTCAGCACATGTGTAACATTTTTGAGTGGACTAGAACATGTATTCTATCGGATTATCACGTCGTTACGTCTCATTCACGTCAGCCTCCATCATTTGCGAATTCGAAAATTCGCTCTTTTCGGACGGCATGAGAGCCTCATGCAGCTTAAGCTTGTCCTGGCCCTTGACATCGTGAATATGTCTAGCAACCTCATCGCCCAAATTCCGTACCACCTCTTCCCAGCTTAATTGAGCTGTTTCGGGCCGGAAAAAGTACAACATTACCTTGTATTACCGTGTAGTACCTATTAGACCAGAGAACTTACTAGGAATGTACACAGTACACCAGAAAATTATAACCAGATAGTACTTCCACCGTACTTATGCGAACCCAACGGGCACTGTTTGCAACAAGATCAGCGAAGTCACAAATTGCCCAAAAAAATGAATCCCATTACAATCGGCCGGATTTCAGTACGAAAGATCTCAGATACGTATATGTACATCATTGTGTTGCAGCAAGTTCCCTGGAACGCCAGATAGAGGAAGATGAAGAATGTGCCTATGGTATTGCTAGCACGATTCGTATCCCCCGCATAGGAGGCAGTCATAGCCGCGAGCACAGATGTTGCAGCCACACTTCCCATAAGGCCCACGAGATATATGCCCCGACAGCTGAAATGAGACACTGACGATGTGGCGGTAGATTCATCGAAACACAAGGAAAGACTCTACTTGTAGCAGCAGTGCTGACCCTTGGCAGTCATACGGTTTTCGTTATCGGTCTGCGTTTACTGAAGTCATGTTGCACAAGAGCTTCTTCCAGCTAAGTACATGGTGCGTAAACGTACAGCAGTGATCGTCTACCCCGCGTGTACATCTTCTGACTTTCGCACCTTTGGCTACACATTCGCATAAAGGTGCTAGACTTATTGGTAATCATTACCGCATGGTTGTCAAGCGCGGTCCAATGTACTGGTTTTGGTAACTTCTGCTACCCATCTCACCATGCCATCAGGCTACCTAGACATTTTCGATACACCGTACGACGAGCCTCCAAACCCCATACGCGTATGGATAGGCACGCTAGGCAGTCATGAAGAGGGATTGGGCAAGCTCGCCATACTCACACCTGAGAAACGTTGAATCATCGAGCATGACGCAATATCGAACAACATTGGAACGCTACTGCCAGTGCTGATTCAGCGCGTACAAAGGCGTCAGATGTGACTCCAAGGTAACTGTGGCTGATGCTTTGGCTCGTCTGACGTGTACTAGACTTTTTAGGAAAGTTGCTGCATTGGCTTGAGAGGCAAACGTCAGCCTCAGGGTGTCATCCGACGAGTTAGCTCGGAAGGAAGCCAGGGCGATCTAGCAACTAGTGGGCTGCCGGCTAGCAGTCCGTGGTGTAGCATCGCGCATCCAAGCTTCGTGAGCCTCATACACTTTGCGTCAGATCGTCATGATCATCACTACCGTCAACATCTATTTCAGGCGCAGAGTTTTGCTCTCTACGATGGCATCAAGAGTGTTCTGATCTAAAGAGACCATTTGCTTTTGTCTTTGACGGGATCCCTGATGTGGCGTATACCAGTCTGAAGGCCCGAGTAACGTAAGAATATAACCTTTTGTATTCATACTGGGAAAGCTTATAACAAGCACTCCGGTACCAAGGTTGCGGGTAATGTCACCTTTGAGAAACGCGGGTTGCCTCAATCGAGTAACTCGGCGGCCTCAATAGCTCATAAACCGTATTACAATTCTTCAGTAGGGGAACTGCCTCATAGTCGTAGCGATGCAGTCAATATCTTCCGATGATGTATGCTCCGAAGATGAAGAATAATGCAACGGTCGTCGGGACTTGCCCCTGTCACAAACAAGACAACAATCCTGGATGAGCCTCTTTACCTGTAGATACCGTCTCGCATTCGTCGCCTACCTCATCCACTCATCTCTGTCTCAATTCTACTTTACTCCAGAATCCAAAATACATGTAGCATCCACCACCCCAAAACACATGTGTTCCACATCAACGCGCGCATCACGTGCGCCCCACACGAAATCCCGCGGAGAAACCCCGACCTAAAACCTCGAACATCACTCCACCGACCTGCAACCTTTCAACGTCCAATGACCTCAAATGTGACTCCGCTTACAATGCGTCGGAAGATGTCGGCTTATGGTGATGGGGTGACTTTTAGTCACAACAGGTGCTGGGAAGGGAATTCGTAACGCGTGGAGATGACACGAGACGGTATTAATTGCATTGCGGTGTAGCGAGCTAGGAACAGATTATGCTTTATGATCAGGATCTGAGGGATTGGATGCGCTCGTGTGTTTGGCGAAGGTTATGGGCATGTCTGAACCTGGAGGCGATTTCTGCATGTTGATCGATCTGCCAGACATGCCCAGTCCGAAATCACAGCATCCCATGAGTATGTCGACAGTCAAAGTAAAACGATGTATATCGCTGATCCACGTAATTCCGATAAAGGCATGGTCTCCGAACCACACACCCCTGTCCCTCATCGCGGAACTCGCGGAGAAATGCTCCTGCTCCACGTGCGATGTACGTAATTGAGCAACCCACTGCCCAGATTCAAGGAATTTGTAGGGCTCTTTAGGAGATGCACGTATGATCTCTGATGACCAGGGTTGGTAACTTGTGCTCGACAATTTTGCTGCGCTACTATGAGAAACCGCGGAGATGCTGAATTGCGCGGGTCTTGCAGGAACGGTATGAGGGTATTTAGTTGGAGATGGTGAGGGTGAGTTGTAATATATACACAGCAACACTACCACGCAAATTCATCATCAACCCCAACTACATTAACAAAAAGAGATACGAGCATACCTCAACATCATTAAACCTCTGCACCACCAACACCTCGAAAATGGCCCTTCTATCCCCCTCCCAAGTCCAAATAATAAAATCCACCGTCCCAGTCCTCGCCCAACACGGCGAAGCCATAACAGCAAAATTCTACACAGACCTCCTCACCGCCAACCCCTCCCTCAAAAATGTCTTCAACACCACCCACCAAGCAACCGGCCACCAATCGCGCGCCCTCGCCGGCGCCCTCTACGCGTACGCTGCGAACATCGATAACCTAGGCGCGCTCAGCCCCGCGCTGGAATTAATCTGCCACAAGCACGTGTCGCTATTCATCCAGCCAGCGCAGTACGCCATTGTAGGCGAGTTTCTGCTGGCGACTATGAAAACCGTGCTCGGCGCTGCGGCGACGGGGGAAGTGTTGGATGCGTGGGGCGCGGCGTATTGGCAATTAGCTGATATCATGATCGCTAAAGAGGAGGGGTTGTACAAATCCACGCCGGGCTGGGATGGTTGGAAAGATTTCACGATTGTCAGGAAAGTCGCGGAGAGTGGGAGTGGGGAGATATGCAGCTTCTACCTCAAGCCGAAGGAGGCGGGGGTGGAGGTGCCGGTGTTCAAACCGGGCCAGTATGTCAGTGTGAATGTGCGGGTTGAGGAATTGGATGGAGGGGTTTGGCAGGCGAGACAGTACAGCTTGAGCGATGCGTCGGGGAAGGGGTATTTGCGGATTAGTGTGAAGAAAGAGATGGGAGAGGCGCGGGAGGGGTATGTTTCGAACATTCTGCATGGGAAGAGCGAGGGAGATGTGGTGAGAGTCTCGCATCCGTTTGGAGATTTTTTCTTCGATAGGGAGGAGAGCGGAGAGAATGGACCGGTGGTGCTTATTTCGGCGGGTGTGGGGTTGACGTGTTTGACGAGTATTTTGAATGGACTGGCGGCGGAGCAGGGTTCGAGACCGGTATCTTGGATTCACGGGGCGCGCGATTTGAATGCGAGGGCTTTCAAGAAGGATGTTGATACCTTGGTTGCGGCGAACAGGAACATACGTGCGGTATACTTCAGCTCGAATCCGAAAGAAGGCGAGGTGGAAGGACAGGACTACCATATCAAAGGTCGGGTCGACATGGACAAGGTCGGCAAAGACGCCCTATTCGCAGACAACGATCAGACGCAATACTTCATCTGCGGACCGACACAGTTCATGCTTGATGTGCAAGCAAAGTTGAAGAGCTATGGGGTGCCAGCTGAAAGGATCAAGATGGAACTATTTGGCACGGGAGGCGTACCACGGGTGTGATACTGCTGTGTTGGGTAGCAGATGTACGATTAGTTTGTAACAGTCACCCTGTATTATAGCACTAGCATTTCAGAATCATTGTCCGCGGGTGTTTGTGGGAGATTAGAGACGATACCATATATACGTGTCCCCTTGCACGACAAGGAATCTCGTTCGAGTAAAATGACTGGAATACTAGGCAACCATATCTCTGCCTTTTTGCCCATACACTCAAGAACAACAACTCAGCAAAGTCTGTCTTGAAATGGATACACGTTGATATACTGCTCTAGTGTTAAAAGACAAGAGAGAGAAGAACTGCGGATCAAAAACAACTCCGAACGAGACTGTTTGTGAGGAGGGTCCTTCCTGTAGGGCTAAACAGCGAGTTTAACCCTGGAGAACAGTTATTACTGAACGTCATGAAGTGGTTTTACATCATGATAGTTGTGAGTAAAGACTGCAAACATGATCCAGCGAAGCACGAGATCATGAATCATTTCTAGCATTATCTTGCTAACTGCTGTGGGGCATGATTTCTTCATACCTGGAAAACAAATAGTCGATGGCGCGAAAATGACCGTACATCTTCGTTGGTAAATAGGTATTTAAGACATGGTCTTCGTTACCTGTAGTGTCTATGTGCCGTGCATCTCAATTGCGACATGGAATGGTGGCCCGAAGGTCATTGGCGGAGCATTTACATATGAAATGACGGAAGCCAAAGCGCTATAGTTAGTGCAGGGTGAGGTGTCAAGTCAGCGAGGACGATCAATCAATTAAGGGCAAGAGCTGGTCTTTGCGTCAGCTTATGGTACTCTGCAGCTTCAGCAAGGACTCCTTTGCCTCGCGAACTCGACAAAAAGCATCGAGCGCACACTGTTGATCTGAGCGTGCGCGATCGATCTATGATGTCGGTGCGTGCAATCCTGGACGCCCAGCCATAGCTGCACCCACCCGGGCGATCTTCGTGCTCCCGAATGGCCTGCCGTGTAACGGTACTCACAAGTCTCCGAGGGGCGGTTGCCACTCACAGATTAAAGCATTGATCGTGATGTTGTCAGGCTCAGCGGGATGTGGTGGTTAGCGGACCCAGACCAGTGGTTGCTCAGGCCGTGGCTTTTCGCATCAGTGGTTGCAGATGACAATGTAGAGATCTATCAACGTGCATGAAAACGTAATTACTCGACTTTGTGCATTCTTCGGCCGCAGAGTCGTACAATAGATTGGCCGGGCAGAAAGGCGAAATATCGTCGGATGCGCGGTTTCTTCCCCGACTGGCATCCGTATCATCCGTAGCACCCGTAGGAGAACCCTCCATATGTTGATAGGGCCGCTCGATGCGATGTTGCATGTCCCAACACCGCTGCAAGCGGACAGGCAGCCGAACGCAGATTCGCGGTGAGCATGCTGCTGACCATGAATCGTACAGCTAACCTGAATGCGGGGGATGGACGAATTGCAGCCTCGCAGCAATGAAGCGGTCAGAAACTGGTCGCCAACGAAAAGGCGGTCTCGCAATCTTTCATTTCCCAGCTCGCTTTCGGGCGTGCAATGGGGTTAGTAAAGGGGCCAATCTTCTCGAAAAGATCAGGGGTCGAAGCTCTGAGACCGGCCCGTCCAAGCGCCCTTCTAGAAATTGCGTAGAAGGACGCTTGGATCGTTTGAGTCGCCCTACGGTCAGGGTGTGAGAAGTTAACCCTGGCTCCGGGACGTTGGGCTGGGGTCGCAGGTCGCACAGGGGCGCCGTCGCAGGCTGCAGGAGTTGGGGCCACAGCCGCTGGCCAGTGGCATGCTGTCATGACACAGAGCACATGGCACTCTGACGCGTGCTGTGCCGTTGAGGACAAGAATAGATCGACGGAGCAATTCCCCACTGGCTTTGACTACGGCGACAAGCCATGGTGAAACAGCCTTGCATCTGCTGATCGGACGCGTAAGATAATGTGCTGAGTTGGGAGACGGTATGCAAGCTAAGCAGACGGAGGATGAGAAAAGTGTTGTGTCGGGGTCTAATATAGCGACAATCAGCGACAATGCGCGCAAGCGAAGACCGATCAATGGTTTGACGATGGATGGGAAACGTTGCAGACGATGTGGTAAGTTCGATGACCGAAACATGGTGTGTGAGGCTGAAGGCGGGTTCGGGTGAAGCGCGTGCATGGCCTTTAGAAGGCGCGATGCACAGACGGATCTGGCGGAAGCTTTGCCAGCTGCCGAATATCTTGGGCATCAAATACTGAGTTGTTACACCCACTGATCAAGCATGGTAAGTCGCGATTGGAACTTGTAATGACTGCTCTGGACCGTATATAGTTGTCGGCAAATTTCAGTGAGTCCAGCCGCGCAGAAATGAAGACAAAGAGCCGCTCTTGGCGTGAAAAGGCGATCTCTCGGTGCTAACCTAATGAGCCCGCAGTCATGGTCACGAGATCGCCGACACGCGAGGACGACGAGGCTGCCGAATGCCTTCTTTGCGGTCGACACAATGGCTGCATGTGGGGTTCGCATAGGTGAGGGAGATTGTTGTTGTGATTGTCAATTTTGCTCTTACTCAATGGAGAAGGCGCTGCCAGCCACGTTGGACCAACGTGACGAGGGAACGAAAGGGGCATGCTCACTCTAGGCGCCGCATACCCCAGAAGCTATCGCTAATGGCAGCTTCTCTAGATGATGTCAATGCAGGGTAGCCCGTGCGAGTGTGATGCTGCCTCGTGGTGAATATAATGTTCCTGACACTGAGGTAAGTTTCGGTGACCAAATCTAGCCTGCAGCCACCACAAGTTTGTGTCTCTCGAAATAAATCAGGGGTCGTCGGGCGATCCCACGCCTCTGTCAGAATGTCAGAACCCGAAAGCTTGCCAATAGGCGGTATTGCAGCAAGACGCCTGGGTTGGTTTATCCAGATGCCAACTGTCCCGTGGTGTTGCAAAGGCTTGGGCCCCCCAGCGGCTCCAAACTTGTCGCCCGCAGCGCGTCCGGGCCACCCATGGGGGGTTGCAGGGGCGATGCATCGCACCTTCCTTCTAGCGTCCTTCCAGAAGCAATCCCGGCGTTATTCGCTGCATCGCTTGGACAGTGCATCATCTTCCAAAGTGCGTCAGGAGCTGCATCGCAAATAGCAATACTGATTTGCGGTGCCCCTGAATCCTCCGCTCGGCCGTCAGGCTCAAAACATGCAGTGTGGTTATGCAACACCACAACTCTGGTCGACGGCATGCACTGCAGCTGTCGGCTTGTGGATCCTCATCTGCACACAGCACAAGAGCGCCACATACGCCTCAAGCATGGCCGCAAGAGTGCCCCAGCTCCTTGACAAGTAGCTAGCAGCGGAAGACTAGCACAGATTGCGATGGTGAAGCCGTAGTGTCGTGTGCGCGAGATGGCCACAGGGATAGGGCTGCGTGTGAAACGTCCTCGTCATATGCTTCTGAGCTTCGATCTGCGTACTTGAGCATCCTCTGGTCCATGACATTGAAGAAAGGCCTGACCCCTCGATTTGACTGTACCACCACCGTTCCCTACAAGGTCACACCAACCACACGGCAGCCTCTTCCCACCCAAGGCTCCAGCAGCGTCTACCTAGCACACGCCTAGCTAGACCAGATTCCATCAGCGACTGTCGCGTTGAATAGGGAACAAGAAGGTCAGCACACCATCCCCAATCCACATTCCTGAAGCAAAGACACAGTCAGCGCACGAATACCCTTGCACAGTTGGCCCACGGCGACTAACTCTGGCGCAGCCACGAACCAGACTTGCTTTTGCCGACCGGCCATAGGGATAGACACCAGCATAATTCGCAGGCGTGTTGGGCTGCAGAAAGCAATATAGTAGCGGGACGGACACAGACCCTACCGGACTCCAACATCACGATCACGCGGCTCCCCGACACCAGCGGAGCGGAGGTTAATCCGGGCAATTAAACGCAAGAACGCAGACGAAAGTTTGTGGCCGCCAGCATTTTCCGGTACAGGCCAGACAGGACCTCGGGCATCATCGTCTTCGCGCGGCAGCCGAAAATCTCGTCAGCAGCGCGTTAGTCATCCAGGGCGCGGATTCTGTTCGCCGGCGACGCGCACAAAGCCAGACAGGCGGCGACGGCGTAGTAAGATTCGCAGTTTCAGCGTGTGAGGCTATCCACGAAGCGCTTTGACCGTGCGTGCGCCTGCACATCAATTGTCAGGAAGGGAAGGGGCGACTCAGAACCACGCTAGCCCGATCGGACCAAGGCGCAACAAGAGGAAAGAAGCACCAAATACTTGCACCCTTCAACCTCACGTCTCTCATCACGACCACTCACTGCTCCGACCATTTCCCGCTCTTTTTCTATCACAGGTATGTACAGCTCCGTTCACCTTGCCGCCGCCGCCCCGTGCAGCCCGCGCAGGGCCGCTGCAGGCCCTTCACCGCCCGATTCCCCTTTTCGACCCGTAGGACGTGGCCAGCGTGCCTGCCAGACCGACGCTTCTTGGGGCGCGACGAGTCCCTTTTCCCTTTTTTCTCCGCACCCGCCTCGCGCCTGCGTTTGCCTTTTACCACCACCCGACTGACCTCGACCTGTAGTGCAACCGCTGCATTGACCTGTACGCGGTCTGATCCGACAGCTCAACTCCCCAAAGACCGGACCACCTCGACAGCGGCCGCTCCCTCTCATCGAACCCCATCATCACCACATCGCGCCGCGCAGTTGCGAGGCTCACCGCCAGCCCGCTCCTTCCCTCTCTGGTGCGCACTGTCCCGTCTTTTGTTCGCCGGGCCCTTTTGAGCCCTTCCGCCGCTCTCACGCGAGGCAGTCGCCGTCAGAGATGGAACTAGACACCATATTGAACGCGCGATTAACACAATACGCAGGACACGGACACCCTCACCCATTCGGCATGCAGCACGCGATGCAGCACGAGATGCAGCAGCAGCACTTTGGTGCGCCGCCCTACATGGCCAATGGCCGCATCAAGTCGGAGAACGGCTCTGAGCGCGGTGTCTCACCGCACCCTTCAGACTCGTCGCGCTACTCGTCGCAGCAGCCGCAACAGCCTCTCCCCTCGTACCCAGCCATGCCGCCCCAGCACATGAATGGCATGCGGTATCCGTCGCCCTCGCAGATGCAGGCCCCGATGCCCATGCTCAACAACAACAACTACATTCCCCAGCCGCCGGACCACGCGTACGGCCAGCAGCAGCAACAACAGGTGCCCGACCAACAGCAGCATCAGGGCGGCCGTCCCGCGTCGGACACGGGGCCACCCAAGGCTTTCGCGTGTTCAACGTGCGGCAAGGGCTTCGCGCGACGCAGTGACCTTGCACGTCATGGTATGGAGCTTGGGCCTCAACACCAAAAAGCACGCACTGACACTTACCTACAGAACGTATCCACAGTGGCATCCGTCCCCACGTGTGCGACTACCCCAACTGCGGCAAGCAGTTTATCCAGCGGTCCGCGCTGACCGTCCACCAACGCGTCCACACTGGCGAGAAGCCACACATGTGTGAGCGCTCGTGGAAAGGTACGTTCGCACATTCGACGGCGAAGGGCCTCGCTAACATCACCCAGCCCTTCAGTGACTCGAGCTCGCTCGCAAGACATCGTCGCATCCACTCAGGAAAGCGACCGTACAAGTGCCCATACGCCGACTGCCAGAAGACTTTTACGCGCCGCACTACTCTCACACGTCACCAGAACCATCACACTGGGACTGTCGAAGAGGCGGCTGCCGCCACTGCTGCTGCCCTCGCCTCCCGTGCTGCTGCACCAAGCAGGACCGGTCGCTCAGATGGCGGCGACTACTCCGAGAACGCGTCGCCACTAAACACGCCTTCGCCTGGCGACCGCACCCTCTCCATGTCTCCTGCCAACGGGATGCCTGCTGGTGTTGTTCCTGGCATGCACCGTCAAGCGACCGACTACGCCTACATGGGTGGCATGAATGTCCCACCTCACATGCGCAGCGAGATGCCGCAGCCCAGCCCGCGCGCATCTCCAGCTTTGACCACGCAATCGTATTCCAGCGTGGGCAGCTCCCGTCCTCCCCATCACCTCCCACCCCACCGGATATGGACCTCCCCCCATCCTGGGAGCCTCCCACGACTGCCCAACCACAACCAATTCCGGCACCACTCAGCGCCAACGGCAGCTCCCCACATGTTCTGCCATGGGGCTGGGCAATCACCCGGGCAGCAGGCCCTGCCATCCCCCGGACAGGCAGACAATGGCTACGTCTACCCTGAGCCACAGTACGGCAACACGCAAAACAGCATGTACTACCAGAACCACAACATCCGCCGCCCCAACAGCACAGAGCCCGACCATTATAACGCAAACCCGCAACGCATGGGTAACGACTTGTGGGCGCCCGCCGTGCAATAGGCTCCCTACATGTTTTTGTATCACTAGCACACTCGTCTCTGGAACTCATTATCCCGGTGTTTCTCGGCAGGAACTATACCCCTGTGTTCTCACAAAAATTTCCTACTTGCTGACCGGCGTGTTGTCGGGATTGTTCGGGTACCTGCATAGTGGTTCGCCTGGACCCCGCAGGATTATTGCCTCTATTCCCCAGTTTTGTTTCACTGCAGGCTAATCTCTCCCTCTCAATTAAGACAGATCTCCTTTGTTGCCGGAGTATTTATTTTGGTTCATCTGGGAATATGGCGGATGCACATGTTCCCGCCGAGTGCTCAAACGGACGGCGGCTGGAGTTTGGCGCCTCGACGCAAGACTGGTACTGGGCCGTCGAAATCTGTTTTGGTTGCTTCAGACTTTCCTTTCTCGACTGCTTTTCCTAATGCAACCACGGGCAGACTTTACTAGACTGGTACTTAATGAAGGATTTATATCCGCCTTAGACTACTACACAACATCTACGCGAGTAGAGCCAAAAATTCCAACACTATAATCATTATGCGATCAAACCACTTGCGTGAATGTGTTGGTATGGTGACAATGCTGAAAACTTTAAGGTACGCTGACCGTACAAGGTCGGCATCCATAATACAAATATATATCAATCAGCGCTAATCCAGTGATATCCAACACGCGCTTCCTTGACAAGCCTGAAGTGCAAAATATACATCGCGAACAGAAATATCATTGCAACAACTCCTTCAGCCCATAGCGACTTCCTAATGCCGCTCAGGCATCTGATGCTGTCTCTTCAAATAACTCGTCTGGTCGCACACACAAACAGTCGTTAGCATGACATCCACCTCCCCTGCGCCAAGTATGTATAATAACTCACCTCATCCAACACATTCATCAACCTGCCCTCCTCACTGACCACCTTCCGCACCGTCTCACTCACACACCCCTCGAGCACCACACTACACCCCCGCGGCAACCACCTCAGTATGTGAAATGCATTCGCATACACGCTCGTCGCGCCGCCGATGCGCCCGTCATCCGGCAGGCTGGCGAGCAGCACGATGCGGAAACTCTTCAGGCCCCAGCAATAGCGCAGGCCGAGGCGGACCAGGTCCGCGAAGCCGTCGAGGATGTCGTGGTGCGAGGGGATGCTGAGCACGACGTGCTTGATCATGCTCCTGCTGCGCTGGTGCAGGATGGACAGCGTGTGTATGCCGCTGAGCAGCGAGAGGCGGAATGTGTTCTCGGCATACAGCAGCTGGCGTGCTTCTTTGTGGATTTGCTGGTTGAGGCGCAGGATCACGGGGACGATGGGGTCGGATACAGGCGTGAGGGGTTCTTCGGCGGAGACGTGGCGCGCGGGGCGGAGGCTATGTTCGTTGATGCTGTGGTTCTCGACGCTGGGGTTTTCGGGCGCGCGCGGAATGTGCAGGGGGATTGGCGATGCGCGCACGAGCGCCATGGTGTAGATGTGCAGCCGCAGTTCGGCGGGGAGCGACATGAAGGGGAAGATGTCCTTTTTTGCGAGGGGGGGGTTCTTCGAGGCTGCTGGGTTCGGGCGTGGGGAGGCCGTGACGGGGGCGTTTTGTTTGGGTGCGGGTGCGCTTGGGTGGAGGGTTTGTCGTCGTCGTGCTGCTCATCTTATTGCAGCCTCTTTTGCCCAGGATGGAGCGCGCGGCGAGACTCATCGCTGTCGATATGTACAGTTGATTCGAAATGGTGTTACAAAGAGACTCGCGTTCCTTCCGATCGCAGCGCGTAGCAAACAGTAGCAGTAAACGTGTATCGCTCCACGAAATATCGCTACTCCAAAAAAGAAAATATTCGTACAATTGCTTGTGGTGATGGTGGTGGTGGTGGTTGTGTTGGAGTGGAGAAAGGAAACAAGGTCCCTGGCCACCACGGCTCGAAGCAGAAAGCTAGAACTGCGAACTGCGGGGGCGATCAGGGCGGCGCCCGGGAACGATCTTCACCCCAAAAGCACGGACAGCCAGCAGGGACTCGCTCGCTCGCATGCAGCAGCCCGCCCTCACGTGCGAATCGAATCCAGCACGGATCAACCTGCATACGGCCGCCGAGCTGGTCCATGCAGTCAAATCAATCAAAAACGTCGTGGTCCATTGGACATGTTCGATTTTGCTAACAACGATTAAACAACCTCCCATCACGCAGGGCAATGCGGTCTTCTAACAGCAATCGAGTATCTGCCTATGAAGGGAATCACAATATCTACAGCCTCCATCCGGCAACGTCCCCGCCTCTGCCAGCCTGGCCCCCATAGGTAGAGGACAAGGCTTTCAGCATCCCCAATAGTCAACGATAGTTATGGACGGCAAGTGGGGAACGCTTCATGATGATGGTCGAACAAATGAAAATAGATGGTATGGCCCCGGACCACAATCTCACCTTATAGGTCTATGAGGTTATTGGCGCCGGGCTGCCGTTGTTGCTGCTGTTGCTGTGGTGCCCCGAATGGGTTCGCGTTGCCATATGGGTTGGCACCGAAGTTGCCTACGGGGCCAGTCTGTGCAGGCGCTATGCGGTTCTGCTGAGGCATGCCGGTGAACTGAGAGTTGAGGAATGGGTTGTTACCCGTCGCGTTCGCATTGACGCGGTTGAGACCAGCACCCGCAGAGTTGACAAAGGTACCGGGTGCAGTGTGTTGGGCCGGCAGACGAAGATTGCCGACGTTGCCAAAAGTGTCCTGTCCTTCCCCGGTGGCAAGCAGCGTGTTGAGTCTGGCGGTATGCGGGTCCATCTCTTTCTGGGGCTGCGCTTGTTGCGGGGCTGCGAAAGGCGTTTGCTGCGGGGGTGAGAATGATGTAGGTGGGTTGAAGGATGTGTTATTGAATTGCGATTGCGTCTTCTGCTCATGCAACGAGCTGAGAGTTGGCTGGGCTTGCGTTTGCGTAGGCTGCGGTCGGTTGAAGCCTGAAGCGAAGGGGTTGTTGGAGCCTGTAGGCTGGGGCATGAGCGACTCTTGAGGCTTGTTGGCAGCCCAGGGGTTGTGGTTCCCGGGCTGGAGCGAGTCTTGCTGCTGCATGGGCTGCTGTTGTTGCTGTTGGCCCATGTCGCCGAATCCTCCGTTGCCGAACTGGCCATACGGGTTGTTCATGTTGAAAGAGGTCTGTTGGGGCTGGAGAGTCTGCTGTGGCTGCAAATATTGCTGTTGCTGGTTGCCAAACTGATCGAATCCCGTGGGCTGCTGCTGTTGCTGCTGGAAGCCACCGTAGCCCCCGTAGCCATTCTGGAAACCAGTCTGCTGCGGCTGCATTCCAGTGGGCTGCGAATACGCGTTGTTGAGGAATCCCGTATTCTGTGGCTGTTGTTGGTTCTGGTCCACGAGATTGCCAAACCAGTCGACTTGGCCTTGCTGCTGGTACCCTTGGTTGTTGCCCGTTGGCTGGTATGAGGTCGGTTGTGCGGACGCGTCGCCGAACAGGAGATCCGCATTGGTTTGCTCGAGCTCCTTCCGACGCAGCTCTTCCTCCTCTTTGCTGAGCTTGATGGCTTTCGCGAGATCGTCATCGTCGCCCGCCGCAGCCGTTGTGCGCTCTCGGCGCCTCTTCTCTTCCTCTGCCTCGTTCTTACTTGCCTCGAGGGCCAGCCTGAACTCCAAATCCTCCTCTTCTGTCCGGCGCTGGCGACGCTGGTCCCGTTCTGGTGCGCGCCGGTTTGATCCCTCTCCATTGTGGGCACCCTGGTGACCCGGGTACTCCTCGATGCCCGTCACACGAGACTTCCACGACTTTCGGTCAGCTCGTTCGGCGCGCAATCGCTCTTCGTCCATGATGAGCGAGGTCAGCTCCTTGGCCGCCATCCGTACTATGCGCAAGTCAGCGGAGAGTGTGCAAGTAGCATTCAGCGCAGCGTACCATTCTGGCCAACATCGCGCCCCTCCTCGTCGATGTATTGGAACTCGCGCAGTGTCTTGATGATGTAGATGTTCTTGCGCGCCCATGTCACAACCAGCTCGGAGCCCTCGTGTAAGCAGTAGTCGAGCACCTTGAGGGATTTGAGAACGTGGCGCCAGTTCTTGCCCTTGTCGTTCAGTCGCTTGTCAAGCATGTCCATGACCTGGTAGAAGTCGGTCGAGCTAAAGAGAGCATTAGCGCAGCTCTGTCTTGCAGCTGTCGTCTCCTACTTGTTGAAGGTGATCTGAGCGATCTCGGCCATGTCGGAGCCCACGGGACCCCATGGGTCATTGCTGGTGGCTACAGCCGTCAGCATGCGTACTCAATTGGCGTCTAGGCTCTCACGCACCATTGCGCACTTTGACCTCTACGGCCGAATACCCCTTGGTGACATTCTGCAGCGCCAGTCAGTAGCTGAGCACATCGCAAGCCGTCCTGCTGTCTTTACCTTGACGCTTCTCACGACTTTCGACATGACGTCTGGTCACGAGCGACTCAAGCGATGTCTACGGCGCCGTGGGTGGACGAGGTTTAGGGATGGGGCTGCGCGGTAGGCTGGGTTGAGTGGCTTCAGTTGGGGGAAGCTATAGCGCAGGTGACGTCGACCGTGGACGTGGCTTGGCAAACGAGGGACGTCGCAGATGTGCAGCGCTGAGCTTGTGAGGGTGGGGTTATGTATAATGGCTGAAATGGCGCCCAGAGTCGTGATTGCGGCGGTGTAGTGGCGAGTCTCGGTTGCACGTAAGAAGACCAGCTGCGTAATCCCCAAGAGCGAGGCTGGTGAGTGACTTGGCAAGTGCATTGGGTTGGGATTCGGTCCGAGCGCGCCGACGTCAGGCTTCTGGCGAGTTCATGCACTCCACCCATGCGCTCCAAGCGTCAGGCCGTCACGACTTCATTCGCATCATCACTTTTTGGCATGCATTGGATGGTTGTGCTTTAGTCTTCAGTGTATTCTGTGCTCGAAACTAAACATCGCTACCGGCTTCCAGCAAACCTCCCAGCGACGCTGTACTGTAGAAAGCGTATTCTGCGTCAGGAAGCTGGGCACATCGTTGAAGAGGCACGAAGATGTGCGTACAGGAAGGAAAAAAACTTGGTAGTGAACTGGAGGACACATGGAGGTATTGAACCTAGCATGATCTTGACAGATCCCTGGAGAGCCACAAATCTGTGCTCGAGAAAGGAAACCAGTTCTTGAGCCGAAGCTTCCTATTGAAAATTAGTTTTGTGTACGACAACGATCAGCAGCCAAGTACTTACAGCAGACACAACGCAGCTTCCAAGCGCCCTCAACTTTGGCGGAGTCCACCAGGTCAGCCACAAAGTGCTCAAAGATCTCCGGTGGAATGTCGAGGGGCGCACTACAAAGCAAAGCGGAGAGTTGCTACCCTCTGAATGCTATGCGCAGGTCGCCTTGTGGCTGCACGAATCCGTGCTCGATGGGTAAAACAAAACTTTTGGGGTTGAATCAGCGGCAAGACTCTGGTCTAGTCGCCTGGTGGCGGCACACGTTTGTGCTCGAGGAATAAAATCAACCCTTTTGGAGAAGCAGAGCATGGAAGTCTGCTATACTCGAGATTGTATGAGCAGGTCGCCCGGTGACGGCACATATGTTTCGGCGGGAGAAGAAAACAAAACTTTTGAGGGTAGAATGAGAGCCGAGTGGAAAGTCTGCTACATTCGACATGGTGTGTGCAGGTCGCATAGCGGCGGGACAGATGTTTGGTCGGGAGAATTGGGGTGTGACGGTGGTGTAAGCAAAGGTCCATTGTCCGGAACATGGTCTGTCTAGGCTCAGACCACGCTCACCAGCGAGCGCCAACTCAACCTCCGAAGAGGGAGTCAAAGGCACTCAAACTGGTGAGCGTGGGAGTCATGACAAAGACCGAACAGGATCGACGAGTTTCCTTACAGCAACAACACGGATGCCTTGGCAATGACTTGCTTCGCATCTAGGCCCCGTTTCTCTTCAAAGCTAGGAAAGAAGGTCTTGTTCTTGGCCAAGACGTCTTCGAGCGTGGCGCTGTCGCTAAATGGCGGTGCATCGTGCGCCGTGAGCGCCGGGAATAGGCCAACCGCGATATTCCTGCCCATGGCGTCCTCATCTGGTATGGGGAAACGCTCATAATTCATTGCTTGCATCCAGGTAGGATCGAACTGGGTACCGGGCATGCAATTGTGAATTCGGAACTCGTGGGCATTGAGCATAAGTGTCTGTTTTAGCTCGACGGCCGTCTCCGCCCACTCTTGCGGAGTGTTGAGCTTCTTGAAACCTGGAGCGATCGGGCATGCGTATTTCAGAGAAGCCTCTAAATCAGCCAGTATCCGCTCCGCTCGTAGCTGGAGCAAGCTACTCTTGAAGTTCTTGTCCTCGAAGAGAAGCTTCATACCGATCTTGTCAAGCTGTTGCACTTCTGCTGCGCCCCCTATATAAGATTAGTCAATGTATCATTATTCATTCCGCAGAATACTTACTAGTTGGCAGCAACGCACGGTACAATTCCAGTTCCTTGGGAGAGTAAATGTCCTCGCACATCGGCTCCGGGCCAGAGAACAGCCATCCACACAGCAAGGCTGCGAGAGTAGCCTGGACCAAATGCGGACTCTCCAGACGATCTTTCAGCTCCTCGAGGAACTGCTTGGGTGAGGTAAGCCCTGATGCGCACTTGTTGTTCGCGAGATCGTCGATGCGCGCTGCGACATAACCTGCATCTTCCGCCCTTGGCAGAGGTTCGTCACAGTCCTCGAACCCAAATGCGTCCTCGACGTATGTGCGGAGAGCCTTCCAGCTCCTGTTGATACCTGCCGAATCCAGGTCTCTCGGGAAAACGTTCTCACGGTTGAGCTCCCGGCGTGTAACGAGGTCATGCACCAATCTGCTGAGATCTTCCCTCGCGGCATCTATAGAATTGAGATCCTGAAGCATTTTCGCCAAAAACTGTCCAGGCTCACGCTCGGTTGTTCTTTGTATGCATCTAAGGCGGGACTCAACCTCCTCTGTCATACCGAATCTCGCCACTGTCTGCTGGCGCAGCAGCACTGCAACAATTTCCGTGAGATCTCTCACCGCTTCTATCGTCGAAGTGGGCTCTGTAGGAGATTGCGGCTTCTGGAATGCAGAAGGAGGGTTGACCTGTCTAGGACCCATCACTTGCTTGTCAACCGCCGGCATTGCTGTCTTCTGTGACTGGGTGCGAGGCGGGACTGTCGCTGCTGCCTTGTTGCCCCGGACAAAGACCTTTGACTGCTCATGGTTCTCAAAAGCGTTTTCGGTCGTAGGCACAATGTGGCTCTGTGCCTGAGCGCGCATGGATGCTATGAGCGGAGCGTCTTGGACAGCAATATCGCCTGCCGTGCCGCGGAGCTCTGGAAGCGTGACCGTCGTCCCATTTTCAACCTCTGTTCTCGAGAAAGCAGACCCAAGAGCTTGTCGCTTGGGTGAGGGAGGCGCGCCGGCAAGATCGATAATGTCAGCCGAGCTTAGCTTTCGCTTGTGACAGTCGGCTCTTGCTTCCGGGACTGGAGACTGGCCTGCGGTTGCGGTTTTGTGCTGCGACTTGTGTACCTTTGGCTTGGCTTTGTTTGGCGGCGCTGTTGTACTGCGCTGTCGGTTCGAAGTCTGGTTGCGAGCTGCAGGGTTGGGCTTCTGTTTCTTTCGCAAAGGCTGCTCTTCAAAGTCTTCGTCGTCTCTCAAGTGCTTTGTGGACGCCTCTGAATCGGAGACTGTGTCCTCTCGATAGGACTGCTGGGAGTTGACTCGCTGCTTCAGTTGCGAGTTGGCCTGCAGGTTGGCCTGCAAGTTCTCCTGCGAGTTTGCCTGTGGAAGTTCAGCTAAGGTAGTTACCTGATGTTCAGTACACTCACAATGGTAGTCTCAGCTTTCAGCTTAGTACCTTCTCCTTGCGGAGCAGCACGGTGAGTGTCATCTGCCTGAGGCAACTCTTTGAGACCCCAAACCCTGCGCTGCCTTTGCATCTCATCGATGACCCCGCGTGGAAGTTTCTCGAGATCGAGACATTGCGTTCCGGTGTCTGCAAGGTCCGCCCATTTGACGTTGTCCTGCTTAGCAGGCACTGTTCGCATTTTGGCGCTGATCGCGGCGACAGTCACTTTGCGGTTGGCGAATTTGAGGAACTCCTGCTCGACGCCCCGCCTGAAGTCACTTCCCTCTCTTTGGAGGCAAAAGTCGGCAAAGTTGAGCACAAACGCTACTTCTCTGTTTGTCCATCTGGTTGCGCCAGCGGCTGGCATGTTGGGCCTATCGGGACCTTCCATTAAGGCACTCAAGGGATGCGTGTCTTCTTCGTCTACTGAAGCTGGGCCCTTGGAGATCGGTGGTTTGTTGTGCAGTATGAGCTTTAATGAGGTCGGTGTGGTAGGTGATGGAAGGCAAGAGATGGAAGGAGCAGCACGGGAAGTCGCGCCCCACCCTCACCTCCGATACAAACGCGCCGCGAGCACAATAAACATGGGCCAATGAGATGAGCTGTACTTCTAGCGGCTTCTCCATGACAACAGTATGCTTCCCCTCTACTCGCATATGGACCTCGACATCCTCTCCACAACCTTGCGAGCCCACCAACAACATCGATACATTTGTTACATCACCTCAAGCCAGTAGCGTCTTGAGGGCCTCATCACACCATTACCAGATCTCACAGAACACGCTCTGGAGTACTACATGATGTCAAGCCAGCGCATCGATATAGGCGCGTCAAGCAGTCCGCCTCCCAAAAAGGCAACCCGACATACACATGAGGACCGCTCAGATGATCACGTGCGTGTTAGGCCCGACTACCGCGTCGCGATTGACTTCGGCACGACTTTCACGACCGTTGCTTTCGTCAGATGCCATGCATCTGACGAAGGGAAGAGTGTGGTGCTGACAGTGGAGGAGTTCCCTGGCGATCGCTGTGTTGGACGCAACGGCACACAGGTGCCCACCGAGATATGGTACCCGAGCAAGGAAAAGGGTGCTGCAAGGCGCAATGCTGTTCAAAATGTGCTCTATGGGTACGAAGTCACGCGCCGCCTTGAGCTACCTGAAGAGGATCCACTTCGTTCTGCTTACAAGACCACCGGCCTGGTTTCGAAGCCAAAGTTGCTATTGGACGAGAACCCTCTTCTGTACGACCTGAGGAAAGATGTGCTTGGCGTTATACAACAGCTCAAGAAAGATCATCTCATCAAGAAGAACGAGGAAGTCATCGAGCACTTACTGGTATACTTCCTCAAGCACACCAAGTCAGTACTCCAGCGGGATCACGGTCTGACTAACAGTAGCATCGGTAAGTACACACTTGATACGCATGAATCATAACACTGACAGCACTAGTGGAAGTGACATTGGAGGTACCTGTATGCTGGAGCGCAAGGGCGAATGCAGCGATGAGCACTTGTTTGCAGAAGGCGATCAGCACGGTACAGTTTGGCACGCAGAGTCTCGGCATGCCTCAGTTGTTCATGGTCAATGAAGCTGAGGCTGCTGCAATGCATGTAGTATCTTCGGACTCCGCTCATCTGAGGGTAAGTTGCTTGCGTCCCGCGTCTCGCGTCCAATTTCTCTGCTGGCCTTTACTAATACCGTTCTAGCGTGGCGAGTGCTTCATCTTACTAGACTGCGGTGGTGGCACTACCGACGTTGGAACATACAAGATTGCCAATGGCCAGCCGCTTCGACTTGAACAGGAAGTCACCCACCCCAGAGGTATGTAACGTTCAGTATCTTGTGAGGTGTATCTCTCAGCTAACGCCTGTTGTAGGTGCAGTATGTGGCTCGAGCGACCTCAACACGCGCATGCGCAGGTTTGCTGCCATCAATTTGACCGATGAGACTTACCTGGAAGATGAAGAGGAGGGCACCACTATCTACAACGTCATCGACTCTGAGATCATGCCTTACTTCGAGAGCGAAGTGAAGCGAGCTTACGACCCTAACAAAGAACAATCGTTCACCTTCCGTATTCACGGCCTGAAGCGGAGCTCAGTCAACTCTAGGCTAGTGAAGAATCACTTCGTGCTGAGTTCGTAAGTGCAACTCGAAACTGCAGCAAGCAGCAAAGGCTAACATTTCTTAGTCAGGATCTACAGGACCTCTTCGACAAGTCGCTCAAGACCATTGAGTGCCTTCTGCTGGACCAGATCGAGCATGCGCAACGCAGCAACACCAAAATCGATAAAGTCGTACTGGTCGGTGGCTTTGGAGACTCACCAGCGCTTAAGGATTACCTCAAGTCTAGTTTACAACGATATAACGCCCAACATGGCACCACTATGCAGCTAGTACCCGCGGCAGCAAACACAAGCGCAACCGGCGTGGCGACAGGTGCGATTATGAGAGCACAAAACAAAGACGATGGACCGAAGCGCATCCCCTGTCGCAGCATTGGCGTGCTCTACCACGTCCCAGACGACCCCGACTACAACTTCTCGAAAGAGGTGCTCAAGCAGGCGTGGAGTATCTCTGAGCTCTCACAGGAAGAGTACATCATGCGTACTATTCGCTGGATCATCAAAGCTGGGAAGGGCGAGGTTAAGCCGGTGCACAAGTATGACTTCTTGAGCATGCATTACTTCAGTCCAGAAGACTCCAAATGGATCGCTGAGGAAGCGCTGTATGCTTCCGATACCTGTACAGAGGACTACTTCACACGCTCGCACCCTAAGAACAAGGGCAAGACCTCGGAGTTCGGCTTGGTGCAGTTCGACGTTACGCACCTTCAAGATCGGATGAAGCTCTATATCCCGCCCGATGCCGAGGAAGGCTCTGAGCGATACGAGGTTACGCTCCTGGTCCGTATGAAAGTTATCGATCGGCATCTCGAGTTTACTGCATACTGGCCCGCTGATGACGATAATGCCGCTGCGATTCCCGGTAGCCAGACATGCTTCGACCTGTCAGCCGCATTCGAGCCCGGTACCGGTTAGGCATCCAGTTCATCCAGGCACAGCTATTATTGTTGTAGCAGCGTTGTATGTCGCAGCGAGTGCCTCCAGGATACCATGGAAAGTTGAAAAAATGCACAGTAGATGAGAGTTTCGGATTAGTCTAGGAACACATGAGATGAAATCCACAATAAGGAAGCTGCCAGATACGAAACACGATTCAACTTTGGTCACTTCGCTGAAAGAGCGGAGTGAGATTGAGTTCGTGATGCTTACGCTGCAAGCGCTTCTTCTCCATCCTATTGGTCAGCCAGCAGTGACTGCACCCAGCTTAGCGTGACTGCTTACTTCTCATCGTTCTTCAGGTGCCATACACGTAAAGTCGCGCGTTATCCGAAGCATTGCACGAAGTTTGCGCTTGGAACAGCTGTACCAACAGAGGCAGAATTGCAGCCTTGCCAGCTATACCCCGAGCGATTCCTCACGTGGCCAGTCTTTCACTCACGGACCAAGCTCGGGCTATGACATTACGGAGATGAATCAGCCACAAATATCCTGCACTAAGTCCAAAACAGCAAGAGATAACCGCGGACACTGGTCGGATGATGGTTTCGCTACAGGTAGCATCTGTTATGGCATTTTACCACGTAATAAAACCCTATTTTACCAACTTGTTCGGTCTTCGAGGTCTTAGAACTGTTGCTCACATCACCATCTCATGCAGAGAAAGCGAGGTCAAGGTTGATTGTGGCAAGATGGGTATTTGCGCTCGCTTATATCCGCTGTTCTGACAGATTGCTATTATTATATTCCTTAATCAGCCCGCCAGAAAAAGGTCAACAGTGCAGCTGCCACCTCCATAGGCCTGGGTGTTCAGCCTAGTGGATCAGGGCTGGCGCCTCCCTAACGTACCATGTCAACTCAGCTCCGCCTTGCTTTTACTAATTCCGACTGTAAAACCAAGCATTCCCTAACGGTTCCTGTGCATATCGCTTCCCACATCTTCAGGTGTTGATTCCTCCGCTTGCGCCATGCCATCTCCAACACTGCTTCACTTCCAACAAGTTTCAAGACGCGCACGAAGAGCGACACGAATGGTAGAAGAAGAGCAGCTCATTCAGAAACCCAAGAAGGTCAATAGCGAGATTCGCAAGCAGCAAAACAGGATTGCTTCGAGGAATTACCGTACGTCTCAGTTTGACAACATGAAAGCTTACACCTGCTTACAACTGTTGCGTGTAGGTGAAAAACGCAAGAAGAAGCTCCAGTACCTCCAACGGTTGGTTGAAGAAGGGTCAAACGATGGTCAGACTCCAGAGCCCACACAGCAGCCGCAGCAAGCGCACGTTAGCTCTCAAGTCTCACAAAATGACATAGGGCTTGTATCTCCGCCTTTTATGCTACCTTCAGCCAGTGGCTTCGTACCATTGAGTTCGAGCGGCATTCCTGCGCTGGACCTAGCTGCGACATCAAGCAGTACCACTTTTGACAGCCACGGACTGCCCACTACACAGACTTACCTACCATTCGGGTCGTCCTGGAATAGCCAAACACTTGACTCGCCGTCTCCATCGAACACTGTATACACACCAGCATGGATGAACAGCATCGGCGGTAGATCACGACCTACCCTGAGCCCAGAGACTTTCCACTTCTCGGCGCAAGCAAGCCAGGCAGTCTTTGAGACAACCACAGACTCCTACCACTGCGCTGGAGAAGTCACGCCTCAAGCCGAACATTATGCTCTCGACTCACCTTATATGAGCTACAACGCACCGCAATCCCAAGCACCCAGTGCATCCAGCGTGAGTTTGCCTACTCCCTTCTCATATCACCAGAGCCATTACCATGGGCCACGTTGACACCTCACCTTGTCATGCAGGTACATCGAACCACAAGCAAGCGTATGTACAGTCTGCTGACTAGTTTATCAGTACTTCTTCCACGCCCCGCCACACCCTTTCGAGCGATTCGTATTCGTCTGAGTGCTCGAGGAACAGAACTATTTCTTGACACTACACTAGAGTGGTTTACGTTGCGGAAGGCTCAAAAATTATGGTGAGCTCTCGTCAATGGAGATTCCGCATGTGGGAATGAGTGCCGGAGAGCAGCCCACGACTGCGGACAGCGCACGTTTAGGAGCTCTAGAGACTCAAGAACTGGCCCACCTGACGAGCGAACGATTGGCAAAAGCGAGTAACATGACAGAATATGACTCATATGTTGTACGAGGGGTGTCTTGTTTCACTTGGGGGCTGATGGGATATTGTCCTGCAGCTTACGCCGAGCATGCCAACTCATGGATGATTGAGCAAAGACATGGGAGCCTCTACGGAGGTACCGATACCACCCTTTCGACCATTATCAGTATGTGCACTGCTGCGACAGAGTTGTTCACTCTATTAGCGCTTGCACCAACGGAGATCGCCCCGGATGAGTCCATTGGAAGATGAGCGACATGCACAGTTACATGTTCACCAGAACCGTATCAAGACATAATCCTATTTGATGGACGCTCCTCAGGCCCTTGTATACTTCACTACTTGATCTCTCCCCGTAAATGACCACTAGTCGATGCGGAACGAGGGTAGTGGCCTGGCTGCTCGGTGGAATTCCAAAAGTTCCGTGAGGGAAGAGCGGTGTCCTGATCTTACTCCGCGATAGTCGGGGAGCTTTTCACACATGCGTCGCAGCTCGTCAGCATCGGTACCATAGAACGTAGACACAGTTGGTTCCGTAAATGAATAGCAACCATGTTCTTGAGGCTCCTGACGCGAAACGCTTGTGAACCACTCTCTAGTCTTACCGAGACCTGTCGCTCCTTCGGGAAAAGGACAACAAGCAGATTTGTTTCCCAACGGTACCTTCGTCAGAAACCCCACACGCCGTATACCGTATCGCGGCTTGTACCCGGATCGATGGGAGCGAGGATTTGAGAAGCTACAGCGGGGTAAGGTCAATTGCCATTATATAACAACGCCAGTGCCAATTCGGTCCGTTTATCAGGACGAAAATTGGGCCGCGGGCGTGGGAGCACTCAGTGCCGTGTCTTATGTCACGTGACTTGCTTCGGTATGAGTTCATACATGAGGTGCTCCATGTCCAATGTGGGCAAGTACTCATTCTATCAAAATACACCTACTTCGCAAATATCCAGCCATTCCGCCGCACTATACAAGCTTGTAAGGCCAACCTTTCCTATACGAACAGGCACAATACTGATCCTCAAGATAACTTGCTCATCGCGAGAACTACACGTACAAGCCTGCACCAACATGTCACAGCAAGCTCCAATTCCTCACCCACCATTTGACCCAGCTTATCAAACACCCGTTGCACTTGCTGGCCTGCCTCCGGACCTCGACGTGAACTCGCTGCGCGAAGGGCCCCTACTAGCGGCTACAGCAGAACCGTTGCTCTCCAAATACACTAATCTCAAACACCGCGAGGTTCTTGCTCCGCCAGTTCAAGGCCTCAGCGATCACACCGTCACTATCTCGCTCTTTGAGACCAAGACATCCAAGAAAACAGACCGCGCAGTCTTTTTGTACTGTCATGGCGGCGGTCAGGTCGGCGGCAATCGGTTCTTCGGTGTGGAAGTGTGTATGGATACTGTCCTGCCTGTCCACGACGATTTGGTCTTCGCGTCCGTAGAGTACAGGCTGGCGCCAGAAAACCGGGCTCCCGCTGCCGCGTACGACTGTTACGCTGCTACCGTTTACATAGCCGATCATGCCGCAGAGCTGGGTATTGATCCATCAAGGATCGTGATCTCCGGTCTTTCTGGCGGTGGAGCCCCAGCTGCTGCAGCATGCATCCTTGCCCGGGACCGAAAGTACCCGCCCATCCGAGCTCAGTTGCTCTCTACACCTATGCTGGACGACCGCGTGACAGATGTATCGCATAGACAATTTCCTTCTGGAGCGACTTGGCCGGCAGTCAGGAACTCACAAGCTTGGGATTTGGTGTTGGGTCCGGATCGGGCTGCACCGAGCGATATCCAGGTTCCGGGGAGAGCACAAGACTTGTCAAACCTACCGCCAGCTTTTATCGACGTCGGCGAGTGTGAAGTCTTCAGGGACAGCGCTGTTGCTTATGCAAGTCGACTCTGGGCAAATGGATCCTCTTGTGAGCTCCATGTCTGGCCGGGAATGTACCACGGAGGGCACGCGTTCGAGGCTGACGTTCACGTAAGCAAAACTGCGAATGCTGCGCAGAAGGACTTTCTTGATCGTGTTTTTGTCTCAGTTAAAGGTGCTTCGGCGAAGATATAGATTGATGTAATCCCGATGGCAAGTGATGGTCGTGGTGTAGGCATATAGGCAGATTTAGACTCGGAATATGCTCGGGCCGCCGAGGACGCGTCGCAGGACGCGTCGCAGCAAGCATCGTAACCCTGCTTCCATCACATCCCTCTCTTACATTCTTCCGGAAAACATGGTGCGAAGTTCCTAGAAGTACTTAGCACGTGACTAAACGATTAACAGGACAATTTAAATGCTATTGCGTGGTGTGTATCAACACAGCGAACGACATCAACCAGGCGATTAACAGGGCCATTGCAGTGAGCCTTGTCGCTCCAAAAAATGCAAATGCGACCGCAAACTGTTCGTTGCTGCCAATGTGACTCTCTTGTTACGACCGACCTGACTTTATCAGTCCAATATGTTCGCAGTGTCTGCTGTCACCACTCTCATGCCGCTACGCAGAAGGTGGCAAGCGAGGTCTCCCAGCTGCGTACATGAACAGTATCGAGAAGCGATTACAGGACACTGAAGCTGCACTGTATGCTACACTTCGCGCTCTCCAAGATATGGACGGCCTTGAATCTCTTTCCCTGAACGTAGAGAGTGGCCCCAAGACTGAGTCCAGACCGCGACGCTCGAAGGCCGAGAAGCAGAAAGAGTGGATGCAGAGACCGTTACAGACAAGTGAAGATATCCTCACGTGGTTTCGTGATGAGCAGCAGCGGCCAAGTACGCACAGCGCACGAAAGGATGCAAAGGTCACCGGCGAGGCAACGGCGGGTACACATCCTGACTCGAAAACGCAAACTACTTCTACCATGCCCAGCCTATGTGAAGACCAAACATCAGCAGGCTTTCGTGTAGATCCAGGAGACGCAATGGAGCGACTCGGGGGTTGCAAACCTCCCAGTGTACCGAATGCGTCACTTTCCGCCGACAAGCCCACATCCTGGCGTAACAATTACTTCTGATGGGACCAGGGTGATTATGAACATGTGTCTTCCATTCTTCTTCAACGGATGGCAGCAGCTGAAGCCTCAACCTGGTATGCTTATGTAAGCGCTTGTTGAACCAGTTGCGGAAATTTTTCCGCGCACTTCTCCCTGCGCGAACACCAATCTAGAGAGTCACGAGGATTTACACACGACCTCCATGGAGCATTTGAAAGATGATGGGCAAAGACCGGAAGACATCGTACCCAATGAAAGGCCCTCGAAACGACGACGTATTTCCGTGCAGCCACATCGTGAGGTGGGTCTAATGCGTAGTGTCCGTGGTGATAAGTTCTCCGGATTCGTGGGCAGTGCCAGTGGTATCTATTTCATCAGGTCTGTGTATGGCGCGTTACGAGATCCCGGCGTTAACCTATCGGTCACCGGAAGCACGCCTGTCAGCGATGTTGTCCCTGGAGAGGATGACCAGCTTCCAACGGTACTTCCCTATACATCCGGCCGCTTATGGAGAGACGATGAGATTAGCTCGAAGGCCTTGACAAGCGTCTCCTATGAGGAGTTTGTGGAACTGAGCGGAAGCTACTTCGCCAATTGGCACATGCTCTATCCCTTCCTGCATGCTCCATCGGTTTTGGGCTATTTCCAGGAGCTCTCTTTTTCATCAGAGTCTAGCACGTCTCAAGAACTGAAAATAGTCATAGTCCGATCAGTCCTTTCTATATCTTTAGCTGATCAGCGACAAGCTGGTCATGCATCCAATTCGAAATACCCGAGCGAGGTTGTCTTCTCTTCACACGATGCAGCGGTAGACAGCCTACAACATGTCCTCACCAAACCAACATCCATACTTGGTCTTCAGGCTACCATCAGTGTTCAGCTATTCTTGGTATCTATGCTGCGATTGAATGCTGCTTCGCGCCTTGGAGGTCTCGTCAATCGTATGGCCGTTCAGCTTGGCCTACATCGTTGTCCTGCCAGATATGCCTCCTTCTCAGTCACTGAGAAGGAGCTGCGCCAACGGATATTCTGGTCATTGTATACCATCGACCGCTTCATCTGCCAATCTATGGGACTACCACTTGGCATCAATGACGACGACGTTGACGTGTGCTTTCCTAACGCTGAAGCCCACACGGATGCCCAGCGAGCACCTCATCTAGGTACGGCGACAACTATCGGAAGTTTACATATCTCACACGACTACAGATAACCGTTTGAGGCTCCAAAGTTTCATTGCTCGCGAATCGAGGCTACGTGGCGAGATAATCGAGCTGCGCAACAAGTCCTTGCATTATGTTCATAGAGATGGCGATCAGGCGACCGCGATCACTTCCAAGCTCGCGCAGTGGTGGAAAGATATTGAAGACACGAGAGACACCGACAGTAGCTCGGTAACATCACCATACTATTCCACTATTCTAGCACTGCTCAAGCATGAATCCATTATCTCTCTTCACCGGCCGGTCCTGGCCGCTTCTCGCCAAGGCGCAGAGTATGATACTGCCTTGCAGCTATGTATCGGCTCAGCGCAATCTATTATACTTGAGCTATATGGTGCTGTTAACACAGATGTCAATAGTCGCGAGCGTTTGACTTTGCTGTGGCCATCTTGCACATGGGCTGTATGGATCAGCACCTTCATACTCTTCTATGCAGTGAACAATGGCCATATGACTGAAGAAGTTGTTATCAGGTATGCGACCGACATGGCAGCGGTGGAATTAAGCTAACAGTGTTAAGACTCGCTGAACAAAGCATTGCGGTGCTTCAACATCTTGCACGCCGAGGCAGCGCATGGCCAGAGGCGAGTGCAGCAGCTATAAGAGACCTACGCTCGCGCATGATGAGACATCCCATCGACAATGCAAAGGAAGACCAAAGTGGTATCGTAGACAAAGTTGTTCGACGACCACAACGAATGTCTCTGGACTCGGTCTCCGCAGCTCCTCATCGTACTGCGCCTACAGCTGAGGCTTCAGTCGTTACGCCTGGCGACCCGGGTTATGGTCTCGCTGGTATTGACCAAGCTGACCAAGGCTACCCATTTGGAGCATTGCGAACGGCTGGAGATATGCAACTACACGACTCATTACTCCATGACTGGGGACAGCAAGATAGCCCATACGATCCTGAAGTCGCAACATTCAGTACCTTCCTAAACAGTCATCTCGAAAGTCAAGGCGACGGCCCAGGCTACCTTGATGCACTGGACCCTTTCTCTGGATTCGACATCCCATTCTGGTTCGAACAAGACCAGCATTGGGACGTGTTTCAAGATTACAATCCAGGCAATTAGTCTAGGAACATTCGTGCTGCCCAAGTGATGTCGGACGGATCTGTTGTAACTTGGTAGTATGCTGTGTGAGAAGTAGCCGGACAATTGCCGGCTCTCTCTGCGCTTCATGCCCCACATCTCCACTTGTAATCGCGCCACTCGCCACTTGTGACGAGGTACAGCATCTCCAGCTACGAACTCCACCCGGACATACAAAGTCCGCAGCACGTGAGCAATTCGCGAAATATATATACAATTCAGTAGACACGCGTCGCAAGGCTTGCGTTAGCCTGGTCTTACTTTCCAATTATCACTTCCTGCACAAAATGTCCCCCATCGCAACACAACGTACACACTCCATTGCTACCATTGGAGCTGATGGTATTGGGCCCGAAGTTATCGACGCTGGTGTACAAGTATTATGCAAGCTTGCGAGTCTCGACGGCACATTTACACTCGACTTCAAGGATTACGATTGGAGCTCGGAAACTTACAAGAAGACTGGACAGTACATACCTGATGGCGGATTGGAAGAGCTGAGAAAGCATGATGCAATATTGTTTGGCGCTGTTGGTGCACCTGGTATGTTGAAGTGTGTGGTGCCACGGGGAAATGGTGGCTAACGACTTATTCGCAGACGTGCCTGACCACATCTCTCTTTGGGACTTGCGCCTAGCAATCTGCCAAACATTCCAGCAGTATGCGAATGTGCGGCCAACCAAGATCTTTCGTGGCACTGAGTCACCACTCCGAAAAGCCGAGCACGGCGATCTCGACTGGGTAATTGTTCGTGAGAACACGGAGGGTGAGTACGCTGGGCAGGGAGGTCGATCGCATCGTGGTCAGCCATGGGAAACTGCAACAGAAGTCGCCATATTCACCCGCCATGGTGTCGAACGACTGATCCGCTTCGCCTTTGAGGTCGCGCAGAAACGACCTAGAAAATTCTTGACTGTTGTCACCAAGAGCAACGCGCAGAGAAACGGGATGGTGCTATGGGACGAGATCGCAGCAGAGGTCGCCAAAGACTTCCCAGATGTAAAGTGCGACAAGATGCTTGTGGATGCTATGACATGTCGCATGGTACTGGACCCTAAATCGCTGGACACTATTGTTGCGACGAACTTGGTAAGACTAGCTCCCCTCATTGCGAGAGAGTGGAGTGCTAACAGCTACAGCACGCCGACATACTCTCTGACCTTGCCGCTGCACTGGCAGGCTCCATTGGCATCGCACCAACTAGCAATCTTGACCCAACGCGCAAGAATCCATCCATGTTTGAGCCCATCCACGGCTCTGCATTCGACATCACTGGCAAAGGTGTCGCAAATCCAGTCGCCACTTTCTGGACCGCGTCGGAGATGCTGATTTGGTTGGGTGAGGAGAGCGCAGCAAAAAAGTTAATGGATGCTGTCGAGACGGTCACTGAGCGGGGTGTTCGAACGCGCGATCTGGGTGGAAGTGCGGGCACGAAGGAGGTTACAGACGCTGTGTGTGCGGAGTTGGAGATTATGTTTGGCAGCTCGGCGAAGTAGACGGACTACTCAAACAGTGAGGTCACGAGACATTCGTGATAAGCGCTTAAAAAAGGGTGCCGGTTTACGATTGTTTGTTTATCTAGGTCGATCAGCTTACTTGAAGGTGCAGCTGTACCACTTTTGTAATCTGAGCCTAAACATTGCCATGATTAGCTCTTGAGATGATGCGTCGGCCTAATCCTTTGAATATTCGACTTACAAATTATGGGAATCTTTGGTGAGGGTAGCTGCGACTGCTCTGTAAATTGTTGATGGAAGGTGCGCTCGCGCGGCTTGGCGCGTGCAAGCCGTCACATGACCACGACACGCTCACGCTCACAATCACATGCACCCATCGTTGGTGCAAGGCCACCTGCGTTGTTTCTGCCGTACATACGCTGAATATCCGGGGATGAACATGTCCGGGACGATCCGAGCAGATGGCGGTGCTTGTTCCTCTGCTCGCGCTTGCCGCATCTCTGCCGCCCACAGCTCACTCTCGAGTCTCTGAAAAGCTTTGCAGCTGCTCTGCAATGTTTCGATGTCGCTTTTTAGTGTCGCAATAGATGACCCCGGTTTTCGAAACTATTGTTCTTGTCGCTTGAGAGGCATAACAGGATACTGGAAAGGATGTTCCTGTCACGTGGCCAGTGTTGCGACAGAGGGAACGCCAACAGAAAGCTTACAGATGGAGAGCTTTACCAAGAGAAGGGATGAAACTTGATTACTCACTCGGGCTTGCGCAAGCTGTTTGGCTCTGCTATCCTGTTTGCATTGTAAACGACAAAGCTATTGACTGAGCACATGGGCGCAACAGTGCATGAACGGAATAGATTTTAGTAGAAGATTGAGTGACCGAAACATCCATACACCGGCAACTTGCAGCTCCTCCGATGACCACCGTGTTGTCTCGCGAAGTGGCACCCGAGCGCTACTCGTCCGGACTGTCCAAGAGCACGACCGCCCTCTTAATCACGACCAAATCAGATCCTTCAAAGCTGGAGTCCTTGCCCATGAAGTGGAGAAAGGTGTTGTCGGTCGCGCTTTTTCTCTTCTTTGAGTCGCTGGGGTGATGTACGAGCGCAGGCCACAGACACATACAAACCTCGCGGTCTTCGGTAGGCTGATCGACAACCGGTTGCCAAGCCGCCATCTCAGCCTCCATCCAGGTTGGATCGTATTTCGTGCCAGGTCGAAACCGGATGATTTTGTAGTCCCTTGAGCTCACAACCAACTTCTGCCTAAGGTCAATCATGCCGTGGAGCACCTGCCCACATCCCATCATCGCTAGTGTAATTTCAGTACCAGGATAGAGCGCTTCCCAGCTTTTCTGCAATGTCGTGGACAGCTCGGTCACTTCGGTCTTCATCTCTGTGTTCCGATATTGTTCGCCTTCGTATTGAACCTTCAGGCCTATGCGACGACCGATGTTGGCCGCCTCAAACCCATCTTCTAGCTCACCGTCAGCTGGAAATACTATTGTACCATTGGATAATTGACTCTTACCTCCTGATTGCTCAAATGAGTCAAGTATGTGGTTTGCAACTCTCCAAGACTCTGCGTCACGCACAGCTTCCCTGATCGAAAACACAGAAGTAAAAAGAACAACACTCATGACCCAATGTGCAGTGTGAAGGCCAGGTCTTCCTAGCTTGAGGCCACCAACCCAGTCGGGGAGGTTCAGATCGGAGAATCTGACCCCAATTACACTCTCACATGCCTGAGCTAAATGTGCGCTGAGGTGTCCAGGTGGTAGAACCTTGTCTTCTGACAGGCCAACCGCCTCGTTCAATTGTTGCCGTAACTTGGTCCATTTAGAAGCCAGCATAGTCTCTGAAGGCGTCGTGAGATCGACGGTACCATCATACCAGTTCGGGTTTCCCTGCAATCTTCTGAAAGATTTGCGCATGTTATCGAGTGTTCCTTCCATACTCATCATGATCTTGGCTAAATCGATGATCCACGTAGAAGGACGATTATCTAGGACGTAGATGAAGCTTTTCAACCTTTCGTTCATGTGGCTGGGTAAATCAGGCTTCTCCTGAAGCTTCTTCAACAGCAACATGATCATTGCAAAGTCATCATCTGGAGCGCGTTCAGGCAATGCGGTCGCACACAGTAGATATTGGCTTAAGATGTCGAGAATTCGTTTCAACCTCGCGCCCTTGTCTCTGGGCAGATCATGTTCCTCCTGGTATCTTTTCACCGCCGACATGATCAGTCCAATGTCATCCGCGACATGCTCAGGCGATGTGGCCGCTACTGTCTGAGTAGATGCTACCCTCGTTTCGGTATGTTCAGGGGATGTGGTTGCCACCGGAAGGATGCTCTGGTTAGATACCGTCCTCGTGTCGGCTGTGACCCCGGATACAGTGTCTTTGTGTGAGCCTTTGGGGGGCGCTGCTGTCACTCTGTCATCTGTGGCCACGGCAATAGCTTCCGCGAATGGAAGGCCACCCCTTCGTGCAAGGCGAGAATTTAGCAAAATACCTCTTCAGGTATGGGCGGTAAGTTACAACATACCTCAGATTCGTTCAAGTGATACTGACACCATTGCAGATGCAACGATCATACATCAGTATGGTATGGACTTGAGAAGCGGGACCACGAGATGAGCATCGTTCCCGAGCCATCGGGTCCGAATTGGGGCTACTTCTCCGGCATCAAGTTCTTTGTCGAGTCGATGCACAAAGAAGCGAGAGATAAGGAGGAGTCGGACAGACGCGCGTCAGCGAACGCTGACGCGAAAGCCCCAAAAAAGGGTAGGCGTCAATAGCGCAATGCGATCCTACGATTGTTTGTAGCATCTCGCGATGTGGCCCAGGACTTAGGGCAACGAAACACTCAGCTGTTACGTTGCCCAGTCTCTGGCCACATCGTGAGATGCAGCAATTCAGTCAAAATATAATCATGTTCAATACCTCATTCTTTTGCTGTCTCGATGTTGAGTGATTTGTCGTCCACGTGCCTCCAACTCCGTACTCACTAACCCCAGTCGTCACCATCACGTCCCCGTCTCCCCGTCTTCTCGTGCAATCGTACCCGTCGCTTCCTCCCACAGTCCCTTGGGCACATACCACGCCGCACAGCCCGCCAAGAAGACCAGATTTGTGCAGTACGTGGAACGTGGCATTCTCGCAATGCGGGTGGTTGATTTTGGATCCGTTATGGTGTGGTGGAGGAGGGGAGGTTGGAAATGTACGACGCGACGGGTCGTTGCTACAAATGGCCTGTGCGGACTAGGCCGATGCGGACACCCACGCGATGAAGTACAAAGTATATTGATGTGTGTTGGGAGGCGCTGATGATCGAGAATGGGGCGACAATATACGGTTTAGTATGGTTACCAACGTTTTAATCGTTACGTGACCTTTCTCGAACAACTAGAGGCGAGGATTCGAACAACTTGGGATGTAGAATCGATCAACTTGGGGCGTAGATTCGAACAACAAGGCGTGTAGAGTCAAACAACTGCATTACGTAGATCCCGAACAAGCCTTTCTACAGCGAGTCGTTGTTCGAGACGAGATTGAATATGCGACTTCTACACACATCCCACTAGAGCTTGCAACAAACCATGGAAGCATACAAACCACCACCGGCAGCAATCTGCAAGAATAACTGCCCGTGCAAAATAGCCGCTCGTCGCGCTCGGATCACATGTCAACAATCCAAAAAAGATTTCGCGAAGTTCAAATGCGATGCAATCAAGCTCCAAGTATATAACCTAGTCCAGTCCATCAGGCAAATCTTAGTCGTCACAAAAATCCAACTCCACGAAGACTTTTCAAGAAGCGAAATGACATAATATGGTCATTGAAGTAATTAAGATAACTAAAACTCTACATCTTTCCCTACACACGTAACCCATCCCAGACCTAGAACAAGAAAAGAGAGATTGATGAATGTGCTCAGCGCTTGAGCGATATGGACAAGGCATTCTAAAAACGTCTATGCAGCGTGATTCCCGCAAAGGGGTGTTGACAAACAAAACAAAAAGGGACACAAAAATAGAAACATGTACATGCTGTCAACATTTACACCTTCTCTTGTACAATCTCGCGTGGCGGAGTCTCGTCACCTCCAGTGATGCTGGCGTAGCGGCGAGCATCGGTGTTGGTCTCCTGCTTCTCGTGCGAGCTGCCAACAGGGCTGGAGTTGTTGAAGACTTGTTGAGGTGCGGGGGCAGCGACGACGTTCTTGTCCTTCTTCTCCTTCTTTGTCTTGGGCATGCGAACGAGCCAGTAGAGGGCAAGAGCGGCGAAGATATTGAAGATGCAATAAGCCCCAAAGGATACCTTTGCAATGTTAGTAATTTTGCTTTTTAAGATACGAGGGACGTGATGAAAAGACTTACCAAAGTTGCGCCACGCTTGGCTGTAGTCCGAAGAAATGGATGCGAGGAAGGTGTTGGTGTCCTTAATGGAGCACAAACCGCAGTTGCTGTTGGCGTTGGGGTCGACTAGATAACCACCAAAGTTGTCGATGTATTTCTGCGTGTATTCCTGGCATGTCTGCCCAGAGCGAGGCTCGAACCTGACTAATTCGCGATCGGCGCATGTGACGGAGCTGTTGGCGAGACCGACGGACAACATGCCGCTGACCAGATATGTAAATGGCGAAACGCGGTACATGAAGATCCAGAACCTAGGGAATTGCGAAGGTTGCGACAGGACACCACAGAAAAGTAGACACAAAGAGAACATCAAGTTGGCAATGTTACCACCAGTTTCAGCCGAGTCGACACCAGCAATGATCATGTGAGTGAAGGTGGAGGTGAAGAGCAAGAACATCAAGACGAATAGGAAAAGCTGGAAACCGCGGAGAGTGACGGAGTCGGTGGGGATGGCGTTTTTGTATAAACCGATGGGGTAGTACCAGCAGAAAAAGATGATGACAGCCATGAGTGCGTTCCAGGGAAGTTCGACAACTATGTTGGAGATCATAAAGGCTTTCCAAGAGTAGGTCTTACTAGGTCGCTCGCGTACCTCGTACAAAGCGCGCTGAGTAACGAAGTGAGGCATAATCTGCTGGACGAGTTGGCCAAAGATGGTCAACAGCATGAAAATACCAAACATCTGGTTCGAAAGACCTTGTTGAGTGTTGGGCATCGCGTAGAGGGAGAAGCCGATGAAAAGTGCAGACGACGAGCAGAGAAGAATCTTGGAATAGATGTACGTTGGAGAGCGCCAGTACTGCTGGAAAACGCGGCGAGTTGTCTCCATAAGCTGCTCCCCAAACGGCGCTGCAAATTCGCGGTAGGCCGCTGCGTCGTCACGCTTCTGGGCCGACATGGTACGTTGAAGTGCTTGGGCCTGTCCACGCTCAGACTTGAGCTCAGCGAGGTGGCGCTTAACTTCGGCGTATTCCGGGGAGTTGCGCCAGGTCTGGTGCCAGTCAATGTCAGTATGCGAACCGGGAGCAGCACCGATGACTTCCAACATCCATTCGGCCGGGTTGGCTGAAGGCGGGCAAGGAGGTCCACCGTTGCGAACAAAGTAGTCGACGAGGATCTTGGAATTGTTGCCGACATCACCGTAGTAAACAGTACGTCCACCCTTGGCGAGGAACAGGAGACGATCGAAACGCTGGAACAACATAGCGGAAGGCTGGTGAATAGTGCAGAGAATAGCTTGGCCATTCTTCTTCAGCTTGTCAAGGAGATCAAGAATAGCCCAAGACGTTTGACTGTCAAGACCAGAGGTGGGTTCATCCAAAAACAAGAGAAGAGCAGGCTTAGCAGCAAGCTCAACACCAATAGTAAGACGCTTGCGCTGTTCGACATTGAGACCTTCGCCAGGCACACCGACCACAGCGTCGGCATACTCGGTCATATCGAGTAGCTTGATGACCTCTTGGACGTACTCGATCTTCTCTTTACGAGAAACGTGGGCAGGTTGACGGAGAAGAGCAGAAAAAGTCAAGGCTTCGCGGACGGTAGAGGTAGACAAGTGAAGATCTTGTTGCTGTGCGTAACCAGTCTTGCGCTGGAAGGAGTCGTCGCGAGGCTTGCCGTCGACAAGCATCTCACCCGTAATAACACCCATAGTAGTACGCGTAGCCAGACAGTCAAGTAGAGTAGTCTTGCCAGCGCCAGAGACACCCATAAGAGCGGTGAGGGTACCAGGCTTGACCCAACCGTCAACGTGGTCGAGAATGCGACGATCCTGCTTCTTGATTTTGATGTCGTAGCACACATCCTCCCACTGGAAGATGGCGGTCTGGCGTTCAATGATGGCGATGTTGTCGTCGGAGTTGTCGTACTGAGTGGAAACTGCGCGGCCAGTAGCTGCGCCCTCCAAGTCGTCGGTGGACTTGCTCTTGGGAGTATGGCGACCACGGCGGAAAACAAGAACTTCACCCTTGGATTTCGCAGCGGTAATGTATTCGGTCGCGAACAAGTAGGCGCACATGAGTATGATGCAGAAAGCCCAAAGGATGCCATAGTTGCGCCACTTATGTGATGGCTTGTAGTTGAACGAAGTCCCAATAAAGGCGTCACCAGAAACAAAGGCTTGACCGGGCACAGATCCAGCGGCCATACACGCAACGTTCACGCCCGCAACAGTGTCGTAACCAGCGCCTCGAGGAACGAACTGGTTGCAGGTGAAGTTACGGTTGGTAAACTCGTTGACCATGAGTGACTCAAAACCGTAGCTGACCGGGTTGATGTATTTGATCCACTTAGACCACCCAAGCATGTAGATGGGAGGAATGGTGAAACCAGTGTACATGACAAGACCGAGAATGAGGACAGCGGCGGGCGCCAGTGCCTGAACAAGCGATCGAGAGAAGGCACCGATGGAACGGAAGAACATGGACATGACTAACGTGAGAGTGAAGGAGACCAGCACGAAGAAGAAGAATGCGCCAGGTTCGCGACGGAGATTGGTCATGAAGTACAGGGCGAGGTTGAAAGTGATAGCGTTGCCGATCTTGTAAGGCAGGTCTGTCAACATGCTTGCGAACGCCTCTGCTGATGGGTGGTAGAGCGCATAGCGTGAATGCTTCTCGACGATTGGCCGTTGAGCGTACAAGGTCAGGATCTCGAGGGCGGAACCAAAGGCGTTCATCAGAATAGCGAAAAAGAGGAGGGCGGAGCGGAGCTGGAAACTCTGGGTTGTAGAAGGCAAGTTGTAGAAGATGGACGATACAATGAGAGCCATGACGGAGTTCATAAGCAGCTGGACGACGGTGATGCTCGGATCGGCCTTCAAACGCACGAATCCACGCCATAAGCAGAGCTTGATCTGCTGGCCGTAAGATAGAGTGTATGGAGACTTTTCGCGCTGACCACGAGCTTGTTGGGCCTTGCGGGACTCCGCAAATTTCTGAGCGTATTCTCCGCCAAGTGGATACTTCTGCTCATAAGCTTCGATTTGGGCCAGCAGCGCCGCGCGTTCGTGAGACTCGTTCCATCGCTGCGCGAACTCATCCGGGGTACGGGGGACGCGGTTCTCAAAGCCGGGACGCACGACACGCTCGAGAGCGCTGGTCATAGAGGTAAGGAAATCGGCGTCGGTCTGGCGAGCGGGGCATTCGAAGCCCATGCTGATGAAATATTCCCTAGCATCGGTGGTCTTGCCAAAGTATATCTGTCGGCCTTCGTAAAGGACAAGCGCTTTGTCGAAAAGGTCGTAGGCGGCTTGCGGGGCTTGGTAGATGGCAACGAGGGCGGTAGTCCCGCTGATTTCAGTCTCCATGCGGAGGGTCTTGCAAAACTCGATGGCATTTGCAGAATCGAGACCACGAGTGGAGTTGTCCCAAGCCTGGAGAGGTGCTCTGCTGAGGGAGGCCTCTGCAATGGTGACACGCTTTCGCTCTCCGCCAGAGACACCGCGAATAAAGTCGTTGCCCACACGAGTGTTGAGGGTGTGGGAGATACCGTAGAGTGCCATGATTACGTCGCGTTGGTGCTCGGCGTATTGCTTGACACTGACCCCGCCGGGAATGTTACGGGGACGTCGAGCCTGCGCAGCGAAGTAGAGCGTCTCGCCGACCGTCATGGCTGGGAAATGAACATCGACCTCAGCGGTGTAGATGGCTTCACCTCGGTAGTTCTTGTTCATCAGCTCCGGACTGACACCCTGGTAGTTGATGTGCGATTCCTTGTCCACGTAGAAACCATGCGTCTCGCCGGTGATGGTCTTCAAAAAGGTAGAGCAACCGGAACCCGGAGGACCCAGTACAACTAGCATCTCGCCAGCTTCGACCAGACCATCGCAGTTCTGCAAGATATCAATCTTGCGGCCCTTGTCTCCTCTCAAACGCTTGAAGAGTCCCGGTCCCTCGAGCCAGACATTACCAACACTCTTTTGGTAGTCGGTCTCAGCACCAAAGCCGTGAACGTTGAGGTTGCGGAACGATACACCAGCGGTCCGGGTAGGGCCAGCGTTTTCGTCCTCGAGCTGCAGGTTGAGCATAGCCTTTGTCCAGGCACGAGCATTAAAGTTCTCTCCATGCGGGTCGAGAGCTGAACCTGGGGGTGCATGGAATGGGTTTTGGCCAGCGGCCGTAGCGTGACTTTGGGTAGTCAATCTCCTGGCAAGCTGATGGACCTCCTCCTCCCTTCTCGCGGTCTCTTGAGCCTCTTCGGCTATTTCATTGGCGCTGCGATAGGATTGTCTGCGTGCGTCGTTCCTCTTGCTCTGTGGTGATCCATCACCGTTCGGCGCTATTGTCGAAGCGTCGGAATCTGAAATCTCTCTTTCATAATCGGAAGTGTGCGAGTGGTTAGACGGGTGGTTGGCCATGTCTTGGCTTGGTGCTCCAGTATGGGCAGCCTCGCGGTCGTAATTGTTCACGGCGAGGTTGCCGACCGGATTCATGGTGGGCGAGAGAGCTGTCGCCACTAGCTTATTGGCGGTGCTATCCGGGGGAAGGGTACTAGAAGAAAAGCAAAAAAAGTATTAAAGGATGATACAAGCAAAGGAAGTCGAGAAAGGGCACTGGTGACAGCTATTATAAACGAAGAGCGCGGCGTCCGGTAAATGTAGGAGCAGGCAGCTAATGAACTGCGGCCTGGCCGCCCCAAGGAAGGAATTTGGTCCAGCGGCGGCGGACAGAGGGCTTGGCCTGCGTTGCGACGGCAGGCGGATGGCCTGCTGTCCGGGCGCTGGAGCTCGCTTGTGTCAATGGCGTGGCCTGATGCGGCAAGTCGAGAATGTCGGATACGGCATATACGCTGCCGAGAATGAATACGCGCCAATCAGCACCGGTTGTGTGCGATGCCCGTTCGTTTCGACTCATCGTGCATCGTGAATCTCGCGGTCCGAGCTGCGACTGACATTTGCTGGGGCGGCCTGTTCGTGCGGCTCTCCCATAGTCCAGTCCATGGCGATGCAACGTGTGCTGCGATCGTCCCCAGCAACCAGAACTCAGGGTCGTATACACTGGACGCTGTGGCCCCGCGCACATGTCTCTGTGAGGCCGCGGAGGATTGGCGACATCAGCCGGCCGGTCTCTTGTGTAACGTAGCGAGCTGAACTGGTCCGAGGAAGTCCAAGGCGATTCGCTACGTGTAATTGGACATGCAACAGCGCCACAGACTCGACATGCAATCTCTCACCGCGTGGCCACTGTCCTGCGAGGCTGTACGAAGTACTGTTTGCCCGACGTTCTTCGTTGACGTTGCCCACACAGTCGCAGACATCAACGGGCCGATGGTGACTTCATTCTGTCGCAGTCTGCAGGGCGCCCATTCACACCCTGCACAATACGCGTATCCAGACTCCAGGAACACCAGGCATTCCGGTTGCGGACGAAAAACGCGCCTCCAAATCCAGGGGCATTCTGAGAAGTGGGGAGTGCGGGCCCGCCAGGGCGGCGTGCATTTCGTGGCATGTCGCCATCCCCCGGCTGTTCTTGCCTCTGCATCTTAGCGTCTGGCGGATGCACTCAGGCTCCGGTGCCGACGACCACGCACCTACACTCAGCCTTATCACGCCCGGCAGCGCAAGCATGTAAAGATTTCCGGTCCCTATATTTTCGCATCATAGCGCGAGCATTCGTATGCATGTCTGATGGACGCCTCTCCGGCTGCTGCGGGTGCACAGGTTCCGGCTCCCAACTGCTCATTACACGACTCCACCCCATAATAAACAACGGACGAACACTGCCTTCGCTGTCTGCCTCGACGCTCACCGTCATGTGATTGTCGGCCTCTACCCTTACAGGAGCGTTCACCGTCCTCTCCACACCCGCACTAGCCCAAGTAAACCTACCCGGCGCGACCGACATACTTTCCCCAAAGAGAGAACATCACAGCCACGGACATCAGTAGCCCAAACTAGAGAATATTATTGCCACGAACATCTGTACCCAGGAACCTGGTGCATCAATACTCCAGCGAATATCAGCACCGAGTCGAACAAACTTCAAGATTTGCCCCCTCTCTCATGGTACCCCGATTACCATACAGGCCTCGCCGATGTAGGCTAAATACCAACCAGCGATGCCAGTCTGACACACATCGCTAACCGACGACCGCAACCCCACAGCACCACCCACCCCTCTTCGAATCCAACCATGCCTTTACACAGCACAGCAAACTTTAATCCCCCTCCGCGCATCATGTGCTCTCTCGAAAAGCCTCGGAAACACATGAATGACGCAGGTGCATGTGCATGTGCATGTGCAATTTCACACTCCCAAGCGCCCAGCACGTGACACGCACTCCACTCAACCATGCGCACATGAAAATCAACCGTCTCACCCCTTCGATTAACATCGATAGAATCCATAGTATCCGATCCGCACAAACCGTCTACAAGTCTGCGCGCTGTCCGGATCCCTGATGTGCCGTCACCCGCGCCTGCCGCTGTTGGGTGGAGAGTAAGCGCTACGCCGCGGCCAGGCTTATTGTCACGACGCGGGCCGGAGGCACATTTATTGAGTACGCATAAGCTGGTTAGGCAGCGGATTTTTGGCTGACGCAGAGGGAGAGATGACGGTAAGTGAGTAAGAAAAGAATGTGAGATGGACATTTTATGTTATGGTGTCTGTAATTGGACAGCGTACGAAGGAGACAGGGCTTGTAGAAGCCCTGTAGTTCCGTACCGTGAGTCGACATGTTTATTTTCGTGACATGAGAAATGAAGGATGATTACACTTGAGATGCTAAGTGCTGTCATACAGTGCTGCGAATCGTGAATTGACCGTAGTAGTTCATCGTATCATAGCAGCTCATACCGCTGGAATTCCATTGAGAAAATAATAAAGAACCGTTTATTTCGTTTCCTGTCCATGCTATGCATTCATTTTCCCATACCAACCAGTGCCCAATCGGAAATACACGCATAACAATGCGCCATGAATATGCCCTTGCGCTCCAACTGAAAAGACGTAATGATAGCGAAACTCCCCAAATGCCGCAGCCCTACGCAAGATACCCTTATTCTAGAACGAATCGCCAAAGAACTGACTCGCCATGATAATATCCTTATCGTTCTGGGCAAAGTCCCATCCAACAATCGTTGGGTCCTGGCTACAGCAGATGATCCTGCGAGCGTCAAATTGAAGCTTGAAGACGCGCGAATTGGTGCCCTGGTTGTTCAGCGGGCCAGCGAGGGGGTGCGGGTGGTGGTGATGATGTCCATGGTGGTGATGATGCGCTGCTGCGCCTTGTGGTGGTTGTGCAGCTGCTTGTGCAGGATGAGCAGCCGCTTGAGCAGCCGCTGCGGCTGCCGTGGTCACGTTTGTGGTAGCGGTTGTGACGTTGGCATTAGTGCCCTGCGCAACTTGCGAAGCTGCATGAAGCGCTTGTGCTTGTTGAGCGAGATTGTGTGCTGCCTGCGCTTGTGCCTGTGCCTGCTGGGCGAGGGCTTGGAAGTTGTTTTGAGGCGCAGCTTGTGCCGGTGGCGGGTTGTTCTGAGGTGGATTCTGGTTTGCTTGAGGAGCATTTGCCTGTGGGAGAACGGCGGGTCGTCTAGGTCGACCTCCTGCGTTCCTAACGGCTTCGTTTTGGTACAAGGTCTGTGCCTTTTCCCATGCTCCGTCAGGTCCGCGTTTCCAGATGATGACGGTCTCGTCGTAGGAACCGGAAACAATGCGGGCCCACTTGCTTCCACCTCCGCCAGGTGGAAGCTTTGCGCCATAGGCAAATATAGCCTTCGGATCTCTTGACCCTGCGTTCCGAGCTCGCCGCTGATTCTTGCTAAGAACATTTGAGACGAGACCCCTATTCTGCGCATCGAAAAAGTTCCGGTCGACCGCTCGTGCCTGTGCCTCAAGCTCCTCTTCATTGCCTGGAAGATCGCCGAACTGAGCCTGCACAGTACGAACGAGACTAGTGTGGCCCTGTAAACAGGCAACTTCGGCCCCCGTTGCTTGGTCGAATATGCGCACGGTTTCGTCCGAACTGCCACTGACGATCCTGCGGCCATCAAACTGCACACATGCAATACCCTTGCTGTGGCCCGAAAAGGTCCGTATGCAAGCACCTGTCCGTACATTCCATACTTTGACACTGCGGTCCCCCGATGCTGAAACTATGTTTCCACCCAGAATTTGGATAGCATTCACAGCCGCACCGTGACCTTCTAAAGTCATAATCAGACTGTACGGAAGCAATGGTTTCAGGTACAGATGTTGGCTCTCAACGTATTCTTGCATGTTGATGATGTATGAAGGAAACTTCGCTGCAGACTTTAGTGTCGATGAAGGATAGGTGTCATCAGTAGGCATGATCTCCGTGCGATTCCACACTTTGATCGTCTTGTCTTTCGAACAAGTGACCAAGTACCGGTCGTCGAACTTCAGATTCAAGACAGACTCGGAATGCGCCTTCTCAATCTCCTTGATGATACGCCCAGTAGAGAATCGCCAAAGAATGATTCTGCAGTCGGAGCCTCCGGAGATGATGACATCTTGCCCAGGTCGCTCATCAAACTGCAAACACAAGACCGAAGCTTCGTGGCCAGTGAGTGGTTGATGGATCAGGCGCTGGGTATCGAGATTCCAGACCCTTATGGTTCGATCTCTACTACCACTAACCAGGTACTTGCCCGAATACTGTATCGTATACACGCACTCAGTATGAGCTTCGTCCGGGTGGTTAGGATGTGGGAGCTGGAAATTGGAAAATCGTCCAGCGTTCCAGTTGTCTTCAAGTCGTCGCTTTTGCTTGTACAGATATTGCCAGTTGATTTTGGGTTCCGACCCAGGCAGTAATAATGATGGTTGTACTGGAACCCCCGAAAGATCGAAGTCAGCCGCGGATGAGCTCCCAGCAGTAATGAGTTTTCGCTCCTGTGTCTCAACGGACGAGTCGTTGTCGAAAGATAGGCCCTCCATCCGATCTTCTGCCCGAGCCGTGGGACTGTCGTCGGCCTCGACAAGTCCATGTTGCTCGCTCCAGGAGGAACTGCCGTCCGCAGATTCTGGTATGCTGTTTCCTGGTGGGCCATCGCCGAACAATTGTCGCTCTCGCGCACGCTTCTTGCTCGAAGGCTTATCGTACTCGACGTCTTCGGCGGCTCGTGGTCGCGTCTTGCGCTCCTTTTCCTTGCCCTCGACACGTCTCTGCTTTTGTTCCTCTTCGAATGCGCGCACTTGTGTAAAGTTGCTATTCCATCCCTCGAGACGGAATAATAGCTTCCACAGCGGGCTGTCTAAGACCCGGTTCCTCCATGCTCGGGAGAGCGTCGACGAGCGCAGCAAGGTCTCCGGGTTGAGATATGACAAGATTTGGAAGGTGATTTCGGGCGGGAGATGCAGTACGGGATCGAGGTGGAGCAACGGGTTCAGCTTTTGCACGATTTCTGATATCGATGAGGTTCGTAATGACCGTAGGATGGCATATGCAAATTCTAGGACACGTTAGTATGAAACACCAGAACCAACGTAGTGCTACCCACCACTTCGCTCGCCCTCGCTCAGGGCCATGACCCAGTCGGGCAGGGTGAATGGAGAGTCAGGCTGGATCCCATCGTCAGCCAGCCGCGAATCGCTCCTCATGACCATGTCGCTCCCACTTTGACTGCGTGTCTCCTCGGAGTAGCCTTCGTCGAATCTGTTTGCGCTCATCGAGGACGCGGGGCGGAAAGGATGCATGTACGGCGGCCCGGAGAACTGGGCAGCAGGGCTCCCAAGTGGGCCGGCCATGTTGGGTTGCGGCGGGGGAGATTTGGTGCGGAAGGGAGAGTTGTCGCAGGGCAGAGTTGTGGTTGCGGTATTCGGCGTGGAGAGGGAAAATTATATGGGGTTGATCATGGACTTTGGGGTGTTCGCCCTGTTGCCTGCGGGTCGCAAGTTCAGGTCATGTGGGTGATGGTGGCAGGGCGCGCGCAGAGAATGGGAGCGCGACAGGCAGTGCAAGTGATTCAAGCGATTAAATTGGCAGTGCGCAGAGTCTGGACAGGTCGCAGTGGTGACGTGACTGAGCCTCGAGATTGAGATTCGAGAAGCATGTGGTGGTCGTCCCTTCCGCCTAAAGATCGTCGTCCGAGCGCCCGATGTGGACCCCAGCTCACGACACCACCCATCTGTCACTAGCCGTAGCTGACAGGGCTAAAACAGACAGGACATGTGTGGAGAGCAGACGTCGGTACTGTACACCTGCATGTCTTTGTACCCCTCAGAGCCTTCACCAGTCAGTGTGGTGTTGATTGAAACAAGTGAAATCTTTGCATGTGCACGTCTGGGCGGGCTCGAGGTTTCATGCGTCGCAACGGCACGCTGCCCGCTAGGTATATTGCCCACCTTATGGCATATTGTCGGCAGCAGTCAGCCAGCTATTGCAAGCTTAAAAATGGTCGAACGTGTTCAAAGTCACTAGCAAAGGGGAATTGTGGCTCGCATGAACTCATGCCGGAGGAACGCATATTATGAAGCCAGAACACGGCGACCATCAGATACCTCGTCGGAGCTCGTCCTGCAAGCGCCGTTGATCAGACGACCTCGGCTGCTCCATCGCGGCGGCCAATACATACTGCTCGATGGGGTGCTGCGAGGCGTGGCGCGTAGATGGGCGCCGCAGCGCTGACGATGCAAGGAGCGGTGAAGTCGTTGGCCAAGGTACTGCATATCGCGAGGTGATGGAGGGCGAGGTTGATTGTGATGTCCACGGACCGTGCTGCGCGCACGGCGATCGCAGCCGAAGTCGGGACTGCAGAAGGCGAATAGACGTTGCATCGTGACATGAGGGAGGTCACGGGAGGCGCAGAGGCTCTCGAGTAGCTGTCAGGCAAACCTACTGGGTGGTGAAGAGCTGTAGTGAGCGGCAGACAGCGCAGGCCCACGCGCCGTCCCTCTCGGACCGCGTCGGTGCAGCACCGCAGCGTGAAGGGAAGGGCAGCATTGAACGGCGGCCCTGGAGAGACGGCTAAACGTCAGGCATTAAGGCTGGAGGACGGTCACGTGATGCAGCCCGACGATGGGCTTGGATGAAACGCAGCGCCCCTATTGAGGCTCAGAGCGCCCGCTGAAGCGCTCTTGCAACTGCAACCACACTGTCGCCGTCGCCCATCTCGCAGCCAGCTCCAGGCTCCAGCACGTAGCATAACACCACCCGCCCGCTGCGCCATCGTGCATCGTGCATCTTGCATCTGTCTGCAGGCTCCGACGCGTGCATAATCTGGCTTGGCCCGCCCGCGAGGTACCGTGGACCGTGACCGTGACTGCTGGTGGAGACCCTGCCTAGCGATTAGCGCTTGGACTCGCTCTTGCCTATCCTGCACTGCAAGGAGATGAAGAACTAGCATGGAAGGAGGATTGGCTTTCCACTCGGGCTTGGGGCGCGCTCACACTTCTCACCAGGTCGTCTCCCAGTCCGCCGCCCACGCCCACGCCGCCGCTGCCCACAACCGCATCGCCAGCACCACCGGGCCGCCCGCCCTCATGTCCCACCAGAGCTACCAGAGCCACCAGAGCCAGTACTCGAGCTACTCGCACAGCAGCGCCCGCGACACCCAAAGCACCCAGGCCACCTCGACGAGCACGCTGTTCGGGGGCCAGCCGCCGCCCACCTTCGCCAGCAGCACCCCCGTCAATGGCGGCCCCGTCGAGGCGAGCGACAATGTCCTCAACAAGCGCGCCGACAAGGACACCTCGCTGTTCCAGCGCTGTCTGCAGCTGCAGATGCGCCTGCGCCTGATCCCCGGCTTCAAGGAGTGGATGGCCGAGGAGGAGGACAAGGCCGACGACGATGCAGACCCCGTGACGCTGCTGTGGAGGACCTTCCGGAGGGGCTATCCGCTGATGGAGCTGTACAACGCCCTCGAGCCCCGCACCCTGCTGAGCATCCCCAACTCCAAGACGGACGAGAAGAGCCTGAAGAAGAACGAGAAGATGGCCACCTACCGCTTCATCCAGAGCTGCGTCGGCGAGCTCGGCATCCCCCAGGAGAGCTGCTTCATCCTCGGCGACCTGTACGGCGACGACACGACTGGCTTCGTGAAGGTGAGACCCCCCCGCTGTGCGACCCCCCGCTCGGGCCCAGGCTAATGAGACAGGTCACCAACGTCGTCAACCGCGTGCTGGACTCGCTTGTTGCCATGGGCAAAATCGACGCCGCCCAGGCCTCCATTGGCGACCTTGCCTCCACCACCAAGCGCACCCAGCGCGAGCACATCATCGACGAGCTCGTCAAGACGGAGCGCACCTACGTGCAGCACCTGGAGCTGCTGCAGGAGTTCAAGAAGCTCGTCGAGGAAAAGGGCGTCATCAGCGGCGACCAGGTGCACGACATCTTCCTGAACCTCAATGCCCTGCTCGACTTCCAGCGCCGCTTCCTCATCCGCGTCGAGCAGACCAACGCCCAGCCGCCCGAGGAGCAGAACTGGGGTAATCTATTTGTGCTCTACAAGGAGGCCTTCAAGGTCTACGAGCCCTACATTGCGAACCAGAAGAAATGCGAGCAGATTGCCATGCGCGAGTTTGAGAAACTCAAGGAGACGGGAGGATCACCCGAGATGCGCCAGATGGTCGAATCTCCGACGCTGCTCACGTCGTTCCTTCTGAAACCGTTTCAACGGCTGACCAAATACCCACTTCTGCTTTCGGTATGAGACGCGCACCCACGTGCTTCAGATATAGTGCTAATTAGCGGACAGCAATTGCGCGACAAGGGTGACCTGGACGAGGGGCGCCGCGACGACATCTCCCGCGGCATCGAAGCGGCATCTTCCGTCCTCGCGGGCACCAATGATGCCATCGCCCGCGAAGAGCGCGTCGAGGCTGTAGAGGAGCTCAAGACGCTTGTCGAGGACTGGAAAGGCCACCGAATCGAAGGCTTTGGCGATCTGCTCCTCTATGGACAGTACACAGTGCTCAAGGGCGAGAGCATGTCCTCGAAGAATGAGGAGCGCGAGTACAAGATCTACCTATTCGAAATGATTCTGCTCTGCTGCAAAGAGATCAATGTCAACAAGCCCAAGAACAAAATGTCTACGAGGACACTCGTTACCAAAGACGGAAAGCCGAAGCTGCAGCTCAAGGGCCGCATCTTCATGCAGAACGTCACCGAAACCATCTCTCTACAAAAACCAGGTAAGTTCAGAGGCTAGATATGCAGTCACAAAATCTGACAATACAGGATCGTACACATGCCAAATATTCTGGAAAGGCGACCCTGGCATCGAGAACTTTATCATCCGCTTCCCGACCGAGGCAGAAATGAAGCAGTGGGCGACTCAGGTCGACATGCAGCGACGTGTATGGAAGGACCAGGCGCGAGCAAGCGCAAGCACGACTGCCTCAAAACCATCAGATACCCAATTTGCATACATGCGCGACCAAGTCCTGGAGAATCCCTACCGCGAGGATGAGGCAGACGACGACGAGGAAGATGTCGACCCACTTACCGTCTACCCAAGAGATAGTTATAGGAATATGCAGAACAGCTCAGCGGCATCCATACGGTCCCGATCGACGACTGGCGAAAGCGAAGCACCGCCCCGCTTCCCCATGGGCAGTGCCGGCCCACCACTGAGCTTGCGCACTCAGCAACTGCAATCTGGTGGCAATCAGGAGTCTTACTTTTCGCCCACGGCCGAGACGCCCATGTCAACCTACTCCAATGCCAGGACAAGCTCAGCTTCTGCGGGTACTTTCCCCTTTCCACGGCAGCAACCGCCAAACAGCTATAATCATGAAGAGAACAACCGTTACACAGCGCCTGCACAGACCCGGAATGGCGCAAGAGAAGGATCAGCTCAATACGCACCAGCGCGCAGTCGACCTTCGCTTCCACCCCAAGCCATGTCTTCTCAGGGCCGGTTGAGGGCGGCTAGTAGCCCCGATATAAATTCAAATCTGAATCCAAACGGCAGGAGATCGAATGGACCACAGCCACCAGTGCCCGAAGTACCACCTTTCCCGACACATTACGCCTACAATGCCGCAATCATAAATAGGAGCCAGAACAATTCGCCGGCCAACCAACCGCCTCCACGAGCTGCCACCCAGTCCCCAGCGATCCAGCGAGATCGCCTTATCCAGCAACGCACCGCGGCTGAGCTAGCTAACACCGACTACCACGGAGCACCGCAACTACGAGCTCAAAACTACGCACCGTCTCTGCCCCGCACAATGACCCCGGCGTCTTCTTTCGAGCGAAGTCAGGGCACATTGACTCCAGCATCCATGGATTCTAGGAATATGTCGCCACCACTATCGCAACAGGACTCGAATATACCCACACAATTGAAGGTCAAGGTGCACTGCCCCTCGGCTGGCAGTACGATGGTTTTGGTCGTCAGCACAAACATTAGCTTCCAATCACTAAAAGACCGAATCGATGCGAAGCTTCAGCGGTCAACGTCAGTCTCGTTGGGCTCTGGACAAGTCAAGCTCAAATATCTCGACAGCGAAAACACGTATGTCAGCATACAATGCGACGATGACGTGCAAGAAGCTTTTGAAAACTGGAAAGAGCAGCAACGAGACATGAACCCCGGCGGCGGCCAGATTGGTGAAATTGAACTTTTCTGTCAACGATGAAGGATGCGTTGCATTTTGCGCGTCTGGGACATATGGGCATGGGTACCGGCGTTTATTATACTTGTTTTGGGCGACAATATATCGGGGCACCTCATGTCTTCTTCTTATTTCGAGCAAGCATCCCCCCGGAGCGAATGGCAGGCTCGCTGCTTTCTACGATTTGCGAGAGAGATATCATCTATGGAAAGGGCGCGAGTCACTTGGGCAAAGTCCGAGCAGATGTGCAGAACCATATTTATTCTTATCTACCTAGCCCTTTGCTGTACGAGGCGGGGCATTTAGTTAGCTTGTATAAGCTTGATTGGGCAGTTGGGGGGGCTTTTTTTGTGCCGGTGGATAAGATTTTGTTCTTTTCTTCAATAAGAAAGATTATAGGGGGAATGGGATGATTGATGATGGAATGAATATCTATGCTATACTCTACTTTGTTGTGAATATTTGTGTGAAAATATGAAGTTGGTATCGACATTTATGTTGAAGCACTAAATGCTTGTACTGTGATTGCCTAGCATGGATTCTCAGACCTCGCCTGCTTCACCTCTTCTTTATGGCAAAGCAAATTGTGGGGACCGCGGCGTCCGTTCCAATCTTCCCTTCGTGGCGACCTATGTGTGGTAGATTCGCGGCAAAGGTTATCTATTACGCACATGGGAATGGTGTGCGGTTCGTAACGATGAGAACAATAGCAAGACAGACTTATAAAGTAGTCTCTCCGCCAGGAAAGTCTACGATGTTCCCGACCAACACTGGTCAATAGTAGAACCAGAGAGTCGAAAGGATTGCAGCCAACATCCACATCCACACGAGGTATGTTTGATCACTGAAACACAGCTGTTCAACTGCACATGGAGAACACATACTTCCCCGGTTCACTCCTTCTCCCCAGCAACAAGCCCCTCATCCCGCCCCCGATGCAGCGTCGTGGCAACCTGTCCCGTCAACAAATGATCCACATCCGGCAGCAACAAACTACACACAATCGCGACGCCCGAGAACGCAATATTGCTCAGAAACACCGTGCGATATGCGTCGGCATTGGCTTGCTTGTACGCGCTGCTGCCCGCTGCGATGATCTCGGGCGTAACACCTGGGATTGCGGCGAAGGCTGTGGGCCCCAGCGCGAATGCGGAGATGAACGAGGGGATGGAGGTTGATGGCAGACCCGCAGCGAGCAGCGCGGGAGGGACTTGCGAGGCGATTGTGGTGGTGAGCCGGTTGGAGAGGATCACGGTGTAGACTGTGGCGGCGATGGAGGAGATGAGGAAGCGGATGGAACCTGCTACGCCTGAGGCGGTGCCGAGTGCGAACTGGTCTTTTGCGGCGAGTGTGACGATTGTTATGGCAGCTTTAGTGGTGTCAGGTTGCACAACGGTCAGAGGGAAATGGGACAGACGTACCGCCTTCAGTCCAGCCGACGAAGAAGACGCCAAAGGACAGGAGGGTTGCGGCGCGCGACATGGTGCCGACGCCGCATGTTGCCATGCTGCCGAAGCATATCGCGCCCAAGGTGATGCCGACGACACATTGCCATTTGAGATGCCCGATTTTCTTGCCGGAGAAGCCGCCGACAATTTGGCCTAGGGTGATGCAGAGGCCGACAAGGGAGGATAGCCAGGCGGAGTTCATGGCGCCGCCGTCGGAGTACTGAATTCCACTGTTAGTTCCATCTTATATCAAGATGGATTGTAAGGGAATGACTTACCAGCACCGCAACCATACTCGGCCACACAATGGCGAAGGCGTAGTACACGCTCGCCCCCAAGCCCGTCAGTACGACTGAAGCATTCCATGAATAGTTACTGAAGATATGCATCGGCACCAACGGCTCTTTCAAATCCACGTAGCACTCGTACAGGACGAAACACACCAGTGCAACCAATCCCGCTACAATCGTCCCAATCACGTATCCCGAGGACCAAGCATACACGCTCCCGCCCCAGTTCAATCCCATCATGAACACCAGCAGACCACCTGTATACAGCGCCGTACCAGTGTAGTCGAAGTCCTTGATATATCTCAGCACACTCGCGTCCCGACCATGTTTCATGCTAAACGTGTCGAACAGTTAGAGAGACCAGGACTCTGAGACAGCTTGCTAGGGATTCACACTCACGAGAACGTAGGCGGGTGGTAGAAGAGAATCCAACACGCGCAACTAGACGCTTGAATCCCAATGAGCACGTAATAACACCCTCTCCACCCAACCCCCGGCCAATACTCGATAAAACTCGTACTTATCACCGGCGCCACGCCGCTCCCGGGAATACAAAACAGATAACAGAATGCATTGCCCGCGAGGCGGTATTTCATCGGTACGAGTTCGCCCATGACGTAGAAATATGAAAGTTGCGTGGCGGCCGCGATGCCCATGATTGTTGTACCGACGATCAAGGCGGGGATGGATTGCGCTGTCGCGCAGATTATGGCGCCGAGCACGCCGAGCATGGAGCCAGTGACGAAGACCCAGCGGCGCCCGAAGATGTCGGAAATGCGGCCGATTATGGTGAGGGTTACGGCGGAAGTGAGGGTGTAGGAGAGGGCGACCCAGACTATGTTTGGATCCTGGGGAGGAGGTTAGTGAGACGCAAAAAGGCGGGAGGTCATGAAGTGGGAATTGGGGAGGGGTTGGTTTGAGGATAGACAGAGAGAGCTTACGGGCCCGATGTCTGCGTTGATTAGAGGGAGGATTGGAGCTGCGTAACCAAAAGCAGCTAAAAGAGCAATTCGTGTTAGTGTGGCTTCGATACTTTGCAAATCTCGATCAAGAATACATACCAACACCTGCCATCAGTCCAAGGCCGATTGCTGCCATCGTGCCGACGAAGAACTTTGATGTGAAGTATCCTGGTGGCGGAGAGCTTTCGTCAAGCTCGAGGTTTGCGCCGACGGCATCGTCGTGGTGTTGTTTCTCAGTATCGCTCATTGTTGGAGAGGATACTCTGACGGTTTCGATGCGCTCTGTGTATGGGTCGGATTTCTCCATGATGGCAGTGAAGAGACTGTCACTGTCAAGTTTCCAAGTTCGATCGGTGCTCTTAAGGATAATAAAGTCTTTGGCCGGGAATTGAAGGGCGAGTGAGCGTCTACCCACTTAGCAAATTTAGCTCAAACGGGCGACGTGCAGTACAAGTACGACCTTGAAATGAACACAGTAGCTCTTTCTTTTTTGCTCCACAGTAGGACAAATACACCATACTTTGTATAACCATCGTATGCGCATGTCACGGGAGATCAGCAACGCTGCATCCTAGTCTCTGGTAGCCTTTTTCCGGATTGCGGGGTCCCCACGTTCTCCCCAGGTTACCTACATCGTGTGCCTGCATCCAGTCTTTGGGGGCCCGAGAATGGGGTTGATGACAGGTCCGAGTCATTCTGAAGTCTGTGGCGTCTGGGGCACGAACATGTGGAGGAGGCGCTAGTGCTAAGCAGGGTGCGGAAAAAGACACGCTGAGGAGGAAGAAGGAACCCGGGGCTGACTGGTGAAAATAAAACGAAATGCGACAAAAGCAAAGGGCATAGACTGTTTGCATCGCTTTTTGTGCTGCGCCTTTATATTTGACGTCTAGCTCTATGATGCTTAATCTGTAGTGTGGAGGTGTGCTTCTGATATGCTTACTGCATCCGTGTCCGATTTAGACAACCATGGCGCCACTGAAATGTGTCGCAGAAGAAAATATTGACAAAAGAAACAATCGCAATGTGGTATCTTCGCATCCGGAACGCCGAAAAGAGGCCAAAGCCAGCCGCAAATGCTATCGATCCAATCGTCTCCCTGCCGTATACCATTGCCACGAAGGGCCCGAGATCCTTGTGCAAGGAGCACCCTTATGACCTCAACGCCTCTTATGTCCATGCTTGAAGAAGATAAAATACTGCGAAAACGTGCCGGACAGCACATCGAAAAGGACGATATTGTGCATGGCGTGAGCAGGCGTTATCATCCTGTCTTATCACTCTGCACAGAGCTAATCATCTCAGACCCACTTGTTCCAGATCTCTTCTCTGGCGAAACGGCACTGCGACTGCGGCTAAGTATAAGCTTGCCCGCCAAACCTGTGGATGATCGAGTGGTCGAGACCACAGTGTTGTTGCTGGCGTTCCAGACCTCCTCTCTGGCTTTGCGCTGCTGAATGTGCTGAAGCGTCTTCTTAAGCGCAGCGTATAGATGCGTGTTGTCGCTCAAATCAAGATCGACCCAGAATGAATAGATTGACAGATGGTTCCGGTTTACATCCTTGAAACGCTTCAGGATGTACTGACGTGCTGATGTTTCAGGATCCTCTTCGCTGGGTACGTAGTCCGAGAAGAAGGTTTCGAGTGGGGAGAATGGAAGCTTCTCTCGAAAGCGGGTAAAGTTGTTGAGAAGCAAGATGATCGATGAATTTGCGAACTTTTTCTGAAGCTGCCCAGAGTTCAAAGTTCGCGAAGTCCTTCTAGGAGCTGGGATTCTGTGGATTGCCCAAGATAAGGCTTGTCGTAGCGTGAGACGTCGATGGTACACACGAGCGATGTCGCGCCATCAAGCTGATGATGCCAGCGCTTGCGAAAGTTGCCCGAAAAGTAGTGTCTAGGTAAAACATTAGTATATATCAAGTCTACCCGATGTGATTACGCACCCAGAGACATTGAACAGGTGGATATCGAGCTCGTCCCAATTGAAGCGCAGCTCTTTGATGCCACCAAGCGATTGGTTAAGACGCATCATGTCTGCCTCGGTGGGCAGGTAATCATCGTCAGCTATCCTTTCTATCTCTTGGGCAAAGTAGGGTGAATATTGAGGAAAGTCAATCTCGAAATTCTGAACAAAGAGCTTGGAGAACTCTGAACATGTCCATATGGTCTGAACGGCTTCGACAGCTTCCGGACTTATTGTGGGCAGAGTCACTGTCTCCACCTCATGCAGCAGTATCGCAAAGTGCTGATTGAGATTGCTCGGAAGGCTGATGCCGGTATCCTTTAGCAGGTCGATGATGGCATGCATAAGCAGGCGGACAGTTGAGCGTACGGCGTAGACGTATTTCCTGCGCTCTTCGACAGGGTAATATCCTTCCGCATACAGCACTTTCATCTGATTCATGATCAGTTCCTTGCCACTGTCACGGTCACCCATCATGACCAGCTTGGTCTCTCGGCGCAGAGTGGTGGCGTCTTGTTGCAACGCTCGATCTATCGCATCGGAGCGTGTGTTCGCAGCGGCGATTTCGTAGTCCTCCTCCGTGGGCTCGTGTACCGGCTCTTTGCGCATCAGCTTCACGTAGTACAGATATCTGAACCATTGAATCATGGCTGATGCTTGCGTCAAGACCCTCATGCATCCTCCGTCGACCTTCCAAGAGCGGGTTAGGACCTTGAGCTGGTTGGCATCACGTGATCGAATCTGGCGCGACTTGTAAAGCAGTATCTTGCGCTGCGCCATTGCATGACTGTCGGAGTTAGGATTCGTGACTTCGTGGCGGAAGACCTCAAGGCTCACCATTTACAGGCAGCTAGCAGTAGTGTAACAGCTTCAGTCTGTCCTTGCGCAACTTTCCGCAAGCGCTCCATGGACCGGCTACCAACAGCATACTTCACTCGGGTCGCATAATCGAGAGGGACATGATCCGGTTGCTTGAGGTTCTTGACCAAGGCGTCCAAGTGCCGCATCAGCATACCGCACGAGGTCATCAGGACGTCCAGGTCGGAGAGCAATTGAGGATGCATATCTGATAGCGCATGACTGAGCCAGTCGTGCATATTTGCAAGGTTCGATTTGAGAGCGGTCAATTGCGCGATGAGATTGATGGAGTTTCCGTTGTTGTCTTTCAAGCGGTTGTGTATCTGCCGTAGGCCATCGATGCTGTCGCGCAGTCGCTTCATGTTTGTCGCGACTGCGCTCTGGAGCGCATACACGACCTTCTCGTTGGGCTGCGCGTCACCCATTGCAAATATTCGAGCCGCAATGCGACGCGACGGTGAACGTTCAGGGTCGTGTGAGAGTGCTTGAGCGAGGAACGGGCTACTTACTGTAAGGAGAGCCAGTATTAGTGCTGCCGCCAGTAGGGCCGGCGCGGGAGAGTTGCCGACGCTTCCAACCTCAGATCCCGGTTGTTGCAGGCTTGTAAGCAGATCAGCACCGAAAGTTGCGACCGTCTCGGGCACTTAGCAGCATACCCATGTCAAATTGGCGTGGCTGTGCCTGGTGAAGCGCGGCCCTAACAGCCACTGCTGTGGTGAACAGATAGTCTAAGACTGTGATGAGAGTGAATTGAAATGACAGGTGACGATCTCTCGCATCCTCGAATCCCGACACGTGCTTGGGTTGTGACCTCGGGCGGGAGCTTCCAGGTGATCGTGCACGTGCTGAGAACCCTGGAGCGTGCGCAAGGGGCGGAGCGACGACGGCGGCAACCTTCTTGGAAGACAGAACAACAACAAGTGATGACTGGCCGCCCCTCTCGCTGACTGTTTTGATGCATGCATCTATGACTAGTCATGCTTGACAGAGCCGCATTCCATTCTAACATCCAGCGTTTCTGACTCCTTGCCACCGATAGGGCTAGTGTTGTGGCTGGTGCGACGCCACAGCGCAAATCTTCTGTCGTCATGGTCGAAGAGTCACCCAAATATCGGTCTGCCATCAACTCGTCCACTACATCTACTAAACATGGGTAGACCTCCCAAGAGCCATGGAAATCAAACAACAGCTTCAAACACTATTTACTCATTCTAAGCGTTGAGGTGACCGACCGACACATGGTATGGCCACTCTCCACACCTTACCCAATGAGATCCTCTCATTGGTGACCAGCCATCTCGAGCATCCTCAAGATGTGCTTAATCTTTCTGTGGCAAGCCGACGCTTGTCAGAGTTTGCAAAGCTTGATGGCTGGAAAGCCTATCTAAAAGGCCGATTCAGGCTTGGTGGGCTGGACCCCGATGCTCGGAATGCGGTCCATGGCCTGACTACTCTGTATCGCAATTGGGGTCGCAAAGGCTTTATTGCGAAATACTTGGAGCCTTCAGTGCTGACTACGAGTATCAACACATGGCAAAAGATCAAGTGGCGAGGTCCGCGGGGCCAGACTATGGGTTACCAGCCCAGCATTGACAGCTATGAAGAAACGTTCGGGGCGTGGGATTCGCGCAGAGAGTTCCTGTCATGGTCTGCCGGCACACAGATCATCATGAGAGTCAAAGAGTCAGGGAAGTCTGCAACAGCCGCACGAGAAGATCAAGCTTCTGTGGAGGACTCTACACGAACTCTCGATGCTTTCGGTCATGACAGTACGTGGTGGACGTACAAGATACCGGACAGCTTTGAAGGACGGGATGACATAACCAGTATGAAGCTTCTGCGGCCACACCAACGCAGTGAGGATTTCGAGCAACTTGTCTTCGGGACAGCTTCGGGTCACTTGTCGCTGTTGAGCTGGAACGCGCAGCATGGAGAAACTCGGGAACAAAGATACGATACTGGGACGAGAGCCGTGGGATCGGTGACTCTATCCCCGTCGGACAGACCAATGTTGGCTGCAAGTCTCGGTGATACAGCCTTGGCCCTGTACCCGATCAGACACAGCTCTACAACCCAAGAACTTGTCGAGCCACTTGCGGAAACTGTACCGATCCCGCCAGGCGCTAAAGGACGAATCTGGTCATGCGAGTTTCTGTCCAAGGATAGGGTAGCTGTTGGACTGGGTCCGTCCAACGAGCCTATTCACATTTACGATGTCACACCTAATGGCTTCTTGTCTCAACCTCTTCGCACCTTCAACTTGGAGTCCAAGTCTTGGGTGGAATCGCAACCGGATAACAATGCATCACGCAACACATCTGTCTACCCCATACTACCAGTCCATGGTACGGCGCAGTGCGGCTCCGATGCGGGCAATGTATTCCTCTCTGGAGGCTATGACGGCATTACTCGGCTGCACGACGTGCGCTCGCCGCGTAGCTTCGAGACCATGTTCTGGGACCCAACGAACGACTCTTCCGTTTACTCACTTGCCATGCAAGGCCTTGAGCGGATCGTAGTTGGTGTTTCGATGCACAGCATGATCAAAGTCTTCGACTTGCGGCTGGCAGGATCACATGCGTACCAGTCTTTCTCTCTATCGTCGAAGCCAAAGCCAAAGCCAAAGACGCAAGCTCCGAATCATGACTACTACAACGCGATCGTCAGGAATGCGAAAGATCCCTCAAGTACGGTCTCTGGTGGTTGGAACTTGTATCTCAATCCACGTATTCGTCCAAGGCGCGATGCTTACCGAGAAGACTACTCGCGGGGCGGACAAGACTCGCCAGTCTACAGTCTGTCTATACCCTCTTCCACGTCGCCCAACTTGTATGCAGGTCTCGAGGGCACAGTGCAAAGCCTAACATTCCATTCCATAGCAGACCCGCATCCTGACCCTTTGCTGTCACATTCCACAACCCGGTTTGCAGCTTCCGGCACGGTCGACATCCAGTCCTCGTACGATCCACGAGGTGATGCACTTAACCTGGGTATGTACGAGCAGGGCACGGAAGAAGGACTAGGTATGCAATTGTTGGTTCAAGGCGATGTGACTTCGAGTGTGGTCCAGGACAGGGAGCGCAAGGATGCAGGAATGATAAGAAGCCTGGACGAGCGGTGGAAGGATCTTAGGAACGAGGGTGATCGCTGGGCAAGAGGGGAATTACCGCCGCAAATCCAAGCTCAAGGTCAAAATCAAGGACGCGGTCGTGGACGTGGGCATAATCGCGGCCGCGGAAGAGGTGGTAGAGGGAGAGGTCGTGGCACTGGTGGTCCACGAGGTGGAAGCACATAGTCCAACGCAGGATATCCGACTCAATTGCCTTTGTTATCCAGCTCCCAGCGTCATCGAAGAGGAACCGAAGATGCTTGTGGCTTTTGACTGAGCGGCCCAGCCAGTACCCATGTTTTTTTGGCACTTATCGCGCGAACTCACCGGAACGTCAATAGTACTAAGACCGAATCGAGAACATTTTCAGCTATCCTAGACACTTGCTGGGACGAATTTTGGTTTGCTGAGTTGGTCTCACCACGAGGATTACACGCGTTAATTAGGCCAGGCACGTATCTGCCAATCGAGCAGTTCCCAATCTTCAAATGGTGCACGGGCCCTCTGGTGGTGACATATCGATTCCTCCCCCGCCTTTTGCTGCTCTCTGCGCTTGCACCTTCCATTCAACCACATTGAATGCCTTCCTTTTGTGTTTGAATTCCTCGTACCTCCTCATCACGAATCATGGCCTGCGGTTCTGCATGTTGCGCCTCGCCCAAAGCCACTTCTGTTGTCATGCGCTCACTGCCCCTGCCAGTACTCAACACCGATGCAGGTAGCTCTGCTACTCCTTGCAAAGAAGAAAAGTCCTGCCAACCAGAGTTGAACACTATGGCGGACAAGTGCCACACTGGCACAGCCAGAGGCTGCTCAAAGAAGGACGACTGTTGCTCTTCCAAGACTGACCAACGTCGAGTCCCAAGACCTTGACCCTCCCAACTGCTGCGAGGGAAAACAGTCTCCTTGCTGTAACTCTTCCTGTATTGACCGACTTGCGCTCCGCGCGTGTGCTGCTCAGAGTCAGTGATCATCTTCTTGTGCTCTGCAATCCGCCACTGACTCCTGCATTATACAGTCAACAAGACAAGCAGTGCACCTACAGATTGCACCCGCGGAAATGGCAGAACGCCGTGTCAACGACATGCTCGCAGCGCCCGGGATCAATATCAGTCCAGATTGGAAGCGCTTGGCTGCATTTGTCGTGCATTACTCGCTCTAGGCCAAGAGTCCTGCTGCGCGCCACCGCGACAATCTCCAATGGAGAAGAGACGCTCCAGCTCTCGTCTTTCAGTCACCTCTTGCGCGTCTGCCAACTCTTGCTGTGCACCTAAGACAAGCACAAGTGGATCTATCGCAAAGCAGCACCCCAAATCTATCAAAACATGCTGCACTGCCAAAGCTGCCTCGTGCGTCGAAGCTTGCTCGGATGAGAAAATGTTTGAAGAAACCACTATTTCAACTTGTGCCGATGTCTCTCGCGTCGACAAACCGTCCTCGCCCACAGCCTGCGTCGATGCCTGCTGCAGTCAGGAGAAGGGGCTGATACAAAAGACAAGTGAGGTTGAAGTCGATGCAACGCGCGCCGCCGACCTCGAGGCGGGCATTTCCGGAAAGGAGCATGTGATCCTCAGTCTTTCGGGTATGACATGCACTGGTTGCGAAACCAAATTATCCCGCACGCTAGCAACACTTCCCGCGATCACGAGACTGAAGACTAGCCTGGTACTTTCACGTGCGGAATTTGACCTCGATGTAGGCACTACTTCCGCCGTTGAGGTCATAAAACACCTTGAGAGGACAACTGAGTTCAAGTGTGAGCGTGTTACGAATCAAGGCTCCAGCCTCGATCTTATTTACCACGGTGATCCGATCGATGCAGTCAAGAACGACTGGCCAGAAGGCGTTACCGAAGTGAAGATTGTGGATCGAAAGACTATCCGGGTCGACTTCGACGCGAAGATTGTCGGTGCGCGAGATCTTGTTGAAAAGGGCTGGCCTACACCTTTGCCACTCGCTCCTCCCCGCGCTGATCCAACCTTGGAAGCTGGCTCAAGGCATGTTCGCCAAGTTGGTTATATGACTCTTTTGTCAATCGTGTTGACCATTCCCGTCCTTGTTCTTTCGTGGGCTCCACTTCCGGATAAGAAAAGGAAAGAGATCGTGTTTGGCTCAATATCTCTTGCTTTTGCCACTATTATCCAAATGGTGGTTGCTGGGCCTTTCTATCCTAAAGCCCTCAAGGCTTTGGTTTTCTCGAGAGTAATCGAGATGGATTTGCTCATTGTGCTGAGCACGAGCGTGGCCTACATATTCTCGGTCGTAGCATTCGGCTATCTCGTTGCGCACAAACCATTGTCGACCGGCGAGTTTTTCGAAACCAGCACGTTACTAGTTACACTCATCATGGTCGGCCGGTATGTTGCTGCATTAGCGCGCCAGAAAGCTGTTGAATCAATCTCGACTCGCTCGCTGCAAAGCTCGACGGCTACCATCATGGACCAGGGAGTGGAAAAGGAGATTGACTCAAGGCTGCTCCAGTATGGCGATGTTTTCCGAGTTTCTCCTGATTCGAAGATACCAACCGACGGGACCGTCATTTTGGGGTCCTCTGAGGTTGATGAATCTATGCTCACTGGTGAATCCCGGCCTATCGCGAAGTTTGAGGGCTCTCCTGTCATTGCAGGATCAATTAATGGATCTGGAGTCCTAACCATTCGGCTCACTCGAATTCCCGGCGATAATACCATTAGCACGATTGCTAGAATGGTAGACGAAGCAAAGCTGTCTAAGCCCAAAATCCAGGAGATTGCCGACCAGATAGCAAGCTATTTTGTGCCTGTAGTCATCGCTATCACCATCGCCGTCTTCTGTATCTGGGTTGCTATTGGCATCACCGTTCAGAACAAGTCCCGATCTGAAGCTACCATTCAGGCCATTACATATGCAATCACCGTGCTGATTGTTTCTTGTCCTTGCGCTATTGGTCTCGCTGTTCCAATGGTTATCGTTGTTGCAACAGGAGTCGCCGCTGAGAGAGGCGTTATTTTCAAATCTGCCGATGCCATCGAGGTAGCATACAAGACTAGTCATGTCGTGTTTGACAAGACTGGAACCTTGACTAGAGGCAAGCTCACCATCGCTCAAGAGAATTACCCCAGCGCTCATCCCGACACGAAGGCTCTGCTGTTGGGCCTTATTACAGGCAGTAAGCATCCGGTGTCCGTTGCCGTGGCAAATCACCTTGAAACGGACGGTGTCACAGCAGCCACAGCAGTCGACCCTAAGAGTCTAGTTGGCAAAGGTGTTGAGGGCACTTTTGCAGGTCGCACTCTTCGCGCTGGCAATTCCAGATGGCTCAATCTCTCGAACGACCTTCTTGTTCAGTCTGTTCTTTCCCAGGGCTATACAGCGTTTTGCTTCACAGTGGAAGGTTCTCTCGCTGCCGTATTTGGACTTGAGGACTCTCTACGAGAGGACGCTCTCTCCACCATCAATAAGCTACATCAAGACGGGATTTCTGTCCATGTCCTATCTGGCGACGATGACGGTGCCGTCCGAACAGTCGCATCTCAACTCGATATCCCTGATTCCAACGTTCGATCTCGCTGCACCCCGGCAGACAAGCAAACTTACATCAAGAACCTCATCGCTACCTCTGACCCTCGCAGTTCAGGGAAGAAAGCTAATCAGCCCGTCGTCATGTTCTGCGGCGATGGGACTAATGATGCTATTGCTCTTGCGCAGGCCACCATTGGCGTACACATGAACGAAGGCACCGACGTTGCCAAATCTGCCGCAGATGTCGTTCTTATGCGTCCAAGCTTGTCCGGCATCCTCACCGCCATCAATGTCAGTCGGAAGTCGATCCACCGGATCGCTTTCAACTTTGGCTGGAGCTTTGTGTATAATGTGTTTGCTATCCTACTTGCTGCCGGCGCGTTTGTGCATGCGCGTATTCCACCAGAGTTTGCGGGGCTAGGTGAGTTGGTCAGTGTCCTACCAGTTGTTGCAGCAGGCATACTACTCAAGTGGGCCAAGGTTTAGAGTAGTGACTAGTGTATTGGCGTTAGAAGATCAGGGATCTTAGCTTTTTGAACAATAACAAAATATAGTCTACTTCAGAGACTGAATATATGCCGCATCGAGATTGATGGACTCTGTTAGTTTGGCTTGAGGAGCCTTTTCAGCGTCCAAATCTCCACGGTCTTGCGTCGGAACACTAGCAACGTAATACGCATCGAGCGCTGACTGGGATTGCGCCGTCAGTACATCTCCAGCGCCGGGCGCACGCAGTGGCGTATGCTGGTACGCGTGCTCGTGCCCGTGCGTCTTGAACATTGAAAGCCTCGTCGGCCTCTGGTCGGGACGCGCTCGGCCGCTACCATCTGCCATTGGCTGCCTTCCACCGAAGCATATTCAGCTTCCGCGGCCCAACGATCTCCACACCCCAGATCAATCGACCCTCCAACAAACATCCCCGATATTCCTCACGTCAGCGTCCTCCTTTTTTTCGTCCCCATCCTGTTGTTCGCATACATATCATGTAACTGCATCGACACTCCACCGCAACCAGCACTCATAAGCTCTTGCAACGATGGGTCTCGGCATCCTCTCTGACCATGCACTCGAACACGTCCCTGGCACCGCGCAGGTACTCGAAGGCGAGCTGCGGAGGGAAGTTGAAAGAAATGCAGGAAGTATGGTAGGGAGGTCCGGTTTAAAGTACGACAAAACTGGGAAAATACTGCTTGTTCCGCAGCCCAGTGATGACCCGAACGATCCGCTTGTACGTCTAAACGTCCAGTTTCGAACAAAGCCTAGGTAAGAGCACAAGGTTGACTGATACTTTCACAGAACTGGTCCCTCCGTCGCCGCGACATGATTCTCCTTCTTCTGTCCCTTATATCAGTCATCGCAAGCACCCTCTCTCCCATCCTCGCCGCCAACACTGTCTCCCTCGCCATCTACTTCGGTCGCGACTTAACCGACATGGCTCTATTAACCGGCTACCACCTCTTGGGTGTCGGAGTCGCGGGCTTTCTTTTCGTGCCGTCAGCCCGTATCTGGGGAAAACGACATGTGTATCTTCTAGGCAATGTGTTGGTCGTGGTGAGTTGTGCGTGGGGTGGCGCGGTAGGAAATCATTATGCTGGATTTCTGTGGGCAAGGGTGTTTCAAGGCGTGGGGCTAGCGCCATTTGAGGCGCTTGTTAATGGTGAGTTTTAAGGGCAGGATTGGAGGGCTCTGTGTTTGAGTTGAGGGGATGCTAACATTTTGTGTAGGTACGTTGAGTATTTCCTATTCCGTGTATGCTTGAGACGATGCTCAGATTCCTCTGTCATTGGAGCGATAGCCAAATCCTGCTCCGCTGGGACGAATTCAGGCATCGTCGCAAAGCGTGGATATCTCCGAATCCTACTTCAAGCTCGCACTAACTTCGTACCTCGACCTATAGCTAGTGTTGGCGATATGTATCACGTCCACGAGCGGGGAGTCCGCATGGCGCTGTCAAATTTCTGCGTCTTCGGAGGCGCATTCCTTACGCCAGTCTTGGTAGGAGTGATTGCAGATCGAATGGGGTACCAGTGGACGTTCTATTTTGTCGCCATATTCGCGGGGATCATGCTACCGCTGGTCATACTTTTCGTCCCGGAAACGGCGTTCAGGAGGGAAGAGAAATTTGACATCGACACTATGGGGAACTTGGTGGTTTTGGATGGAGAAGAAATGAAAATCCTGGGGAATAGAGGTTCGAGTATTACATCAGCTGAACACGACGCAGCTGGAAATACGGTTGAGAAGGGAGCAGGGAATCCTCCGGACCAGCAGCTGGTGGGCGATCCGCCACGCAAAGCTACTTTTCTCGAAAGTATAAAGCCGTTCAATGGGCGGAAAACAGATGAGCGGTATCTGCACCTCCTTCTGCGTCCGTTCTCCCTGTTCTTACATCCGGGTATACTATGGGCTTGTCTTATTCAGGGCACTCTAATCGGCTTCACGGTCCTTATCGGTGTTGTGCTTGCAGCAATTATGCTTGGCCCACCACTTTGGTTCGGAGAGGTGGAAACAGGATACATGTAAGCTTCCTCCCACCCCGTCTTCCCAGTCTTTCACAACCCTAACCCCGCGAAGGTATACAGGTGCCTTCATCGGTGGAATCCTCGGCTTCGCCCTCACCGGCCTGATTAGCGACTGGTCCGCCAACCTTCTCACGCGCCTTAACAACGGCGTATACGAACCCGAGTTCCGCATGGTGCTCGTGATCCCACAACTCATACTGGGTTGCGCTGGTATCTACGGCTTACGGCTGGACCAGCGCAGATGCGGGGACGTACGGGTGGTTCTGGCCCTGATTTCTTCTTCGCGCTCGTAGTTATGGGTATGGTGTGTGGTGCTGTTGCCAGTTCGCTATACATTGTTGATGCGCATCGTAAGTCCCCGAGATCATGTCACGCTTTGAGATGCTGACGTGTACAGGCGGCATGTCCATCGAAGGTTTCACGTGCCTCATCGTTTTCAAGAATGTGTTCTCCTTTGGCCTGACATTCAAAGGCTTCGACTGGATAGTTGATGCTGGACGGCGGAGTGGGCAAGGTGGGGGTGGGGGGATCAAGGACCTTTTTGTCGCCGTTGGGAGTGTGCAGGTCGCCATTTGCGCGTTAACGATTCCGATGTGTAAGTTTCAGAGAGAATGGCGACGTGAAGACATCAGCTAACACGTTTGATAGATATTTTTGGCAAGAAAAACCGAAGTTTCTTTCACCGCCATAATGTTTTCTTTGCGGTAACGGATTGGGTTGCGGATAAACTGACATTTTGGTAAGGGGTTGCCAAAAGGCTATTGCTGGAGATTTATTACTGTAGACTTCGACCCCTACACTATCGCTTATTACGCTTATTCCTATATTTAATTGTTGTCGGAGCGAAAGCATCCATCGCCGCCATGTGGATACCTCATGGTCCGCATCGATCCTACTTCGGTTAGACTTGTATCATCTTTGTATGTAGCTTCATAGCACCTCCCTTTGAGGAAACACATCGATTAATTCACTATCACTGAACATGTTGCATTCATAGGTGCTTGTTATTACACTTCGGCACTAGTACCGCAGGCCTACTAGCAATTGTAACTACCCTCATGCAGCACTACGTCAGATGATGGGAAGCTTGGCACCACTATTACGAAGGATAAATAGAATACATTAATTATGTGTTTACACGAAAAAAATTCAAAGACGTAGGAGTTAACTACAGACAAGCCAGGCCGCGTCTTCGATGTGACGAATCGATTTCCCAGGAAGATTTTCTGGAGCGGCGACTCGGGAAGCATTCTGGTCCACGACGCGTCGGGTGCATGGCCGGGATTACTGTTTGAAACATCGGGCGCTCTCCTACAAAGCAGCGAGCAATCCAAAGATGGCAACACCAAGACCGACTCCAGCGCCTGCAGTCTGGAAGGGCGCTGCTCCGGCAGTGCTGGCAGCCGCCGGTGCTGAAGTGCGGGAGGCGCTTCCTGAAGCAGTGACAGAGGCGCTGCCAGTTGCTGTGACAGTGGAGTTGCCTGCAGAAGGCGCCGCGCTGCCAGAGGGAGCCGCACTGCCAGAAGGAGCCGCGCTGCCAGATGGGCACGTGGGTTGGGTGTTAACGTTGACATTCTGAAGCTTGCAAAGTTGGACGGCGAACTGAGTAGTTGCTGTGATACTTGTTAGCTGACACAGGATGCAAAATTGCAAGCAACATACCAGCAATTTCCGCCTGCGAGCATGTAGCAAACACACAGCAAGACACAGTCTCGATTGTCTTGCTACCGCAAATGCATGCAATGTCGGCAACACCACAGCTGCCCAAGTTGCCACCGAAGCATGTTTGCTGCGTCTTGATAAGCTATCATTCGCCAGGAGCCGTTGTCAATTACTCACAGCACATTTCGGGATCTGATCAAGAAAAACTTTGGGCAATAGCAGTGGAGCTGAGAGCAGCGACGGCGCCTAATGATGGAGAAACGCATATTGGCAAATTTTGTTAATGGAAA